ACAATATTACTGGAAAAAAATACATATTTATGAAAAAAAATAATTTTTTAATCTCTTCATGCTGTTGAATGACGCATGAAAAGTTCTTGCCTAGCAGCAGAGACCCATTTTATTTAGGATACATTTTTAATGAACGCATTGCTTCCCTTCCTGCAGCTTATCATACCCAGCATTTCTCACTGCTTTCCCCGGAATACGCAGTCAACCTGGGGGTAACCAGATTTGTGAAAGCCATACGAACAGGAGATCCCCACACTTTTATAGAATTCATAAATGGGGAAGATGTAAAGTAAAATTAATATTTTGTAAAAATGTGTAAATGTAAAAAAAAAAAAAAAACCATAAAGCTCTCCTGGAGCCATTGTTAATCTATTGATAACAGAATGTTGGGTTAATCTCTCTATTGGCAGGGCCTGACAGATGATATGTAGGGGTTAATGGAGTGTACAAGACCACAGTCAGCAGACTATAATTATCTCACCTGGCTACATTACTAGGTCAACTCCTTGTGAGCAAAGGGTGGAACAGTTAAAGGAAGGGTGTGCTTATTTGGTGCTGAATCTGAGATCTCTACAGACTACAGGGCTTTGTATTAAGACATCTGGAGCTTCACATGGAATTCCACTAACAGGGTATTCACGAAAGTGAGTATTCAAAGTGAACGTCTGAGAACAGGCCCCACATACATAAAATGTATTATTTTTTCCCCATCTGAAATGTTGGGTGGTATGCATAAGGTTCACGCATGAAGCAGAGGAAACGGTGTGTGGTGGCAAAAAAAAAAGATATTTCAGAAGAAAGGAGACTTGAAAAGTATCAGACAATAACAATTAAATATTGTCCGAGCTCTAAAGGCGCCTAATTAAAAGATTTGTCAAGCAAACGTTCTGCTGTTATGAATAACATTGGGTGGAGTTGTAGGAGAAAGGTTAATGCTTGTTCCCTGAAAAGTGAATTACAGAGAATTGAAATGTGAATTGCAAAAATGTTGGACAAATGAGTTGTCTTGGAAAATCCACAGTGAAGTTTGTTCTTTTTTTAATTCCTTAATATTTACTATTTAGCAAATGAACCCCAAAGTTCTGAAAAGCCAGCTGGGGAGTCACTGGGCTTAAATAAGCTGGGAGAGGCTATTCATCTCTGGCAGTCCAAAGATGTGCAGGGAGAAAACAAACGATCTCCCTGCAGTTTAAGGGGACACTATAATCACATTACCGCCCGCACGTCGAGGGACATCGGCGCAGGGATCACGTAAGTAAACAAAAGGTTATTCACTGCAGAGAGAGCTATAGTGCCAGGAATACAGCTTTGTATCCTTGGCACTATTGAAACACTTTAAGCTAAAGTTGTTTAGGTGACTATAGTGTCCCTTTAATTTATATAATTTATGTGTGAATCTATTATTACATCCCTATCTGCATACCGCACTGAGACACTGCTGTTGAGTCATTCGCTCATGTGCATTATATATCCATGAGTGATACAATTAAAGCACAACCAGAAAATGATGCAATTAAACACAATACAGATAAAAATGCAGGAAGTAGATGGCAGATTCAGGAAGTGTGTCCTATGGTGGTTACATTATAAAGACTAGATTTAGATACCTGGGACTCAGACAGGGTTAGATGGCTGGGAACCTAAAGTGAATTTCAAATTTCAGGCCAAACTAGCCAAAAGTTCTCCAAAACAACTATATTTCCAGTTTAGCAAGAACGCACAATATCTACACCATATCTTTTAAGTACTTTATCCGAAGACCTTTATGTGTGATCTGTCTGTCCCTTCCTTCCTACTTTTTAAAAAGAGCCGATTTCAAAAGACATAGATACTTCTATAAATGTCCCTAGTTACACCTTCCCGGCTAGCAATCACACATCTGGCATAGTTTTCTTCCTTACTCGGATTGAGCACTTGCTCGAAGTGGAAGTGAAGGCTTCTGACATAGGTACATGTGACTCAATGCTTCTCAAAAAGTATTCTACCGGCAGATTGAGGTGGTTACTGTACATGCACTGTAGGACCCCAATGCTTCTCTATGAGAGGCATTGGATTGCAGTGATGGATCATCATTTGTGATGATCCCCTGAGGATGGAGAGGGGTGGCGAGAAGACTATCTCGCCACTAGATGAGAGATAAGTAACTTTTATCTTTTATTTTAGGACTCTCTGTGGGGTTGGGGGAGTGGGAACACTCCAATTTTAGAATTACACGTGTATATTTATTATTCTGGAGTTTGTTGTGCCCAGTCTCCCCTCACATATGTATTTAAAAAAAATGCACTTGTTTTTTTTTTCGTTTTTGTTTTTTACCATTTTCTGCTAACTTACTAGCAGAGAGGAGAACTATCTCGAATTCCAGGTATAGTTCCTGGTTCTGTGTTAAAGGGTATCTGCTATGCTAGTTAATGCTCTGCTGTCATTTTTCTCTTTAATATGTGTATACATTGGGCTAGCAAAATCGCTCAACAATGTATAGCATTTGCTATAAATCATTGTTAACACCCCCACCCCCCCACCCTCTGTCACAAGACTATTGGAATACGCTGTGTGCCAATGTCTGCCTGCAACAGGTCACCCTACAGGCTTGGTTTCAATCTGGCAGGCTGAGCTATGCGCTGAGAAGCAATATTATGCTTCCCAAAGAGCGGCCGCGCCAGACAGGAGCTTACCGCCTACAAAGACGGGCTGATAACGATGCTGGAGCCATTGAGGAGGAGGATGCGTATGATGAAGAGACGTAAAAGACACATAGAAGGTGAGTAAAAAATAAATAAATACATAAAATAAACATTTTATTTGTGCACTATGGAGGGAGCTGGGCAGGATTAACTTAAAGGGATTCTATAGGCACCCAGACCACTTCAGCTCTTTGAAGTGGTCTGGGTGCAGGGCCTTTCCCCTTAACCCTGCAATTGTAATTATTGCAGTTATTAATAAAGTGCAATAATTGCCTTGCAGGGTTAACTACATCTCTAGTGGCTGTCTACCAGAGGCGCTTCCAGGTGATTTAGGAGACTTTTGGCTGCCTAATGGACGCCGGATGTCCTCACGCTTTGCATGAGGACCGCTAAAACCCCATATGAAAGCACTGAGGCAATGCTTTCCTATGAGGAAGTCCTAATGTGATTTACAGTGCTCGCCGCGCATTAGACCCCGACACTGGCTGATCTCGGTGGAAGAGGAGCAGAGGCGGAGCCTGACCCAATGCCAATGGACATTGGAACCGGAATCAAGTAAGGGACAAAAGGGTTTTTAACCATTTCAGCGCTAAGGGTGGGAGGGGCAGAGGGTATTCTAGTGCTAGCAATACAACTAAGTTTTTTTACACACTATAGTTTCCCTTTAAGTAAACATATGCATTACAGGTTCAATTTAGCACAGAGGTTTCATAGACTGACTATCCTACAGATGCTTGTGGCCCAACCCCTCGCTGGACATATTACTGTTCTATATTTGGACAGTATTTATTGGCTGAACATTGGGCACTACATTGAGATGTGGTGGTTATGGTGCTTACAAGTGGCCCTTTAATTTGTTTGCTTAAGATGCCAATACTTTCTTATGGGTTTATTTACTAAACAGTGAACTGCTGTGAATTGAAAACCGAATTTGTTAAATACACCTCAGAATACCCAATTAAAGATATAACGATTACACTCTGCAAGTACCTCGATTTTATCTTTTTAAAATGTAATTGTAACCTAAATAAAGGTCGAAAAAGGAAAAAAGTTACCAAATTTAGGCCAAATTAGCAGATTTGGAAAAATTCTTCATCTCATCTACAGATCTCGAGAGTTCCAGTCGAAGTTCTCCATTCTCACTGAAGATTTGTGACTTTCGTTACTACAAAATGTTTTATTTTACTTATATTGACACCTACAAATCTGTAAGCTTGTTACTCCTGTCACCCCTAGCCAACACACAGGGTATTTACCTATGTTCAGCACAGATGACGTCTGGTACAAAATAGCAGAGAGCTGGAGTTCAATAAAGTGATCTACACTTTTATTTTGACTATTTTTTTTAGTTTCTGTAATAAAATAACTAAATAGATATTCCTAGTTTGTTGAATCCGATACACAGGGATGTATTACTGCCAAAAATCATTCTATATTTAGTTACAGTCAATAATTGTGTCACAATTACAGTCTTTTTTCTCACGTAAACACTTTTTTATAGAGACCCACTATGTTCTTATAAAAATGGTTTACAGAGCCAAGTCCTCAAGGTGACTAAATTTACCAGTAAAACTTCCTCCACAGCACAGCCTGTAAGTGAAACGTCTCTTTTTAGACATTTTGCTGAAAGGTGTGTAATTAAATGTACAAATGCCAGAGGGAACATTGCTAAAAAGGAAACACAAAACAAGGATTTATTCACTAAACTTGGAACTGCAGAAAATTTGAAATCATTCCAAATGGCAACATTTAGGCAAAAAATATTTGATCTGAAACTAATCCCCAATTTACCTGTGTTGCTAGTCATAGCTAGGCTATATCAGAATCAATTTTGCTATTAGGATATCAACTTGCTATAATTCAGAATTTAGCAGATAAATTCCTATTATTTGTGTTATAAGCTTTTTCACTCTGGATTTTGCTATCACACTGGAAACTCTCAATGGAAAGCAATTACTAGAAAAAAAGAGTTTTAGTAAATATCAATATTAAATTCAAGCACCAATAGATGACAATCAGACAAGAGTTTATGTGGGGACAAATTAATACATTGTATAAAGTGTGCTCTTTCTTTAAGAGGATTCCATTTAAAGGAACATTATAGTGTGTTAGTCGCCATGGCTTCTGTCAATTGCCAGTCTGTAGTTTATCTAGACAGCCAGACAGCCTGTGTATTTGTGTAAACTGGGGGAGGACACTTTTCATGGTGACTTGCACATGAATGGGACTGGGGAGGGGACAGTGACAGTACAAGGGCCCAGCCCCTGGGGAGGGACAGGGGAGAGGAGTGTAGGGTTACTAAATTTCAAACAGCTGAAGAGGGCACAGAGGGAGAGAGAGGAGGAGGAGGTGGGAATGACATGAATACATCAGATGTTCTAGCCCTGGGCTCTCCAGCCCCCCTGTTAACCTGATCCTAGGGATTGGCTGGGTAGCAGCACACTGGGATCTGAGTGCTGGGATGTCAAGCTCTTGAGGCGAATTTATCTTGCAGTCTGTGCTCTCCTCTCCAGGGTTATAATTTGGATTTTAACTTGCAGACAACATGATCGAAGTTTACATCCCCTCTGTGGGACATCAGGTGGTAAAGTCGGACAAACCCCGCTTCGTAAGTCATTTAGTTTGTTGTTTATATAACGCCAGCAAAGAGTGTAGCGATGTACATATATATATATATATATATATCTCAATTTTTGTAGATTCATTTTTGCTTGTTTAAATGACACATTGCAGATGCATGAAACACCTATTACTGTGCATACACCTATCAGCAGTAACTGTAACAGCTCTAACTAGTTGTATAATCTATTAATTGTGCATGTGTATTAAGCTATAGATAATGTCATTATAACACAGTGACCATGATTTGTATCTCCTTTATATAATTCTGCGTTTTGGGGTATTATTCTGGGGCTAGTTCTGAGTGCTGACTTTCTTCTCACACAGTTAAAGAACGATGGGGCAGAGAAGCAATTCAAACAGGCATCTCATAATTCACCCCTTTGTTTACAGTCGGTGCTTTAAAACAGAATGAATTGTTCTAATGGCCTGGCTTAGATAAGGAGAATTATTTATTTAAATTCCAGATATCTCATGAAACTTAAGCTTACACGATGTCTGCATCAATGCCCATTTTATTTAATCATATTTTCTCTGATGTATTCTCCATCTCCCTTACACCTGCCCCTTTCACCACCCCCCCAAAAAAATCTAGACTTTTAGCTATGCTTAAATTATTGTCAAGGATTATTTCCAAAATTGTCTTAGGTATGAGCCATGGAAAAAAAGGGGGTTAAATAAGTAAAATAAAGAATTTACTAGGAGAATCTTTTAGTCCAAAATAGACACATTTATTATAACATTGCCAGTTGCCAAGAGGATTTTAAAGCCAAAATGACTGGAGTGTAAAAATTCGTAGGTTAGATATTTTTCCACTTTGATAATTTTGGCCTTAAAATGTCAGTTTACTCTTCAATACTGCATAATTATTGATTTAGCGGATAAACCCTTAGTTTTTGTTTTTTAAGAGGAATTGCTCTGCCTAGCTATCATAAGACCTTTAAATATGTTTTGGACCCAGAGACACATGGTGTGGACTCAGAGAGGTCATACGTCTTTGGAAGTCACATTTTAACTATTCCAGTGTCTACCAGCGCCCTATGGTTCTCACACCAGACTTGTGATTTGTTAATGTATTATTCAGTAAGACATGTGTGTGAGCAGAGACTTTGGACTGTGTGGGATTGTGTAATGTGTATGTAGACAGCCTACACCTCTGGATATTAGCATCCAGTTGATCAGGATTGGCCAGGCAATTAGGAACACAACGCAGAACATATGGAAAGGCCTGCCCTGCAGACATAAGCGTATGATTGCCAGATACACATCACCTCTACATGCTGATAGGCAGGCGGAGAAAAGTATGTAGAAATCATATACTGTTGAAGGAAGATCAATTCATTAATGGAGATTGAATCCAAAATTAACTGTGGTGTTCAAATAGTTGATGCCCCTCCAGCTTATAATTTTTACATACTCCAGGTCAGCACTTTTCATGTTCTGGCCATCACCATAAGGAAGTGACGCGGCCAGGCAGAGATGGTAGGTCATCTGGCAACTTATCTGGAAATTCTGTTGGAATGTTTTATAAAAATCTTTGCCCATATCAAGAAAAGACAATGCACAGGCCACTTTGGTAAGTTAGGAGGTTGGTTGCATTTAAAAAAAGAAGTCAACAATGATGTGTAATTATAATAAAAGAACACTGGAGGGTTTAACCTGAGAATGCCTGAAAGGCTATTCATTTAAAGCTGTGTGAATGAACCCTTTCAATGTCAGAGGTTAAAGGCTGGCCTCAAAGCCTGTGTTTTTGTTTAGAAGCAGGTTGAGACTGGCCGCTCTCTGTTTTCAAGCCACCACAAGAATCAGTCAATAGCTACAGACTACTAAGGGTAGGTATTGTAAAAGTACCGTGACTCAGGAGATTTAAAGCAATCTGTAACAATTACTGTTCATTAGTAATCCACTAATCTGGGTATTGATCATGGATTGGAAAATGTAATACCAAAATCCCCAACATGGAAAATAAAATGCCTGTATTCGAGAATCTATTTACCAAGTTTGTTACTTTGGTTTGCTGGCAAAGGGGATGGTGTAGGAGTGGTTATGGTGCTTAACCTGTCCCTTTAAAGTCCAAGCGTACAGAAGAAAAAGGGTAGGTGGCAGAATGTGAGGTACTAGATCATTCTCCTCCCAGCAAGGCTGGGCTTCCCATTAATCATCACTATCACGATTATTTTCTGGACTCCAAAGTATTGTGAAACTAATCCCAAAAAAAAGACCTGAGAAAAAAATATCTTATCTGGAAAAGATTTCCGGCAGCACCGCAGTAGTCGTAACTTTCAGTAGCGCCATGTAGATTTCATTCACAAAATATCAGAGTTTAGTTATTAAAGGACCACTCTAGGCACCCAGACCACTTCAGCTTAATGAAGTGGTCTGGGTTTTAGGTCCCTCTAGGATTAACCCTTTTTTTTATAAACATAGTAGTTTCAGGGAAATTTTTTTTTAAGATTTAACCCTTTCCTCGCCATCCAGCCCGGCGGGAGTGGAACCCTGAGGATGGGGGCACCCTCAGGGCACTATAGTGCCAGGAAAATGAGTATGGGTCCTTTAACCCTATTTGATGGATTGTTCATTCTGTAGCAAAAATGTTAGCTTTTTACTGTCCAGTACAAGTAAACCGTCTAAGGTCAACGGCCTTGACACAAGGTATAAGTTTAATTGAATTCACCAGCAAATATATAACTAGGATAAGACATTCTGAGCTGAACATCTGTCCTAACACCTCAAAAGATAGAGTTGAAAAATAGACTTTATGGTTGCCAGCCCATATTAGTTATGGCGTTCTGCTTCCATTTGCAATTCACATTCGCATCGCAGTGTTTCAGCTTCCAGGTTTCAAAAATGTAGGTGCACGTTAGATTTAATGGCGCATTCGATTGGAGTGACTACAGTATATGATTATAATAATCACTGATGCAATACTCTGTATAACTAATTCCCCTATTCTATTTCTTCCAGCAGTCACTAACTTCTCATTGTCTATACACGTGAGGTTTATTCAAGGAGGGAACCCTATAATTTAATGTCAGACTTAGAGTATTTAAGTTTTATGGCATCTCAACAGCTGAACGGGAAAAATTCTTCCCTTTAGCAATTTTGTGATTTCAGCTTACCTCGGGGTGATGTCACAGAGGCTGAAAGAAGGCCACGCGAATGATTTGGTGTGGGATTATGTGTTTGTATTGTGTTTCATTCTGAGCTCTCGAATGACCATGTTCCTCTTAACTGGTTTCTGTATGAGGCCTGATGCGATTAGGAATGTGAGAATTGGAGGGGAAGGTTTATAAGTGGAATTCTTCTCATTCTGGAACTTATTTTGTAAGAAATGGAAAATGAGGGCAGCTGCAGGTTGACATTATGTAATTTTTTTTATATAAAAAGCAGTATTTAGGGGCACAGGTTGAGCTTTTTGTACCTTTTATATTTCACACCAAAAAATTTAAATAGTTCTCCAATCACCATGACTACTACATCCTGCTGTAGTGTTTATGGTGCCCGCACGCCCCTGGCTGCACCCTCTGTGTCAAACTTATTAAAGAAGTTTGACACAACCCAAAGATTGCCCACCCCCGTGCCTGTGGCCTGTTCTTTTTCTTGACATATAGCTGTTATGTTTTCATATAAACAATAACAATTACATTGATTCGGCCAATGAATGCCGGACAAATGCTCGACAAAATTGATATTGCTAATGTGGACGTTTAACTTTAGAAGTAGCTATATGTATTATTGGGGGTCTGATCAGAGAACCAGAGACAGTGCCAGCAGGGGTATGCTGGCATACAACAGGCTGTAGTGGTTATGGTGTTTAAATAGCCCCTTACTTTTTTTAGTGTAATGTGGGGATATTTATGGGATGATAATTTTAAGCAGTCGAGAATTGCCCACTATTTCAATTCTCTTAGATCTTAGAGATCGTTTATCATGTAAGTGAAAAGTATTCCATACAATTAATTCACAATTTGTTATAAAAATAGATTTATTTTTATTGTAACAAATTAATTAACAAATATTAGGCATCATGCATGATAATAATCAGTGAATATTTAGTATAACATAGTATACAATACAATGGAATGGGTATACACGTTTCAATGGCTAAACAGCATTTTCTGTCAAGACTTACACGATTTATGAGGGTATCCTTACAGACAAAAAGTGAAGCTTTTCACAGCGAAGGGCCATAAAACCCTGGCTAACCGTTAGATCAACTGAGTAACCTTTTCAATGCTGGCTAGATCCTCCTGGGCATATAGTATCCTATTCCCCTGTGATTTTCAATTAAAATACATTTAAACCAGCTCATTAGTCATTTCCTGGAACCATCCAATAAGAATAATCTACCAGATTTTTAATTGGATATTTTAATTTGTCTAAAAGATATCTTCTCTTATATTAGAGCCAATCAATACACCTGGATAAAAACAACGGTATGCTAACATGTGATAATATCACATTAATATATAATTATTCTTAATTCCACCTGCAGAATGGAATGTTTATAACTATATATTCTTTAGTTAACTAAGATTTCTAAATATGAAATCTGACCGTGATTTATCCAGTCATATATCATGCTATTAGTAAATTTAAATTAATTTAAATTAATTAAATAAAACCAGCATAATTACCAGTTATGTAGATATTCTCATCAGATGAGTAGGTAGTCCCAGAAACTTGATTGGTTGTATGTAGGTGCGTGAGTGATAGAAAAAGTATTAAAGAGTTTAAGAGTTTATGTCCAAGAGAGTTTAAGGGTAGAGTGTTAGTCCCAGATATTGTCCTGGATTTCTCTGCATGTCCAAGTTGGAGTCCCCAAACTTCCAATTCCTCTCTCTCTTCTGTATCCCTTTGTCCTTACTTTTAAAGGGCCAGACTCTTTGTACGTCATTAGTTGATAAACCAATAGGAAGCCGTAGGTGTGTCCAATCTATGGGTCGCAATTTAGGTATTTGATCCATAGTGGGCAGTCTCGTCTAACGAAACCATCCTATCCAGGAAAGAGTTAACTTTTCCTGATGACGATTTTGACCTCATTTGGCTTATCTAAAATGACTACCATAACTTAGATTTGCTGTCAGTCTGTCTCAGTCTTTGTGGCATCTACTTTGATCGTAACTTGTAAAATTGACAGTTCTAAACTCAATTTCACCCCTTTCTTACAATGGTACCTTGTAAAATTAATTAGTCTTCTCTGTCACTAGTGTCTGTGTTTAGATAATACATTCCTTTAACATTTAGACAGAGCATTCCATCCCCCTTGCTTAATTGCTTATCTTGGTTAGTGAAAGTAAGAAGAAACTATGTCTCTGCTATCCTGAAGATAGCAAAATGGAGTCCGCTTTGTTTTGCGTGGCTTTGGCAATATACACTTTTAATTTCTTTTTAGCACAAAATGTCTGTTGATATAAATATTCTGACAGTAAAAAAAAAATACACTAGAGTTGCATTTTTTTGTCTTTTAATCAATTGCTAGATATTTTATATTGACCAATATGCATAATTTCTGAAAAATATAAAGAATTCTGTAAAATTAGGCTTCCCAGAAGCTTCCCAACATTGGGAGGTATAAATGTGGGGAGAGGGATAGGATGAATGATTAATGTGTGTGACATTGATGCTGTAAAAAAAGGAGTCACTTAAAAAGAGTAGCCTGAAAAGTATTCTTCCTGATACAGCGTGCATGTCAGTTTTTATTTCTTCATTATTTAGCTGTGAGATAAAACTAAATATACAGATTTAAAAAAAGGGAAAAAAATGCACAGAATACAAAAACAAATATTCAGTCTATTTGATAAGGCATTATTGGAACGTACGCGCATACTGTAGTGTTACAATCAAAGATACGTAAAGGACCACATCACGGTGCTTGTTGGCACTTTGTGGTAAATTACTTATTTTTAACACTATCGTGTGTGCATCTCATCAAATATTTGGGATATTAAGATATTTTTTAGAACTTTCAAGACTTATTATTTTGTAATATTTTTTTTAATATTTAAAAAAAAAAATTATTATATTTTTTATTTTTAGCGTGCAAGATAATACAAACAGGTCTGATATGCCACAACAGCACAGACAAGCACATTAAGTAAATTCACATAGTTACATTTTCATGGCACACAAGAAAATCTGCACATTTTATATTAAGGGTAAGCAAGCCAGAGCTGTTCATTCATTTTTTTTTTTTTTTTTTAGTAATTAAAGGACCACTATAGTGCCCTTAGGGTGCCCCCACCCTCAGGGACCCCCTCCCGCCCGGCTCTGGAAAGGGGAAAACTTACCTTTTTCCAGCGCTGGGCGGGGAGCTCTCCTCCTCCGATCCTCCTCCGTTCCTCCTTCTGGGCTGAATGCGCACGCGCGGCAAGAGCTGCGCGCGCATTCAGCCGGTCACATAGGAAAGCATTCATAATGCTTTCCTATGGACGCTGGCGTGCTCTCACTGTGAAAATCACAGTGAGAAGCACGCAAGCGCCTCTAGTGGCTGTCAATGAGACAGCCACTAGAGGAAATAGGGGAAGGTTTAACCCATTCATAAACATAGCAGTTTCTCTGAAACTGCTATGTTTATGAAAAAATGGGTTAACCCTAGAAGGACCTGGCACCCAGACCACTTCATTAAGCTGAAGTGGTCTGGGTGCCTAGAGTGGTCCTTTAACAGGCTAAGACAAGGTATGTCAGTTGGTTCTAAGCCAGTTAGCTTATAAGGAACATCTCATGTAGGCTGACATTAACCTATCTATGCTGAGAAGTGAGTAGAACATGCTAAACTAAAATTAAGATTAGTTCTGGAGCTTGGTAGCTGCTGGGTACTTAAGTTTACTGCAAACTGGGGACAAACATTGCTAAATAACATGGTATATAATAATACTTATATATAGGTTGGCTGGCTTAGAGGCTTATTGCCGGTTTCTGCGGGTGTCGCTGGGTAGCAGGTCGGGCAAACTGAGTATTGGGGGTAAGCAGTGCATTAGGCGGCCTGTAGCCGTAGCCGGAGGCGGCTCAACCAATGTCCACTAGTGGCAGCCTGCCAAACCCAGGGAACCTGAGTCCGTCTTGCTGAAGGTGAGAGCACCACCGGTCCCAAGTGCCTGTGTGGTTGTGTACTTCACTGACTGCTCCGCCACAGAGTCTAGTAACTGGGTCGTGGCCTCCAGGCCGTCTCAGTGCCCGTGAGTTGTAGCGCCATATGTGAGCTCTCCGACTGAGCAGCATGCCAGCTTGGAGTCGGCTCGTGAGTGCCATTCAGGGACGCAGCTGTGAGGTGGGAAGGTGCGTGTTTGGTAGCGTCGTGCTGCTGTGCAGTTCGGTGCTTGGGGAGTCTGCCGGCGGGCCCGTCGGTGAGATGGTCGCTTCTCCATGTGGGCGCTGGGTCGATAAGCCGCCGCTTCAGCTCCAGTCCCCTGTGCAGTAGGTTTAATGGGGTGGGTGGCGTTAAGCTCTATGCTCCTCCAGAAGTCTCCGCAGATGCCGTCAAACTGAGCTTCAAAGCACTCTTTTCACGCCTGGGCTTTCTTGTGGTTGGTGCTCGGCAGCCATTTGGGCCCGACAGGCGGTCTGCATTCCGGCCGAGGGATTTCAGGATTGAAGCCTGTTGGTTTCCCCAGATGGGACCGGGATAACCCACACTGGTCCAGAAGCTATTTGTGGTCTCCATGGCGGAAGATCGGTCGCCTCTCCCGGCCCCTAGGCTGCTTTCCAAGTTAGGACTCATCTGTGAAGTGTGGAGCGTTCACCCCAGAATTTTTTACGAGGCAGGTGTCCATGGGTCTCTACTTGGTTCAGAACTGCTGTTTTGGTGAGCTGGGCTGCTTTTGTCGAGATTGTAGCATACATTTGCCAATATAATAAAACAAGGAGTAAAGTCAGCGCTAATCAGGAAGGCAGCAGTCCCAAACAAGGACTCCTTCTAATGTCCCTGGAAATAAATAGACAAGGAAAGAAAATGGGGGATGGGTATGAGCCAATGTGCCAATATAATGCTGCGTTTATGCCGGAGCTCTCTGCAAGCACGTCTGGCTAGCTCGGCTGTCAGGCCCCGCCCCAAGACTTATATTTTTTAAAATACTAAATATTGTTAATAAAATGTAAAAATACAAAACAGAAAAATTGTGATATATAAAAAAAACCTATAAAATAAATTTTAAAATAGGGTTAACACGTTGACCTATTCACTTATTTATTTACACCACCTTAACTACTAGAAATTATTTCTTAGTAACATCTTTATTCCCTGCAAACGCCATTCTTTTCACCACTTACTGTGCATGTGTACAAATCACAAATAAATATAGGCCATGGATCAAAGATCAATAATAATGAGTTAAGGACATACTGAAAGTAGCAGCAGCTATGCCAATTTGTGTTACTATTAATTATTGATTGCGTTGACTGCATTGGAATCTCAATGATTACTCCTTCAAATAACATCATAAGATAAAGTAGGGACTACTCCTGGACAAGGCCAAAGTTGATAAAAGGTGTATCAATGTTTGTCAACCCCAATAGCTATCACTAGCGACTACACTAGCGAAGAGACTTCTTGTGGATTGTGAGAGTAAGTCAATGGAGGATCCCACAACCTCAATGGATCCTACATAGATTCCAGTGTTTACTTTTGCGAGTGAAAAGAAAATGGCAGCTCTCGTGTGGGAGAACGTTAGGTAAGTAGAACTTCATTCAGCTCCCAGGGCACAGATGGGACTGTCATCTTTGAATGTGAAAAAATAATTTATTTATTTTTTTTATCAGAAAATGGTGTTCAAGGAGCATCATATAGGACGTTAAGGAAACAACCCCCACAAATATGTGTCCTTGCTCCCATTTAGATGCAGGGCCTTCTTATATAAACTAAAATAATAAAGTTTTATTCACTTTACTGCAATGGCGTCTTGGTCTTGCCATGAACGCCACTCCTTACTTTGATGATTTCATTTATCTGATGATCTTGGCCAATCAAATGCTTCTCCAAAAAGAAGTAACGATGGCTCTACAGTGCGTGTACGGCAATCAATCTGATGCACCAATAGGATTCTTTTCTATGACGACACTTCCCTGTCAATGTGAGGACTGTACATTTTTATAGTCTTCACAAGGAAATGCATCTAGTGGCAGCCTAATTGACTCTTTGCCTGATTGACAGCCACTTAAGGCACATAGTCTGACAAATGTAAGCATTGCTCTTTCTCGCAAATGTCAATGTTTACATCTGTCAGCCTGCAGAGACGGCATCTAGGCAATAAGACCAATACATTCAGCTGTATGGGTTTTGGTACTTACAGTGTCCCTTTAAGATTGTCTATATCTTTTTTTTCTGGGGGGACTGGGGGAGTTGGGCACACACACAAAAAAGCTGGAAATATTGTTAATCTGTTAGAAATATTGATTTACACTACAATATGTTAAAAACAACTGTTACCAGTTACTAATTCCATTAAAACAGAAGAACCTAGGATTAGGAAGTAGGATTAAGAAAGTGTGATATCCTCCATTATTTAGTGTAGCCACCTGCCCTCCCACTCGCTGCCCTCTCTGGAATGATCTCAACATGCCGACAGCTGGGTATTTATTTACTTAGAGATCCGGAGTTGTTTCCCATCACATACTCAGACAGAAGTCACAGCTATTGCCTTTTCCTGCAGTTATTCAGACCGTGAATAAAATATGGATTTACTGTAAACGTAGCTGTGAATACAGAGAGCAGGAGTGGGTTAGCTGAGAGAATCAAAATAAAATCTGTCGCTTCCCAAACTTTCCGTCTAACCTTTTGTTCTAGAGAATTGTCAAAATAAACGTTATAAATACAGGAGTCTATACCGATAGGAGCAATGCTCTGCAGAATAATGCAGACTATCTCTATGTTGCCACCGTATGAGGATGCGTAATCACACTGACTGTTCTGTACTGTATCTGTAGACACAGTTAGTTAAAGGACCACTATAGAGCCAGGAAAACATACTCGTTTTCCTGGCACTATAGTGCCCTGAGGGTTCCCCCACCCTCAGGGTCCCCCTCCCACCGGGCTGAATGAAGAGGAAGGGGTTAAACTTACCTCTTTTTCCAGCACCGGGGCGGGGAGCTCTCCTCCTCCTCTCCTCCCTCTTCTCCTCCTCTTCGGCTGAATGCGCATGCGCTGCAGGAGCCGCGCGCGCATTCAGCCAGTCCATTGGAAAGCATTCACAATGCTTTCCTATGGACGCTGGCGTCTTCTCACTGTGATTTTCACAGTGAGAAACGCGGAAGCCCTCTAGCGGCTTTCAATGAGACAGCCACTAGAGGCTGGATTAACCCTAACATAAACATAGCAGTTTCTTTGAAACTGCTATGTTTATAGAAAAAAGGGTTAACCCTAGATGGACCAGGCACCTAGATCACCTCATTAAGCTGAAGTGGTCTGGGTGCCTATAGTGGTCCTTTAAGAAAAAATCATATTAAACCTTGTGTTGGGTTATGGAGCAAAATATTTTTTGGACCTATTACAGAATGCAAGGCCAGAGCATCAGCCCTAATGCCCTGACACCACTTAGCGCAGTGCAAGGAAATGTAGTGATGCATTTGTGTTGTCCTTGGTGAGGACAGTTGAAAGACACCAGGAAAACAGGACCAAACATTCAAATCAGGACGTCCTGTCAAATCTGAGATTGCTGGAGGGTCTGACAATGGAATCGAACATGTGTCCTGTGAAACATTAAGCACGATCAGTCGATTGCACAAGTACTGATTTCCATTCTGATATATTCACCATGGGCAAATTGTAGTCATTTTAAAATCAAATTATAAAAATAAGGAAAAAATATCTCTAATCTCTAACTTGGCTTGAGTTGCAGTTTGTCTATTTTATTGTGAATTGCATGATTTGGTTTCTGGTTTACTACAACTTTTTTTAGTTAATAAACCATGAAATCCACAAAATGGAAGAGATGTCTCCAGTTAAGTGTTTACATCTGCTCTTTTGATGTGGAGAGTCTCCAGTCATTAGTTAATGTTGCCTTCGGCTCCTGGCTTCATTGAATAAAGGTAAAACCAGTTCTACATTTCCGTATGAGTGACCCTGCTACCCTTTGACAGAGACAGACAGGACAATGCAAATGGAATGAATTGTTGCTCACTGTACCTACGTCTTTTGTATATGTAGCAGATTTATTGCAGGATGACTTGAAACATTATTTGCAATACCCCTCCTATGTTTGGTTTGTATTTATATGGGAAGCTGGTGTAGTTTCTAATGGACAAATAAAATAGTAAGCCTGTTATAAGGTTATAGTATATCTGATCAGTCATGTTGGAGGCTATGGATTTATGTGTAAGCGAAAAATAAACTATGTTTGGGAATAGGGATACTTTTGAATGAGGTGGTAACACTATAACTTGGGGCTCTCGTCCCAATATTTAGGTAATAATCGCACAAAACTGTGTGAAATATATAGATGGGTACAGAGAGGGCTATGTGAGGATGATAACATTGGTAAAACATGGTGGATTGACGTTTGCATGGATACAATGTACAATTTATGTTGGAGATATGAAATTAACTCACTTTTGTCAGCTGATCAAATGTAGAGTCATGTAATGGTGAGTCTGACAAACTCTGCAACACCCTCACAGTATCTTTATCTTGCCATAGCCAAATTAATCAAAAGGCACCTGTGTAGAGACTTCCATTATTAGGAATGAATGGGAGGGCACAAACCGGTCAGCTTCCTAGGGCCCTGTGGGATAATTGTTCTCTGTAATATCTTGCAATCATTGCTGGCTGAGATATGTCACTGTGTTGATAGCTGGCCGAGATATGTCACTGTGTTGATTGCTGGCTGAGCTATGTCAAAGCTTTTAAAAGAGCTTAGTACTAGCAAAACCATTAACAGATTTATTTAACCAATCATTGTTAACAGGAGTAGTCCCAGAAGATTGGAAGTTAGCGAATGTTGTGCCCATTTACAAGAAAGGTAATAGGGAGGAGTCGGGCAACTATAGGCCAGTAAGCCTTACTTCAGTAGTGGGGAAAGTGATGGAAACCATGTTAAAGGATAGGATTGTTGAACATCTAAAAACACATGGATTTCAAGATCAGAGACAACATGGGTTTACTTCAGGGAGATCATGCCAAACTAATCTTATTGATTTTTTTGATTGGGTAACTAAAATTATAGATCAGGGTGGTGCAGTAGACATTGCTTACCTAGATTTCAGTAAGGCTTTTGACACTGTTGCACATAGAAGGCTTATCAATAAACTGCAATCTTTAAGTTTGGATTCCAATATTGTTGAATGGGTAAGGCAGTGGCTGAGTGACAGGCAACAGAGGTTGTAGTTAATGGAATATATTCGAAGCTTGGACTTGTCACCAGTGGGGTACCTCAGGGATCTGTACTTGGACCCATTCTCTTTAATATTTTTATTAGTGATATTGCAGAAGGTCTTGATGGTAAGGTATGTCTTTTTGCTGATGATACTAAGATATGTAACAGGGTTGATGTTCCAGGAGGGATAAGCCAAATGGCAAATGATTTAGGTAAACTAGAAAAATGGTCAGAATTGTGGCAACTGACATTTAATGTGGATAAGTGCAAGATAATGCATCTTGGACGTAAAAACCCAAGGGCAGAGTACAGAATATTTGATAGAGTCCTAACCTCAACATATGAGGAAAGGGATTTAGGGGTGATTATTTCTGATGACTTAAAGGTAGGCAGACAATGTAATAGAGCAGCAGGAAATGCTAGCAGAATGCTTGGTTGTATAAGGAGAGGTATTAGCAGTAGAAAGAGGGAAGTGCTCATGCCATTGTACAGAACACTGGTGAGACCTCACTTGGAGTATTGTACACAGTACTGGAGACCGTATCTTCAGAAGGATATTGATACCTTAGAGAGGGTTCAGAGAAGGGCTACTAAACTGGTTCATGGATTGCGGGATAAAACTTACCAGGAAAGGTTAAAGGATCTTAACATGTATAGCTTGGAGGAAAGACGAGACGGGGGGATATGATAGAAACATTTAAATATATAAAGGGAATAAACACAGTAAAGGAGAAGACTATATTTAAAAGAAGAAAAACTAGCACAACAAGAGGACATAGTCTTAAATTAGAGGGACAAAGGTTTAAAAGTAATATCAGGAAGTATTTCTTTACTGAGAGGGTAGTGGATGTATGGAATAGCCTTCCAGCTGAAGTGGTAGAGGTTAACACAGTAAAGGAGTTTAAGCATGCGTGGGATAGGCATAAGGCTATCCTAACTATAAGATAAAGCTAGGGACTAATGAAAGTATTTAGAAAATTGGGTAGACTAGATGGGCCGAATGGTTCTTATCTGCCGTCACATTCTATGTTTCTATGTTTCTATGTCACTGTCATCGCTGGCTGAGATATGTCGCTGTGTTGATAGCTGGCTGAGAGATGTCGCTGTGTTGATAGTTGGCTGAGATATGTTGATGTGTTGATAGCTGGCTGAGATATGTCGCTGTGTTGATAGTTGGCTGAGATATGTCGCTGTGTTGATAGCTGGCTGAGATATGTCGCTGTGTTGATAGCTGGATGAGATATGTCGCTGTATTGATAGCTGGCTGAGATATGTCGCTGTGGTAGCTGACTGAGATATGTTGTTGTATTGATAGCTGGCTGAGATATGTCGCTGTGATCGCTGGCTGAGATATGTCGCTGTGTTGATAGCTGGCTGAGATATGTCACTGTGATCGCTGGCGGAGGTGCTAAGTCAGTGAGGGAAATGGGTGATGACTGTCCATGTTTGTAAGAGACTGATTTAGGTGCCTACTTTGTGCCATAGCTAAGTAATGTGGAGATCATAGGCCCTTATGAGGTGATTGAGAGCTGGAGGTTGATTCAACAATTCAAATCAGCTTATCTGTCTATATCAGGGGTGGTTAAACCCTAGATCCTTATGTGCATTCTAAAGACTTGGAAACCATTATGGGAGGTGCAGTTCTACAATACATGGTGATCTACCTATGGCCTTCTCTGATCCTGATTGATTTAAAGAATGGCTTTTAATGAATTCAATTTGCTTTGTTACCCATAGTTTGGGGTATTGCAGAAAACAAGAAGCCATTCCCTCCCACCTACACTGAGGTTTTCCATATGGCCACAAACTGCACCGTGGGTCAACAAACAATGTAATGAGTCCTTTCTCTAACATTACATTGAATTCGGGGGAGGGAGAACTCTCATCCATTCAACATTCCTAAAGATTACAACAATTGTTCGCCTACAATAATCTTTTCCTGGGATTTTTGTTCTCACAATAATAAAAAAATAAAAAAGGATTTTTATGAACCTTATTCACTACTGCAGCATAAGTCAGGTTAACAAACTTGGGACAATTTATTAAACGTGTGATGAGATTTTAAATAGTACAGAAGAACGGATTGCATTAGTTATACAGTAGGTGGAGAAAATAATGACAATCTTTTATTAGTGATGAGATTTTCCCACTGCTGTCAGGTCAGCCTCAGATTTTCTTTGAATATTATCATACAAGCCACGAGCGGTGTGTAGCGGTAAACTGTTCTATTCTCTAAAAGAAAAGCATCCAGATCTTTTAGAGATACATTGCACACTCTGATACCCAGAACACCCAACAAGGTCCGACGATACTTATACCTAATGTTTGGCTGGACTATCGAACTTTGAATCCATCCTGGTTTTCACTCTTTAATATATTTACAGTTTTCATCCTTTATCAGTGATATTTGCAACATAACAATCTGATACCATTTTTGTACCAGATGCACGCCTTTTAAATCTACAACCAAGCACCGCACTCAGGGCCGGCCTTAGGCCTTTGGGCGCCTTGTGCGAAAAATCTTCACAGCGCCCCCCCCTTTGCTCCCCTTCCCACACACCCTGTCACACACACACTCAGACAGCAACACGCACACACAGACATAGAAACATAGAATGAGACAGCAGATAAGAACCATTCGGCCCATCTAGTCTGCCTAGACAGTCACACAGAGGCAGACAGCCACACACACACAAACACACACACACACACACAGGCAGACAGCCACACACAGACACAGGCAGACAGCCACACAGCCACACACAAACACAGGCAGACAGCCACACACAGGCAGAAAGCCACACAGCCACACACACACAGGCAGACAAACACACACACAGACAGTCACACACACAGGCAGACAATCACACATAGTTACCTCTGTTCCTTGTGGAGGCAGACAGGCAGTGCGGCGCCTGGATTCTGGTTGTTGGGGAAGCAAGGACTCCTTCCTGCTTCCCCTGCAGCAGTTACATGGCACTTTTAGCTCCGCCCCGCCGCACGTTAAGCTCCGCCTCTGCCACACGGTAAGCTCTGCCCCGCCGCAAATTTTTTATTTTTTTTTATCTCGGCTGGTCATGCGTGAAGCAGGGGGCGCCCTCTGCGGCCGCACACCTCGCACACCCCTAAGGCCGGCCCTGCGGTCCGCACTCATTGTACGTAATGACTCCTCCTGGATGGCTACCATATTTAACAGTTGACAAAGACATTTGCGTTCTCCTAATATAAACTGTTACAAATGTGCTGAATATAGTGAAAGATGTCTCCTCAGACTATATCAGGAAGTTCTGGCACGGTATAGGAAATAAGTGTTTTTTGACACTCGCTAATCTGTTTGTTGGTGGTTTTTTTTATTTTTTTAAACCTGGTAACACGTGTGCCAATTCCAATGTGTTGATTTTTGTTAATATTTATTTAACTTTTGGGTTGTTTATCAATTATCATCATGTGACCAATTGGCGAGGAAAGTACCACACGAACAAATATTAACAGACATTACAAAGCAATTTAACAAACCACTGCGAACATTAAAAACAAACTGGGTGACATACAATTGTTTTAAACTAGAACTTTCCTTTTATTTAACAAAAAAAAAACCATCAGTTAGATTTTTTTCTTTATGAGTTTAATAAAGCTATATGGCCATTCCTGGGCTCTTTCTTAAATAATCTTGTGTAAAGGTGGATTACATTTTAACACATTACAAATTTCCATCTTTAAATACCTTTTAGTTGTAAAATATTTACAGACGGCGGATTTAGAGTGTGAATCCTGACATATTTATAACTGTTTTTGGCCAGATGAGGATTGGTCCATAACTAATGTATTGTAACTTTATAATATTGTAAAGCTCTGTGGAATAAGTTGGACCTATGTAAATGCCGATAACGAGAATGGTATTGTGATCCTTTCACTGGTATCTGAGGAATTTAGGATAGTGATGTCTGTGGGTGTGTTCCAGTAAATGTGAGTACATCTCTCACATGGACTGTCATTAACACACTTTATATGTTTAGGCCGCAGCCATAGGGCCAGTTTCAGATCATATAATGTAAACAGTGCCTTCGACGTATATGTGAAGATATTAGCTGATATAAACTGCTGTGTAGCAATGTAACTAAAAGTCTGTTTTAATGACCTCCCTTTAAACTGTTATAGATATTTACTAATAATATGTGTGAGCTGTTGAAAATTAAAACGAAATGTCAAATTTTAACCCCAAATAGCTGACTTGAAGAATTTTTTCTAATCTAGATATTTTTGCCTAGAATTTGAAACCCTCTTTGAATTCCTGACAATGAATTCCCATTCTAGTGAGTAACCAGACAGACCGATCTGAAATACATTGACATATAACTGTCACTTAACTCCTGTTACTCTACAGAGAAAATATGCATTAACCCTGAGCTAACACACAAAAAAAAACAACTTATCAAATGTACAGGATTACAAATGTATTATTATTATTATTATTATTTTAAACTATTTATATATGTCCATAGCCTTTATATTCATTTTTTTTTTAAATCACTATTTGTTGTAAGACAGGATCCATTCCAATCAAAAAAAGTTTCAATTAAATTTCTATTCAAAATGTGTATATTACTTGATTTATTAACTGCACTAATAAAAACGAGACAATAATGCACATTTGTGTTTTTTACTTGTTCCAGCTCTCAGTACCTGCTTTCTGTAACTATACATTACTTCTTGTAAAATGCAGAACGGGCAGGACCAGTGGTTTTTACCTGAAGACAGAAACTGGTCCAGTATGCTGGTTTTGTTAAAGTAATATGTGTTAAAGAGTTACTCTGAGCGTGTTTCGTTATGAAACGTTGCAAGTACTGAGATGGACTCCTCTGCAGCCGGAGGTGTAATTCTTGAACAAAGTGATATTTATGATCTGAAATAATGGCGGACATATATTAAGGTAAAAACAATCACTGTTCTGCGGCAAAGTGCTAAATAAGGAGCAATCGTTCTGGAAACCTTAGATAGTCTTTTAACATTTATCAACTTGCAAACAAATTAGCGCATGTGTGTTTTAAAATATCACAAATTATTTGATTTTCCACTGATTTTATATTTTTCTGTACTGTATAATAGACCTGGGACTAGGTAATACTGTGTTGTGCTTTAAAACCTGTATGTGAGAACAGACAGAATGTATGACGTCCTCTTCTATTGTGTCTAACAGGTCTTCAAAGTGGATGTTCTGTTCAATGGCCGCAGGCATACTCTCGACCGTCGTTACAGTGAATTCCTTGTGCTCCATAAACTGGTAATACAACTGTTTATCTTGTTTGTGTGTTAGAGTTTCACCCTCCTAGGTTAGTGTGTGGCTTGGCTAACCAGAGACAAGGAGCTAAAGCCAACAGACACGCATTTGTAACCAGACAAGTTGCACACACAGGAACAGAGGGATTGAGGGCTCTGCTCAATGAGTTTACATGCTAGAGGGAGTGGGGTATAGTGATACAAAAGGTAAGGGTCAGGTTTTTATGATAGTATTCACTGTGGACTTAGTGTTTTGTTTTTTATAACAATGTTGCAGGAGAGGAATCAGGGTGCGGGGAGGGAAAGCTGTTCAGTTTAATTGATACGCTTTCCTGAAGAACTGAGCTTTTAATATTTTTTTTGAAGGAATGGAGACTGGGTGAAAGTCTAACAGAGCCCTAGAGATATATATGTAGTTTGTTACAGCTCATTCCCACGCAAGCTAAGTGTTAATAAAGTTTAGTGAGGACAACGTGACACAAATTCTCCACTGATTAAAATCAAGCACAGTGGCCAGGCAGGCTCCTTATAATGTATCACCACCCTTATTCTGACACAGGTGGCAAATACAGAGAAACTGATTCACACCTAGTGCATGCTATCTGATTAATTACAAATATACAAAGCCAAGTTATATTATATGGCGAACACACTAATTACTCAGCAAGGACGGCTGGGCCGCCATTTATTGTTATTATTATTATTATTATTAATAATATTCAGGGGTGTAATACTAACAATAATTTATATTTATGGTTCCCTTACATTGACCGAGACCCCCATCTTCAAAATACAATTTCTGTAACCATCACCCTAATTATCTCTTGTTAGCACAGATTTTCTACTAACAGACGAGACCGCCTTGCTTACACCAACTGGCGGTGTATTCTACCAGGATCAATTATAACAAATTTCTCCTCACGAAAACAATCAGACTGTCACAGACTGAGCTACCGACGCTGTGACTCAGTGCTGAGTAAAAAATGGTTTTCATTCCGATTACGGCACATAGGGCACAATCTATAGCGATTACCCTTGGTGCCTTATAGTGCCTCATGCTGGCAATCGTGATACAATTCGTACAAAATTAATCTTTAGATCGAACAGCAGGTTGTTAGTAAATTTCATAATTCAGTTCATTTTACACAAATTAGAGCTGTTAACATTTTAGCCAATCCCACATTAAAATACCTGGCACCACGTTCTTTTAACGTGTTATTTTGTACCGGTGATATTATTATTAACCACGAATGCACTCCGTAGTTATCACAGTAGTGTCGTTTTTTTTTTGTTTTTTTTTTACTATATTGATTTTTGTCAGTCAAAGTGCAATTAAGTAAAATCTTATGGCACAAGAGCATGAAAGTATTGAACAGATAATATAATAGCTTTATAATATCAGCACAACCTGTTAGCAGTTTTATGTGGCACAGCACAGGTTACAGTTAGAGTTGGACATTTGTTTTGTTTGTATTATTTTGGCCATTTTTGACACATTATAATTTAGTTTAGCATGCTGCAAGATGTCATGTGTTATACGTACACAATGTGTGTGTCTCACAGTGCATGGACAGAAAAGGGAGAATTGAAAGTGATTTCTTTATTTCACTTTTGAATTGCAGAACAAGTTTGTTATAAGGAAACTATTTTTGTACAAACATCTTTTATTTACCCACAAGGCCCTGTTTCTATAACTACCCTAACTAGGGAAACAAACCAGTAAATGTTCATGGACTATATTCCTTACATTTGAGAATTGTGGGGAGTCAACAAACTTTTAGGACAAAATTACTGAAATGGAAAGATTCTAAGAGTCTCTAATGGAGGGGGCTTCCCTAAATCTGCAGATACCTTCCAATCGCTATTATTGAACCGCCTTGTGGCCTGGTAGTGCTATCTCTCCAGAATGTGGCCTGCAGGAAAAGGAGCACTCGTGGTCAGCCACACCGACCAGAATTTCCCAGTCTGAGAAACTTTGAGACAGTTAATTGAATTTTAAACAGTAAAAAGACAAATAATTGACCCTTTCATTCCTGCCACCTCAAATACAATACCACTCTGTAAAATACACTTTTCCTTCATAATGTTAACTTTTTGTGAGTCACGGCTCTTTCAGTCCCTCAAAGGACCCTTTAGAACCAGTAAAGTCCTACAGTTCCTGTTTAAGATTGTTCATTTGGGGTAACCCTTTATGGTAACCCGATGTTTTTTTTACCACTGTCAATGTTGCATTATTTAACCTTTTATAGGTCTCACTTGTCCTTTTTTCCATTACGTCCGTTGAAGCTGGAAGGGAATCTTTTATTACAAGAGCCCATAGTATGTAGATAAGACTGTTTTTCCTCATCACTCTGTGATCTATATATATATATATATATATATATATATATATATCTGAAATAACCTGATGTTTGTTATCATATGATAAAGTATTTTACAGATAATTTTTACTCCTTTTTCCAAAATATCATATTGGAAGCTAGAAAGATGACTGACAGATTAAAAATATAAAATATAAACCTAAGAACATGAAATTGTGAATACAATACTGTTGAGTGAGGAAATGTGATTAATTAAGGAAAGGTGCCAAGCAGAGTGTGCGCAGGCAGACAGTGATCTCAGATTCCAGCATTGCGGAATCAGAGTGATCTGGAGGGATTCCGAATGCATTATTTATGAGCTATATAAATGCAAAGATTGAAATATATTGTCTCTGAACACCACCAACATTTAACGCGACCATCACAAACATACTCTGAGCCAATCCTCCGATTTTGGGATGTTAGAGTATGTCAGTAGATTAGTTACATATAATATACTTTTGTTTGGTACAGTTGAAGAAGATATGCAAGGTCCCAGACTTTCCACCCAAACGAGTACCAAACTGGATGTCCAAGGTCCAAGAGCAGCGGCGACAGGGACTGGAAACGTACATACGGGTAGGTTGATAAGACCACTTTTGTTCCTCATCAATAAAGTAAATCGGATAACCAAGCTTGAATGTAGTTACATTTTAATTCACTAGAAAGGACCCAGGTTCACCAAGATCAACCTTTCCCCCCCTGTTTCTGCCGTTGATCCAAAGACCAGGGATCCTTTCCACCGTTGGAACATGGTAAATCATTCCTGTCTTCAAAATGGTGTATATCACATATTGATTTATATATATCAACATGAATAAAACAAAAAAAACAATCCACTATAAAGAACACTGTTTTCCTTGTATTACATCATAATATAAGGGAATCTATCCTATTAGCCCTCATAATATAAGGGAATCTATCCTAAACCTCATAATATAAGGGAATCTATCATATTAAACCTCATACTATAAGGGAATCTATCCTATTAAACCTCATAATATAAGGGAATCTATCCTAAACCTCATAATATAAGGGAATCTATCCTATTAGACCTCATAATATAAGGGAATCTATCATATTAAACCTCATAATATAAGGGAATCTATCCTATTAAACCTCATACTATAAGGGAATCTATCCTATTAAACCTCATACTATAAGGGAATCTATCCTATTAAACCTCATACTATAAGGGAATCTATCCTATTAAACCTCATACTATGAGGGAATCTATCATATTAAACCTCATACTATAAGGGAATCTATCATATTAAACCTCATAATATGAGGGAATCTATCATATTAAACCTCATACTATAAGGGAATCTATCATATTAAACCTCATAATATAAGGGAATCTATCCTATTAGACCTCATAATATAAGGGAATCTATCATATTAAACCTCATAATATAAGGGAATCTATCCTATTAGACCTCATAATATAAGGGAATCTATCATATTAAACCTCATAATATAAGGGAATCTATCCTATTAGACCTCATAATATAAGGGAATCTATCATATTAAACCTCATAATATAAGGGAATCTATCCTATTAAACCTCATAATATAAGGGAATCTATCATATTAAACCTCATAATATAAGGGAATCTATCCTATTAAACCTCATAATATAAGGGAATCTATCCTATTAAACCTCATACTATAAGGGAATCTATCATATTAAACCTCATAATATAAGGGAATCTATCCTAAACCTCATAATATAAGGGAATCTATCATATTAAACCTCATAATATAAGGGAATCTATCATATTAAACCTCATAATATAAGGGAATCTATCCTATTAGACCTCATAATATAAGGGAATCTATCATATTAAACCTCATAATATAAGGGAATCTATCCTATTAGACCTCATAATATAAGGGAATCTATCCTATTAGACCTCATAATATAAGGGAATCTATCATATTAGACCTCATAATATAAGGGAATCTATCATATTAAACCTCATAATATAAGGGAATCTATCCTATTAGACCTCATAATATAAGGGAATCTATCCTATTAGCCCTCATAATATAAGGGAATCTATCCTAAACCTCATAATATAAGGGAATCTATCCTATTAGACCTCATAATATAAGGGAATCTATCCTATTAGACCTCATAATATAAGGGAATCTATCCTAAACCTCATAATATAAGGGAATCTATCCTATTAAACCTCATAATATAAGGGAATCTATCCTATTAGACCTCATAATATAAGGGAATCTATCATATTAAACCTCATAATATAAGGGAATCTATCCTAAACCTCATAATATAAGGGAATCTATCCTAAACCTCATAATATAAGGGAATCTATCCTATTAGACCTCATAATATAAGGGAATCTATCCTATTAGACCTCATAATATAAGGGAATCTATCCTATTAAACCTCATAATATAAGGGAATCTATCCTATTAGACCTCATAATATAAGGGAATCTATCCTATTAGACCTCATAATATAAGGGAATCTATCCTAAACCTCATAATATAAGGGAATCTATCCTATTAAACCTCATAATATAAGGGAATCTATCCTAAACCTCATAATATAAGGGAATCTATCCTATTAGACCTCATAATATAAGGGAATCTATCCTATTAAACCTCATAATATAAGGGAATCTATCCTATTAGACCTCATAATATAAGGGAATCTATCCTATTAAACCTCATAATAAGGGAATCTATCCTATTAGACCTCATAATATAAGGGAATCTATCCTATTAAACCTCATAATATAAGGGAATCTATCCTATTAGACCTCATAATATAAGGGAATCTATCCTATTAGACCTCATAATATAAGGGAATCTATCCTATTAGACCTCATAATATAAGGGAATCTATCCTATTAAACCTCATAATATAAGGGAATCTATCCTATTAAACCTCATAATATAAGGGAATCTATCATATTAAACCTCATAATATAAGGGAATCTATCCTATTAAACCTCATAATATAAGGGAATCTATCCTATTAAACCTCATACTATAAGGGAATCTATCCTATTAGACCTCATAATATAAGGGAATCTATCCTATTAAACCTCATAATATAAGGGAATCTATCCTATTAGACCTCATAATATAAGGGAATCTATCCTATTAGACCTCATAATATAAGGGAATCTATCCTATTAGACCTCATAATATAAGGGAATCTATCCTATTAAACCTCATAATATAAGGGAATCTATCCTATTAAACCTCATAATATAAGGGAATCTATCCTATTAGACCTCATAATATAAGGGAATCTATCCTATTAGCCCTCATAATATAAGGGAATCTATCCTAAACCTCATAATATAAGGGAATCTATCCTAAACCTCATAATATAAGGGAATCTGTCCTAAACCTCATAATATAAGGGAATCTATCCTATTAGACCTCATAATAAAAGGGAATCCTTCCTATTTGAAATGATTCTATAGAATCTGTCAGTGGAAACTCACCGTAATCCCCATAACTGTATTATCCTTAAAGCACTGCTGAAGGTGAAATCTTGTTTTTTGTTTTTTTTGTACAGTCCTGTTAATGACTCTGTTGATCCAGGTGTAAGTGGAATGTCTATTCTGTTTTTTTTGTATAGTTCTGTTAATCCAATATATTGCTCTTACAGCAAATGGTGTCCTATAGGTAAAATCTTCATGTGCTTTTTATATATTCGATACATTCTTCCAGTCTCTTAACCCTATAGAATACATACCCTCTCTCCCTACTAATAACTATATATTACACACCAATATTATATACTTTTATTTCTTTTTTAATTTAAATGGTTTACTATTTGTGTTTTGTTTTCATCTAAACACCTCATACTAAGATGAATCCAAATATAACCATACTGTTATTCTTATTAACCCTTTTCTCACTCCAATTTTGTTCACATCACTACCACCATAAGCACACACCTCAAACTGGAACACAAATTATCATACACCATGGCCTGCTCTGTTGCTGTAACTTATCTGCTGAGTGCTGGTGGAGAGTTCTAAAAAAGAGCCCTCCTACTCCCACCTCACAAAATTATAAATTATCCCATTAACTAAATGGCCAAACAAAGATGATGTCCAAATTCCTATTCCTTATGTTACTTGCCATTGCAAATGATGTGGAGTCCAACCCTGGTCCCCCAGCTAATTCTAGTCCTAATCTCCCCACTAAAAAAGGCCTCTCTTTTGTGCACTTCAACATCCGTAGCTTACTCCTTAAACTGGATGTACTGCAAGCCTGGTGTTCCCATTACAAACCAAAAATCAATGGGCTCTCTGAATCATGGTTAACAGCTAAAATACCAGACTGCCATTGCAATACAGGGTATTCATGTTTTAGAAATGACAGAGCAAAGAGAGGAGGAGGCATTGTTATTTATGTTGACAAGTCCTTAAAATTTACTCCTTTACAAACCTATAACTCCCCTTCTGCCTTTGATTACCTTTCTGGCACAATTGAGATCTCTTTCAGTAAAACTATCATTGTTGCTGGAATCTATCGCCCATCTAGCTCTCCGGTGCACTCCCTTTCTGACATTGCCCATCTACTAAGTGAAACTGTAGCTCAAAACCAAAAAAGTGAATTGTTAATATTGAATGGCTGAATCCTAAAAATAATAAATCATGTACGCTAACACAATTAATTTCCTCCCCAACTCGCATTAATATTAAAAGCCAGAACCATACCTTGCTCGATTAGATTCTCTGTCCTGACAGAATTGAGGAGGCGGGCGTTCTTCCTAACAGTTTCAGTGACCACTGTATAGTGTACTGCATACGCCAAATAAAGGCCACTAAATCCAATAAAGGCCACTAAATCACCAGGTGGTGTTTCATAAAATGTAATCTTGAATCCTTTTTAAACGATCTCAAGAACATACCATGGCACAGATTAGGTCTAATACCAGATCTAAACTCTGCAGTTGCATTTTTTCAGTCCGCGCTCTTGCGTGTTTGGAATTTTCATGCCCCTCTGCATAGAGTATGAATAAAAGGGACACACCTGCCCTGGGTTACAGCCAGAGGCGGCTCTCTAATTAGGCGATTTAGGCGGCTGCCTAAGGCCTCGCGCTGTGTGGGGCCTCGCGGCCACCTAAATCGCCTGAGGGCAGACTGACATGTCGGGTCCTCTGTCTATGACCGAGGACCCGACACAGGAGGGGGCCTGGCGGCTTGCCCTTTGTGCCGCCGGGTGCGAGGCCCCTCCTGTCAGTCTGCCCGGGGAGAGAGCCGACCTCAGTCTGCAGCTCCGCCGGGTGAGAGCTGCAGACTGAGGTGTCTCGCGCTCTCCAGCCAATCAGAGCGTTGCCGCGGGTTACCACGGCAACGCTCTGACTGGAGATCGTGAGACATTCTCCATGTGGTCCAGACTGACCCCACTGGACCACCAGGGAAAAAGGTACATTTTGATTCCCCACCCTGCACCCCACCTGTCACCCCCCCTCACCCTGCACCCCACCTGTCACCCCCCCTCACTGCCACCTCACCCTGTCACCCCCCCTCACCCTGCACCCCCACCTGTCACCCCCCCCTCTGCCACCTCACCCTGTCACCCCCTCACCCTGTCACCTCCCCTCACCCAGTCACCTCCCCTGTCACCTCCCCTCACCCTGTCACCTCACCCACTGTCACCCCCCTCACTGCCACCTCACCCCTGTCACCCCTCACCCTGTCACCTCCCCTCACCCAGTCACACCTCCCTCACCCAGTCACCTCACCCTGTCACTCCCCTCACCCTGTCACCTCACCCTGTCACACCCCCCTCCTGCACCTCACCCTGTCACCCCCCGTCACCCTGTCCCTCCCCAGTCACCCAGTCACCTCACCACTCTCCTCCCTCACCCCTGCCACCTCACCCTGTCACCCCCCCTCACTGCCACCTCACCCTGTCACCCCTCCCTCACCCCTGTCACTCCCCTCACCCAGTCCCTCACCTGTCACTCTCCTGTCACCTCTCCTGTCCCTCACCCCCCCCTCACTGCCACCTCACCCTGTCACCCCCCCCCACCCTGCCCCACCTGTCCCTGCCCCTCACTGCCACCTCACCTGTCTCCCCCCCTCACCCTGTCCTCACCTCCCTCACCTGCACTCACCTCACCTGTCACCTCCTCACCCTGTCACCTCACCCCTGTCACCTCACCCTGTCACCCTGCCTGTCACTCCCACTCACCCTGTCACCTCTGTCACTCCCCACCCTGTCACCTCTGTCTCCTCTCACCCTCCTGTCACCTCCCTCCTCACCCAGTGACCTCACCCTGTCACCCCCACTGTCACCCCCCACACTGTCACCTCACCCTGTCACACCTCACCTGCCACCCGGTCACCCTGTCACTCACCCTCACCCTGTCACCTCACCCCTGTCACCCCCTGCCCTCACCTCACCCTGCCACCCCTCACCCTGTCACCTGTCCCCCTCCACCCTGCCACCTCACCCTGTCACCCCCTGCCGCCACCTCACCATGTCACCCCCCCCTCACCCCCTGCCCCCTCCCCTGTCCCCCCCTCACCCTGTAACCTCCTCACCCTGCCACCTCACCCTGTCACCCCCCTCACCCCCTGTCACCCCCGTGCCATCATCTCACCCCTGCCACCCCATCTGTCACCCCCTCACCCCTGCCACCCCACCTGTCACCATCATCTCACCCTGCCACCCCACCTGTCACCCCTCACCCTGCTACTTCACCCCCCCCACTCACCCTGTCACCTCCCCTCACCCAGTGACCTCACCCTGTCACCCCCACTCACCCCTGTCCCCCCCTCACCTGTCCTCACCCTGTCCTCACACTGTCGTCACCTGTCACTTCTCATGCGTTATTCAGCCCAGGAGGTCGGGAGGAGAGGCTCCCATGCCAGCGGAAAGGTAAAGTTTAACCCTTTTTCCCTTTCCAGGCTTGAGGCCGGGAGGAGATGCCCAGTGACCTCACCCTGTCACCCCCACTCACCCTGTCACCCCCCCTCACACTGTCACCTCACCCTGTCACCCCCCCTCATGCGTGCGCATTCAGCCCAGGAGGAGGATCGGAGGAGGAGAGCTCCCCGCCCAGCGCTGGAAAAAGGTAAGTTTAACCCCTTTTTCCCCTTTCCAGAGCCGGGCGGGAGGGGGACCCTGAGGGTGGGGGCATCCTCAGGGCACTATAGTGCCAGGAAAACGAGTATGTTTTCCTGGCACTATAGTGGTCCTTTAATGCCAAAGGCCACAGGCAGTACACAAACATACACATGCTCAGAGAAACATGCATACATATACAAAGATACTCACTGCCAGACACACACTCTCAGGCACACACAGGTAGACAATGCAACGACGTATACAAAGACTAGTTCTCTATATCCAGTACTGCAAGCCCGCCCTTCAATATATCTACAGCTTCTTATACACACACAAGTCAACTGCTGTTTTTTTCCAATAATGGTGTTAGTGGGGGCCTCATGTATAAGTTTCGCCTAAGGCCTCGCCAAGTCTAGAGCCGCCACTGGTTACAGCTGACCTCATTTAAATGTACCACTTTAAAGATTCACTGTGATCAAAGTTCAAGCGTTCTGGCTCCATGAACGATCACTGTACCTACAGACAATTGCGAAATGCATGCACAAATCAAACAAAAATGGCAAAGGCCCAATATTTCTGTGAAAATTTGAACAACCTATCAAACCCAAGAAACTTCTGTAAAATTATAAATAGCATACAAACCCCCACAACCCACTCCCAACCCTCCACTGTCAAAATGGACAACCAAATACTGCAACACCCCCTAGATGAGGCAAATTCCTTTAATCATTATTTTGTTGGCTGTGCTACCACCCTGGTTGCTAAGATAACAAATTACTGTCATTTTCAGACCACAAAAAAAGATGAGGCCCTGCCAAATCTTCAAAATCCTCATATAGAGAAATTCAATTTTAGACCTGTGCCTGTTAGTGTCCTTAATAAACATCTTAATAATTTAAAAACGAAAAACCAGTGTGGACCAGATCTAATCCCAGCAATGTTGCTGAAGCTCAGTGCACCAGCAATTGCTAAACTTTCACTACCCTTATCAATGAATCCCTGGTGTCGGGATACATACCCAAACTTTGGGAGACTGCAAAAGTTGTACCTACCCATAAAACAGTCCTGTTGCTGGCTGCTTTAACGGTCCTGTTAATGACTCTGTGACCATACTTTGGTATCTAAATATCGCCCGATATCATTGCTCCCAGTATTGTCGAAAATCTTGGAAAAATGTGTCCACATGCATAAATGGACAAAGTATCCTTAGCCAACTATACAGAGTGTGGGCTGAAAAGAATAAGAGTGTATCCCCTGAAATAGAGACTATTAGCGTGAACCTTGATTGAGCGATGTGCTTACAATTGCACATATATTGCTACTAATTTAAGTTGTCCGTAATGGGCACAGTCAAATTAATTTAATACCAGGGGCGGTGGGTGATATTGATAACAACCAAGGCAATAGGTTGTAGAAGGTATATAGGAGTATATGGGGAGCAGTATAAGCCGAACTAGTGATATAATCTCAATACTAGTCGGCCAATAATACTCTCCCCCCAATTGAAATACTCCAACTAGTTCTTAATGCAATGAGAGTATAGGAGTACTAGGGGGAAGGTAGAAGGTAAATGGCAATGTAAGCCGAATTAATAATATAGTCAGAATGTTAACCGATAAACCACCTATCACCCCAGTTCACTCCATCTAATCCCCAATGCCACGGTTGATTGAACAGTATACGGAGGGAACGTCGGGGTAATTTATTGGTCCGCCCAGACAGAGCTCAAGAATCTCAACTGCTCATACAAAAGACGAGCATCTAGAGTGCTCTTACTGAGTCCCCATAGTACATCTGTATAAAGAGATCCAAAAGTAACTAAAGGCTTGTTGACAGCAAGCGTCGTCTTAGCATAGCATACTGAGTAGGTCTAAAAGTGCAGGGGAGTATTATGCTAGGTCAATAACTGTAAGGTATAAATGGTCGACTGGTGGCAGCAAAAATCTCCCGCAGCACCCTAGGAAGAAAGTACCTCAGATTCCTACGCGTACGGCTATGACAGCTTGAAACTGCATAATGAGTAGGTCTAATAATGCAAGGGAGTGTTATGCTAGTTCAGTAGCTACAGAACACCCATAGCCGACAGGTGGCAACAAAAATCTCCCTATGAGTAAGGTGCCTCAGGTTTCCAAATGAGCGGCTAGACGGCTAAATAAAAGTAAGAACAACAAGCCCTAGTAGCTCAAAGATAAATTAAATCCCCCAAACCAATTTTCTTAATAAAGTAGATAGTGATCCTAAATAAAATACATATTAGTATCAGTGATGCTCAACGCGCGTTTCGGCATCAGCATGCGCCTTTGTCAAGAGCTAACCTCAGTTAGAAATCTCAATGTATCCATCCTGGTAAAATATTTTATAAATAAATATTACTATTATGATGTGTAAATTTGTTTTATGTTTCAGGGGGTTTTATATTACAATCAGGATGTCCCCAAGGAACTGTTGGATTTTCTGAAGCTCAGACATTTCCATTCAAGCAGAAAGAACTGCAGTCTAGAGTAAGTTTTTATCACGAGTGTGATTGTAAATGACGGTAGTATCCAGCACCCTGCTCTGTCATTAAAACAAAATAACACTGTGTGGGTAAGATACATTGACTGGATGGAAGAAAATTAATACCAGGAGTAGCATCTTTGTTTTAAAAATGATTTTCTTTATATCCATCCGGGTTATAGAAATTCGCTTGGGATTTATTTGGAAATGTGTCGTCATTTCAAGTCCTGGATTTTTCTTTTGTAGTTTTTCTGTGAAGCCTCTTTTCATTGTGATGTGTGTGGCTATAGTTATGTAACTGAAAAGAGACTTGCGTCCATCAAGTTCAGCCTTCCTTACATTGTTTTTTGCTGTTGATCCAAAAGAAGGCAAAAACCCCAGTTTGAAGCACTTTCCAGTTTTGCAACAAACTAGGACAATATTCCTTCTTGACTCCAGAATGACAGTTACATCTTTCACTGGATCAAGAAGCTGTTACCCCCACATGATATCCCTGAATATTATGTTTTTGCAAGTATTCATCTAGTTGCTGTTTAAACATGTGTACAGACTCTGATAAAAAACACCTCTTCAGGCAGAGAATTCCACATCCTTATTGTTCTTACTTTAGAAAAACCTTTCAGTCGCCTTAGACTAAATATTATTATTATAAATCTCCTTTCTTTCAATCTAAATGCATGACCTTGTGTCTTATGTAAAGTCCTGTTTGTGAATATATTTTCACACAGTGGTTTGTATTGGCCTTGGATATATTTTTTAATAATGCTGATGTAGTCCCTGTGAGGTGCCGTTTTTTTTCCAACTAAACAGATTTAAATGAGTTAACCTTTCTTCATAACTAAAATCTTCCATTCCTTTTATTAATTTTGTAGCCCACATCTGCACTTTTCTAACATTATCATAGAACAGGTTCCCAATATTGCACAGCATATTCAAGAAGTGGTCTTTCCATTGATTTATAAATAGGCAAAATTATATTTTCATCCCAAAAATTAATGCCCCTTTTTATACATGACAATATCTTACTGACATTAGCAACTGCTGATCGACATTGTACATTGTTAGTTTGTTGTCTAAAACATTTAGGGTGTCAGTTACTTCTGCATTCTTTACCCCAAAGTGCAAAACTTTGCATTTATCTACATTAAATTTCATCTGCCATATGAGTGGCCAGTCCCCCAGTCTATCTAAATCCCTCTGCAGCAAGCTCACATTGCATTATTTTACAGAGTTTTGTGTTATCCGCAAACACTGAAATGTGGCTTTCAATGTCTTTGTAAAAATAAATATATCTTTTATATAGTAAGATTGTATATCCTTGTTCCCCCCAGATCCCTAACAGACATTACATTGGATAAAACCAGGTATGAAGGCATTCACTGTGTTATACTATCTATTCTCCCGCATAAGTCCATAAAAAAAATATAGATATTTAATGTGTTCTGCCTAATCTGTATATAACTGTATGGTTAGGATTTTTGTTGCTTTCCAATATGTATATAGTGATACTGTTGGGGTGTGGTAAGGAATGGTTTTGGACCAGCTCTCTTACTTGTCATGCAGTGTTCTGTCTTGTAGTTTCTCCTACGTCAACCACCGCCATTTTATTTTCTTTATTTTTGGTGCTTTCCAGATCTCACCCTTATAACCCCATACTGCAGAATATGCATGGTCTCTGAATATGATATTAAAGGGACACTATAGTCACCTGAACAACTTTAGCTTAATGAAACAGTTTTGGTGTATAGAACATGCCCCTGCAGCCTCACTGCTCAATCCTCTGTCATTTAGGAGTTAAATCCCTTTGTTTATGAACCCTAGTCACACCTCCCTGCATGTGACTTGCACAGGCTTCCATAAACACTTCCTGTAAGGAGAGCCCTATTTAGGCTTTCTTTCTTGCAAGTGCTGTTTAATTAAGATTTTATTATCCCCTGCTATGTTAATAGCTTGCTAGACCCTGCAATAGCCTCCTGTATGTGATTAAAGTTCAATTTAGAGATTGAGATACAATTATTTAAGGTAAATTACATCTGTTTGAACGTGAAACCAGTTTTTTTCCATGCAGGCTCTGTCAATCATAGCCAGGGGAGGTGTGGCTAGGGCTGCATAAACAGAAACAAAGTGATTTAACTCCTAAATGACAGTGAATTGAGCAGTGAAATTGCAGGGGAATGATCTATACACTAAAACTGCTTTATTTAGCTAAAGTAATTTAGGTGACTATAGTGTTCCTTTAAACCCAGCAGACTGACCGGGAGGGAGAGATGAGATGAACTACTGTGTGTTTAGTCCTGGCTTTCCCTTTTAGACTGCACAATAATAAGCTAGTCTGGAAAGATTCTCCGATCTTTTTATTAGACTCAGCACTGATATGTGCCCCAAAATCTGTGCCTGGCGGGTATTACCTCACTGTGCCGAACTGTGACTAGCTGATACCCTTAGCTCAATGATTTCGTAATCCAGCAGTCTACATAAAGGCAAAATCACTTTTTCTTGCCTTACCCGCCTGAGAGAGTTTTAGTTCCTAATTCTAGCTTCCTATTTATCCAGTTGCTATAGTAGGCCTCACTTGTGTATATAACACTGAGGCGCAGACAGTGTTATTCAATAAAAAAAGTGAATTGTTAGTAATTCAAAGTGAATCTTTACATGCTATACTGAAATAATCAAACGGTTATGTTTTTTTTAAACCCCTCCCAAAACAAACTGGAGACAAGAATAACCCATGGTTAAAACAGATTCCTCCCCTCCCCATTACAGTCCTACAGTTATACTAACAAATTATTAGCGCCCAGAATTCCGGGGCTATCTTTACTATTGTCTTGTCTTCACGCAATGAGCAATATAGATACAGACACACATTCTCAATTTATTGATTCATTGTTTCTGGACATGACCCCTTATTTGTTTCTTATAAATAAAGATAATTATTTAGCTTGAAATTCTGTAACTCGACTTTTACCTAAACATATTTAGTATACTCCTCACCATCCTACTTTTTTCACAAAAAGGTAGCAACAATTAACTATATGACTGTCTGTGAAATGCCCTTCAAGCTTGGAGCTAGTCAAGTTTGCTGTTGTTGAACATATTCCAACAAAAATTGGCCTATAAATTTAAAAACAGACTGGCTACATACATGTTAAATAAACAATGTACAGTTAAAAAAAAAAATTTAAATAAAACAACAAAGGGAATATGTCTCAATCTTGATATAACGATGGCGCTAACAGCGAAAACATCTCTGGAATACACATTATGATACTCTGCCCATGACAAAGTTGGCACACCACCCTTTTATTTACCCACCTCCTAAGCTATTTTTTTTATTAGCCTGTTTGTATCCACATTTTGTTATCAATGTCCAGGCATATGAAGATTACACTAGAAGTGTTAGGAGACGCAGACAAATGTAATATTTTATTATTTGTTATCGTTTTATTATTCTTACATATATTACTTTGCAGGCCCTGGTAATTGGCCATTTTGTTTTAGTCTATTTAGAATGAATTGTTATATTGGTGACTTTCACAACTATCATTCACATGGTCTAACGTTTAATAAATATATTGCAATTATGGTATCATATTGTGAATCTTCGCCACTCAAAATAAAAGTGAATGTTTAAAGAAAGCAAGGTTTGTCATGCTTACCACTTTCATAGCTCCAGATCTTATTGATGTAATAGAGCAATGAGGAAACTTCGCCACCTAGTGGTTGGTTATATTATTGCATGCCACATACCTTTAGTGCATAAGTCACCTAAGAGGTCTTACTCAATAAATATTGTATAAAAGAAAAAGCCGACATTCCTTTCAATTGCCTTAGCTCCTGAATGTCTTATTTTTACCTTACAATTAATTATTATTTTTTTTAATTCCTTATTTAAAGTGTTTTGTTTAAGTTCCACACAAAATAGATGAACATACAACAAAGTGTTAGCAGTATAGGTTATTACATGCTATTTGAGGCCGGTCCGTGGCGTGGAAATCTGTTCTACAATACGTACATTTGCATTTTAATGTACATTTTTTTTCTTTTCTTTCTCCTGCAGCTCCTGGTTGACACATAAACCCGTGGTGGGATATTATAAAGATCACTACATTCTCCCACCAGATACAGGTAAGGCAGCACTACCGATTGTGAAATCAAAGCTTTATTCAGTTGTATTAGTCGTTTAAAAAAAAAAATGAGGCAGAAGCATATTTTTTGTCCTTTTTTTTTTATGTTTCTCAAACATAATTATTTTCTCCCAGTGGCAAATCATCTGACATTCTATTGATTTCCATGGTGATTGCTACTTATTTAGATTTGATAAATTTTATCATTTTTTTCTACTCTGTTCATTCATTATGTATTTTATTTGTGCTTAAATTTCCTATAAAATGCATTATTAAAGGGACACTATAGTCACCTGAACAACTTTAGCTTAATAAAGCAGTTTTGGTGTATAGAACATGCCCCTGCAGCCTCACTGCTCAATCCTCTGCCATTTAGGAGTTAAATCCCTTTGTTTATGAACCCTAGTCACACCTCCCTGCATGTGACTTGCACAGCCTTCCATAAACACTTCCTGTAAAGAGAGCCCTATTTAGGCTTTCTTTATTGCAAGTTCTGTTTAATTAAGATTTTCTTATCCCATGTTATGTTAATAGCTTGCTAGACCCTGCAAGAGCCTCCTATATGTGATTAAAGTTCAATTTAGAGATTGAGATACAATTATTTAAGGTAAATTACATCTGTTTGAAAGTGAAACCAGTTGTTTTTTTTTTCATGCAGGCGCTGTCAATCATAGCCAGGGGAGGTGTGGCTAGGGCTGCATAAACAGAAACAAAGTGATTTAACTCCTAAATGGCAGTGAATTGAGCAGTGAAATGCAGGGGAATGATCTATACACTAAAACTGCTTTATTTAGCTAAAGTAATTTAGGCTACTATAGTGTTCCTTTAACATGACCTAAAAACACATTGTGTGTGTGTTGGAGAAATTAGTTCTCTAAATAGGCCAACACTTTTATATAACTGCCAGCAATAAAAGTATGAAAAGAGCTTAAAGGTAACCCTAATGTTTTCCTCTTTCTGCCATCTTTCCCCAAAATGTTTTTTTTTTTTTTTTTTAAATAAATCCAAGGTGAATTTCACATTTAAGGCCAAAAGAACCAAATTTCAAACAGCGGACATGGATAATCGTTCCATTTGGGCTATTTTTACATTTGAATTTGTGAGAGTTTATACTTTAGTGAATAATCCGGATAGTAGTACAAAAAGACTACACATACCATGTTAATAGTCTGAAACAGTCTTTGTTTGAGATTGTGATTATGTGTTATACAATTACATCTTCTTGTATCCCAACAGATATAATTGAAAACATGGTTTTAGATGGTGTACTTCGAGGAATCTACCAGCAGGAAGTTCTACCTACATCCAAAAAATGTCTTCCTGCCAGGATTCAAATTTTGGTAACAGAAGAACAAGAACGATGAATGACTTGCCCTTGGAATATCTAACTAGTGGCTTTATCTTACTTTCGAAAACGAGAGAAAAAAATCACAAGATGGGATTGATCTGTTTCTTTTTTGAAGGCCAGAGTTGTTTGAAGAGAGGTTCATTGTCTAAACTACCTTGTTTGAAGAAGACTTTCTGGAATCCTGCAGGAAAAATGTCATGAGAAGTTAGATATTATGAATGTGTTATTTCTAATCTTTGCATGGATTCTCCAGGTCTCGGTGAAAGCCATTGAAAGTGTCCATGAAAAGAACACAGTAAAATTTGTGTCATTCTTGGCATTTGGTCAAATTTGGACGAATGTTTTTTTATACTTTTTCAATTCTCCCAAGGACATAAACCAAAAAGGTTGAATCTACACTTGGAGTTGTGATATATTTGAGCTTTGTAGAACGAAAAAACAAACAAAAAAACTAAAAAACTTCAGAATTCGTTTCCAATTGTTTTGTAATTGCGTTGCATGTATTACAAGCTGAAATCCACATAAAATAATTTGTGTAATGCAGAATGGCATTAAGACAAGAGAGAAAAAAAAAACAGAAGGTAACCACAGGCTCAGAGGTCCTATATGATCTTGGAGGAAAGCCTACACAAGGCTATCTCCACACATGGAGACGTACAGCCACTGCACTCAGTATTACATTCACAGATTACACAAAGGCCCATTTAATGCACATTGGATCAGCTCACTGATTAGTTTTTTTTTTCAATTTGAAATTTTGGTTTTATTAGTGAATCACATTGTTTAGTTTTCGGCGCCTGCCTGCCAGGGTACAAAATAAGAAAAGTGGGGGTTATGCAGGACATTTCGTTACATCATTGGGGTCGAGTACAATTTCAGTGTTACACTTTATCGCCAATACACAATACCTTCTGTTTTTCTAGTGAGCATTGCTGAGCTTTTTATAGGTTGGCTTGGGAATCCTCCAGTTCCCTTCCTGTCAGTGTTTGTGTTTTCGTTGTGATTATGTAATTTGTGCTTGTTGTACGATCCCCTCTATTCGTTACCAAGTCCCCCCCTTTACTTTCCTTCCTTGCCCTTTGTCTCTCTCCCTCCCCCATGTTGACCTGGTTGTGCGCTGAGATAAGTTCTCCATCTCTCCCCCGCTTGACTCGTGTGTTTCCTCTGCCCTATGTGCTTATCTGCCATTTGCTCATATTTCCAGTTGAGAGATGTTTGGGTTAGTAGGGCTTCTCTGGTGGATGTCTGTGTTGACTTCCATACTCTTGCTATAATGGTCACTGCTGATATTAGAAGGTGGAATATCAATCTCTCTTCAGTTTTTCCTAGTGTTGTTGGTATCATGAATAGTATGCATTGTTCTATGTTTATGGGCCAAGTTCTACCCAGCATCTCTGTCGCCACCCTCTCTACCTTTTTCCAGAACGGTTTGATGTTGTTGCATGACCACCATATGTGGCTCATCGAGCCTTCCCTCCCTTTACACCTCCAGCATTTAATTGGTATACCTTTGTGTATCGCAGCTAGTTTCTCTGGTACCATGTACCATCTGTATTGTAGCTTTCGGATAGTGTCTAGGTGGGATGTGCATAGTGTGTTCCCCTTGTGTATTGTGAATGCCCTTTGCCATGTTTCCGCCTCGATATCATGGCCCAGTTCGGTGTGCCATGCTGTTTAAAAAGTCATGGCTGTCCCTGTGTCTAATGTTAGTAGGGAGGTGTACAGTGTTGACAGTGCTTTTTTGGGGGGTCTGCACGCTAGGCACAGTTTTTCAGTGCTGTTCGTATGTGTTGTCTCCTGGCCTTGTAATGTCGTGCCTGTGAGGAGCGACTTCATTTGTAGGTATGTGTACAGTGTTTTATTGGGTATATTGTATAGGGATTGGAGTTCTGGGAAGGGCATCAGTTTGTTTTTTTTGTTTTGTTTTTGTCAATCTTTCTTTTATTGAAGCATATTAGATGGGGTACAGAAACAAAGAGAGGGAAATGCAATAACGGTTTATAATGAAGGGTCAGTACATCTATAGTTTTGGTCATTTACATTTCCTGAGTAATGATGCCTCATTTTTTGTGTAATAGTGTTAATATGTCGTGTAACAGAAGCATGTTTAACATCATAAAGAAAGTTATGTTGGTTGATTAAACGGTTGTTCATTCTTAGGTAACAGTCTAACTGAGTAATACAGGCTGGGTTTAACTGTGAATTGAGATTTAGGTTACATTTAGTTAGTTTAAGTTCTCCTCAAAGCATTTACGACAGTGCGGTATAAAAACTGCCACTGGGGGGGCGTTATGGCCCATATGTGTAGCCTAGAGGTGTCAGAGACGTTTAAGCTAAAGCCCTTGCGTAGTAAAATAAACTGAAACAATCTGTTAAACAGGGCTCTATAGCTGTAAACTTTAAATTATGAATATGACATAAAACAGGTGCTCAATAGTTATTATCTAACCCCTTAGGTCTGTGTGTTCAAATTCAGCCACATGTACAGTTATTTAGGCGTGCTTATGTCCACGTATGGTGTGCCTGGGGCTGTATGAATAGTCCAGGTAGGTTCGTTTAGCCAATGCCCTTGCGTGAGGTCGGTTCGAGCGTTTCCGCCGGTGGTGCCGCTGGGGGTTGCTTCCATGCGTCCCGGGGCTGCGGCCTGTGGGAAGCAGTTGTGGGTGATTGCTTGCTTGTGAGGATGATCGGTGTTGCTGTCCCAGTGTTTGGTCGCTGGGTTAGGTGGAGTCGTGGGTGGTCTTGGTGTTTTACACCCAGTGGGCGCCTCGGTTTTTCCTTTCTCAGGGCATGTATGTGCCATTTGTGCTGTGCTTGGCTGTGGAAGGTTGTTTGCCCATTGGGGGGGGGGAGGGTCTCCGCGGCTGGCCTGGCTTATCTGCCCTCCTGGGGCCTCGTGGGGTCTTTGGTGTGGCGCGCCTGGTAGCAATGGCGGGCCCTGCCACGTGTTTAGTGCTTGGCTTTCGTTTTGACCCGGGGGGCTCCCCTTGTTGATGGCTACCCCCTGTGGGTGGGTGTCTCCGCTGTACCTGTTTGTGGTGGTCGGCTTTGTGTGTGATTTTGCGCCAGAATCTCTGGATCAAGTCATCCAGTCGCTGTTCCAACGATTTGTGCCGCTCATCTGTCTCCTGCTCGAGGGCAGCTGCCGCCATCTTGGTATCCATAGCTTGGTAATGCGTGCAGCGTTAGCTGTCCTGTGGGGATGTTCAGGTGAGTCGAGCTGCTTGATGACCGGGATGACCCCCGCCGGTCGGGGGGGGGGGGAGAGAGAGTTCCTTGCCGCGGCACCTGTTACAGCTAATGCCCCGGAGAGCGGCCGTCTCTCCGTGGTCCGTTCTCAGGTAGGCCGCAAGCCTCGTCGTGTCAGAACGGCTGTGCAGGGGGTCGTGAGAGGCACCGTTTTAGTCGGTAGCCCCTCCTGACACGAGGTATGGTGTGCAGTAGTCTGTGGGGTGTAGTGTTCGGGCGCTGTACCCCGGTTTTCCCCTCCAGACGCGGGAGCTCTGGCGAGGCACGTCTGGACTGCTTGCCTGCTTGGCTCCGCCCCCCGGGCATCAGTTTGTTGTCCTTGTATAAGTGTTTAATCGTGGTGCAGCCCTGCTCTTCCCATGGTTTCGTGTCTAGGGATGGGATGCCCACTTTGAGGCATGTGATTGGTGCGTCCGGACGTATTTCTCCTTGTTCCTTCCCTCCTCCCCTTTCTTTGTCCCAGTGTTTTAGTGTCAAGGTAGTGGTTGGTAGGGGGTGTATATGTTGTGAGCGCATGGATTTCGGGAGCCAAAAGAGGTCCCTCAGGTCTCGTTTATTTATCCAGTATGCCTCTATTTGGGTCCATTGTGGTGTTTCCCCCTCTGCTGTAGCTGCTTTGACTGTCGCTAGCTGTGCTGCTTTGTAATAGTCTCTTATGCTTGGTAGGCTCAGTCCCCCCCTCGTGGTGGGTTGTTGCAGTATGCTGGATGCCACCCTTGTTTTTTTGTTGGCCCATACGAATCGAGTAATTAATCTTTGTATTGTGGCCAGGTGCGTATTTGTTAGTGTTATGGGTAGAGTGCGTAACAGATATTGGAATTTTGGGAGTAGCATCATTTTCACTGCTGCTATCCTCCCCACCCATGACAAATATTTCCCTTCCCATGATCTTAGTGTGGCGGCCATGGCTTTTGTGAGTGCAGTGTAGTTTTTTTCCAATAGGTTGTTTGAGTTGGGTGGGATTTTGATACCTAAGTATGTTAAGTGGTCAGTTCAGTGATGATGTGGGCTGTTAGATTCTCAGTGGGTAGTTGTTGCATGCATGTGGCTTCATTGAACGCCCTTGCCAGGTGTGGTGTTAGTATTTCATGAAACTTTTTGTAGTAGCTGTTTGCAAAGCCGTCAGGGCCCGGGATTTACCTATTGGTAGGTTTAGGATAGCTTCCTTTACTTCTTTGTGTGTTATGGGGGCGGTGAGTTCCTGCTGTTGTAGCTGTGTGAGGGGTATTGTATTTAAATAGTCTTGTATTTCTTGGGAGCATGGTTGGTGTGTTTGTGTGTCGTTAGGTTGTATAACGACGTGTAATATTTTGCAAAAATGTTACTTATATCTTTGGGTGCTGTGACTTTGTGCCCCGTGTGGAGGTATGCGATCTTTTGGTTGGTTTGTTGCCTTGGGAGTATTGAGTCGCTTTGAGTCTATGTAGCTGGAGTCCTGTTTTTTCTAGGGCCTGTTTATGTATATCTTGGGTGATTTGTAGTATGCGGTTTTTCAGTTCCTGTGTTGGGGCCCGTTGGTTTGGGCCGTTAAGCCCTGGAGTTCATGTTGCCATGCCCTTATTTGTGCTTGCTTTTTTAGATGAGCTGCTCTCTGTATCAGCATACCCCTCACTACTGTTTTGTGCGCCTGCCATATGGTGTTGTGTGACATGCGGTCTGTAGCCATCTCAGTAAAGTAGCACTCAAGTTCTGTTTCTACTGATTTTGTGAATGTTGGGTCTGTGAGCAAGGAGTCATTTAGTCTCCACGGACTCTTATGTGCAGATTCATATAGGTCAGCTAGAGTTGTCACTACTGGGGCGTGGTCTGACCAGGTAATCTGTTCTATGGTGCAAGCTCTAATCTTTTCCACATGATGGCCAGTTATTAGTATTCCATCTATCCTAGAGTAGGAGCTATGCGCTGTGTAGAAGAAAGTATATCCTCTCTCCCCCACATGTGTTGCTCTCCATACATCGTAGTAATGGTGTTCATGTAGTAGTTTGTTTATCGCTTTGGACTGTCTCGAGTGGCCTCATCCTAGCTGCGGTGTGCACTGTTGAGGTGTCTATCGTGGGGTCTAGTACGTGGTTAAAATCCCCACATATAACTTCTATTCCTCTTTTTACGGGCTCTATTTTAAGTACATGGTGTAGGAAGTTCCTTTGTTCCGTGTTGGGGGCATATACATTTGTAAAAGTATATTCTACGTCATTAAAGGTCCCCCTTACTATGACATATCTCCCCTCCTTGTCTATTTCCAGGTGTGAGAGGTTGCACGCTATGTCTTTGCTAATGAGTATGGAAGCGCCTTTGGATTTGCTTGTGTTGGTGGCGTGATTATTGGTGCGGGTAATCCCGTGGCAGCAGGGGCGAGTGGACATTGGTCTTAAAGTGGGTTTCCTGGAGGCAAATTACGTCTGGTTTGTGTTTGATCAGGTCTTTACGGAGTAGGCTCCGTTTTGATGGGTGGTTGAGCCCCGTTGTGTTGTGTGTGTATATATTTTCATAGGGGATTATACATCATAAGTGTGCGTGATAGTGTCGCTAGTCCTCTGACGTTCGGGGGCGCCTCCCTATTGGGGGTGGGTTTTGGGTTAGAGCTCCCAGGCGGGCAGCCTGTACCAACTTTGGTTGTTTGCTGAGTTAGTGTAACCATAGTGTACAAGGTGATTCACATAAATTTAACATAGTAAAATAAACAATCCAACATTTAACTAAACATTTTGCCTTGTGTGGGGCCTGGCGCCAGTGATAGGTGCACCGGGGTAGGAAGCGGCTTGCTTCCATGCCTGTGCATCTTGGTCTTAGCTATTTCGTGCCCATATTCTTTCTCCCCCCTCTAGTTACCTTTTTTTGGTTTTAGTTAGCCATTTTCACTGATTAGTTTTAAGCATCTAAAGTACTCCCTTCAATTTTTAAATTACAAAAGCCACTAAAGTTGGCCGAAATTGGTGGTCATATAAACATAGGTAAAGCCTCTACACTAAATAGCCAGAGTTACTTTTGCAACAAGTATGCTGTAATGGGAGTAAAGTACAGGTGGGTGCTCTTATTTTGTCCCAGTACATACACCAACCATCCAGCTTGCATAGATTTAACTTTTTAACCTTAATGTATTCCTTGCTAAGCTTTGTATAACGTACGGAAAAAATACAATCTTAGACACGAGCCATTTTAACAATTAGGACTACGTGAATGTAAATTTTCATTAGTTGCAAAACTTGGGTGTAAACACACACAACCAAAAATATACCCAGACGGCTTTGGTCCTGTACACCTTTTAATATACAAAAAATAAAAATTCTATAAATGTCAGATATACCATCTGCTTGTTAACATTATGGGTATCATACACATACATAGGCTCCTTTTATTCAAGGTCTTCCTAATCTCTCCACAACAGCAGCTATTCCCCTACACAGAGATGGTCCTAATGGATGACCTCCAGCTAATCCAAGAGAAGCATTGGAGCACTATGGAGAATGGGGTGCAATCGCTGTGCTCCACTTGATACTTAAAGCAGCACTGTCATGCCGAACCTACCTGTCCCCAATCGCTTCCTCTCAGGATCAGTTCTTTTCTTACTGTCTGCTTTAGTTTTCTTTAAAACATAAGATAAAGTAGAGACTACTTTATCTTATGGAGGTTTCCTACGCTTGACCAGCTTTGACTCACTTCTAGCGGTCAAAGGAATTTTCTCACAATACTCACCTGATCTCGCAATGCCGCCTTTCACTATTCCCCAGCGTCCTGTCATATAAATAGTATGCTGGCGAAACTACAGAATTCCGTCCTAATAGAATGAAGTTTGTTCATTTGTGTTAGAATGGCATTCTGTAGTTTCTATTAGAATTATTGCGATCCTATTCGTGCGGCGGCTGTTTCTTCCTTAGTAAATAGCTCCCTAATTCCCACAGTATTAGGGTGCTTATATCTCAAAAGGCTGAAAGACCAAAACTGGTATTTCAGACAACTTTACTAATACGAAGTAAAAATTACTTAGTATTCGTAATTAATCTGCCCCTATGCGCTAGGCTGCGAGTAGGAGCAGGTCTACTAAACAGTGAGCAGAGGGGTACCTATAACAATTAACAGGGGGACGGGACAGTGTTCTTTAGAATTTTCCCATGCTGTGTAAAATTACTCAGCGCTGATTGGTTGGATTCTAAGCCAACCAATAAGAGTGCTCTGATAGGTTGGCTTTTATTTTCAGTTAGGGGACAAAGCTTAAGACTCACAGGTCCCTTAAAATATCAAGAAGGGACACACAGGTCTCAGTACATATATTTCAAGTGCGTGTAACCGTGTTTCAATATCAGGTATGGTAAGCAACTGCATCATGTAAGGTAAAATGGTGTGACCCCAGCTGCTCAGCTCTCGGTTGGGTGTGTGTTTTACAGGTTAGGCAGACGAATGTGCCTCAGTGTGGTCACTCCCTAGGCCACACCCCCTCAAAGAAGAGGATGGAAGAGAAGGAGGTCATGCTGCAGTTGTATCATTAAATATAAACTGGAGAGTATGGGGCATGGGGTCCGATTCCTGACAATTGTTCAAATGGTGTGAGGTCTCTAGATATCAGGGCGTTGTGGTACTGCGGTGACAGTTCTTGATTTGAGTGTATCTGACATCAGTCATGAAGGTGGGGGTAGGTGTGCCTGTGAATGTTTGCAGGGGCAGGATTTTCCTATTATTAGTAATGTCTCGGATTCGGGGTATTTGTGGAAGTATGCAGCAACGGTTTTCAGGTCTTATCCTCAGGTCAAAGTCTGGGTTGTACATCAAGGGCAATAATGGGGACAGGAAGGATTAATTTACTCGCTTGTGAGTGCCATGTAGACATAGTGGCTGTAATAAACAGTTGTTGGGAAACCAGTTGCCTGCTTACAGCGGGATCAAGCCATAGGAGGGCAGAGAGTGGCCTGCCTGATGAGCTTCGATGGCCTTCCAGGGTTTATGTACCCAGTGGCATACCTACCATGATCACAGCTGCGACCAGGCCGCTCACTGTAGGGGGCCCGGCAGCAGCCACGACTGGGCTGCCTAGATGCCGCCACCTCCGTGTTCCCACTGCTGGCCACCTAATGGGACCCCCCAGCAGGCAGCAGAGTTCCTGTCAGATGCGGCGAGGAAGTGGTGTTCTCTGCTCTGCTCCCTCGCTGTTTGCTGATGCCAGAAGATGACGTCATATTCCGGCTCCTGGCATCAAGAGACCGCCCACAAGGGAGCAGAGAGAACAGTTCCCTCGCCGCATCTGACAGGAACTCTGCCACCCGCCACACTGAAGCCCCACTGGACCCCAAGGACAGCTCCCTGCCAGCTCTCCAGGAAGGGAGGCTGGGTGGACATTTAATATTTGTGCGCGCACCTGTAAGTACATGCATGTCTCAGTGTCTAAGAGTGTGTGTATGTACATATGTGTCTACTTATGGGTATCTGTTTGTCTGCATGTTTAGGGAAGGGAGAACGGGCCATGTGGGGTAGGAGGTAGATGTACAGGGGCCCCAGGACCCCGTGGTTTCTAGTTAAACCTCTGTATTTACCCCCTCTTTAGCCCATTCTAAAGTCCATTGCATAAAGCATGCCAAGTAGTATAGTTTGAGATATCTTGCCTTTGAAAGGGGAAGCTTTGTTGGATCTGGTCTGCCCTCTCCAGAGGGGTGGCAATATGGATTATAGAGGATTTGGCATAATTGATCTTCAGGCTTGAGATTTGGCTACCCCTCTCCCCATACACAAACTTTGCCTGCTGGCAGATAGGACCTCTGGACACTGGAGGGCTCTGGCCGTGGAGTACCTTTAGTCCAGAGGAGACACCACTAGGCACATACACTGAAGGCGAGAAGGGACGCAGATCGTAAAAAACAAAAACAAAAACGCCTCCACTCACCCCGAAGACAGCGGGATATAGGGCAAATGCTCCAAACTCCTAATGTGCCGCAGGCCCCGAGTCCCCAAGAGGTCTCCCCACAAGACAGCCCCTTACAGAGCCCCAAACCTCAAGAGCTCCCACAGGACTGTACAGCAGCTTCAAAAAGCGACATACAGGCGATGCTAACAGGCCTACAGCACAGACTCAGGCAAACGTGGGAAGCAGACCTAGCAGTACTAGCCACCAAAGTGCAAGCGGTGACCACATGCACCTAAGAAGGATGTCAAAGACCTAAGGCAGGACCTAAACACCTTGGGAACAGTGTAAGACTACTGCTAGCCACTCAGGCAAGCCAAAATACTTGATGACAGGGGCAGACACAAGAACATCAAGATGAGAGGTCTGGGAGTCCATACCACTAGAAGAACTATCCCACATTATCAGACGCCTAGTGGCGGCAGTACTGCCAACGAGACAAGCCAAAGCCTTTTCATTCTACAGGATCTCTAAATTCCCACAAGCCCCATGGGACCTTATCTTTCGGTGCCAAACGAAGACAGACCAGCTGGGACTGCTGGCTGCTTTAAAGGAAAAAAAAAAAAAAACACCCTTTGAATGTTAATCGTGCCAACTCAAATTTTTTCAGGACTTAAGCAGGGCTACACTACTGAGGCGCAAGAACATGCAATCAATTACTAGACACTACAAGCTTACAAATGGGCAACACCTGGGGCAATATGGGTGACAAAAGAAGGCCAACACTATAAAGCCACTTATCCAAGAGAAGCCCCAGCTTTGCTGGCAGCATTGGGACTCCCAACAACTAATCCGCAACCACAGCTCCCACCAGACCTGGGGTAATGGGAGGAGCCATGACCAGAGCCAACGCTCAGCTACGATCTGCTGTGACACTCCATTCACCAACTCCGTTTAAGTTACTTGTATATTAGGCTTTGTTTTTTGCCAATTTTAATGATGTAATTGCTAAATATTGCATTGCAGCACACAAGCTTCAATGCTCCAACCAAATAGCGACACCATCGCCAAGATGGCTCATCTAGGCCTTGCGACCCACTAACACCCCTACCTTGACTAGACCACCACTAATATACAAACAGACTACACCACACATTTCCTAGTCCAGTTTAATGTAGGCATCATTCTCTAGCACACACCACTCCACAAACCAAAATGATATTTGCCATGCCAACCGAAGTACCCTCTACTAACCAGAGGACTGGCAACTGCACACTACCTTCCAACGGCACAACTAAAATAGGACTATACAGACCGTACTTACAAAATTCTCATGACAAAACATACTCGCCACTAATCCCAAAGGTCAAGGAACACCTACGACCGTGTCACCACATCCAGGCCTCTAGATCTCCAAGGCCACAAGTTCACAGACTGTGGTGCTGTGAAAACACACGAGTGGTCCACTCTCTCCCAAGTTCAACCCACATCCCTCGTAACTTCTCAGCTCATTTAATCCACAAAAGATACAAACTGTAAATAAATAAATGACGCCTTGCATTATCTATGTTATATTATTCTGTAACGTCATTAGTGTCGTATGTCTTTGCCTTGCTCGCATGAAAAAAAAAAAAAATTCTGACTTGAAACCGAAGAATTATATATTATAAAACTAAAGAAAAAAACAAAAAAACAAAATAAACCCTTTAAAAGAAGAGAACAAATTTAAATAAAGTCAGTTGAAATTGACAAAAAAAAAAATAATGAATGTTAATGGACGAAACAGTGCCATCCTAAGTGCAATCAAGATCTCTGGTAGTGGGACCAGTCTCAAATTTCTACCACATAATTTTGCACCAAATGATTACAGAAAAAAAAAAAAAAAATTAAAGTATTGGTTGTTAAAACAATTTAAAAAAAATAAAAATGGATTGACAACCTAACACCATTAAACTTGGTCTGGGTCCTTGTCCAAAGGAAAGGAAAAAAAAAAAAAAAGTTAAGATAATTACTTAGAACCCAATTATTATAGAATACAAAAAAAAAAAAAAAAAAAAAAAAGTAATTTTATAGAAACGGTTTATTAACCCAATCTTACATAGCATAGTTGCTTGTCCAAATTGAACACATTAAACATTGAAAAGGGATGGAATGTGTAAATCCATTTTTTGCTCTTGATCGATGGGATTGGAAATGCCCTTATTTTGGTCACTGTTCTAGGTAGAATAACTGCAGAGTTAGATCAGTCCAGGCCTGATGCAGTAGGCAGTGGGAGGAGATGGCTTTAGAAAAGCCCTTGAGTTTTTAATTGATCCAGTTGTACAAGCTGCAGACAATCAGGGCCTTTGTTGGCTGCAAAAGAACAGCGTTTACTCTTTGGCAATTGCATATGGCTTCTCCACCTCAATTACCCCACAGTCTGCAATAACCACATCTTTTAGAGGTTTGTCTCGACCGTCTGTCTTTGTGGATTCAATCTTTCTTACAACATCCTGCATGATAAACAAAAAAAAAAAAGAGTAAAATCAGACCTTTCAGAGCATTCCTACTGATTAGATGCATATTTCAAACACTTGTCCCCAAATGCAACGAGAAGGATATGGATACAACACTGCTTTAATTTAACCAGCTTTGTAAGTTCTGAATAAATCTCTTTGCTGGAGTACATAATTTTAGATATACTGTTAGAGAGGAGAGATCAAGAGAATCATCCTATTTGTTCATCCTAAATGCCCCATTCCGTACCTAACAAACAACCTCCCAAGCAATCCAAAGCCTTGCCACTGTTGTGACCATATTCCAGGAGAGACAGATGTTTGAGAGCGGTCGCATGAAATTATACCCCAAATCAGACAAAACCTTAAACGAGGTGGTGATTGAACCTCATATGGACGATCAGGGGGCTTTTTGGACAGAGTAGCTGAGAGGGTGCACTATACCTTAGTTTGTGGGACCACCAAGTTCCGTGGGGTCTGAGGCCCCCAGTCTTTCTACACCTTTGGTCACACTCAGCGGGTGGGAGACCATTTTCACTCCCAGACAGAGGTGCCAGTGAGGGATTATGCCTTAGTTTGGTTAATCACCCCCTGGAGAGTGAATACACACGTCACTGCATAAATATGGTGCCCCTATCGCAATAAAGTGGGCTTTTTTTTTTTTTTTTTTAATCTTCAAGTCTCAACTGATGTATGGGTACTCTGCCAGTCTTCCTCCCTCTAACGGCTATGATGTCAAGAGTGATTATAGCAGAGATACCCGGAGCTCTACTACACTATATATAGCAGAGAGTGTATTAGGGAAAGAAAGTACAATTCTTTATCTTGATTTTGTTATAAAATAAACCCCATTCTTCCAAATTAATACACTGGTTTGGGAGAGAGGAGTTAAAAAGGAAGTCTAAGTAAAACAACCATTACATACCAATATAGTGCCATCAGGCAAAAGGGAATGTCAAATAGTTATTGGGACCTCAAGGACCCTGTGGATGCGTTAACATGTTTTGACCAAGAACTGGGGGACATGCACACAGTCTAATGGAACCATTGCCACTATATCAGAATGTAGTAGTTATTGTGCCTAAACCGCTCATTTAATTGATGCCAATGCATAACAGGGCTACAAAAAATGCCCCCTTGCCCCCACACAAATAAATGCTCAAATCCTCCCCCCTCCCCCCCAAAAAAAACCACCATAAATAAAACCAATCAGCATAATTATACACAACTAAGTTGCAGTAAGGCATTGTGACAAACCTCTCCTTCCAGGATTTTCCCAAAGACCACGTGCTTTCCATCCAGCCATGGAGTCTTGACTGTAGTGATGAAGAACTGGGAACCGTTGGTGTCTTTGCCAGCGTTGGCCATGCTTACCCAGAAAGGACCATAGTGCTTCAGCTTAAAGTTTTCATCAGGGAACCTATCTCCATAGATGCTCTTGCCTGTTAAAGAGAAAGCATGTCACATATGGTCACGATGCAACTGGTTAGCAAACTCTTGTAATAATTCTACTTTGAGGTGTTTCAAGGAGATCTTGATATAGAGATATGCATATATATTTACTTTTAATCTTTAATACAAATATCAGTGGCTTATGGTTTAGAATTAGACATAAGAAAAAAAATGCCAATATGTAAAAGTAGTTAAGGTAAAAACACAAAAATACAGTTGCTACCCTGAACAGGAGTAAGGTCTTTCAGAAAAGTTAGAACTGATCTGAGTGCACTTAGTTTAAACATTAATATGTAGTTTATCAAAGATAATTCCTTATAGCAGGCATGTAAGTAAGCAGACCGAGCACAGTATATAAAATATTAATGTTTTCTAAGTGGGCCAAGCAGTTACACTATGGAAAGGAAATAAACTATTACAGCAATGATCCATAATAAGTCATGCCATCAGAAAACCCCAAACACGTGAACAGTTATTGTGGACTTCTTGCTTGGCAGAGCTTTTCTCTCCTTTTTTAAAGATATGCTGATTGGGGCTCGTGAAAGCTGGTTACTTTTACAGGATGAAAAGGAGTACTGGATTGAAACCCTGTGTTACAATGAAATAGGGCACAAGGTCACGTATTTGGACTGGAAGAGATTTAGGCCATGGCAAATGAAAGATTTTTTTTTTTTTTTACAGAGTTCATTACATTAAAGTCTGTACGGATGTTTAAACAGCAACTGGCTGAATACTTGCAAAACATAGTATTCAGAGAAATACATTTTAAATTTGTGGTAATGTCTTCTTGATCAAAGGAGAGATCAGATTGCCATTCTGGGGCTGAGAAGGAATTTCCTAGTATGTTGTAAGTGATGCAAACTTTTTTTCCTTCTTTCCCATTTAATTTAAAGGGACACTCTAGTGCCAGGAAAACAATCAGTTTTCCTGGCACTGCAGGTCCCCTCTCCCTCCCACCTCCCAATCCCCGGTTGCTGAAGAGGTGAAACCCCCTTCAGTCACTTACCTGAGACCCCCACTGATGTCCCTCGGCAGTGGTTTTGGGTCGCCGCCGCTCCTCCTCACGTCGGACGGTGGGCGAGACTTATCCCACCCGCGTAGACCTAATGGGCATGCAAGCTCTCCATAGGAAAGCATTGAAAATGCTTTTCAATGCTTTCCTATGGGGAACTGAGCGACGCTGGAGGTCCTCACACAGCGTGAGGACGTCCAGCGATGCTATAGCACAGGTTTTCTGTGCTATGGACCAGGAAGTGCCCTCTAGAGGCTGTCTAGCAGACAACCACTAGAGGTTGAGTTAACCCTGCAAGGTAATTATAGCACTATAAAAATAAAATAAAAAAAAAATGCAATAATTACACTTGGAGGGTTAAGGGTAGTGGTCTGGGTGCCTGGAGTGTCCCTTTAAGATTGTCCGGTCACCTACACAGACACTCACGAATTGTTAGTTATTTTTAAAAATTTTAATAAGTCCACCCAGCCTCCCTTCCTTCAGTGGAGCTGATACGATCCTGTTATCTCCAAGCTCTTCTTGCTCAGATCTCTAGCACACCGTTTAGCAATGCCAGAGACAGTGTGATGTCATATCCCGGCTCCCAGCATTACTGCAAGATGCATGAGAGAGCAGATCAGGAAGATTACAGCTCCCTCGCTGCCCACACCTACTGCTCAGGGGACCTAAGTTGGCCAGTGCCGAACAGGTTGTTAAACACCCAGGACAAAATTCCTAGTTGCCATGATCTCTAGGATTAGTCAAACCCTGAATTATAAAAAATGAAGTGAACATCCCCCCACAAACCTTCCATATGCTAATGAAGCATTTATTCTGATAAAGCCAAACAGCCCTCAACTATATAAACACACACGATAAAAGACTCACCTCCAGTACCATCTCCCCTTGTGAAGTCACCTCCTTGGATCATGAAATCTTTGATCACGCGGTGGAATTTGCTGTTTTTATAACCATATCCTTTCTGAAAGACAAGAGGCAACTTTGTTAATACAATGACACACCTATATAAATTCTCAATACATCAAAGCCATATTCTAGAGACCAGGAAGGAGGGCGGCTCAGCACAGTGTGCACTACAGGACATATTCTGCTGGAATTTAGCTGAATTCCTAAAAATAATATCAGGTTTCTAACCTATATGCAAAGCATTGGACTAAGTGCTGCCTCTAATTTGGCAACTTAAACATTGCTGTTGGACCCCAATATTCTAATCTACAAAATCGAACACTCTTTTTGTTTTAACATAAAGATAACTTTCTAAAACTCACAAAACGAAGAGTAAGGATAATTTATGAAAATAAGCTAAAACGTATTTAAAAAATAAAATGTATATGTAGAAAGCTTAAAAACCACATAACTACATAGTTTAATATTTATCACCAATCACCATGCATTTTACCTGCTTGTTTTGAATTGCTTACACATTTACATTGTTATTTACCAATATGTGGATGGTTGGGAATTCATTAGATTTCAAACTTAAGGCCAAATTATCTAAATAGGAAAACTTCTCCAAGTCCGATATGCTTCCAGTATGGGTATTTTGGTCTACAGTTAGAAGTTCATTTTGAATTCCCAACAAATCTCACTTTGGTAGATAACCGTCATTGATATTCACTAGATTGAAATGTGTTGTGTTGACAGAGGAATTGCAAGTTTTTGAACCAGACAGCCTAATGTGAAGAATTCTTCAGTTCAGCCATGTTTCCCATAGGAGTTGCAATCCTCTTGGTCACCTACGCGATTTACATTTAGTGAATAACACCAAATGGTATCAGACTGTGCCAAATCTCTATACCAAATGTAGAGACTGTCAGAATTGCTGTTACTGGTACTTTTAGTTACCTTTAACTGGTAACAATGACTGCAGAACAAGTTAATGCTCTGTTGATAATGCAGAATTAAAAGTGCAACTCACCTCTCCTGTTGCCAGAGCGGCAAAGTTTTCAACAGTTTTGGGAACAGTTTTTCCAAATAGACCAATTACGATCCGTCCTACCGCCTCATCGCCAACTTTCATATCAAAATAAACCTTAGGAGGAGAGAACACAAAAGTAAAAAAAAAGATGTAGGATAAAAAAAAAAAATACCCAAAACAATATATACACACACACACTAAGTTTTTTTTTTTTTTTAAATGGGCAATCCTACATCATGACAAGAAAATTGAAAAGATTATCTTTAGAATTGTAATCTTCTACCCAGAATTTTGCAAGCTACAGCTATTTTTAAATGTTTGCAGCAATAAGTCTGCCACTCTTTCCCACTAAGTGTGGAAGAAAGTCATGCTTCCTGCTCTGCTCTCAAAATATTTGAATTGAGTACATATGCCAGTCAATTCCCAATCTCTCCTATAGGACCTGAGCAAACCCAAGGAATCCATGTGAAGAGGAACAGATGTGCACAGCCATGTTTTTACAAACTGAAGGGAGTTTTCAAACTGCAAAAAAAAAAAAGCGTGCAGCTGGGTTGAAACAAAGGTCCCATAAATCCATGATGAACTGGAGTTTGTGTAATAAGAAATCTTAGATCTGAACAGGAGTCGGATTGGTGTGGCCTCTTCTAGGCAGAGCCTTAAAAAGGGAGAGAAAAGCTCTGCTTATAACTACAAGAACTAGAAAATGCTTTAAAAAAGGGCCACTTTTAGCATGGAGCACAAATTTAAAGTTAAGATAGTTCAGGCTTTATTATTTTGAGGGTTTGGTTCTATGGTTTAGTCTCAGAAAGTTAGCTTTCACTGTAAATGCATACGGATAAGAGTGTAGAAAACCAAAGAACATGTTTGAACATGATTCAAGTAAAGCATTGTCTGAACCTTCTTATGTTCAAAGACTTGTCCAGCTATGGGAATGAGCAGCAGATGGGTCTCAGCTGGTAGAGATCTTGGAATGGTTACAGCGTATTTCAATAGTTCACTACCAAGCAAAATTAACTGGGAACGGTCCTTAAAAGTCTAAAGAATTCATACCTTAACGTGCACTTAAGAAGCCATAATTAATTTGCAAGTTTATTCACTAAATGGGAATAGCGAAGAACAAACTTAGGAAATTAGACGGGGAAAGCCCTTCTCTCCTCTGCAGAGTCTGCCCCAGGCACCAGAGCCTCCTCCCCCATCATCCTGCATCAGGGTAAGCACCAACTGTACCTTGTTCCCCTCTACAAGACATTACCCTACTTTGGACAGTAGTCTATTAAAGCACCAGTGACCACATTACATTACACTCTAAATAGAGTGTCAGGAGGTTTCAATCCTGATGTCTGGAATACATTGCATGTATTAAACTAGAACCATGGTTCGTGTTGAAACTAATTTTGACTCAACACCAATTTCTTTATCAATGCTTGACTCTTGCATTAAAGATCAAACCACAGGTATGGCTGCGCTACAGCTTTGCAGTATGGACACCACAGCAGTTAGGATGATCTCAGATACATGACTGGCAGGGAGGCCCTGACCATCCTTTATACCAACCCACAATGCTACCGCCCAACTCCAGGGACCCTGCCCCATGTGCCCAACTCCCAACTCCAGGGACCTGCCTCATGCAGTACCAGCACCCCTCTAAGGCTCATACTGTTTGCCCTGCAGGTTCCCTGCTCCCTTTCTGCATTATCTGCCCCCAGACCATTCCCCCGCAATGCCCCTCTCTGCATTATCTGGCCCCAGACCATTCCCCCGCAGTGCCCCTCTCTGCATTATCTGCCCCCAGACCATTCCCCCGCAATGCCCCTCTCTGCATTATCTGCCCCCAGACCATTCCCCCACAATGCCCCTCTCTGCATTAATGCCCCTCTCTGCATTATCTGCCCCCAGACCATTCCCCCACAATGCCCCTCTCTGCATTATGTGGCCCCAGACCATTCCCCCACAATGCCCCTCTCTGCATTATCTGGCCCCAGACCATTTCTCTGACCCACAATGCCCCGCTCCCGGTCTCCTCTGACCCACAATGCCCCGCTCCCGGTCTCCTCTGACCCACAATGCCCCGCTCCCGGTCTCCTCTGACCCACAATGCCCCGCTCCCGGTCTCCGTACCTTGGCGGTGACCTTCGGTCCCTTCTTCTTCTCGTCGGCCTCGGAGCCCCCGGGGAAGAGCAGGAAGATGATGGAGCCAGCGATCAGGGCGGCAGCGAATAGCAGCTTCATGTTTCTCTCCAGCAGCCGCAGCATGAACGAGGGCGAGCGGGGCCGGGGACAGGCAGAAAAGGAGGACCACCGCCGTGACGTCACGGCCGAACTCAGACCGTACCACTCCGCGGGGAGGGGCGCGCAAGCGGATACCCACTCATTAACGGCTTAAATCCACGGGCGCATTCTCAAAGGTCATGTTTGGATTGAATAACATTCACCGAGCGGGACTTTATGTAATGAAATGCTTTAATTACAAGGTCGGTATAATAATGGCCCCACCCCCTGATCGGAATGGATTAGCCCCTGCAAGTGACAGGCCCGTTGGACTGGACCACTTCAAAAATCTGATGGGGGTGGACACTCATTTCCACAGCACGTTTGCAAATGACTAAATACTAGTGCCTGGCTCCAGCAATGCACAGAGCGATTTGCAAGCATATTCAAGGTTTGTTTTCAGTGAAATAAAATAGATTTTATGGTTATGAGGCATTGCCGCCGGTGGCAGGACTGTACCATGTTCGCGGTCTCCCCCCTCAGAGCTGTACAACCGAGTGCCACGTTATGATTTCGGTATTGGATTTCCAAACCGCCAATCACAAGTGGACATGCCAGACTAGCCGTCCAATCAGGAGTTGTCCTCAGAGGAATGGGCGTGTCTCATGCAGCAGATTGCTTGATTTACGACATCCGCCAAGCGAGGTGCATGTCAAGTGTTGCTATGGTTGCCAGCCTTTGTCTGGTTTCCAGAGTGATCCATTGATGGAACCATTGGCTCAGTATTTATTAAACAATCTATCAGGGCTCCATTGTAGGGGGCTGCTATAATAAAGGCTTCAATGGCCCCCTCTAATTACTGACTGTAGTTTTTATTTGGAGACCTAACACTGTTTCTTTAGGTTGGGGCCCCTGGCTCTAACAGCCTTTTGAATGTAAAATTAAAGTGAAAATGTCTGGAATTCAAAGTGAAATTTAAAGCAGGTCTATCACTTTCAGTATTTAATAAAGACATTCTATTTCTGCAAAATTCCAACACAATCCAAAGATACCGTAAGACAAAGCAAGGATTACTTTGGTTTATGGCAAAGCCTGAGGTTAGCAAAATGCAGAGCTCCCTCCGCCGTCAGCGGGTGTCCAATCCAAGCAGCAGTCACATGACAGCTGCAGGATTCAGGCTCTGTCTATAGAGGATTTTGTGGTATCCTCTGTTGACAGTGTTGTACTTTTGTGTATATACAAAAGTACAGCATTGATGCGGCTACTGGCAACAGAAGTGCCAGGGGCCAAAGAGAGCAGCCTGAGATACGTAAAAACCTACTTTGCCCACATAAGATCTGTCAGTGCAAAAGGACTGATCCGCTCGAACTCTATTTGTAATTATTCCATCTTAAAAACATAGCCTACATCCGCTCCTTTCTTACGCAAGATGCTACCAAGTAGCTTACCCATGCTATAGTAATTTCCCGCATTGATTATTGTAACCCTCTCCTAATTGGTCTTCTCAAAAACACATTGCCCCTCTACAGTCTGATTTTCCGCTCTAGTCGGTCCTCCTTCCTGTATCCTATAGGAGTCAATACAAAGTACTAATCCACACCTAAAAAGCAATGAACATTTCTAGCCCCTCTTATATCTCATCACAGATCCATAGGTATGCCCCTTCTCAGTCTCTCCGCTCTGCCTGTGACTTTCTCCTGTCTGCTGCTCGCACATGTACGGCCAACTCACGCTTGCAGGATTTCCTATGGAATAGTCTGTCTGTCTGCCGCCATCAGACTCTCCCATAGTCTTGAATCGTTTAAGAAATGCCTTAAAACCCATCTCTTTAGCAAAGTTTATGGCTTCCTTGAGTAACCTCTACCTCACGTCCCTTGCTCTCTCTTAATTTGCAGCACTCTCTCCTCCAGCTCTGCTTCACTCCCACCTTATTTGATTGGTATTTCCTGTCCCATAGTCCTGCTTCACTCCCACCTTATTTGATTGGTATCTCCTGTGCTATAGTCCTGCTTCATTCCCACCTTATTTGATTGGTATCTCCTATAGACTGTAAGCTCGTTTGAGCAGGGTCCTCTTCAACCTATCGTTCCTGTAAGTTTTCTTGTAATTGTCCTACAACAAGCTATAGTGGTTATGGTGCTTGAAAAGAGGTGGTAGTAGAGCAATATTTACTTTTTAAAGTAACTTGATCCAGTAGAATATTTACAGATAATCCAACTGCAGAGATTAGTCAATAATAGTGCTCTACAATTACAGATCCCTTTAAAAAGGATTTATATTTTTGGCATTACCCAAATGCGCTGTTATTGCACAGTGTTATTTTATTACACTAAACCATGTCAGATTTATGAAAAGAGTATATTGAATTTCTAAGGGTCCTCCACCTGATGCAAGATGTCAACTGGTTGTTCTGGCATTATTGAGGAAGTCGTATTGCTGTGATTATAGCCTTTGAGTTTTCATAACATTTATCTTAATGATAATCCATTTACTCAACCGAAGATTATTTGTATAGGAAAATGTAAGTAATATTCAACTGTAACAAATGTCTAAGCAACACTGAAACAAGGCTGTATTTGGGGCCAACATGCAGACACAGGCTAACATTCATAGTTAGCAATTTAAAGGGATGGCCTCCCAAAAGCACAGAGATGATGGAAAAGGTCATGGACTGCATTGCTAGATGTCACTACACAGCACAAAAGAAAAGCGTAAATGTCAAAGTCTTGATCTCTAGGCTCTACAATTTATAAAATGTTAAAATGAAATGTCAAAGTTTTGTAATGTAACTAATGATGATGGTAGGCAAACGTTCCTTCCAAAGGTCTGTTTTTTTTTTTGTTTTTTTTTAAACCATTAAAACAGGATTGAGGTGATCACTATCTTTTAAATATATTATATGATCTGTAGCGCAAACTTCCCACCTTTTCATGGCTACTAAACGGAAAAACTCCCATTTCATATAACAGCTAAACAGAGACTAGAGGGCATGTAGAGGATCTTGGAGACCACCCTCCTTCCTACAGACTGTGGGTCCTATGTTATGAATGAAAGTGAACTCTGCACATACCATAGATGCAACGCTAACAAACCATGTGGGCATATAAGGTGTTAATACTATGGAAAAAGTGAAAACTTTCACTAGCCTATAAAGGTCCATTAATGCAGTGCCATTTAAAGCCAAATTCGAAAAATCAGTTTGTGTTTTAGGTTCTTGGAATTGTTTGTAAATGTAAGGAAAGGTTTGTGCCATTCTTTGTAAATGTAATTAAATCTGCCACTATGATAGAGTTAGTGCTGCCAGACACAGGCACCAATGGGTACGTGTAATTTAATTTAACTTGTTATTGGTTGATTTCACAAACCTGGAAACGATTTTTGTTACTGTTAAATCGGGTGAATTGCTGGAAGGGACTTAAAAACATGTCTAAAATCACCAGATGAGGAGAAGCAAGTAAATAAAATAACTGGAGAAAATATTCAGAGAGGACTCATTTGCAAGGGTGACCTGTAACAACTTACCTTGCTCCCCACCTCTGCTTTTCACTGATTTGTCCTGCTTGGGGACACTCTCCTAGCAGGGCAATCCTCAGTGATGCCAACATCTAAACAGAGTGACGTCATGTCTCAGTCCCTATACTCAATAGCCAGCACTAGCTGTGTCGGCTAGGGAGTTTCCGTAGCCATGGTGCATGCGCTATAGGTGGAGGGCAGAAGGACCACCTGTGGGAGGTCTCTACTGCTCTCCTTTATCAATCAATACTTCTAGCATTCCCCACCCCCCTCACCTCCAGTAAGGCAAAGCAAAACATTAATATACTAGAACATCCATATCATTTATATATTACAAAAAAAAAAAAAACACTTGTTTCTGTAAACTAATTTTTTTTGCTGTTGTCTTCATTGCTGAATTTGATTGCCTAAATCATTTGTTCGGTAAAAATACCAATATTTGTAATTATGTTAAAATGTTACATTACATTTTAGATTAAGGTGGAATGTGACCCAAAAGATCTGTTTTGTCCAATTTATTTTAAGCAACTTCAGTAACTCCCACTTATGGCCTCACCAGGTGTGTTCGTGTAGCATAGATCACCACAAGCAAAATTAAACAGACAAACATTTATTAAAGTTCTTGAAAGAAAAAAAAAACGAAACAAAACAAAAAATCCCCAACATTTCATTAGCTTTAAAAAACAAACAAAAAAATAAAATAAAAAAATTATCCCCTTATAGCTACAGTGCAATGCAATACTCTAAATTAAATATACCTTCAAAAACAAATTACAAGTTAAAAAATGGTGGTCTTTGTACATTGCAGTTAAGTGGAAAGATTCCTGAGGGGTGATCCATCCGCATGGAACAAAGGAGAAGAGGAGATTAACTGAACATTAGCTGAAGTGGTGGGATTACCTCTAAACCCAGAGGTGAATCTTTAGCAGGCAAGTCCTTGTCAAACATTTTTATTTCCAGCAGCTGGAAGATTGAGAACATGACTGGACAGCAAAACACAAAAGGCACTGGAACAGTAGTGCAGGGATATTTAAATACTGGACCTTCGACCCTTTGCTCAGAATTTCCTCAAACCATTGCCAGACACCTGAATTTTTGTGCCAGGCAAAGGTTTATTGTAGTTTGTCAATAGCTGGGGTCTAGTATTAGGATACTACCGCAGGGAAACCTTCCATTTTGGAATCCATTTAGAGGTAACCCAGGCTTTCAGTGCATTGGGCATTACTTCTTCGGCAATCAGAAGAAGTTCATACAGTCAGATAAACCATTTTCAGTGTACATGATATCAGATAAGCATTTCATCATTTTAACAAAGCATGGTTAAGATACAAGGCTGGCTCTACACACAGGGCAGGTATGCAGTGGACCACTTGTACTATTAAAGGAGTGCAGTGCTAGAATCTGATTGGCTGGTGTGAAGACACCACCAGTGGTGGAATTTTGGCAGTGTGGTGGTAATCAGTTGTGTGGTTAACTCAATTCCGGAATTCTGAAACCGCTCATTTTTCTTTTGATACAATTGAACATTTAAAAATAAATAAAACTGATCAATGAGTGACAAAACTGAAGTCAGCCCACACCACCAAAAAAACTATTATCCAATCAGCTGCTTTATAGCAAACCGTATTTCAATTTGTGGGGGGGGAAAAAAAATAGATTTAATATAAAAATGGGCAATGTATTCACAGTTTTCTGTAGCGAAACTCAGTGTATCTTATAAAACAGGGAACAAGCGTTACCCTCCAGAGCAATTTAAACAAAACACAAGGTAGTGTTTTGTAGGAAAGATGTACAACAGGAGTTTTAAAAACAGAAAAAGAAAATATATATATATACGTGAAATTTGACAGCGGCTATTAAAATTATGACATTGCAAGACCAACAGTAGGAATTCAAGCATAAAAAGATATTCCTGTAGTATTCAGTTCTTGAAAGATTTTCTATCTGAATTTACATTTTCCCCTGAAGCAGCAACACTATATGTATACTCCGTTTATCTGTGGGATGGGTTGTATACATAAAGCTAAGCAAGGAGACATGGCTCTATCATTGCAGATCCTGAGCCCAAGTCTCACTCGTGCAGCAGAGCAAGTGAATGCACACAATTCATAGAAAAAAAAAAAGGTATATTTAGTTTAAAGCCAGTAGTGCAACACAGACTCCGTGAGGCATTATACCCATGCAGGAAGCGGCCCGTCTACCGTGGAATGCTTTAATTCTCTATGTTTATTTCTAATCGAGAAAGGAGGGAAAAATTGGAATGGGATTTAAAAAAAAAAACAAAACAAGGGATAATAAAACAAACAAAAAACCCTTAATATAGTCAAGGTTTTTTTTTTTTTAATCCTTACAGCCACCATGACTGAAAAGGTGAGATAGAGGAGATGAGATGCCACACTCCCGGCCATGGCTATAAAGGAGAGAAAGGAAACTTGCTGCATTCAATAAATGTGAGAGAGCAGTTACCAATGGAGATAACAGAAATGATTCGGAGGGGGTGGACCCTGCCAGTCCCTGTTCTGAGTTAAAGGCCCTAAATCTCCTCTTGGGACACAGAGGGCCAAACGTTATTGCACCTGGTCTCAGTAACCATTTACGAGTCGGCCTCAGGATAATGTCGATGACATTTCATTTTCTTTATTCCCCTCTGGTTTTATGTGGAATAGAACCCACGTCTTCTCTCCCCCAAAGCCCTGGAGTCACTGACAGCGTGACACTGCAGATGCCAAGCCCACACAATTTCTTCCCCACAGGATTCTGGGAGTTCACTTGTGGTGTCGCTGAGAGTGGTTCTTCCTTTTCCTTTTAAAAAAGCAGCAGCACCTATGACGGAATACAAATAGTAGGGGTTAGAAACAAAGTTTTTGCTTTTAAATACATATTAAATTATATTGCCAGACATCTTTATAACTTAAGTGAGATGGGAGTTTAAAACTTCTAGGGCAGCCGAGACAAGTAGAAAATACTGAACATTAATTTACAATAATGGAGGACAAGATAAAGGCTTCAAGTCCCAATCATAAATTTAATTTAACACTTAGTAAAGAAATGAAACCATTGTCCTGATTTGTGTCAGAGATCAAGTAGTGTCTCAGTCTCAAGAGGTTTTAAAAAAAAAAAAAAATATATATATATATATAAATAAAAAACACATTAGAAATGCACAAAAAAATAAAATAATGCTATATCAAATGTTAATTTGCGGTTTGTTACTACTTTCTGGTAATTTTCCATAATTCTGTATCTGCATGTATGGCACTTTGGGTTTTAAATTCTTGTTTTCATCGTAATGCCTGCCTATTGTGTCTAATGTAGCCAAATACAGAAGTACTACTTCTTGAAGTCCTTTGCAAGGACACATACACTGTTATTTAAAGTAAATTTGAAATTTAAAAGAACACTAGGGTCAGGAACACAAACATGTATTCCTGACCCTATAATGTTAAAACCACCATCTAAGCCCCCTAACAGTCTGCTGCTATTGGCTCTGCCCCTGAACCGCCTGCTTGGCTGATGTCATCAGATCTGGTGATTTGAGCCAATCGCAATGCTTTCCATTGGAGACTGTCAAGGAGCAGATCAGAGGCAGAGCCAGCACAAGCCAGCCAAAGGCCAAGCTGCATCTCCTCATATAGATGAAATGAATCAATGCATTTCTGTTAGGAAAGTTCAGTGTCTCCAAGCAGAGGGTGGAGACACTGAATGTCAATGCTGCTCACGGTGCAACACTGCCCTAGGAAGCACCTGTAGTAGCCATCTGAGGAGTGGCCAGTGGAGTTATCACTAGGCTGTAATGTAAACACTGCCCTTTCTCTGAAGATGAACAATACAACTGCGCCAACAAAGTTAAACTCACAAGATGTAGATAGTAGGATCGCCTTAGGGTGACTCCCCTTAGATGTTTGCGTGGTATATCCAGAACTCCCTCTCAATCCTCAACTACTAGTTGAGGAATTAGCTAAAATGAGAATGAATGGGGAAGTTACCATCATGGGTGACTTTAATCTTCCCGATGTGAACTGGAAAACCAAAATAGCTGCTTGTGCCAGGAGCACACATATTCTAAACTCCCTACTGGGATTGTATATAAAAGAAGTCATTGAGGAGCCATCTGGTAAAGAGGCCATACTAGATTTAGTGTTAACAAATGGAGATTTGGTATCAGATATTACTGTAGGTGAAAGTTTAGGATCCAGTGATCAGTCAGTGTGGTTTAATATAAGAACAGTGACTGAGTCACACCACACAAAAACAAAAGTTTTAGACTTTAGAAAAACAGACTTTTCTAAAATTAGAATATGGGTAGAGGAGTCATTATCAGACTGGAGCAATTCAAATGGAGTCCAAGAGAAATGGGATTATTTAAAAGTTGCACTATTGAAGGCAACAGAAAATTGCATTAGGCTTGTCAGTAAAAGCAAAAATTCAAGAAACCACTGTGGTACTCCGCAGATGTGGCCAAAATAGTTAAAAACAAAAAGTTAGCATTTAGGAATTATAAAAAAACCCAGAGTGAGGAAGACAAAATGATCTATAATATTAGGCAGAAAGAGGCTAAGCAAGTTATAAGAGCTTCCAAATCACACACAGAAGAGAAAATAGCACAGTCAGTAAAAAAAGGGGACAAAACATTTTTTTAGATGCATAAATGAGAAAATGGAAAGTAAAACAAGGATAAGTTAGATTAAAACCAAAAGGAACGTATGTAGACGAGACTAAAGGTCTAGCTGACTGCCTCAATGAATATTTTTGTTCAGTATTTACAGATGAAAAGGAAGGAAAGGGGCCTCAGTTAGGAAAAAGGACAAATTAGTAATTTGCTACATGTGGGTTTACAGAGGAAGAGGTTCTATTTCAACTGTCAAAAGTAAAGACAAATAAGTCAGTGGGACCCAATGGAATACACCCAAAGTTATCAAAAGAGCTTAGTGGTGTACTAGCAAACCAATTAACAGATTTATTTAACCAATCATTGTTAATAGGAGTAGTCCCAGAAGATTGGAAGTTAGTGAATGGTGTGCCCATTCACAAGAAAGGTAGTAGGGAGGAGTTGGGCAACTATAGGCCAGTATGCCTTACTTCAGTAGTGGGGAAAGTAATGGAAACCATGTTAAAGGATAGGATTGTTTAACATCTAAAATCACATGGATTTCAAGATCAGAGACAACATGTGTTTACTTCAGTGAGATCATGCCAAAATAATCTTATTGATTTTTTTGATTGGGTAACTAAAATGATAGATCAGGTTGGTGCAGTAGACATTGCTTACCTAGATATCAGTAAGGCTTTTGACACTGTTGCACATAGAAGGTTTATCAATAAATTGCAATCTTTAAGTTTGGATTCCAATATTGTTGAACGAGTATGGCAGTGGCTGAGTGACAGGTAACAGAGGGTTGTAGTTAATAGAGTATATTCGAAGCATGGGCTTGTCACCAGTGGGGTACCTCAGGGATCTGTACTTGGACCCATTCTCTTTAATATATTTATTATAAGGTGGACGTAAAAACCCAAGGGCAGAGTACAGAATATTTGAGAGAGCCCTAACCTCAACATCTGAGGAAAAGGGCTTTAGGGGTGATTATTTCTCATGACTTAAAGGTAGGCAGACAATGTAATAGAGCAGCAGGAAATGCTAGCAGAATGCTTGGTTGTATAGGGAGAGGTACTAGCAGTAGAAAGAGGGAAGTGCTCATGCCATTGTACAGAACACTGGTGAGACCTCACTTGGAGTATTTTACACAGTACTGGAAACCATATCTCCAGAATGACATTGATACCTTAGAGAGTTCAGAGAAGGGCTACTAAGCTGGTTCATGGATTGCAGGATAAAAAAAAAAAAAAGGAAAGGTTAAAGGATCTTAACATGTATAGCTTGGAGGAAAGACAAGACAGGTGGGATATGATAGAAACATGTAAATACATAAAGGGAATCAACACAGTAAAGGAGGAGACTATATTTAAAAGAAGAAAAACTACCACAACAAGAGGACTGTCTTAAATTAGAGGGACAAAGTTTTAAAAATAATATCAGGAAGTATTACTTTACTGAGAGGGTAGTGGATGCATGGAATAGCCTTCCAGCTGAAGTGATAGAGGTTAACACAGTAAAGGAGTTTAAGCATGCGTGTGTTAGGCATAAGGCTATCCTAACTATAACATAAGGCCAGGGATTAATGAAAGTATTTAGAAAATTGGGCCGACTAGATGGGCCGAATGGTTCTTATCTGCGGTCACATTCTATGTTTCAGTTGGTTGGTGGTATTGCCACAATATGGAAGTCCGGACTCAGAAAATGGTAAAAATTATCTGCTTTATTTCATAAAAGTATAAAAGGTAAAAAACATATCAAAGGGAAAAAAGGTAGAGATGAGTCAGTGCTCAAGGTATTGGTACAGATAAAACAATGGATAATTGGGCAGCAAACCAGGTTAGTAAGGCTCCCTCAGAATGCCTTACAGGTAGACAAAGCAATAGGGTAGAGGGTAGTAGATAGGCGGCGCCAGTAATAAAGTGCAAAGTAGATAAAAATAATAATAATATAGTCTAAGTGATTAAAAGTCCAGTAGTAGAGTTCAAGAATGTCTTTTGAGGGACTGTATGTAGAAGCCAACAAAAATGTAGAATATGGGATAACAGCTCTGTAAGTTGAAGATGTGCTTACATTCCGTATGTGGAAATAAAAGACAACTAATGTTGCAGTATATTCAACAATCAGGTGTTATTCTGGTAAAAGTCTTATATGATCCTACTCCCGTTTTATAGAGCTAATTGACTAGCTCTAGTATGAAGTGCATACAGTGGTATAAACCCCACTTATACGATTCGTGAGGTAATGTCTTGTCTAAGGAAGGGTCATATGAAAATAAAAAGGAACAGCAATAGCGCTCTCTATTTAAAATCAGGAAACAGAAAATAAAATATAAAGTGGTTACTCACATTTACATGAGCAGGAGGACTGCTCAGTGTACAGGGCTTGAGTGGTATAATCCCCACCTAAGATTCTTTGGAGTAATATCGCACTGGAACAGGATAAAACCCAGAAGCCAGGTAAAATAAAATAATATATATATATATATATATATATATATATATTTTTTTTAAATAAATAAATAAATGGCAACGCACAGTGAGGAAGTGACCAAAATACCTTGAATAAAATACAATACAGTTTAAAATGTCCACAACGCGTTTCGCTAGCAGGCTTTTTCAAGTGGAAATGCAGAGAACATAACCTGGCAGGTCTGGGTTTATAAAGGGAGTGAAACAGCTGATGTGTTTTTAAAACGGCGCCAAAATGGCATAATTGCTTAACTGATGGTTGTAAATAAAGTAAAAAATTCATATATAGCTGTATAGCAAGAAACAGTAAAATGTAGACAGAACAGATAAATATGTGGTAGTGAAAAATGAGGAGGACAAAGGAAGTAAGATTAGACTGAATTTTTAGGTCATGTTATCGGCAGCCATTTTTTTCCCATCATTGGGCTTGTCGTAAAAACAAATATGGTCCAACATGTTTAGTCTAACAAAAGACTTCCTCAGGGACCCAATAGTAAAAACAAATTGTAAATATGAAATATCCTAAACAAAAGGACAAAATAGCAACATAACCCGTCACTCCCCCAGTCCTTCCTTTTATGTGGCATCATTTTATGTTGGACCATTTTTTTTTTTTTTTTTTTTACCTTTTATATTTATGCAATAAAGCAGATATTTTTTACAATTTCCTGAGTACAGACTTCCATATTGTGGCGACACCACCAACCGGCTGAGAGGGAGTTCTGGATACACCCCAAACATCTAAAGGGAGGCAACCTAAGGCGTTCTTACTATCTACATCTTGTGAGTTTAACTTTATTGGCGCAGTTTTATTGTTCATTTACAGTTTTACATTATGGTATTGTGTTTATCAGCTATACTCCTCTGCCATTTGTATATACATTCTATTTGTAAGCTCCAGTTGTTCTGGTGACTATAGTGTCCCGTTAAAGCTACCGTAATCAAACAGGAAGCATAGTTGAATTACAGAATTTTTCCAGTTCAGCAATTTTGACCTTAAATTTGAAATTCACTCAGAATCACTTTAGAGAATAACCCTGAAAGTGTTGTCTGCAAATAACTTGATGCCACATTTCCATAACAGGAATTGGCAAGCTAAATGGAACAATTCACAATGGCACAAGTAAAAAAATCTGATATGTTCTACCTAGGGGAATCTAGGTATCTCCACCTTTCAGACTAGATGGACCTTAGTGAACAGCTACTTTGGAGTGGGAGAAAAAAAAAAAAACCACATACACAACTATTTACCAAAGCACCTTGCTCATTTGCACATATGATCCCATGATCCCCAAGGAAGTGAAATGTTGCTACCTGCCATCATTTTTAGTACATTTTCACTAACAGAACCAGCAAGTAAAACAGTCAGGGCTATTCACAGAACTGGGAACTAAATGGTGAACTGAAAATGTTAGAATAAAATAGCTGATCTGGAAAAAAGCATAGTTGGACATTCTCCTCCCTCCCCCCCATTTCACTGTTTTGGTATCAAACTAAATTTCCTGGATGGTTGAATAACCCTGTTTGTATGGATTGCCATTATCGGCTTGGCGTTACCAATCACAATGGCAGAATGGAACAACATTGATTGGCATTTGGTGACATCAATTCCTTTGTGAAGTTACAGAAAGGTAGCATCGAATAGAACAGGTCTGTCTTCCAAATCTATCTATTAGGATGCATATTTAAATTGTATGAAATGTGTGTTTTGCTCTATATTACCACAGTTAGACATGGTTTAGTGGACTTTTTCTCTGAACACTGGAAGACCACTCTGGAGAATGAAATGTACAGTATATGTTATAGATACGATATGAAGGAATGAGAGGTGATGTACACAGTTATTTTACATGCGGACACTATACAGCAAGGGAAAGGACAGCAGGGGGAGGTGAACAATATTGTGATTTGACAAAGTTTGGTTGAGATCGTACTAATTTACTAACGTACTATCCAACACACAGTTATATTTGTCTTAGGCAAGCTGCATAATAATGTTTAATCATCAATTTATGGTGTGCAATATGTATACAGCTCTGTTCAAGACTCATTTTTGCCTGAATTGTGGGGTGGAGAAAGCCAGGTCAGTGTTCACTTTAGGGGGTCCTTGTGTTTCTGGCTAACAGATCCAAAACCGGTTCTTGACCACTGCCATCAGTTCAGGATTTACTGCAGGGGATATTAAAGGGTGCACAAGATACACTAAAGTGTGGTAAGACATTGAAAGTTTTTTTCCCTTTCTCTACATTTCTATTAATATATACAGCATATATATTCTGGAAAATATGATATATAAACTGTATTTGTTCAGAACTTTATTAAGTTCTGTCTGTCTGGTTTAAGAAGAATCACATTACCAAAGGGACATATATACACACACATGTAAAAACAATGGTGCCTATATATATATATATATATATATATATATATATATATATATATATATATATATATATATATATATATATATATATATATATATATATATATATATATATATATATATATATATATATAAATATTCTCAGACTAAATTTAGTTTTGGTGAAGATAACCTAAATGTCTAATGTCTAGGTGGTGGCAGCTTTAATTTCAGGATAGGTGTAGGTGGTTTTAATTAGGGAATTTTATCAGTCATTTGTATTCAGTACAAAGGCTTAGTGCTTTTTAACACAAGTTTTAAGACAAGTCAAGTGCATGCCTGTAGTGGCCTTGTTTGTGTACAACTTTCAACGGTGAGAACGACAAAAAACAATCCATTTCAGTATTTGTTTGTAAACCAGTGACAACGACGAGCTATGAGCTGCCCACCATTCATACCTTCGATCATAGAATACAAAAGAAGTCTATATGAAAATGTCACCAACACTGTATCCAATACTAAATGGAAACTCATACAAAGGGCAGTTGGATAATAAATTATAGTGAAATACTAAGATAAAAGGCTATCCAAGTGTGGCCTTCCAGATAGCAAACTAATTAAAAGAGCCCAGTGAGATTCTCAGATGAGCACAGGGTTAAAAAAAAATAAAATAAATAAATAAGTCATAGAACAGCATTAAGGGGTTAAAAAGCTTCATACACGAAGCATAGTCACTATTAGTATAGGAGTAATTTTCAGCATATTAAAAAAGTATAGTTACATGTTAATGCACACAGACACTCAAAACAATTAACCATAGTATATACTACACAATAATGTTCATACACTGACATGTACACAATTACACACAAACATTCAACAACTCAAACTGCACTAACACCTACACACACCACACTGACACCCATCCAAAAACACTCTGCACTGTCTCACATTGCCAACACAGACACCTACCAAAGCATTTATTTTCACACAACATTTTGTAAAAACAATTTTTTTTTCCTGCTCCCCCCCCACAGAAAGCCTTGCTGTCCATATCTGACAAACTCATCAGTGTAGCCATGAGTCCTATCTAATAAGACACTTTTCTTTGAATTATGAGAGAGAAGAAATGATTTTTACTTGCACCCAATGAGACAAGTCAAGTGCATGCGTGGAGTGGCCATGTTTGTGACATCTTTCAACTGTGATATGGACAAAAGTAGGCAGGTCAGATGACCGATTGTGATAGACCTAGGTCAGTGTAAAACAGTACAATGTGTTTAAACCTTATAACTTAGGATGAAATTGTACAGTGCTTACAGTTACAGGATTCACTACATCATACTTCCTTTTTGAGTTCGTTTGTTTGCATAAATGGTTGGGCTAGCCTTGACTACACTATTATTAGGATGGACATCTTGAAAGTAATTCTGAAAATAAACTGTTGACGGATGTCCTGTTTTTAAAATGCGATCCAGATTCACATTTTAGTTAAAGGGCTTTTAAAAGATACAACCATGTGGATCATCATTCACAGTGCAGCTGTGTGCATGCGCAGACAAAGGAAAGACCACCAATATCAGTAATGAGGAGGAATGATTGAGAATTGGCAACTGGAATCACTGAATAGGAAGAATTCCGCATCTTAACTTTTACTAGCTCAACTGCCTTGGTCCCCTGATCAACGTTCCACAATTCTTTGTTTGCTAAAGAGCCCTGATGGAGACGTGGTCCTTTATACCCATATCAGAGGGCACTGATTAACATATGGAGGGAATATTAGAGACAGCCTACAACTTGATGTAAACATATAATGTGTCATACAAGGATCAGATGAAAAGGGGAACATATTAAACATGAAATTGCACATCTACATTTTAAATAGGTACATATCCCCAAACTTTATTCAGTGCTGCGGAAAAAAACAAACAAACCTCCAAACACCTTAAACCTTATTAGCTTATTGCATATAAGGTAGTTCAGCAGCAGCACCTATTTTAATTCTGATTAACTACACTACTTTGACACAACTGGATTTATTTTCAATGCATATTTGTTCCCAAAGTGCAGTTCTGTGATGCACCATGAGGTGTCACTGCTGTATATTTAAAAGGATATATTAAAGGAACAGTGTAGGCACTACAAAAACTTGATCTAACTCCAAAATGTTATGTTATACAGTATTTTAATAACCTGAAGGCTTGGAAGCCCTCTTAATAGGAGAGCCGGGACAGTTACTTTTAGGTTCTCAATGAAACTATTAGAAGAGGGATGGTAGGGGGACCAAAGGGAACTTTAGTGGGTTATTAGAAGAAATAAAATGTAAAATATTTTTAGCCACTATTTTAGAATAAAAAAACCAAACGAAAGAAATAGAAATCATTCACCCCAGCCAGGTAATCACAACCACTGGAGTAGTAAAAAGGGTAACTGTCTCTACTCTGGAATTGCATCACTGAATAAAACATTTAAAATCACATAGAAATTGTGATAACTTTTTCATGAGGTGCTTTAATTTATTCTATATTTATATTAAATAATTAGCAAATTACATAACCAAGATTGGGAGAGGCAAAGCCAGGGCAAACATTCCAGATAATATTAAAAAAAAATCTGGTCAGTGATGTTTTCTCTTTAATAAATATTAGGGTAAAGGATGTAAATATAGCTGACCTGTTTGATCCATACCCACTTGTTTTTACATGGAGATGGCAGTGAAGGCGTTAAGGTTTAGCAACCTATGCTATAAGAAACAATCTAATATTCAAGATATCTATCAAAGATAAATGGAAAATCTGATTTGAAATGTGAGAAAATTGCTCTAAAGTGTTGTTTGTCTGGTAGCAGACAGAGGCCATACATACATAGAGACATATTGCAAGAACAGAGGAGTCAGACAGTCACAGATCATGCAAAATATACATGAGGATTGGACAGACACAAAACAAAAAAACCCAATATATCAAAACAAGAAGAAGAAAAATAAATAAAATAATACAAAATGAATTCACACTGCATGCCTCTTCCAGCAACACTCCCGCTTTCTGGGTTCCAAGTAAATGATTTAGCTAATCAGTGGATGGACTGTCTAACAGGGAGTAGAGTACCAGGAAGCTAGCATTAATACCATGGACCATTTCCTGATTAGGAGGTCCTCTCCCTGGTGTGTGTTCAGCAGAGAGAGAGACTCACCACATGTTGAGCATTTTCACGCAGCTACAGAGTGTGTTAAAAGACAGAGAGAGAAAGAAAAATATTAATACACCCAAGAGACATGAGGAGGGGGATGAGGGATGTAGCCATGCAAACAGCATGCTGCTGATTAATAAGAGTGGGACTCTACATCAAGGTTAACGAAGGCTGGGGCTGTCCATATATACACTCAGGCTAAACCATTAACACAACAGAAGAAAAATAAAAAGACACAAAATGTAATCACAGAGTCTAAAGTGGTTAAATGATCTTCAGATCAGCAAACCTCTAGTTATATATAAAAGAAGAAAGCTTTGGTACCGTGTTCTGCCAATCTAATTCTAGCACATTTTATGGCATTACCCAATACTCTAATAAAAACACATTTACTTATGTTAATATTTCTAGACTTTGCCGCTTTGATTTATGGCCAATTACACCAGATCAAAGGCTAGCAGCTGCAAACACCTCGGTCCCTAATTGTTCTCACTTCATTTAACATGCATAATCAAGTTTGTTCTCCTTGAGATAAAACATATAAAGCTTCATATTTAACAAGGTGCCTCTCAATTGGTTACAGAGGCAGGAAAGATAGCAGAATGCAAGCATGTGCATCATATTGCATTGATGTCAAAGAATAAGATCAAGGGGAAAAATGAATATATTTTAAGCAGCAAGGAAACCATAACGAGGCATGATGGACAGCAAGGCCAAAAGAGAGTCACAATATGTGAAAATCGTAGGTCATTTATGATCTTGAACTAAATGTTCACCAACAGTACTGGCAAGTTGCAAATTTAGCAATTAACAGAACTGTATTTTGCCCTCAGCCACCTCTACTAAAATCAGCCGACGTCTTAAGAAAAATACTCTCCTGTGCAGCCGTTCATTTATTAAACGAGGTTGGGATGATTAGGTTATAGTGAGGTGAAAAATTAAAATCAATTTGGTTTCACATTTCTTTGTAATTTTGCCAGCACAAGGTATAGGTCACATTTACTTAAACACCTTTCCCAAAACAGAGGTTAAACATAGTCAAGAAAGATGTACACTACAGGGTGCTTTGTAAGGTTCTGAGGAATTTAATGTTTTTTGCGTAGTGAATGGTTTAAGAATTAGAACCCATAAACGCATGTTTTATCCCATCGTTTGTTTTTGTTTTTTAAAACCTGGAACAAAGCTGAACTAAATAAAATTTAAAAAAAATATATATATATAAAAAAAAAATCTACAAAACACTACAAAGTGCCTCTTGACAGCAGAATGAGAAATCTGTTGGACACAGCAATAAAACTCAATAGGATGAAGAAAGCACAAGTATGGGCTACTTGCTTTGCGAGGACTAGTGTGAGCTGAGTGCAAGACTGTATCTGCTGGGACAATGGTGCCAATTACAATCTGATATACTTTGCGAAGGAATCTCAGCATCCGCATGCATAAGCGGCTGCAATAAAGGAGGTGGGTGTAAATGGGTGTAGACGACCAAGGCACAAGATGGAAATGTGGGGAAAATGAGGAAGACAGGAAAGGATACACAAGTGAGACATGCAGGCATGGGATGTGGTCTTGTGACAGAGTAGGGGCACATACTTAGCTTCCTCCACAACCTCCACCTCGGCCTGCGCTGTGATCGGTGCATTGGAGTGACCTCCTGTTTGGTCGTCGGCATTCAGCTGTCCATTTGTTGAACTCATTACCTGTGGGTTGAAAACATTTACTTATAATTGAGAATGGACAGTTTACAGATTTAGAATGCTCAACTACAGATGTGAATCTCAAACCAGTATCTTGGAACCTTTATCGAGCTCACACAACACTCAGTTTAATAACATATCAACTCAAAATCAAATTTAGCTGTACACAATGGACAGAGTACCAGATGCCTGTAAGCAAGTGATGTCAACTATTCTATAGTTTGTCAAAATTAAAAGGTTCCTTGAGAATGGTTTTTAGAAACAATACTGAAATTCTACAATAAAATCTATTCTAAGTGTGTCTACTACTAAACATGCACTGATAAGACTCCCAAACTAAAGAACCACAACTAGAGTCCACATGGAACTCGCATATTCTAACGGCTTAAACAACATACCTCCCAAGTGCCCCTATTTTGAGCCCAAATCCCTCTTTTCTAGGAGCTTTGTATTGTTGCTCTGTGAGTGCATAACAGAGCTCCACAGCAATAATACTTATAGCAATGTGTCTTACCTACAATAAATGTGTTTAGAAATCAGTCTGTGTAAATAAGATTAACTGTTCATGTTCTAAATAACATTGTAGATATACAAGTTATTAGTAAATCACTGAATATTTCTCAGAACAGCCCTGCCCTTTGTCCATTTGAAATGAGGTATGGAAAAGCGTGTCTGGAAAAGAATATTTGGAATAAATGGGGAGAACTCCATCTCAAGAAAGATGCAGTTTTTACTTAAGTATAAACGGTCAGGGGTTCCAACGGAATTCAATATTTCAAGGCCAAAATAGCTTAACTAATATCGTAGCCGAAGCTGACAATTCTTTGTAGTTCACTGATTTTGACTTGAATTTTAAAATGCCAACATTTCAACATATAGAGCATTCCGTAATTCCTGGATGATTTCTGTAATTGTTTTGTTTGTATATCTTTCGGACAACAGGTCACATTTAGGTGGCTTTGTCCTGAGCTGTACAATGGATTATGTTGTAAGAAAGATTTTTATTAAAGTTTTTTTTGTTTTGTTTTAATGAATGGGACTCCTATGCTCCAATGTGACACTCATTTGTGGTTGGGTAAAAAAAAAAAAAAATATATAACCATATGCCCAAGCACACAGGGATGATATGAATGCAAATTAAATATTGTGGTTCACAGGTTAAATCTACAATCACATCAGGACTTTGTTAGTCATCGTCACACTTACTACAAATAACAAAATATTCCCATTTGAAATGTCTAATACCTGAACAGATCCCCCATGCCGGTCAGATGCCAGGTGAGGTGCCAGGTAAGCGGGGTGGGCCTGCCGGCTGGCCTGTAATTCCCAAGCTCCTCGACGATCTGGAGCGCCCGTCTGCGCAGAGGCGTTAGGAAGCATGCGTTTGCGAGGTGTGGTGGAGAGGAAGGATTTGAGAGGGAAGGAGGGGTTCAGCCAGGCCAAAGCAATGGAAACAGAGCACTGTTAGTGGCGGTGGGTAGAAAGCCAAGCTGTGACCGCATGCTGCAAGCACAGAATCCAGCTGTCTCAGTGCCAATGGGAGCCATATGTGCAATCAGCAGCTACCTTGACACGAGAGGGCCGGGCAAAGCAAAGCAAGCATATTATAAGTTACAAAATAACCCAATACAAAATGCATTCCTCTTAAGGAACCCAAAAGTATCAGTCAATGTGTAGTAACTTCTAAAACGCAATTAAAAGGTTATAACAGTTCTTAGATACTGTGTATTTATAGGGCCTTAAGAATACCTGAATAGGCCCGACAAGGGAGATGAGAGACTGGAGAGAAACTGACAGCTATGAGATACAAATAAATTAAACCATCCAAACACTGCTGTTCTGAATAATTAGCCTAATACCTGGCTAAGTTAATCCTGGGAATGATTAAAAGGACACTAAGCACCATAATCATTTTAGCCTGCTGTCCAGATTCCACAAATGTCTACACTGAATGCAGAAGTGAAGTAAACAAGGTGTGCCTTGAGTGCCAGGAAGGTCAGTTTTTGTGCTTGAATATGAATATAATTTAATAAAACCTAACGTGACTAAATCCAAAGACTCCTTTCACCATATTCAATATAATAAGCGGTTATGGCTGTGATACTTGAAGTATCCATTTAAATCTCAAACTTGCAAGGGAACCCCAATATTTTGTAGATGGGTGTAAAATCTCTGCTCCTTTCAGGACATACAAGCCCACATTTTCTTTTACTTGTATACAATGATTTTCATAAATGAAGGAACTTATGACAGCTTAAACTACATATCCCATAAATCCCAGAGAGAGGACAAAGATTTGGTCAGAGTACTCTTCTGGTTCCCTTGCGATACCAGGAATTTGCAACAAATTGTGGGTTTTCACAGGTGTGCTTTCCCCAAATTAATTTACTCTGCATGATTGATTTTAGTGCAGTACCACCTGAAAGATTTAAAAATAAAAATGTATTGACCAGGGCCTGCAATGTCTCAAATTTTAAATACACTGAATTGATGAAGAGGATCTGTACCTCCCAGACATGCAATGTCGTCATCTCCGGAAGCAGATAAGAATCTACTGTGATGATAAATTCAGTAATTGCAAATTTACATGAAAAAGGGTAAGGCAATCGGTTCAGCCACCTTACTATAAATACTAATTTCATATACATTACTCCCCTGTCCAAGAGTATATACAAATGGCATGGTGTGTACATGTTAAACATGAGCTACAATGATAATCTTTTTATCCAAACTAATAAAGTATATTTTCTCCATCGATCTGTGCTTTAAAGAAAACAAATGGAAGTGACGCCAATATGATTAACAAGGAACGTAAATCCACTCAAGCTGGGATGGAGTAGCTGTTCTAACAGGACGATTCATTGGGTAAATTAATTAATCACTGTGATGAACTGGCTCTTGCCGCTGATCAGAATCCACCACCAAGCTGTAAATACAGGCTATGGAGAAACTGCAGCCTATTTTCCTAATCCACATTAACGTCTTAATGAGCAATGATATTCTGCTATTCTATAATCACAATCGAAACATTAAATTAACAGGAAATTTCAGGCACAGAGCATGATTTTATTCATTTCAAGTGTGTAAGAGTAAAAAAAAACCAAAAAACATGTTTTTCGAAATTAAAATGAGCAGTGGGTGTTTGAGGCATTCTTCAATCCTTACCCAGTGCATACAGATCTAGATAAGGAATGACATGTAAAAGCACACTAGAAAAATCAATCACCCGGGTAAAAAAAAAAAAAGATCACAAGGTATTATTAAAAAATCGATTATGTGGAGTGAAAACTCCAAATGGACTCCGATATTTATCCTGCAAAAAACATCTGTGAATCCAAACTGGTCATGATAATGTTAAATAAGGGGATATCTAATAACAATGGACAGTAAATTAATAACCCAGCCTTCTTTACAACTACGGTAAGTAAAGCTGGAAAATAATGATTGATATATCTTTATGCCAGGTTTGAAGAGTTTCTACGTATTTTCATGCAAACATACACCTTTGGTTCAAGCCTCTAATCGGAACACAAGACTTGAAATGGAATGGTTTAGAGAGACAGAATTGTTATATATTGTGATGTTTCCGGATAGTTAGACCCTGGTATTTTGTTTAACCTCATCAGCAAGGACTCCAGGAAACTACAAGTTTAAAAGTTCCCACAATCTTTGGGGTTTTTAAATTGGGGATTTAAATGTTTTATTTAAGTTCTCCTTAGTTTGTGTAACTGTTTGCTTTGCCTTCTTTGAGTTAATTTTGAATGTATTAACATCATTTTTTTTAATAAACACAAAGTTATCTTAATTTGATTATAATATAAAGAACTCTCTAGTGAACCTATAATTCTTTAAAGGTACTGTTATTGATCACAATTAATTGTCTATTGCATTGCATAGTCACATGGTAGCAGCAGTGAATGAGTAATAACTGGGGAAGTGAGGGTAAAGTTTGGGGTTAATTTATTGTCAAGCAATGCCATATTAGAGTGACTATGATTGCTAGCCAGTTCAGCAAGGAACTCCAACAAAGCATCATGCAGTGATTGGTGCAGACAATACCAATATATATGCTGCTTTGTGATTGGCTGACATTAGGTACCAACCACTGCTCTGCAAGAAGCATGCAATTAAAGTACAAAATGTAATGATTGACAGTTAACCTCACAAACAGCAGATTATTTAAGGGCAGTCAATAATGTTAACTGCACATAGCTAGGAGGAAGCCAGTATCCAGAACTGGGAGATGGAGGAGAATAAATTATACAATTGTAAACAGTAGAACCATCACATCAGATGAGTTAAGTATCTCTGTGACAGTGTCAGGGTTGTCCTCTGCTGTAGTCAGAGTAACATCCTAATGTCGCAAGTGACAGATAATCAAACACAGAGAAACCCCTGGGACTGTAAAACTATTTTTTTATGGAAGCAGTAGAAGTTTCCGACAAGGTTTACGGATTTTGTTTTTTAAAGCAGCAAAGAATGCAACTGTTACAACCAGTACGCATACAGAATAAACACATGCTTTATAGGAGCTATTTAAAGAAGGCAGATGGGGGTAACAATGAGCTTTTTGCCTTAACACACAAAAGCTGGATTCTTTTTACATGGCAGCAATACCAAACTAGGAACAATTATGTACCGTAGATAGGGTAATCGGACTGCCCTGCTATATGGCACCACAAGCTTAAATTTGAAATTTACTCTGGTTGTGACTGGTAGGGCTGGCATGCATTGAAGGGGAAAAAAAATAACCACATAGTTTGCCATTAGTTGGCTACTGTGTAATGCAAAATATAGAGAAGTGACAATTTTGCTGATTCAATGACCATAAATCAGTAAAATTATTATACTGCATTAATAAAGGCAAGAGTAAAACAGGTAGTATGGAGGGAGAAAACTTTACTCATACAATTTCATGAAACAGTGGGACACTGAAACAAATAGCTACTACTTAATTACATCATTGTGGGGAATTGACAAGACAGTAAATCCCTTTGTGTTTTCACTGACAGGTCTGAAATGTAATCTCCAGTCTCTCACAACCTTGCTCAACTGTTCCAATCAGCAGACTGATGCCTTTTATGAACCCAGGGAACAATGTGGCCCTTGGTAAGAAAGGTTAGGAAAGGTGTGAAAAACCTTTCATGGAATAGAAAAAAAACACAAAAAACAAACAAAAAAAATGCCTATGCTACCGAAAGGGACTCCTTTTGGCAGCAAAGGAGGTTAATGATAGGTAAAGCGGCCAAGATAGGCATACCAATAGCATACCATGGTATGAAAAGCTTGCGATCAAAGATCAAAAAAGTACTGACCTGGTTCCTAAGAGGCTGTGTTTGGGACGGTCTCTCCCTGTGCCCATGGCTGTCCCTAGTTATCGCGGAAGTCCCAGAATCTACATGGACGGATCCCACTGGGGTAGGCTGAAGAAAAGAATAAAAATAAATACATGCTGTCTCCATGGCTAAAACAATAAGCAGAGAAACCCTAAATGCATAATATATATATATGTATATATATATATATATATAAAATATCACATTAAATATTTGAGACAGCCCTGTCTCATTTGTCCATTATGTTTACTTACAATTGGCCTGCCAACCCAATCGTAAACATAGTCAAAGGTGTATCCCTTCCGTTCAAAGAGTTCAGAGAAAAGTGTCCGTAGATAATCATAATCTGGCTTCTCAAAGAAATCCAACCGCCTCACGTATCGCAAGTAAGTAGCCATCTCCTCTGGAGGAAGGAAGCGATATTAGATGTTTGAGTACATGTGAACTACTAAATTAAAAGGGAAAAACAAACTATTTTCACAGTATTACACCAGTGGCTATTCATGCTGCAACGATCACACACTCTTACACAGATAGATAAGCAGCCAAATCCACGTTCTTCCATACATTAAAGACATACAGTTGGCCATATGACATTACCCCATACCTACAGGTAACAATACCCATATTTACCATACACACAGTCAGCCATACCCACCTTTCATACACACAGTTCTACCCACACTCTTCCATTGATATATACATACATATACACAAACATTGTGTAGGCATACCCACACTATCCCATATATAACCTCATGTATGGAGTGTCATTTCTACAGATCTGAAGTGCCAAAGTTATCAATCCAGTCCATCATGGTACAAACTTGGTCTTCATAAAACAAAGCAGGTCCACTACCTCAACTGATCCAACAGGCACACGGTTACTGAAAACCTGCAGGACTATATTGTAAAGCACAATACTGGAAGGGACTCTGGCTTCTAAACAACCAAAGAAGAACATCCTACCCAGGATCAAAGTGCTCTCGTTGGTTAATACATTCCCCTCACCTGGGAAGTTCTCACAAAGAACCTCAACTGGAGTGTTTCTTTTTGTGTCACCAATCTTCTGATAGCGCTCCTTCAAAGTGTCTGCCTGCAAAATGAATATATCAAGAAATTAGTTCAACAAGCATGCAAAATATTGTGCATGAGCAAAGATATATAGTCCCATGTGCCACAATCTAGAAAGGAAAACCGTGTGTATCCCATCACTTTTTATTTGGCTAACAATTAAAGTAGCATTAAAACAGGGCAAGATGTCTCCAGGTACTCAAATACATTAGGTGTAACATGTTTGTTACAGCCGATTATGCTGCTTGGGTCATACTTGTTGTCCTGGTATCACATGACTACAGATGGAAGACCACTCCCCCTCCCCCCCAAAAAAAGGAAATCAATAGATGCGTCTTATTTCTGAGTAGGTTTTGGCTTCCAAAGTGAACCGTTTATAAACAGCGGAGTAAATTTAAGAACCTTTAAGGTTCTAGCCTACATGTTCCTCTAATAGAGAACAAGTTATACGATTCAGAAATATGTGTGCAGAATAACTACCGGTAATATTATAAAACTGTCATGGCAGACTGGATGTATATCATTTGCTATTTTTAATCCGTGAAACCTATTGCCTGCTTGTTTATGGTAAACTGCCGCTGAAACACAACAATGCCATATGGTGCCATCTACACTAAATATTTGCATATATTAAGAAATAGGTTTCTGTATAAGAATTGTTTTGGCCATTTCCCATCAAAAAATGTAATTGGTTTGAAAATGCTACAAATTGGACATGAAATGCAATAAATAAAAAAACACTACTAAAGGCCTATTATGGATTGAAAGAAGGATTTCTGAGATTTACAAGCAGAGAAAATGACTGATATACCAAAAACCCATACATTTTCTGCTCGAAAGGGGACACCTGGTTCATTCTAAAAATTAGGTATAACCAAGGTTACTACTATATATGACGTATAAAAAGAAAAAATAAGCAGAATTTAATGGAACATCAAGTGCACAGCAACGTTTCGACCTGCACTCAGGTCTTTGTCAAACTTATACTTTCTATGTGGGTTGTGCTGGCCCTAGCTCAGTTTAGCACCCTGTTTTATGGTAGAGTGCGCTCCTTCCTTTTTTACTACTATATATGTCACATATTTTATTAGACATTGGTAACACTGTATACTCTTTCTTGTATGCAAATACATCATAAAAAGTAAAATGTAAAAAAAATAAAAATAAAGAAAGGATCAAATCGTAGAAACACTCCCCCCCACCCCCCCACCCCACAAAAAAAAACCAACTAACAAACCTTCAGGCCCTGCCACGGAAGGCTTCCTCGCAGGAAATACATAAACATGTGTCCCAGAGCCTCTAAGTCATCTCGCCGACTTTGCTCTAAAAGATAAAAATATATTTACATTCATGCATCAATCCTCCTGGAATGCCATTCTGTTTAACTGGTCTGATCGTCTTACATGCTGGCCTCTTCCATTCATTTTGCATTCTACCAGTTTCCCAGCACAATAATATCTGACTGATTACACATAACACACGGTGGTTCATTGATTGAAATGTAAAGACTTGCTCTCCAGTGAAAGAAACTGACATCTGTATTTGTTCTGATCATGCTCATGAGTCAGAATAGAGAAGCTAAAATAACCGTGCCCTTACTGGAATTTCTGCATCAGGTAGCAAGTGTAAGGGTACAATATGAAGGCCAAGAATTTTCATTTGTTCTTTCACGTGCCTTGGTCAACAGTCAGCAGAGAGAGACAGCCAGGAAGGAAGCATGGACACCACCCAGGATTTATTTTGGGAAAAGATCAATTCTAAAGGGACCTTGTTACAGACCCCCTCGTACCCATAAAGATGTGAATTTTTTAAAATGAAAGAGATAGTCTAAGTATTACAATCACTACAGGGTACTGTAGTGGTCATGGTGTCAGGAATCTCCTGGTGCTGTTACACCGTAATCTATCAAACCATTTATGAACAGTATGACAAGTATCTGGCTCTGTCCTTTTGGTCTGCATGGACATGCTACAGCGTAACTTCATACAAATATCTTTACATTTTTATGCATGTTTGGACATTATTCATTGACGGGTGGCGTCAACAGATACTCTCAACAATGTATATGGTCCAAAAGTTGAACACAATTGATAATGCTAATGAAGAAACATGAACTTTATGTTTAGCATATCACTGGAGACCGGAAGAACGTGGGAACCCAACAGAGACAGGCAGTGGTTTGACCACTTACCACGGGACAGTGAAAAGGGTCTTCTAGCACTATAATCACTACACTGCACTTGATAGAGTGCTTAGAGTTCCATTTTAAGGTAAATAATAATTGCTATTAGCCCATGTGATATCAACCAATAAAGAGGCACTTTTAATCTCATTCTTTGATTTCATTTTTTTTTGGCATACTGAAAGGGCCACCAAACCTATGAGCATATGTAAAATAGCAGGTCCATAAAAATTGCCAAATTTGCAAATGTTGTTCCCTTTGTAAATACAGAAGATAAAGACCTGTAATTTTCCAAGCCTAATACGTCAGGTGGTCCTTTGAGTATGCCAAATAGAGTATGCCCCCCAACGAATGTGAGGTTGAAGACCTTGTTGATTTGGGTGCTTCGTAAATGTACCCAGTTAAAACAAAGTTTGGGCACATGCTCTCCCAATGCATTCTCCCAATGCATTCCAATATCAGATGGGTTTTGTAATGAACAATCAGGCATCCTGGAATATTAGACCTAAGAGCAATATCTATAGCAGAGCTCAAACCCCAATCCATACACTAGCATTTGGCAAGTAAAAATTCACCCCTGGTGAGAGTGACATGGACCATCAAGACTTGTATTGGCAAGTAACTTTTAGACATGTGGACTTGAAATGTTGCGCACGGTCAATTGTATGAAAGCCTATCAGAGACACATTACCGCCATTAAGCAGATTTGCCATGTATAGGCTAGAGACTAATGCCCATTCTTTCATCACGTCATCATATACTAGGACAAAGAAAATTATCGAGGACATCGGTGGCTTTACAGTGTAGCGTTCCCATAGACATCATGGTATATTTTGGCTTGCTGTCATTAATTTCTTATTGAGAACGTCTTCATGGTTTCTATAACTTCACAATCAAAAGTCTGATCATGGTGGGAAGTAAAACCAAAAGCATAAAGCACTGTCTTAGATGGTACCACAATATACACTTGTTAAAGGACAAAACCAAAGTGTGACCTGACATCCTCAAAAGAAAAAACAGCATATTGAATTCATAAAAATCCAGCCACACAAACAATGCCTCCTATCTAAAAAAAGACAAATATGGGCTTATTAAGTAAAGGTAAAACTTACGGTATTCTGGGGCAAAGTATTAAATGTGGAGGAATGGTTGCCTGGAGACTGCACCTTGTTCAACTCAAACCTACACAATAGCACACTTTTCTCTGATAAATATTGCAATAGATATTTAAATAGTGCATGGCCTTCATTGTTTTGTATAAAACCTATATATCACCACCAGATCAACATTTTAATTCAGGGACTGAAAGACATGCAGTATGCGGGCTTATTCACTTAACTCGAGCGATCTGTCACTGCTTTGTTAATTTAAATCGAAATTCTACAGTTTTAAATCTAATGCTTAGTAAATAAACCCTCATATTGTCTCTCTTTGTACACATAGATGATAATTCATGGAGGTCATGGGTACATTGAGGAGGAGCTAATGATAAAGTAGATCATAATCACCGCACTGTTGTAATAACAATTTACATAGCAGTTGCCATAGAAATTTTCCTATTATGCAATTTGCGATGTGCTACAAATACTGCCAGAGCAGCTAGCAACACAGCAGAATAAAGGAACAATCATGCACAAAAGGTCTGACAGCCACATCAAACCTGTCTTCTGATCATCAGCAAATGCTTACTTTCCTGTTCCTATTCTGGAAAGCTGCCTGTCCAAAACAAACGTACGGGTGAAAACACATTGTGCACCACTTCCTGGTTAGGCAAGTAAAACTCCGGGTAAGATGGGTACACACCGACTGCTGGCACTAGTTAGATGGAATATTCCTGGACAATCTGTCTGCATTTGTTGCCATGGAATGCTGTTCTAGGGGTGAAAATGGTCACAACAAATTTGGCAGTGACAGTGGTGGAAAGGATTGTGTTGCTATATAGACAAAGCAGCATGGTGACTCCACCGCCCACTCTGGTAAGGTTGCAAAGTGTGTGGGACAAAAGTGTCTTCAATTGCAAACATTCAGTGCCTACATATTCCATATTTCAAGATTGAGCACTCATATACTTTACATGTTAAGTGACCATTGCTCCTTTAACAGCATAAACTGATTTAAAGAATTGCACTGAAGGGACTTCTTATGGTTTACTGATCAACAACTCAGTTTCAATTAAAAAAACAAAAAAAAACAAAACAAAAAACAGGAAGGTAGCTTTTAAAATAAAAAAATGTAAACCATGCATGTGTTTATTTAGAAAGCTGTATTTGAACCAGTGTTCAACTATAAAGTGTGCCAGCAGAAATTCAATGGGGAAAAACTGGAGAATTGAGTGCAGGGGACACGTTAAACCGTATTTGGGATAGTATATGTCCAACTTTCATACTGAGCCACTGCAGGGAGGAGAGGCAAATAAAGATTAATGCAAACCTTTCCCTAGGTGAGTGTTGATGGACATGTATCTGGCTGTTCCGGTTAGGCTTTTGTGTTCCCGGTAAGGTATGTGCTTTTTGGTTTCCGGGTCAATGTACTCCTTGGCCAGACCAAAGTCTATGATATGGATGACGTGCTCCTTCTTGTTGCCTTGACGACCGATCAGAAAATTCTCTGGCTTGACATCCCGGTAAATGAGGTTTTTGGAGTGTACATATTCCATCCTTGAAATCTGGAGAGAAGTTTAAAGGTATTGGTTACAACATAGGATATTCTATCACTAGACCAGGTAATTCTTTACAAGAAAACAAATTAAGCCATTTTGAACATATGGGGTTTGTGAGTATCCTTTTAACCAGAAGCCTTAATTAGGAATAAAGAACAATTTGGAGATAAAATGCTGTGCAATTTCTATGGAAACCAGATTATATTGGGTCATATTGAGGATTATGAGGGAAACAAAATGGCAATTACTGAAGATTTCAAAGGATCCTGAAATATGCAAAGCTTTTTTAATGAGGTTTTTTTTTTATTTTTTTATATTTCAAAGAAAAAATAAAATAAAACCCTTTGGTAATTTGAATGCTCTGAACTTGACATATGGAACTGGAGAACAAAACCTTCACAGTGAAATACAAACATGTAAACGATACAAGCAAGTTTAAGGGTTTAATGGAAAATATATACATTTACATACACGCCCTACCTATTGTATGCATGTTAGAACATACTGGTGTAAACCAGAACTCTACAAGTAATGCTTCTTTGTGCTGTATCAATGCGTCAAAGGTGAGGTCACTCACAGCAGCATGATTAGATAATAACACTAGGGTGGCAAGTCCCAGCTTATTGAATGGGCCTAATACCCTGGCAGATCAAACAATTTAAAAGTTTCAAAAAACATGCAAACAATAACATGAAAAAAAAAAATAATTACAGCACAAGCACATAATGTTAAACATTAAAGTAACAGTTGCAATCCATATGATTTCATGCAATTATTTGGGATATGCCTGCATCCACCAAGAAGGAGGATGGAGACGAACTGTTTAAGGTCTGTAAAAAAAAAGAAAAAAAAAAAAGCTTTTAATAATGTCGAATTCCTTTAACATATCCAGAGTTATTCCAAAAAGAGAAAAATTATCAGGAATTTCTTATTTAAAGCCAAAAGACCATGAACTGGCAACACGGCTGACTAAATTATGCATTCCTTGATGAAATCCCAACAATTCACAATTAAGCGAATAACCCTTCTTGATGGCGACTTTTTTTCTGCATTATTTGGCACCAACGTTTTGTTTATTTGTATATTTTTAAGTTAGCCAAAACCCAATTCAACCAAATAATGGCATTGAAGTAAAACAGAATTATAATAAAAACAAAAAACAAACAAAAAAAAACATACAGGATGTTTCTTGCTATAATCTCTAGGACCTGTTTTCATTACAGTTGTATGAATCCATGTGCTTTAGAGAATTAAGCTTCTTGGTGTTTTTAACCAATCCGATAAAACTCCCGCTCAGTAGACCGAGAGTGCCTGGCTTATAATAAATTGTAGCTGCCTATCAGGAACAATGCATTGAAAATATAAATCACTTAACTTTTACTTTGTTATTTCAACTTCTCTAAATCCACATTGCTACATTAATTGCAATTAAAAAGCAATGTTACAGCCTTATTCAATGTTACAGCCTTATTCAATGTTACAGAAGTTCACTGCTTGAAAGTAGGGACTGACAAAAAGCAAATCGTAATGGTAACTTTTAGACCATCTCGGTCAAGGTGTTACTTTTTAACAGAGTCAACTAGGCTAACAATTTCCGCAACAGAAGCACGGACCGTAGGGGGTTAGACAGACACGCTGAAGGCCCTACTTACTATGCGAACGGTAGGACAAGTATTAAACAAGAAGCAGAGTCTGATTTCCCGTTTTAGCAGAAGGGTTTTGCCAACTCCCATATTCTCACGACAGTACAGGGACAAAAAGAATTGTGTTGCTGGGAAGTAGTTCATAAATATTTTATGAGTAAGAAAAATACAGTTACTTTATTGCCACGGAGACTTTCACTTACCAGTTGAATGGCTATCATCAACACAGTCTTCAAAGTGAAGGTACGATCACAAAGGTCAAATAAATCTTCCAAACTTGGGCCCAGAAGCTCCAGTACCATGGCATTGTACTTTCCACATGGCCCAAAGTAGAAGACCTGAGGAAGCCCATCAGCTGTGACATGTAAAGGAGGTTAGAACATTTAGAGAAACTATACACATATTTTAGTAACAGAGTACACAATCAACACTTCTCTGGTTAGCCTATGCAAAACTAGAGGCACTATCACAGACTAGACTCCCAATACTTCTTTTGGTATGTTACAGAGAACTACATGTGTGAATGCTTCCTCCATACAAATAAAGGAAAGCGCAATAACATGTTAATCAGACAACATCACCACACAGCAGTATATGATTCTAGTAGTTCACTGTAAAAACAGGTTGTGTATCATGCAGTGTACAGCACAGAATTTTAATATTTTGGCTGATCCTTCATTCCTGAAAGAAAGTCATACCATAACCTTTTGCATTTATCAGGATGCACAAAACAGGTCACTTATAATTAGTATATACAGCATTCCCCTCTCCCCAGCAAATGAATGGGAGTTACTTGTGCATGCGCAGTACTGCCATCTGCTTTTCATTGAATAGGAAGCAGCTCTCTGCTATCACTGAATGCACTAGTGCTTCTCCCATTAATTTGCACAGGAACCACAGCTAGGTTGTTTAACAGCATTACTGTAGCCTGAAAAAAAGGCTACAAATTTGTCACAGTGTTGGCTTTTCTAAAGGAAACTTATTTTAAGCAAAAACAGCTGATAAGTACTATGATCAGATGTACGGATGTAGTTTTAAAGCCAGACGTACCCACACAGTATTTTCTACATCTATGTAATATGTAGAATGTTATTCTGACTGTTTGGATACAACCATAATGAGCCTGCAATACTTAATGTTAATACAAGGCAGTGATGTAGTCGATTATGACAAATCCATAGGCAGGTGAGTTATTTGAATATTAGAGGACAGGCCAGGATAACCTGTATGGCAGTAACCTGAGAATACCTTCTCAGCAGTACATAGAATAACTTTGCTCTAATTTCCTTTATTACAGTCACAAATGAAGCTGCAGGAGTTGAATACCTGTGTTCCCGAGTTGCTTGTAAAACCGGTATTCCAGGTGAAGCTGTGGAGCGCGTGATTTTATTGGTTCCTGTTGAAGAGATAAGGTATAATCAAATCACCAGACGTCACATGTTAAGTAATATACTGCAATATTTACATTTTCTTTAAAGACTGAATTAAAAATGTAAATACAGGTATTGCACATCAATTTCAATCATTTCAGGAACCAGAAGATGAAATGTATACACAGAGTGTACACAAGAATCAAAGTGAGCACTTATTCACTACACACAAACTTGTATTGAAATTAAAACAACATGGCAAAACTTGGGTGTAAAAAGTGCTGATTTGGTAAAATTCTCCAAATTCGCAACAGACCTAGCTTGGCTATTTTAGCATACATTTTGCAATTTAGTTTTCAACGCATCACAATTGTATATATAGCTCATGACATGCTGCCATTTTATATTTGGATTTAAAGAAATCGTTGCTACGAAGGGGTTAAAAGGAGGAGGCAGCTGTAATTTGTGAAGGCTTCTGTGTGGAGTGATGTCCAGTGTCAGCATTTTGACAAGAGCACTGGGAAAAGACAGGATGAAGTAGCTAATAGAAAGGCAATGTACAGGAGATTAGACTGATCTGAGCGAGACAGGACAAACAAGCAAAAAAACTAAAGAAACCAAGTGAAAGAAAAGGTCAAATGATTCATGGGTAAAAATGCCAGGAATTGGAGAACAAGTGAACTCTGTGGATAAAAGGAGAGGGTGGAGTGAAAGATTATAAAAGCAATAAAATCAAAGTACACCAAACAAAAAACTAAAATTAGCATCAAAAATAGCGAAAGGAAACGGCAACAGAAACTATGATATGATGTGATAACCCAGCGATTTATACTGCCTGTAACTTGGGATGATCACACACACAACACGCTAACTTAAAGGGAAACTCCCAGGCACCAGAAATGGATGTTCATTACACAGCATATGTTATATGTCAGTTCCCAGTACTCCCAAATAATATCTTATAAATGCAGCAATTCACAAAAAAAACAATACAACCCCCCCAACATTGTAGGTATCTGCAGAATACCTAGTACTGGTGTGCTCCATCAAACATCCCAATGTATCTCTACTGGTGGATTTTACGAAACAGACATAGGCCAGTGTGATAGGATGTACAGAACATTACTAGTGATGCAAGTGTATCTCGGCCCGGCACCAGACTCTCCGGGTTAACAAACATGCTTACAAGCTAGAGGACATGAGGTGTTCACGCACAATGCACACTACTGCATTGCACAGACACAACGGTCAACTCAAAGTTTTTAATAAAACAATCCTTTCATCATGTTTTGAAAGGCAATAGAGAATCCACACATAATACATGTATTTCTGGGGTTTTTATTTAAATATACTTTAAACAGGTTTCTCACTTCTCTCAGGTTTTAGTTAACACATTTCAAATAAATTTCCTTCAGATAGCTGTAATACATTCAGTGTAAGAATTTCTAAGTAATTGCAATATTTACAGAATTGTATTTATTTCTACAAAAAGGCTTTTTATTTTAAATAAAAATGTGAAACCTAGAGCTGTATGTAGCTGTAAACATCAGTATGTAAGGAACATATTTCTCCAGAATTGTATAATTATTCTGGATTCTCTAAAATTGCCAATATCATTGGTGACAATTGTTTGGGTGAATTTTTTTAATTGTCAATCGATGTTTTATTGAGGCAACGAAGTAGTACATAACATACAACACAGAGTTATAGCATACAGAGGAATACATGCTTTGTTAATGCATGTTTTATTTTATTTTAATACAATGTATTAATACTTATATGTGTATAAAAAAAATAAACAAAATCATTTACCTTTGAGGACATGGATTTTTAGTGTTAACAATAAATAAAAACTGGTAACAATTATGCAAAATTTTTAAACAAATCTAATGTACTGATTTCACATGCACTAAAATTAAAGCCAAAGCTGCTTGACAAACGGGCCAACGTTTTGCATCCAAACAATGTTCTGTTCCAGGCTACAAGGGAGTGGAACCAGTTTATTCAGGGGACAGACTGTGTGACTGGTTTGCAGCCAGAGATCTAACATGGGGTGCGCCCAAGGATGAGGAACAAACCCAATGCTCCGTGCGCGGTGCTCGCTCTAGTATATGCCAATGATTCTCTTATAAAAGAGTATCACTGAATGTAATAATTCATTCTGACAAGGCATGATGGTACTGCACATGCAACGTCACTATATGCCTTGGTATGGAGAGCTGAAAAGTAAAAGTCCAAGCTCTCCTATGCAGAGGGCTCTATTACAAGGGGATCTACTGTAGGCACTACAACTTCAGTTAGATTGTTATAAGTTGTAATGACTATAGTGTTCCTTTAAATTAAATATAAAAGTAGAAATTCACACCTGGCTATCCTTCAATTTGGAGCCACCATCTCTATTAAATATTAGTGTCAGGAATACAAATGTATATTCCTGACACCATAGGTCTTAAAGCGGCACTGTCATGCCAAACTTACCTTTCCCCAATCGATTCCTCTTCTCCCTCTCTGTCAGGATCTTTTCTTCATTTCTTTATGTCTGCTCTAGTTTTCTTTAAAACAAAAGAAAATGTAGGGACTATTTTGTCTTATGGAGGTTCCCTACGCTTGACCAGCGGAGACGCAAGGTGTGCTCCATTTTCTGTGGTCAAAGCAATTTCCCCACAATTCTCACTTTTCCTCCGTGATCTCGAGATGCTTCCTGTCAGTATTCCCGAATGTCCAGTCATTTAGAACGAACGCTGGCGAAACTACCGAATTAAGTCATAACAGAATGAGAACAGTTTCTCCATTCGCATTAGGACACAAATCGGGACTCTGCTCGGATCGAATTCCATTCAAATGAAATAATGATACGATTCGTGCCGCGGCTGCATCTTGCAGCCACTTAGTAGATAACTCCTTAATTCCCCACGGTATTAGGGAGCTATCTACCAAAAAGCTGAAAGACCTAAATTGGGACCTAATGAGTGGCGGATGGGGGCCCTAAATTATAATAAGGGGTGAGGGGAGATCTATTGTCCTACCCCCGGCCCCCACCCATTCAAATTGAAAGCATGGGAAAATTCCAAAGAACTTTTCCCATGCTGTGTAAAATGACAAAAATACAAAAGAATAGTGTGTTAACAAGGCGCTTATTATAATGTACAGTAAATATAAATAGCAGCTACCACTATAAATAGGGACTCTCTACCCTATACATAAGCATAAAAAGTCAAGTGAACACTCCGTGAGGAATTGGCAGAAAACCACCCCTGGTGTACAAGTGGAGCGCTCAAATTATAATCAACTCACCCATATGGGTATGTATATGAAAACTTCAGCGACAGCGTATCTAAAACAAATATAAATACAAAAAGATGGTGCAAGTAACGTAATGAGACGAGCACAGTGGTTGAATGTTCTATATAGACTCACTCACATGTCACTGAACCCTCTAGGATAGGCTCAGATCTCAACAGCAGATGTGTACTTCTGGCGACACAAAACCCAAATCGGTTCTCTACCCGTCAATAGGTCCTTTATATGAAAGAGGAACACAAGGGAGAAGAAAAATCCTAGTGCAGTGAGTCCCAATAATAAGGAATAAATATAAAATATTGGCTTCTCACCTGATAAGGAGCCCTATACCTGGCTCTCAGTATGTAGGTATCTGTGCCTTTAAGGAGGCTACCACCCTTCTTTAAGCAGCAACAATGGAAGATGAGTATCAATTTAAAACAAAATTTAATATGTAAACAACTTACAAACAGAAATAAACAAAATTATATAAATATAATAAAAATATATGTATAAAAATAAAGATGCTCCTATCTTCCAGCCGAGACGCGTTTCGCTGTGTAAAATGACACAGAGCACTCTGATTGGTTGGATTTCAAGCCTTCAAGCTTTCATTTACCTGTCTGAGCACTCTGATTGGTTGGCTTAAACTAACCAATAAGAGCGCTCTGAGCCCAATTGCAGGTCATGGAAAGGTTTTATAAGCCTTTCCCCGCCCTGTAAAGCCCAATCTGTGCCGTCTACATTAGGTCCCCCCTTTCAGTTTAATAGCCCCCATCCGTGCCAGCTCGGGAGGGGGGACACTAGGAGGCAGCCCATCTAGTGTGGGCAGATGACATGTCCCACAGGCACTTCCTCTACCCACACAAAGATGGCGGCGCCCAGGACCTAGGTCCAGACAGAAAATAAAGATGAAAAAGTAGATAATATGGGGGGCTTAGGGGATTAACTAGGGGGACAATTAGATGTACTGGAGTCGGGAGGGGGGTTTAAAAAAAAATAAAAAAATGGATTTGGCCATGACAGTGCCGCTTTAATAATGTTTAGGTGCTCAGTCCTCTCTTGCCTCGGGTTTAAAAGGCTATTTACTCACCAGCAATTTTGCTTGTGGCTGGCTACGCTTCGTCCCCTTGGCGGAGATCAAACTTTATTACCTCAGCCAATCCAATGCTTTCGCTATTGCACATGTGCAGCTAAATATTGCGCTGGCCAATCAGCATCTCCTCAATGCATCTCTATAGGGGAAGTTCAGTGCATCCATATACAGAGAGTGCAGATGCTGAACGTCAGCGCGGACCCACAAAGCACCTCTAGTGAAAGCCTGAGTGACTGGTGCCTAGTAACACCTCCAGTATCAATGTATCTCAGAAAAGGCAGTGTTTACATTAAAAAGTCTGCATTGACTGACTAGACTCATTAAAAGGACCACTATAGGCACCCAGACCACTTCAGCTTCATGAAGTGGTCTGGGTGCCAGGTTCAGCTAGGGTTAACCCTTTTTTCTATAAACATAGCAGTTTCAGAGAAGCTATGTTTATAAATGGGTTAATCCAGCCTCTAGTGGCTGTCTCATTGACAGCCGCTAGAGGCGCATCTGCGCTTCTCACTGTGATTTTCACAGTGAGAAGACGCCAGCGTCCATAGGAAAGCATTGAGAATGCTTTCCTATGGACTGGCTGAATGCGCGCACGGCTCCTGCCGCGCATGCGCATTCAGCCGAAGAGGAGGCGGAAACTCCCCACCCGACGCTGGAGAAAGAGGCAAGTTTAACCCCTTCCAACCCTAGAGCCCGGCGGGAGGGAGACCCTGAGGGTGGGGGCACCCTCAGGGCACTGTAGTGCCAGGAAAACGAGTATGTTTTCCTGGCACTATAGTGTTCCTTTAAGCTGTAGTTGTTCTGGTGACTATAGTGTCCTTCTAACGCCATGTCAGTAATTATAAATTCTGCCCTTTGAACCTAGCAGTGGGCACAGAGAAAGCATACAGAGGAATGAAACATTACCAATGTTGAGGATGCATAGAAGCAAAATTTGCTGTGGTTTTGCTTTCTCCGAACTAGGCTATAGGTGTAATTTGCTAAATTTTCTAAATAAATTTAAAAGAAAAAAAAATGGAGCATCTCATGAAAAAAGGTTAACACAAGTTGCAGGTCATTTTCCATGTTTGATTTAATGGTGTAAATGCCAGAGAATTACAGTTTCCCTTTAAACCAACCAAGGTTGGCCAAAAGATTGATGCCACTTTGAAGAGAATTCATGGCTTTTCAGGAATTGATGAATCAGGGACTTTGCGAAACTGACAAATTAGTCATCAAACTGATGGAGGAATATCATTCTCATAATTCTCTGCTTGTCACAATAACTGGGGATATGGTCATAACTATGCAAATGCACCAGCACTTATAGTTCTAAATAGGGCCTTTATTACTTATCGTTTAAATAACGAAGCCTTATTTAGGGTTTTCATTCTCAATACAGATCCAAAAGATTGAGGGAATAGAAGACATTGCTAAGTACAATGACAGGAAAGATTGCTTATGTGTTTTTATATAAACAGAGCATGCTTTGAAACCAATATAAAATATTGTTATTTCTCTGAAATAAGTGGCTGTAAATTTACAGCGAGGCCTGATTTACTATTGCTAGCTTCCTGTGCAAAATAAAAAAATAAATAAAGCAAAAAAGAAGCCACGGTATGGCATGTCTTACAATAAAGCTCTATTTAAATGAGAAGTCCAACTAATGCTAACAAGGAGATAATTAGCTGGGAATACAACTCCCATTAGGCTTTACCAGTCTTTGCCCACTAAAATGTGTGCCCTGGCTGTGCCTAAAATTAAAGCATAACTAACCTAGTTTTAACTTTTTTATAGGTTTACTTTATCTCACTAAGAAGCTGCAGGCCCACACAGAGCTACAGTGTCCCTTCAATTTTCACATGGCTGGTCAGGTAATAATAGAATCTATGCCAACATGGTTACGCTCAGTCAAATAAAGAGATTTTTTGTTTTGCAAAAAACAACAAAAAAAAAAACACATTAAGCTTCAATAAATACATAAACTTAAAAACAAAATAAAAGGTAAGTAAAAATTTTATGCAAGTTGTCTTAACTGGATTGGGATATAAATTTCAAAATTGGGACACTAGGCACCACAACCACTAGAGTGCTGTATGGTGCCCTGCGTTCTAGCAGGCCTCCCAACTGTCCGTATATTGGCGGGTCAGTCCTGGTTTTAGGATTCTAACTTTGGGCAGCAGAGTACAAGCACATGGTTAGACTATAACAAACGGTTTAACTATTACTTTGCTCTCACAGTCCTTCAAGTTTGGCTTACTCTGATATATTTAAAGTACATACTCCTACATTATCACACCAACTGCTAAAAGGTTTATACAGTGTTCACTAGCTGAGAGATGGCAGCTGACACACTGTCAATCAATCCTGCATGAGTTGGTATGATAATGCAGAAGAATGAACTTCCCCTTTATCAGACGAACACAGACCAGAAGGTCTGCAGGCACCTGACAGAAAGGAAAGCGTTAAACCAGTACTGGCATACAATGCCACGGGACAGCATGTTGTAATGTTTACAGTGCCTGGAATCCCTTCTGCATATACACATTAAAAGTAAATGTAGTATTCTAGGATATACTTTCGGAGAAGTGACTGTTCACCTTGACATGCACTAGAGGCGCCTCCGCAGATATAGCCAGCTAAAATAACTCCGCTATTTCTATCAGATGGTCTCAGAGACTGATAAGCACAGCACAGCGTTTTGCTGCGCATGTTCACTAGCTGAGATCATCAATCTCAATGATCTCAGCCAAGGAGGCAGAACAACAGCTTCCTTCCTTTAAATCAGCTCCTTAAAAGTGTTTTATTACCTTTTAGTTTCTGCAGCTTGTTTTGAAACATGCAAACATAAAAAAAACAAAAAACACACACACAAAACATATTGCAGACCCGTGTAACCCTCAATCAAGACGCACAAATTGTTTGCGAGAGACAAAATTACTTTTTGGAAATGGTGTGGAAACCAACAGCCCCCATCTGGACATGGACTACAATCCCTAGAATTCCCAGACATGAACTTGCAGATAATCATAACAATACACAGTTTGGGATCTATCAGGGGTATTTTCCAAAGTGAGAATTTAAAGTGAATCTCACTAATTTTAAATTCTCATGTTAGTAAATAAACCAGTATGATTAAGAAGCACATTTATCTTTGAATTAAGAATAAAGCACAATGTAAACAAAGCTAACAACTTTTTTGGTACAATGAGATTTAAGTCTATACAGTTCACAACCCGCTGGTGAAGGGGAGGTTAAGACGACAGAATGTCAGGTAAACAAAGGAGAGAATTAACGACTTCCTGGTTATATTTTACTATAAGACTGGCTGGCTGGCATTGTCCACATGGGTGGGGTTTCCTCTTTAGTCGTTTTGTGCTACTGTGCATCTCCATATTGAAGGGGGGTACACCTTTGTAGCTATGCATTCTAAAAGAAATGTATAAAACAGAACTATAAACATTGCCACCCATTGTGGTATTTATAAGTAAAATCCTCACAGCAAATTGTGCGTTTTTTTTTTTTTTTTTTAAGTAAGATGTTTGTGAAACAATAATTCTATAACATCATTTGCCAACCCCTGAACTCTGACATCTTAACCAGGAAATCAGTCATGACTTACACACAGGCAGGAAGAGGAAGGAAGTGTGATATTCTGTCAGGAAGGAGCAGGCAGAGAATCCCGAATAAATGGGGTGTGGGGCAAATTGCAATGAGCAGAGGAATAGTTACATACTCACCAGTTTAATTGCCACATACTCATTGGTGTAAAGATTTTTGCCTGCAAAATAAAGGACACATTTCAAAATCACAACCTCTTCATAGACTGATGAACAAGTACAATCTAATTTAAAACCCAAAAAGACAATCTGATTCATGGATATATTCATATGCTATTATAGCACAGAGCACTTTTAATATAATGCTCGTTCTGGATATATATGTGTTTATCACAGGGACACACTCTCTCTCTCCATCATGTAATTTCTTTGATTATGGCATACTTAAAATATACATGAAAACATTGCTTCCCGTTGAAAAGATACATAGCAGAGTTTATGCATTTTTTTACTTTATCAATGAGCAAAACCAATATCTACCAGGCTTCCACAATGCAATGCAGTGGGTTTGGCATTGTAATGTAGGGAACCGGGGACCGTAAGTTTGAGGCCTTCCTGCTATGACCTCACAATAGTAAAGATGGTACTAAAAAGACAAGAAGGCACCAGGTTTTATCTTTTTAATATCAGGGAATGGGAGGTGGAGACCTCATACTGACACCTAACTATAAAACACCTCTCTAAATATACTGAGAGTTACATCTGGTCATTAAACCATGCAGTGTTGCAAGGCAGACAGAAAAGGTTAATGGTTAATATGGCACAGAGCAAAACTCTGAATAATAAGTGGGGGCTGGCAGTTCTAAGATGAGGCAGGTAGGGAAGGAAGTGGCACTGTGAAAATCCATATACGGAAACAGATGATTGAACTATCGAAGGAATTTTGTAAAGGCAAACATCCACCCACATAGGGCCACACACCTTAGGAAAGGTGAAAGGGTAGATTGAAAGCACCACTTGATAAATCTACGTAAAATCATGAATCTGGATCAAATTAGTCGTTCTAGCTCCTGTGTCACAGCTAAATGTTGACTGTGGTTTACTTGCATTCTAAAACCCACAAAACCATGCTTTTAACATAAAATGGGAGCAACACTCAAAATTGCTTTGCAACAAATACAAGGTTATTCACTAGAGTGAGAATTCAAAGTGAATTTTAAATATTAGGGAATGATTGCCAAACTAGAAGAATTCTCTAAGTCAGCAGCACCTCCAATAGTTTGTGTTTTGAGGGAGAATGTTCAATCTGCTCGAATCAGGAAACCATAACATTTTTAATGTTTAGGGCTTAATATTTAGGAGTGAAACATGTAGATTTGGCAGCAGAGTGATATAATGAGCAGGGAGCAATTGCCAGCAGTAGAAATTATCTAATATATGAAGCACATACAGATTATATTCTCCAATGAGTCATTATGCAAAGGAAGCGTGTAGGAGTATACAGTAATTAGGACCAGGGCTTACCATGTTCAGAACTGTCACAGTATAGGGGGGCTAGCACCTGCCATGGATGAACAATGCAATGAAATGTACAATGAGTTCGATTAACGGAAAAGGCTGGAAATGGGGAAATCAGCCCGACAGATAATAAAGACAACACGTATTATTAGCATATCCAGAGAGAATATGCATTACCGTGTGATCATTTACCAAGTAGAATAATATTAATATATTGCCTTATAATTTTTTATAGAAAAAAAAAAAAAAAATCAACAGTTTTGTGAAAGAGGAGTTTAAAAGCAGGTGGCAGGACTAAAGGAAATAAAGATAATAAAATGTTTAAAATTTTGGCTTTTCCAACATCCAATGCAATAACCATCAGTTAGGGGGTTAATCTTTATATGTGAATATTGCACATACAGACCCCAAGCACCATGACAATATCATATCCTAGTCAACACACATATCACTCACAGAAACAGTTAAAGGACCACTATAGTACCAAGAAAACAAACTTGTTTTCCAGGCACCATAGTGCCCTGAGAGTGCCCCCACCCTCATGACCCCCCTCCTGCCGGGCTGAAGTTGGAGGAAGGGGGTTAAACACTTACCTTTCTCCAGCACCGGGCTCCCTCGGCGCTGGGGACTCTCCTCCCTCTTCTGATGTCATCGGCTGAATACGCATGCGCGGCAAGAGCCGCGCGCGCAGTTAGTCCATGGGAAAGCATGGACGCTGGCGTGTTCTCACTGTGAAAATCACAGTGAGAAGAGCGGAAGCGCCTCTATCGGCTGTCAATGAGACAGCCACTAGAGGCTGGATTAACCCTATTGTAAACATAGCAGTTTCCTGCTTTGGGCCCAGGGCGACATTAATCCAGCTCTGTTGTAGAGCATACCTTTCATTGGAGCTGAATTCAATAACTGGGTGGAACTCAGACAGCAGTAACAGGTAAGACTACACAGGTAAGACAATATGTAGAAAAGCAGCCTATGTAAAACAGGTCCCTTTGACATTTGTAAAAGATCCAAGATCACAGCCATTATTTGTGGAAAGAAGGAAGAAGGTCCTGTGATGTGGGTTAAGCCTACCCCAGTCTTTTTTCTTCTCATTACTCCACGGCTGATATTTTCCACCTTTTCTTGCTTTCCCCCCTCCCCCCCCTTCTTTTCTCAACACATAATATATAGGACAATAGGTAAACCAACATCTTCCTATTAATGACAATGTCTGTATTAAAAGCCAACATCTAGTCATTACAATAAAAAAATAGGCATTCCATAAGCATCTCTAAAATTAGGGCATTCAACATAACACTATATTAAAAATGACAAGACCTGGGATGAAACATCAAGAATTACATTTTATGATCACTGAATAAATTCTAAAGAGAGCAACCACCTTGTTATAAACTAGTAAGAGTTGCCAAGAATTCAACTTTGAATTTCAAATTTGAGCCCAAAATCAAAGGTTTTGACTTGGAGAATTTTTCTAATTTGGCAATTTTGGCCTAATTTTAGAATTCAACTTTGAATTCACAGCAATTCTCATTTTAGAGTGTGTGCTGTAAATAATAAATATTGCAACATATTTCTGATGAGATTTTTAGTGAAAGACAGGTTCATGTCACTCCATTATTTGTCTTGAACCACACTGGAAAGATATTAACGTACAAAAATATTTTCATCACACAGATATTGCAATCCCAATAAAATTACTTAAACCATCACAATTAAGATCTTACCTAGCCGAAGTTCCCCAAAGTTCCCACATCCAATCTTCTTTCCCACCCTGAAGTTGGGTCCCACCATAAGGACCCCTGAGGAGGTGGTCGAGCTGGATGGACGGGAACTATGGCCAGTCCGTACTGGCATAGCTTTAGCCACCCGTGGCCTGTCATCCTTCTCCCTGTTGCTATGGTCCATGTTGCTATACCATAAGAGCTAGTCCCAGGGATCCCCCGCACAGGCTGGGGAACGCCCAAACCACACGGCCACAAATACAATGGGTGGTACAAAATATCCAGCCGAATGTCCTCAGGGGCCGGAGAAAATGATCACATCACCACAAAGAATTAAAAGTGGACCATCTCAGAGCGATTTGGCATCTTCATAACGAAAACTTCTCATTCTATCTTCACAGTCAAAGCACGTTCTGAAGAGAGACAGGAAAAGACAAGCATTAAATAGAGTCAAATAAATGAGTTTAGCTACTATATACATCAAGCAGAAATAAGTCACTTCTACAGGTGCTCTGCAATCTCTCAGATGGAAAAACACAAACATCCAACTGGAAAATAAAGTAATAATTTAATAGCAAAATGTTCCAGAAAGCCACTTGTCACGGGCAGAATTTGTTGCAGAAGATATTTGATAAGAAGGGAAATACTCATAAAGAACAATAAGTGGAAACAAACTATGGGGTTCGTGATTCATGAAGGTAAACAATAAAAAGTAAGCAGATCTATGACTCTCCCAGCACGGGGAACAAATTGTCGGAGCTCAGGAGTCAGATTTATTTAGAAGCTAGCGAAGGATGTGTGTATAGACATAAGCAGGGCAAATAATTCTTGGTGGGGGGAAGGGAACCCAACAACTTTTTGTTTTTTAATTCTAATTTTTTTTATTTTTTTTTAAAGAGTCTCTGCATCAGCTGACTGCTTAAAAGGGACACTAGTGTCACCGGAGCAACTTCAGCTTAATGAGGTTGTTCAGGTGAGAACTATAGCTCCCTGCAGCCTCTCTCATGTAAACACTATTTACTGAGAAAATACAGTGTTTACATTGAAAGCTAGGAACACCTCCAGTTGCAGTCACTCAGAGTGAACCAGAGGGACTTTGGAGTTGATGGAGGCATAATATGCCTCCATCCACTCAGATCTGCTGTGCACGAGCATCCTGTGATTCAGTATCTCCTCCCACTGCATGCAGACACTGAACTTTCCTCATAGAGATTCATTGATTCAATTCATCTCTATGAAGGAGATGCTGATTGGCCAGGGCTGTGTTTGAATCATGCTGGCTCTGCCCCTGTTCTGCCTCCTTGTCAGTCTCAGCCAATCCTATGGGGAAGCACTGTGATTGGATCAGGCTATCACATGTCAGCAGACTGCTTGTTTTTCCTGAGTCTAACAGCATGCAGATTTACAGCTTCTGGCTTGAATACAGTAAGATTTTTACTATATTTATGGAGGCATGAGGGGTCGAGGGGGGCTAGATGGTCGTGTTAACACTATAGGGTCAGGAATACATGTAGTTGCACTGGTGACTATAGTGTCCCTTTAAGCTAATCAGCGGCACACTGCCCGGTGACAGTCCCTGCTTCTTCTATCTGAATTTGAGACACCAGCTGTCATTAAGAAAAGCCAGGAACATTGGTGGATTGCACTTTTTGGAGTTAAACCATTTGTCAATCTATTGAAATAAATTAGTGTCATGGACCTCCAAACACCATTACAACTTAATTTGGTAGAAACTGTTATGGAGCCCAAATAGGTCTGTTAATTAATAAATAAAACAAAATAAAAGACTACTTCTATACATTAATAGATATACTATAGTGTACACATATATAGCTATATGAACTTTAGGCTTGGATGGGCATACGAGTTTCCGATAGTGCAAGGAATACAGCTTTTGTATTATACATCTGTTAAAGGGGCACTATATATAAAAAAAAAAAAAAAAAAAGGCAAGAGACACTAATTTAAAAGTACTCTGTCGAAAAAAAATGAAGTAGATGGCACTCTCCAAAGTGGGCCAGGACCAAATTAACTCAATAATGTAGAAATAAATACCAAAAGGAGGAACAGGTACTCGAGATATTCTAAAACGGAGGTTCGTATTCCACATGTCACGACAAACATTGATTTTTTTTTTTTTCCAATCTATGTTTGAGCAGAAATGTGTTCTGTATTCCTAATAAAAAGCTGTTTTGTGACATCATTTTTTTTTGGTATTTAATTCTACCATTTAAACCAGTGACACTTAATAGCTGCACGTCTCCATAAAAATTATTCATGCAATGAGAATGCTTTTCGATATCACAGTTTCTCAGACTATGGGGGGGGGGGGAGACGATAATGAATACAGAGTATTCTAGAGCATTTAAAAATAGACTTGCATGTAGGTCCAGTGCATCAGACATCTGGGTACAGGGAAGGACATGTTGGTCATGAGGCACTACTACAAGGAATGGAAGAAGATAAAGCCTCAGATCTCTGAGCCCCTAATGACAATATCAGAAAATATTAACCAACACTCGCTAAGCAGCAACAAGGACATTCTATTTACCATCCCTCTACAAATAGCTTAAGCTGAAAAGACATTGATTGGTGGCGTTATACAATGTAAACGTGATGTGCAATTACTCTCAAGATGAACAAGTGTAGGCAATGAAATCTCTTAAAGAAACACTATAGCGTTAGGAATACAAAGGTGTATTCCTAACGTTATAGTTCCCTGGTGGTAGTTTAGGTAGTTTGTCAGTCCTCATCAGGGAGAGGAAAATAAAAATAAAATATAATCTATATATATATATCTTTTTTTTTTTTTAACTTAACTTTTGTCCTTTTCCACCTCATGACACAGATTGAGGATCGTAGCCAATCCAATTATTTTCCATAAGAAAGCATCAGAAGGCTAGTACGCATGCACAGCAAAACAGCATGCTTTGTCGATCTGAGCGTCTTCTTCAGATTCATCTGATAGAAATATCAGTTTCATTCTGCTATTTCTAGTGGCAGTCACTAAAGCAGGGGTGTCCAACAGGTAGATCCATAGATGTTGTAGAACTGCAACTCTCTTGATGCTTTGCATGTCTTTACAGTGACAAAACATCATGGAAGCTGTAGTTCTAAAACATCTGCGAAGCTACCTTTGGACACCCCTGCACTAAAGACACTTGAAGCCTCCAATGAAAACATCTCAGCTGCGGGGTGAAAGAAAAGGAGGAGGGGGAAGTAAAGTCTGGGTTCCTATAGTATCCCTTTAACAAAATTAAAAGAACACTAGAGTCACCCAGATCACTTCATCTCAATTAAGTGGTATGAGTGCAACAGCCTTTAGTTTTAACTCTGCAATGTAAAACACAGGCATTTTAGGAACTGCAATAGTTACATTGCATGGTTAGATCCACCTCTTGTGGTTGTCTTCTTGACAGACACTAGAAGGGATTCATCCTCCAGAATCAAACCCATGGATTTGAGGAAATTGCGAGTGATGTAAGTTTGGATGCTGCCCTCCCTGACAGAGGAGCTGAAGGCTTCAGCGGAGGACTCCCAGTGCTGGAAACAAGATAATCATTATTTAACTTACATTTTCATTAGCAATGGTGATTGTTATTTAAATTATTGTAAGGAAGCTAGAACCAGCCGTACAGAGAACCTCATAGTCGTTATGATGCATCTTGCCAGCTGTAATATTTTCCCAGAATCAAAGTACACTAGTAATTTATGGAGACAGCGTGTTTAGTGATTAACAGTGAACGTCACGCTACAGATCAAAGATATGAAAATGTACAGGCTTTAGCAGAGATCATTCATCCCATAGAGCTTACAATATAAGCAGTTTGTACTGAACACTTTGTATTTTGACAGAGAATGATTTTTAATACATACAAAGTTTTCGGCTTCCAGACAGCACCTTTTGAAATGTTTACCTCTGTTTCCCTAATTCTCCCTTCCCTCACTCCCTAGTATTGTTCTAGGTGATGACTATTATGAAGACTTTCTCCATTCTTCAAAACCTCCAGGAACATACGGCTGAAATATGTTCAACAGGAGCTGTCATCACAGTTATTCCAGGTCAATGGAAGGGTTGGGTACGCAGAAGGCAGAATGGGGGCAGTAAATATGGAAATGTATATTATAAATACAATGCATACATGCTAGAAAAAAATAATCCAAGAGGCAACAAAATCTATACTAGCTGGTTAAAAGTGAAAAGCTAATTTTACAGACAGCTCTATTTACTGCCAACATGTTGGCTCCAAATACAGATTAAGGAACATCACATAGACACAAAAAAATCAAAACATATTGGCTACAAGCTGGAAAACAAAAAGGAAGAAATAAACTAAAAAAATAATGTGCATTCAAAGGAGCACTATAGCATTAAGGATACAAAGACACAGACACTATAGTGACCTGTTCCGTGTTCAGGTTCCCAGCCCACTCTCAGAGTGCTCTCAGAATGCTCTCTCTGCTGCTACCCTTACCTGAATGATCTCAGCCAATCTAGTGCTTTCCCTTAGAAAGCATTGAGAGGCTAGAGTGCACGACAAAATGCCAAGCTGCAGAAATCGGCATCACCAAATGGAGATATAGTAAGCGTTTCGTGTCTCCATGCACAACGTGGAGCTGCTGAACAGCTGTCCAGCAATCTTTGCAGGACCGAACCCAGGAAGTCCCTCTAGTGGCTGTCAGATTGACAAAGGAGCTACTAGGCACCAATGTAAACAGTACCCTTTCTCATAGAAGGCTGCGTTTACAGTGCTAAGACTGCAGGGAAAGGCTATAGACACCAGAAAAACACTGCATTAAGCTGTAGTAATTCTGGTAACTATAGTGCTGCTTTAAAAAAAATAAAATAAAATGCATTTCAAAGTTCCTACTGTATAAAACTATGAGGGCTATAAAACAAATAAAGCAGCGATCACACCAAATTCTAAACATTCAGGAGGTTTATTAAAGTGCCTGTTTTTCAATTCTTTATTTAAGCACAGAAAATGGTATACAATGCTTAGTAATGTATGATAAGTAGCCTTGTTACAACACAAACCATGCCTAAGTCCAAATTTCTGCATCCACAAATACCCATGTTTGCTTTTATTTCTAACAATGAAATCTTATAACCATTCCTGAAGAAAAAAAAAAAAAATCATTCACAAAAGATTTTTTTATTGTTTTGTTTTTTTAAAGCCCTTCATATTAAAAAGACTATTTTTATTTTTGCCATTTACATAGCGCCAACGTATATCGCAGTGCTTTGCAAAATGAACAATATTAGAGCGGATACACATTACATACCGTATATACATAATTAAATAGGACGTATACAAATATAGAATCCTTGCAAACTGCTGAAAGACCATCGATTTATAGGAATGCTTTGGAATATTATTGTGTACAAGAGGATTTGCCCTATTCCACGTTTGTGTATTTTAAACAAATGATGCTGTACAACAATCTTTTGCATTACACGCCGACACAGTGAAATCCAGGCCTCAAGTAATTGTGTGCTTCAAGATCTTACAATAAATTTACATTATGGGTTATACTATTCATTACTTAAGGCGATAATAAAGTTGAAATTTCTTCATCTACAGGTTATTGCCATCATATTTCTCGCCAATGCTGTGGAATGAATTCACACATTTGTAAAACAATTCAGGGAACAGAAGATTTTGATGACGCCTGAAGTTGTTTATATACAGGTGATATATATCATCTGGCTTGCAAATGAAAGTGTCTCTTGATGACAATTTTTTCCTGCAGCAATTTGTAACAGGAAATTGTTAAAGGGACTCTCCAGTGCCAGGAAAAAAAAAAAAAAATGTCCTGGCACTGCAGAATCCAGCATTGTCCCCTCCCTCCCATCCCCTATTGCTGAAGGGGTTACTTACCTGAATCCAGTGCCGATGTCCCTCTGTGCTGGGTCAGGCTCTGCCCACGCTCCTCTAATGCGTGTGCATTAACCTCCCATTATACAATGCTTTCCTATGGGGATTCCGGCGACGTTGGAGGTCCTCATGCATAACGTGAGGACGTCCAGCGTCGTTTAAAACATTTTTCATGTTTTAAGAAGCCGGAAGTCCCTCTAGTGGCTGTCTGATAGACTAGAGGAGGACTTAACCCTGCAAGGTAATTATTGCAGTTTATAAAATTTGCAATAATTATACTTGCAGGGTTAAGGGTGATTGGAGTTGCCACCCAGACCACTCCAATGGGCAGTAGTAGTCTGGGTCCCTTTAAGCAATGTTCTAAATAAACAATTTAAAAAAAAAAAAAAAAAATTTTAATACTGGTAATTATTATGGTCTGGAGGATTAAAATAGATCTGACATTGAACGTTGTAAAAAGTGGTATACAAAAATGTTTAATTTAAAAAACAAAACATTGACGAGGATGGAAAATGTAGTACCTTTAATAGTACCTCCATTAAATGTTCCTTCTCGCTGGAGAAGACCGCGCTGAAGTGTAAAAAGGGTGAAGGGCAAAATACATACTTTATTGGGACACAGGCACACAACGGGGCATTAGAACAATGGAAATCCCACCCAGGTGCCTCTATGTGAGTTAACCATATCAAGTTACCTCCAATTTAATTAACTCCAAGAAAACAGGGCGTCTTATTAACCCCTGAAACACATTTATATATTAGTAAACCCCACATATATGGCATCCCCCAATAGCTTGTCCCAGAGCACACCAACTGGTAAAATAGCACCAAGATCCAATGCAGGGTGGCCAAGCTACACCTGATTAAAGTTTCAGTGGGTTTTGCCAAAGTTCCTATCCGCTAGGGTGTTCCCCAGAGTTCCTAGTTTTGTCCCAATTGGGCGCATGAAGTTCTCAAAGCTGGTTAGCTGGTGGAACTCAGATATGAGCATGCCAGCCTGGATTTCCTGGTCATCCTGAGCCACTAGTAAGCCCAGGGTGACCTATCCATTAGAGCGGACTAGAAAGTTTAGAAAGGGTGCTCCTGTGAATCTGCCATGGCCACTCCCAAATTCAAGCCTACCCCTATATGTCCCGATTTTGAGGGGGTTACTGAGACATCCACACATTGCAACAGTAAATCTAAAACCCTGTTTTCAGTCCAGGATAGTACCCGTCACATAACAGTTGTGGACTACAGTTACAGCATACAATCAGAAAGCATGCCTCATGTCTCTGCTAAAACCTTAATTAACACAGACACCAAGCGCCTGAATGCTCCTTGTGTAGATTACAGTGCTAGGAGGGCCCATGTCATTAGTTGGTGTATGACGGCAGCCACTATTCGCAGGATTTCTCATGAATGAAACTGTGGCCTGAACTTGCGAGCACAGATCTCAGTTTCAAGGAGAAAAACACTACTAGTGGACTGAGCATATGTGATTGAAAATACTTAATTGGTTACTTTTTTTTTTTTGACCACTTCATTTCAGATCAGAAAATATAATTGGAACTGCAATATTTAAAAAATAATGTGCTAAATTATATAGCAGCGCTTCGCAACATTATAAAGAAGGGAAAAACAGGGCACTAGGACAAGGGAGATCTCACTCATAACACAAACCATTCTGAATTTGGACAGGAACAATAGGTTGAGGACCCTGCTTGAACGAGCGTACAATCTGGTCACATTTAGCTAACTAAATTAAGAAAAACAAACCTTGCAATACTTTTTATAATTGACATTGCATGTCTCCCTACGCGGGCACAGTCCGAGCATGCCATGCAAGTTAGTTTAACCCGTGCAGTGCCATGGGCACACACACTGCACACCAAAAGGAAATGAAATACAGCAGGTATATGTGTTTTACTTGCCCCCACTAGACTGCTACTCTCAGTAAACAATTCAACAGTATTCACTGGTATGACAGATTGAGGAACTGTCACTTCTTGAGAAATGACAGTTCTGCTTTAACAAATATTCTAAATTTCATGTAATTTTGGATCCATGCTTCTTTTCCCAGTAGAAGGTTTAGAACATTACAGACATAAACAGACAAAGAGTTGTAAACAGCAGAATAAGGTGTGTCAAACAAAGTGTTTTCACTTTAATAGACCAGTTCCGCCTCCTCACCAGCACTGCTGCAACCACTTTATTCCTCCTTGTGTGACTATAAATAACCCATGCATCTTACCCTGCAGGCTGCTCTGATTGATTCCACAGATCAAAGAGCTTAGAGCTGGGAAACCACCACCCAGGTTAATATCTGTTTCCTTGATGAGTGTCCTGGGCCAGAAACCTGCCTATCTGCTGACTAAGAAAAAAAAAAAAGAAAAAAAAAAAGGGCAGTCGATCTCTGAAAAGTAACATGCATCGCTGCCCAGAATCCCTAGGGCAAAGGGGCTACGTGAACAACAACTGTAAGGCTAACTTAAAAAGACTAAGGGAAATCTTACAGAAAGTATATATATAAAAAAAAAAAAGTCAAATTGGAAGGTATTCAAAGTACATAATTAAAAGGACCCTATAGGTACCAGACCATTTTAACGCAACGAAGTGGGCTGGGTGTCATGCCCCCTGTTCTGCAGAACTGCAATGTTTTCGTTGCGGGGTTAAAATGAGTCTAGTACCTTTCATCAGATAGGCACTAGAGGCACTTTTTTGCTGCTGTGGGATGGCACTATGTAGACCACCCATGCAAAGGAGTCAAGGCAAGTAAAATGCCTTTTTTGTTCTCCCTACTATTAGGAGCAGCTCATCTAAATGGCCAGGGAATTTTAGCAGTAGGAGTACTAAGTACAGTATTTGTATTCCTAACACTATACTGTTCCTTTAATTCAGGGGCTCCTGCCTTAAAATCAAGACTACAAGTGCAAATAAATGTTTCTAAGCACTGCTTATTGCTTGCTATAAAATTGGGAATATATACTAATCATATCTGGCAAATATCCAACACAGGCTCTTGTAAAGCCAATCCTGACCTTTATGTTTTAAAATATTTGCTAAGCGCTACAATAGAAATAATAAAAAAATTAGTGTGAACTCAAAACGAGACCCTAATGGGTCGCTAAGGGATTGTTAAACTGAAGCAAGCTAATGCCAGGTCCATAATTTGGGGCACTGTCAAGAAAGGTTAAAGAAGAATGGTCGGTTTTAAGGAAGTGGCAGTTCCTCATCCCAGCTAATGAAAAGTGCATCATAGGTAAGTAAAACAACGCAACTGATGCCGTATAAGTGCATCAACACTTAGGCAATCCTTAAGGTGCTGTATGAGTGAGTGCCAGGTCACTAAAGCAGGAGATGTATATGAAAAAAAACAAAAGACAAACAAAAAAAACAAAAAAACAATTGTTTTCGGGTTGTGCAGAACCTCACAAGTGACAGTTCCGTTGTAAGAGCCCTACACTTCTAATTTCCTTTAGAACGTAGAGATTCCTAAACAGTCATTCACGCATTTTATCCCATCTTTAAGACTCATCTTTGAAATCTGGCCTGCTAGCTGCTCTGTTTGTTCTGCAACATCTTGCAGCCACAATAAATTTAACTGTGAAAATAAAACACACTCTGAAGTGTAAAATGTGATCTGTAATTGGCACATTTGAGGAAGTGGAACAGCAGAACAACTCAGAACACTGTTACGTTTAGTTATTAAAATTTGTATGTACACTTTTAACACTTGTATCACAATAAGCTCGACCATTTCTGCAACAATAACCGAACATGACTGCCGTCTGACAACAGTGGATGCAAATAATATTGAACAAAAGGAACATTATCCCTGCATTTCAGTAGTAAAACCTTTAGCAAACAGTGAACTTTAATGGTTATGGCGCTCCGAGTCTTACTTTAAAAAGAGCATCTTTTTTGTGAGGAGACATCCAGGGGGTCTCACATGCTCCTTACTCACAAGGAATAATTATTCTTATTACATGCACTTATTGCAGGTAGTAAAAAGCTATATTCCATGACATTTAGAATTTTATCTTTGTTTATTCTACACAATTGATAAGAGCAGGGATGACAACAAATGACAAAGCGGTACAAGATGTAATCTATCACATCAGAATGGTGTTGAATCTTTGGTAACCAACAACAAATAGCAATTTATTTGTTTGTTTTAAGAGGCCTGTTTTTTTCAGCCTCTGTTTCAAACCAGGCTAAGTGAATCAGAGAGCAGACAGAATACGGTTGGCAATAGCTACACACTTCATACAAATAACCTGGTTTAGGGCTGATGCTAAACACTGGGCAACTTTAAATCTACAAACTATATACCGATACATTACAATGTACCAAATCTGTGGGGACTGAGGCAGCGGCATCCACATCTTATGAATTGTGAGATGCCAGCTGCATTACTTGGGGGCAAAGTAGGTAAAGGCGCCATGCCTTGTGTGAAGGGAGCAACCACCAGGTACGTAGCTCTTACACAACACACAGACTGTATGTCCTATCTGAAGGTGTCATGGAGGCTTAGAGGAAAAGACTATTTAATGTTCTCCGTATGGCTTTTGAAAGGGACTTGAGAAATAAATACAATAGGGAAGCCTACTGTAGAGAGAGGCAAGGGCTCAAGTCTGCCTAAATACACACATACATTCCACACTGCCTTTATAAACATTATGAAGAACTCTATAAACACAACTGTATATATTTTGCATTGCCTTCATAAGCCCGCCTTGCTATGTACACCTCGTTCACACACAGAAAACAAATTATTTTTATAGACAGTGGCGGAAGTGAACGCTCATCCATAGTGCGCGCTGCGACACCACCGCACAGTTTGCACGCCCCTTGCTCTGCGTGACCAAAAGTACATAAATGATATAATCTACCTTTTTGAGATCAAGACAATGATTGCAATCTCTGATCTCACAATGAAAGAAGTATGTCGATTGAATCAAGGTTTTCATTATTTCTGTGTGGATGATTAGAAATTAACAAGTAGTGCGGGGATGAAAAGATTCTCCAGGTGAAATTTTGTAGACCATTTTAGTTGATAAGCACATCCGGAATCAGAAAGGTTGTAATTTAAGCAGACTAGTGGACGATCCGTAGTAAGAAAGACTGGCATTTCTCCAAATGAGAGTAGAGGGTGGGGGAGGGGTCCAGGGCACTTCCAGCACCATAACCACAACGGCATGTTTTACTTGTTATGGTACTTAGAGTGTGCCTTTAAAGAGAAACACAAGTAGAAAACATTCTTAATGCAGCAGATTTACTCCAGTAACAAAGATTTAAAAGTACTCAATATCTTTACTGAAGGAGCCCTAGTGAGGGGTGCAGTTGCAGATAGATAGCTGTAATAAAAACTAACAGTAAACACAGAAGTATATAAAAGGATAGAAAATAATAAGCTGTATGTATGTGTATGGGATAGAGGTAAAGCACATTTTAGTCATTGCCTCGGGCATTCGCTGTGAAGCTAGCCACTGTTACAGTAAAAGAATTGTGACTTCTCATAAAAGCTTATGAATTATGGAAAGCAGGGAGAGAAATCACATTTGACACCTGTTTCTTACAACGCTATAATATGTAATATAGAAATCTGGTTAGAATACATATACTCTGAAAAAATAAAAAAGCATATGTAAAAAAATACATACGAAACCACATGGCTAGTGTTCTGCTTCCTCAAGTACCTGAAAATCCTGTTTGTCAGTGTTAACCCCCCCCGCCCCCCACCTGGAAACTTGATTTGAAATGTACAATCTCAAGGGAAGGCAGAGAGACACGCAGACCGGACGGCGCGGCAGAGAGACCCGCACACAGGACGGCCCGGCAGAGAGACCCGCACACAGGACGGCCCGGCAGAGAGACTCGCAGACTAAACACAACTAGCTGGGCAAAAATAAAACTAAAAAAAAAGCCTTTTTGCCCCATAAAAAAACAAAACACTATTATACAAGTAGAAGACAATTAAGCATGTACAAACAACCCATCCTCCAACACAAAAACAATATAACACATGAAACAATTCTGTACTCTAGAAGAGAGTAATAAAACATGCACTTTTTTTGTCAAACATTTAATGCTGTTGTAGGAAAGTCATAATGGACAAGCAAACGGTGCAAGCCATTTCAAACCAATCACTGGAACACATACTGGGATGTAATTATCTACTAAAGCAAAGCTTGTAAAGAACTGACAAGTGAATAACTTTTAAAACCTGCACTGCCATGTACACACAGGTGTTTTACCTTTACAAGGTGCGACAGGAAGCTTAATCCATTAGCAATTTGGATTCAAACTGGTTAAGATAATTTGTGAATCAGAGCAGGACACCAAATGATTAGTATGAGGGAAAGGGCACGGAGACAGCAAGGATTCAGGACAGGAAGCGATTGCTGAAACAGGAGACCGTAGGGCTATGCACACTGATAAGTGCCAACAGGTGCAAGACCCTCCGATTCCAGGGGACCAATGTGTGTTACTGGCATTACGCTACACAGAGATCAGGAATACGCAGCACGAAAAAAATAAAAATAAAAAAAAATAAAAAAAAACACGTCACTGCACAGAGAAAAACCTATAGATCATACTACACAGGAGACAGATATCCATCTCGTTTCTGAAATAGAAGATGGAGAAGCGTTTAACGGGGAGATTTTCCAGTTAAAGTGAAATATGGATCAAATTCTTCACACACACACCGCCAGGTAAACAGGGGGGAAAAAGTGTACTTTTACTTAAAAAAACAAACAAAAAAAAAAAAAAAAACAGATTCATCATGCCTTACACTTTAAACACCCTTTCATGACAATTTTAACTTGAACCACAGGGCCTAGCTTAGTCGGGACAATCTAAGCACCATAACTGCTTATTACTATTAAAGTGGCTTCTTTTAAAAATATAAAATAAAATGTTCATTTCAAGGATAAAACTTTTTTCTGTGTTTTCCGCTGCCTCCCTTGGATGACCCATTCATTATTACTATTATTATTTTTTTTTAATGGTTAACCCCTTCAGGTAAGAGTGTCAAGGGCCTTTAAGCAACGTAATATAATTCTGATGAAGTTGTTATGGTGCCTGGAGTGTTCCTTAAACCTGACCATCAGCTACTGGAGTCGTGGACATTGCCCTGACTAGAATACCAGTAGTTTTCACCCCTGATAAAGCCATAAACATGTCCTGACTTGTCCGATAATACATTATTAGGTACTCTATGTATATACGGTATATCTAGAATTGCACATGCAGACAGATCTATTACTTAGTTTTTGCTCTTTGTTACAGTTGGCTTATATATTCTTTTCAGTGCTTTAGGTCATATCTATTTTCAGAAATAAATGGATTTGGTCTATACCAGATACCCGAGGACAAGGGCTTTTGTCTAAAGGCTAAGATTAGAGATTCAGGACTGGAAGAGCTTCAATTACAACTTTGGAAAATTTTCAGAAACACTGCAATATACAGGAAATCCACTCGAGATGGTTTGATTAGCTGTTCTGCGTGTTTAATAGTGTGGACAAACGTGAAACAGTCTACAGGACAAGCGACACTGGATCATCAGTTCATCTGATGCAGGGGTATTATCTAAACAAAGTGTGATTTTTCAACATTACTGGATTATTTTAACATTTTACACTAAAAAGGACAAACTGAAAAAACACATCTCGAGTGGAAAATTATCCCCTATTTAACGTATTAAAAAAGCGTTAAAGAAAAAAGCGTGAGAAAAAAGCAGTTTTTCTCTGGCTCCTAATTTGAATTATCAACAATTCACACTTGAGTGAACAATTCTGTAAGTTCTAGACATTCGTATTAGATGTAACTGTTTCTGATGGAGCCTTGTACTACCAAAGACATTTATTTTTTTTAAATCCCCACATTTTATTCCCAGAACACAGTGGTCCAGGAAAATGGCTTGTACACAGGGAGGACCGGTTACTAGGAAGGAGCCAGAATGTGTAATGGGTTACTAAGCACCATGACTGCTCTGCATCATCACAAAAATTACAGTGCACTGAGCTCATTGAAGCAGCCTTCAACTCTGAAAGATGCATACAACTGCAGCGACTTTTAAAAATCACTTTGATCTAACCAAGCCCCCAAGACTTGTTAAACAGCTGGAACATGTACGCACAACTTGGACTAAGTTCTCTCCCTCCTCTGGAGTCACATCTGACCCATGGACCATAGATCTGCTGATTGCTGTACACAGTCCCGATCACTTAAGGAGGCTTATGTGTAATCTTATAACAGCTGCATTATGCCTGCTATACCTTTAAGAAGCATTTACACTCATCCTGTGTAGAAAACGTCAGGTGTTTATGGTATAAGATCCGACTCCATAGATCAGTGGGAGACGCTCCTGAATTGAGTAGTTCTTTCTTGTGATGGAGGGAGTCAAGCAGGCTCACTCAACACTGCATCTACAGGAAACCTTGTTGCATTATTTAATGCATTAGCAAAATAATACGTTAAATAGGGGATAATTTTCCACTCATAGTTTACTTTTAAAAGGGCTGTAAGTAAAGTAATGGCTCATCAGTCAAACTATCAAGCTCTCTGCAGAAATAATTTAGTGGAAGCTTTTCAAAGTATAATTTGAAAGAACAGTGAATCATCAGTGTGCGATGGCAACCATATAGGGTACAAAACCAAACCAAAGGCCTGCTTTGGGCACAAAACAATTGCATACTTCTCACAACACCATACGTACAGTCCATACCTTTCATCAATTAGTCCAGATCTAATGGGACAGTTCCGGTTTGAGATCCCTTGCACACAGAGAGAACATGCATATTGAGGTCTGTTACTGAAGGCAGAGACTGAATTTCATGATGTAGTTTGTTTCTTTTGAGCCTGACTTGACTTTTTGGCACGTCACCTGACCTCACCACGAACTCCTGATTTCTGCTACACGAGGGGCGTAACTTAACCTGAAATCAATGTAGACACTTGCACCCACAGCATGCATTTGTTAGCCTATGCACTTTCTTTAGGTTTCTACTTCAGCGTAGCTAGCTTGTTTCCAGACTGATGCTGGCAAAGCATCGCAAACTTCTGTCACAATCACAAGTCCAGACACTGATTCAAACAGGAAGTGTAATCGACTGAACAAATAAATAGATTAAAAAAAAAAAAAAAACAAACAAACAAACAAGAGGCGCACATGAAAATCAAAAACCACAGTTAAGAGAGAATAGAGGGTATAGAGAATTTCCCAGCGCCATTTAAAGCTGAAACCTGAATTCATTTGATAAAACACTGTAGGAAGGCAGGTGGATGTTCGTTTAGAGGCCGGAGACAAACACAAAGTGGAGCATTGGACTGGCAGCAGGACATGGACACATTGAAATGACTTGATATATTCAACACAATTAACTCAAATATATTATTATAAAAGGCAATTTGCAATCTACATGTTCTGGAAACATCCTAATAAACCAGGGGAAAAAGACTAAAGTCAAGTGGTTTACAAAATGTTTTAAGAAGGCAGCATTATTTTCCCCTAACAGTCTGCTGTTATAGATCTCTATATACTACATGAATTATTTAGGTTACCCTTTGTTAAGGTAATGTAGGAGTCAATGTTTAGTGTATTACAGTGTGCTTGGGTAGTGTATGGGTTAATGTGTGCAGTAATGCAGAGGTTAAGGGGAAGACAAAATGTAAGATCAACACTCCTGGTGCTGCCTTCGATTAGTGGGAGTTACAGACCAGGACAGCAGCAATTTCAGCTGTCAAAAAAAAAAAAAAAAAAAAACACACACCTTCCCCATTTTCTAAAGAAGCTGCTATATCAGACCATGGATTTAAAATTTCAGGCCAAGGTAATCAAATTGGAAACATTTTCAATTCCCACTGTAGTGCATGGGTAGTCAATCTGGTCCCCACCGCACACTAGTGGGTGGTTTGGGGTTTCAGGTGGGTTCGGTAGAAAACTCCCGGTGGGCCCAGTTGGCCGTGTACAAAGGCCGGCAGGGGAGATACCTTTACCTCCCCTGCCAGCCCATGCAGAGCAGGCTTTGCTGTAAGCCCTCTCAGCTGGTGATGAGATCAATAATCTTCCAGACTGGCCCGCTGGCACTTCGTTCCAGCTGAGGGAGGGAAGGGCCTGGGAACCTCTGTGTTCATTCCGAAAGCAGCATGTTGCTTAACCATGGCAACGCTACGACACAGTGCTGTGCTCGCAGGAGGACAGGAGAGTCAACCTGTAGCCGGAGGAGTTGCAGGATAAAGTGAACATGCCACCACTGGACCACCAGGGCTTGGCGCATTATGTATCCCCTCCCTGGTAAAAAGGTAAGAAGAAAGGAGGGGGAGACATTAAGCTAGATTTTCACATCTCACCCACCTACACACAGCATAGACCCTATGCACCATGCACCACACACACACACACACACACACAGATAGATTTTCACATCTCATCTACCTGCACACATCATAGACCTTATGCACCCTATACACACAAAAAAAAAAAAATAGAATACTTTTTTTTTAAAAATTCATACTTGCTCTATAAAATTAGTTACTGCATTGGTGGGCGGTAAGGAAATTTTAACATCAACAAAGATACAAAAGTGGGCGGTAGGTAATAAAAGGTTAACTACCCCTGCTGTAGTGAGTAACCCTGCATGTATAGATAAGTATTTCTACTGCAGACAGGCATGTAAATGTTAATAGTTAATTGTTACAGAGTAATATCCAGAGCAGATGCCATGTTTTAAATGGAATAATAAGGTGGAGTAACGAAGGCCAGGGCCTCAGTAATAATTTAATTTGATAAGTAAGATGCTGGACGCCATTTCAGCGTGAACCTTTGTTCTCTAGCACACACTGGCATTGCCGGGTAGAAGGCACAGCTGTGCAACGTAAGTAGTTCCAGATGGACTCCTCACATGGTGGAGCAAATGCAGGAAGGGGAAGCACTCTTATCCCCCAGCCCAGACAAGCTGCCCTAGTCCATTTTAGGAGAGAATTAAGCCAAATAATAATGGGCCTCTGGCAAGTGCAGCCATTCACAGAAGCAAATTGGAGCTGGGTTTATGAGAAGGTACTAAGAAAGCTGCTGGGTACAATGTGTGCAAACAGGGTTATCACAATATCTGCAATCACACCTTGAAGAGGTAAAATTACTGTTGGATGGAAGAAAAAAAAAATATACAATATTATCATGGCCACCTCTAGCCATAAAGTAAGAAAAAACTAAATGCTGTAGTTGTACTGTAAGTGACCCTTTAAAACATTGGTCTTTCCTTAATCTTGGACCAGAGGTGAATTAACCTGTTTGGCTCTGGTGATCTGTAATACCCGTGGTATAAGAAAGTGTAATTCATGTTTTCTTGCATACGATATCTATAAAAGCAATCTTTTAGAATGCAACTAGAATGTACATATTAATTAGGAGTCATCCAGCCTGCACACACTGTACAGGTTAATGTCTAGGCGAACAGACGGGCATATAACTGCAGCAATAATGAAGAACATACAGTCCTAAAATACCACCCAGAGCATTGAGAAGAGGACAAGTTAGTGCCATCATTGTGATGTTTGCAAGCTATATATCCCATGATCCAAACACTAACAATAAAACATTTTAAAATTTATTTATGGAGAGTTTATGAATGCTAACAGCTCATTTGATTGTACTATTGTGGCACTGTATTTTACTTTGGATTTTTAGGGCATCAAGAAGTGTCTATTATAAAAGTCCAAAGTTCCTTCTTTCATTAAAAGAGGCCTTAGACATCATGCTGTCCAGAATGATATGTGTGCGCTTAGCGCTTTAATCTCATGTTAGGTTTGAACAGAGCTGGTGAAAGGGTCTTTTCCAACTATAGACATGCGGAGATCAGAATAAGGGCATTAGAATGTAAATGCTGGGCTTACAAACATTGTGTAAACAAGAGCAATCAGCACCCAGCCGTACATTATGGGAAAAGCCAGCAATGTCATCTGCGTTAATTCTACCTGTGATTACAGCTTTAACTGGAATTACCTCACTTGTTCATCACCACTCGAAGGAGGAACGCCATGAAGCGTTTACACAGAGGGGGTGTCAGGTAAATTATACTACCCACATGAAATCACAATAGGAGTATTCTCAGACAGAGCTAAGCACAGCATGAACTCACTGACAGAAACAAAGTGTTCACCCCCAGCACTGTCAATGAGAACAGTGGGAAGGGAGTACAGAAGAGGAGGTAGAAAATGGCCTTGTGTATACAGAAGAATCAATACAAGCCTTTTAAGTACCCCCTCCGAACCCACCCCCCAGCATTAATATTACATGACAGTATAATATATCAGAGAGTGGAGCAGAGTAACCCGTTCAGAGACTGTACACTGCACATACATTCTGAACGCAGGAAGAGACCTTTTTAGAAAAGAGAATCTGGTGCAGAAAGATTCCTCTGGTTGCTATGGCAATTTCTCCAAATGGCCCAGAACTGCTCTAGCCTTGATAAATATGGTCCCACGTGCCAAACATATGCTCTTCAAACAATTATTTACACAGCAACATGCGTACCTTTGTAAGTCACAATAGCTATACACAATGTTTTAAATCATTTACATTTTCTGCTAAACACCAGACGCAGTGACAAAAATATAACTAAAAAAAGAAAACAGTTATAAGGGAACGCATCGCTATAAGCAAGTGGTTTCAAGCCTTGTCGGGGCACCAAACTAAAAGGACAGTAAAGTCACCCAGAACACTTAATCTCAGTTAAGTAGTCCTGTATGCTTAACCCGTCAAGGCAAAACATTGCCTTTGGCAGCAGGGCAATGTTTATTTAGAAGGGACAACACCTCTAGTGGCTAGAGGTTCTTCCACTGTGCTGACCTTTTAAACCTCAGTCATGTGGCGTGGCAGCTCATAGGAAAGCATTGAATAAAACGCTTTCTTATGGGTACATTTGGATGCGTGCGGCATTCAACACGAATGCACATCAGGACATCAATGAGTAGCATTATACTGCAACATTGCAGGATGATGTCACAGGAGTCGGAGTAAGTAAGTAGCTCACTGGACTTCTCGTCACTGGTAAAAAGGGGAGTCAAACTCTATTTACTTAATTTAATGGCGAACGGGAGGGCGGTAAGCTCTATACTAGGGGAAATTTAGCTCGCCGATCATTTTTTGTTATAATTTAATATTTACTAACAAGTAAATTACAAGATTTTTTCCTCAGGTATGGGAGTGCATTGCACAGAGGGAGATTTAAATGTTTTTTTTTTTTTGGATGGTTGGATGGGGATTTACAAAACAATCAGAGCATACTTTTTAATGTCCAGACACTGCCATAGGGACATTACACAGTCTCTCTTAGTGTACTAAACGTTACTGGCATTCAGACCTCTGCAAGGCCAATAATTATCTGTGGTCAGAACGTCTGCTGTGGCTACAATCATATATCTTTATCATTACATTTTAGCTGTAACACGAAAGAGGACTAATTCCAAGCACAACGACATTTACAATGCAGAGAGCAGACGGTCATAGAACGGAATTTAAGAGGCTATGATGACTCCTGCAGAGAATAAAAACAGATCTCTTGAGGTCACTAGTCACAACTGGTCTATGTGGTACTGAGGAAAGAAAGTCAGACTACTTAAAGGGGCAGTGATTTCTATATTTTAGAACATTAAAGGGGTGGCTAACCTGAAGCACTCCAGACATGGTGTTCAGGGCTACTTTCACTTGATGTTCAGCCACCAAGAACCCAAGTAACGAATAATAAAATAAGTCGAGCACCCAAATAAATTTAACACATTCCTTAACAGTGATAAGAATTTTTCTGTATTTAACACGAACGTGAGCAGCATAATGTCAAAGCCATAACACCTTCACATCAATTGTGCATACAGGATTGCCATATCTTGCAATATTGTTTAAACTATTTTAACCATTGCAAAAATTACTTCCTGTATTGCAAACAAATTTCATTTACAATGGCTGGCAGGATGGCAGAGCCAGTGCTAGTGTTATAGCACCAGCTCAATTAAGTCCCTCACCCCCCTGCAACTGATAAACAGATCTTTCTGTGCGGCCCTATGCTAATCACCTCTGACTGAGAACAGCCTTCTACAGTTGTTCCCTTCCAGTCAAAGACCTGAAGGGGGCATTCAGAGGGGTTTGCAACCAGTCAACGTTGCAGATCCCACTGGGGAGACTGCTGGACCACCAGGGAATGAAAAAAGCCTTATGCCTATCCCACGCATGCTTAAACTCCTTCATTGTGTTAACCTCTACCACTTCAGCTGGAAGGCTATTCCATGCATCCACTACCCTCTCAGTTAAGTAATACTTCCTGATATTTTTAAACCTTTGCCCCTCTAATTTAAGACTATGTCCTCTTGTTGTGGTAGTTTTTCTTATTTTAAATATAGCCTTTACTGTGTTGATTCCCTTTATGTATTTAAATGTTTCTATCCTATCTCCCCTGTCTCAGAGAACTAATGCATGCTCGCATTATTCATTGCTTTCCTATGGGGATTCCAGTGACGCTGGAAGTCTTCATGCATAGCATGAGAATGTCCAGCGTCGAGACAGACAGCCACTAGAGGAGTTAACCCTAGCAGGTAATTATTGCAGTTTATAAAAACTGCAATAATTACATGCTCAGGGTTAAGGGCGATGTGAGTTTGCATCCAGATCACTTCAATGAGCTGAAGTGGTCTGAGTGCCTACAGTGTCCCTCTAATTGAGACGAAGTGATCACTGTTGTGACTCTTTAAATTTACAACACAAACCAAAATCAGGTTTTTCAACATCTTCCATCTACACAAAGACTTCATGATAATATTAATAAACAACTCAAAGTCTGATTAACAGTAAAAGGCAAGGGAAACGCTATTCCAAAGGATAAACATGAATTGTCAGAATTAACACAGGTTTATTAACTAAAGTAAGAATTCAAGGTGAAGTTCAAATTTAAAAACGTTAAACTGGATAAATTCTCTAATTCGTATTCTGTTTCCAAACATATCAGAAGATATTTTCTTTCCTGCTTTTAGAAGAGGTCATGGAGGAAGGAATCTGGATGTGAAACAATGTACATCCAGAGATGTTTGCACTTTTGTGGCAGGACAAGTTGCACCCCTGAACACGTGACTGACAGCCTAGGCACTGCCAAATGTCAATTCTGTTCATAAAATACATGTATCATCAGTGTAATCTGATTCTTCAATTGCAGGCAGTGCTGCGTGCACCTGCAATGTGAAGCCTTTGGACTGTGTGTGCACTACTCATGCACACACAGTATCCTTGATGTGCAAAAATATGCTCCCCCCGTGTCAATGTGCGTTTAAAATATTCCCTCCCTCCAACAGTGGCAGCCCTCTCCATCCTCTATTCTCCCATCATGAGATTCCATTGATTCCCTCTCCTTGTCCACCTTCATGCACCCATTGGAGCACTGGCCAAAGACCAATAAGTGTTCCTCTAGGAGTAGTAATTAAATTGGACAGAACAGAGGAACATGCACCATCACCGGAGATCTGTGAAACATGGCCCAGTGCTGGATGTCAGTTACGTTTTATACTGATTAAATCAATTTTTCATGTTTTAAAATAAATAATTTTTTATTTTTTTTAAAGGTGGGGTGGGGGGTGGAAGAGACAGGACATATAACAGATGGATTAACCCTTTAACAGGGTGAAACAAATGACAACATTTATTGTAAAGATGCACAAACAAGTGGAGACAGATGGGGAATGAATGAAAGAACATGCATGTCATCTACACTGATCCAAATACTAGAACGGTTTTCTTTAAAACTTGGAAAAGTCATTTAAATGAATGGATAAATTGGAATTAATTACAGTTGTCCAGGTGATGTGTGTACGTTTTGGGCATTAAACCAAACCTATTTGTATGGACATATTGGCATAGTGGATATTTCAACAGTAGTGTGTGAAGAGGTATATTAGGCCAATTGCTCCTCCTTACAGTCTGCCATTATAGACTCCATGCCTGATGTAGAAGGGCTTCCCAGAGAAAGCAGGATACTCTGACTCCCCCACTGCTCGAGAGAGAAGTCACGTGGAAATCAATTGCCAGTAAAAGCAGGCTGTAGATATACAGACTCCACGCTTCCAAAATAAATACCTACTCACAATCATAAGACTGCAGCGATATATACGCAAAGTAAATAAGGGTAATGGTAAGCATAGAATCTCTGTGACATGCCAAGACAATCAATTGGTATCTGATAACAGGTAGGTTAATATAAGGTGAACAGTCATCGTGTTGACGAGAGATGCAGATCATAAAATTACAATGTAGTGAGAGGGGCATGGCCGACAAACGAGCCAAATGGCAGCACACTGACTTAGCTCCTGAGCAACACGGAAGAAAACCGCAGAAAATCGGAGGCATTTTACCGACATGGGGAATCCTAAAAAAAGCCCAACTTTCCGCCCAGCACGCAGGGAAAACTCCAGCAGCAAAAACGGGCACTGTAACCCATTTATTCAGAGAATATGCCGACCACGTGACGGAGCTCGGCGAAAACAAAATGGCGCCAGCGGCGGTAAACACAGATTCAGACCCGCCGAGTCCCACAGCGTCAGAAGCCTCACACATCTCGATGGACATAGATATTAAAGAAATATTGTGAAACCTGCCGTCTAGAGCTGACCTGGCACAGATGCTGGGAAAACTAGAAACCACCTTTCAACACAAAATGGATGGCCGCAGCTCAGAGTTAAAACAGGTAGGCTGCAGGGTGCAAGATCTAGAAGATGAAAGGGGGTCCCATCAAACCCTAATGCAATCCCTCTCAGCTAAAGTCCAAGCCCAAGAGAGACACCTATCCATGATGCAACGCTCCCTAGACGATATCGATAACAGGGGCAGAAGAAATAATCTTCGCATAAGGGGCCTAGGCCTCTCAGACAGAGAGATACCACCAACCTACCCTAACTAGATTATACGACTGGACACTCCCACACTCCGTTACACAATGGATAAGAATAGAAGATACATTCTTCAGAGTACCCATATACACAATACCCTGGCACAAAACTGGCTCCTCCTGCACACCGCTCACCCCACCATTTCACCGACTCTACGCATGTGGGCCAAATTAAGACCACACCATTTGATATCCTCATACCCCTCCCCGCTATACTCGCTCACCCACAACCCTCTATTTCAACCTGGAGAGGACGGTAGGGCTTTCAAACACTACCACAACTCAGACTACCTGCAACTAGATAATACCATGGACGACATGGGAAAACAGATAAAACCCCTACATGCCATCATGGATGGGCACAATGTGATACAAATATTCCAATATAGGCAACTCACCCACTTCATACACAAAGGGCCATTATCCCACAAACCATTCCGAACTCATACGCAATTTGAACAACTATGCAAAGAACACACTCTAAAGAAAAAAACTCATCTCCGTGATGTACACAACAATTGCAAAGACTCAACCTCACCACCCACCAGCGTTCACCTCATCTTGGGAAAAAGAACTTAACACTTCCTTCCCACCAGAAACCTGGCGTATTATATTTAAGCAAATTCATAGATCCTCTCGAAACACCATAACCCAAGAGAGTAACTACAAAAGGATAGTCAGATGGCATTACATTTAGAGAAAACTAAAGTCCCTCTTTCCAACACACTCATGCCAGGCACCCAAAGGCAACACAGCACACATTTGGTGGACCTGCCCGGTAATCAATGGTTACTGGAAACTCAGACATGGATTGATACAGTCAGCTCTGAGCAAACACATTCCATTCACTCCAGAACTCTATCTTTCTGATTCCCCCTCGAGACACACCTAAACTGACATCAGACCTACTAACTCACTTAATATCCACAGCGAACCAACTCATACCTGCATTGTGGAAACACCCAAACTCACCCTCCATTTGCGAATGGAAACAAAAAGTCGAAACGACTAGGGGCCTAGAGGAAACCTACCATTCCATCACTGATAAATACCACAATTACATATCTACATGGCAACCTTGGTGTGAATACCTCAAAAACCGCACATTATAGCTAACACAATACTGACCCAATCAGGTTCAGCTTTAGAATGCTAACTCCCCATCCTCAAACACCCCCACCCCCTCTACCCAGGCACCTGGAAAATTACTACCAAAGACAAGGTTATAACATGTACCTTGTCCAATATTAACTATGATACCTAATCAGTAAAGTGTACCAAAGATCCGCACGATCCACTAGTGGAGCTAGCTCCTTCTCTATATGGAGCGGAAAAGCACTGAGATCAATACCCTACTGTAACGATGTAAACGGATGTAAATTTTATGCTGCCTGTCACACTGTTATCTACCTATTCATTGTTTTGTTAATTTGAAAACTTATTGACAATTTATTGTATTTGCACAGATTCTCAATAAAAATATTAAAAAAAACATTTATTTTTTTTAAAACTACAATGTAGTAAAGCCAGAGGACCTGCTTTGTATGGTAACTATTTTTAGTGATGCCCTTTGAGCGTTCCCAAGAAAAAGTTCTCAGGGCCACAGAGTTGCCTTTTTCAACGTTAAATGCTTCAAAATTTTTTTTTTTTTTTTTAACGGAATACTATAGGGTCAGGATTACAAATATGTATTCCTGACCCTATAGCGTTAAAAAAAAAAAAAAAAAGCACCATTGCACCCCACTCCCGCCAAATATAGTAAAATTTTACTTTTATTCCAGATCAGGGTCAGAGCCAGCAGAAGCCAAACACAGCCCTGGCCAATCAGCATCTTCTCACAGAAATCCATTGAATCAATGCATATCGATGAGGAAAGTTCAGTGTCTGCATGCAGAAGGATGAGACATTGAATGTCAGTCACACTGTGCAGCACTGCCCCAGGAAGCACCCTTTAGCAGCCATCTAAGGAGTGGCCGGTGAAGTTATCACTAGGCTGTAATTTAAACACTGCATTTTTTCTGAAAAGACAGTGTTTACTGCAAAAAGCCTGGTAATGATTCTACTCACCAGAACAAATACAATAAGCTGTAGTTGTTCTGATGACTATAGTGTCCCTTTAAGATACTTTCAATAAAGTAGCCAAATCACCTTTATCTGGATGCTTATGAATACTATGTCCTATTGGGTATATGCTTTTAAAAAAGATCAAGTGTTAAAAAAAAAAAAAAAAAGAAAACGGACCATAACACGGTGATTCCACACAGGGTGCACACAGGGTGCATAAAAAATATTTAAAAATTTATAATCTCCTTAAATAAAAACGGTTGTTGCACTGGTAAGTTTTTATAGATTTACCTATGCGCATGTAAATGTACTGCAAAGCTGTAATGTTTGGGTCATGGACAATAAACAAAGAAGAACATTTTTGTCTCTAAGTTGATGAGGTCAACTTTAAACATTTCTAGAACCCATTTTGGAATGAATTTTAGAGACACTGAGAAGTGGCTTGATTGTATTTTCTATACGACACATTTCCTTCATAGCATAATGTGATGATACAATCTACATATTGCAGCATGTTCTGTTCCATCTTGCGTTCTGTCGGTACAATCATGGGTCAGGAAATGGCCCTTTCTAGACCTCCCTACCCACTTCATTACGAACTGACTACTGTACTGTCAATGGCTGGAATGCCCATTGTACAGCGCTACGGAATTTGTTGGCTCTATAAATAATGAAATAATAATGGAGCTGGGCAGGTAGATCCACTGTGAAGAAAGGGCTTTTCACAACAATATAATGTATTCCTATTGGCTGCGTTTTACATAATTCTTTTTTTTTATGATTGCCTGTGAAAAACGGTCTATGTTGGCATAAGCCTAGACTTTCAGCAAATGTAATTACTTGTGTAAACAAAATTATTAAAAGGTTAAATACCAACAAAATTTTAGGTTCTGTTTTCCCAAAATAAGAACATGTGGGAGCAATTTTTGTGACATTGACTACAGCTTCTAGAGGCCATGTATCTGTGTAGTTGATGGATGCAAGTTTAGCATACGATCACAGTTCCCAAATCACTCATCTGTTCAGTTGTAAGCTGTGACGCGTTCATTGAATTAATCAGAACAAAAGCCATTGACGACCAAACCAAAATAACTACTAATTCTAATGTGATCCACTAGAATTGAACATCTGCCTTTAGCAATCTCAGACATTTAACCTAGATCATAATATAGAATTACATAAAATAGGATTTATCTGATGAAAATTCAACTGCACGGTTATTCTTTCTGAAAAAATAAATTTATACAGTTACATACACGACCACAACTCAGATTATCCCTTAGAATATGTTATTCGTAACTCTGGAATTAAAAGATTTCCATTAGCTTTATTATTTGAATTTTAAATATTTTGTTTAAAAATACATTTAAAAAAAAAAAAAAAAGAGGGGGGGCGGAGCTAAGCCAGGGAAGCAGACGGACGCATGGCGGAGAAGCTCCGGACTAAGCCAGAGCAAAACTCACCCTTTCCACACCTGGGCATCGGCGGAATCCACCGCAAAGTGAGCCCAGAACCCCCCCGGACCACATGGGGAGAAAAATGAAAAAACAAAAGCCGGACAAGCCCCGACCCGGCATGGATATCGGGAACCTCTGGCGGCAGGCTCATGAAGCCGCGTGCTCCAAAATGGCGTCCCTGCACGGCGGCTGCTCGGATTTTTACGAGGGGTCCTCGGACGACACGGAGGGAGACCCAGCACCAGCCTTAAAACAACCGGTGCAGACACGGAACCAGCCACCCGTGAACGACCCCAAGCCGGTAACTATGGAAGCCATAGGAGACCTCATGGCTGAGCACCATAGGAAAATCGCGGCCGATGTGGCTATGATAAATGATTTGAAAAATTTGACAGGCCGTCTCCAGGCAGTGGAGGGAACCTCCACAACACATACCACTCAAATAACTGAGCTCCAAGTTGCAATAAGCGCACTGCAAAAACAGAACCAACTACAGGACCAGCGATTCTCCTTACAGGAAGATAAAAGACGCTACAAAAACCTAAAGGTTAGGGGGGTGGCTGACTCAGTCCCTGACGCAGAGCTCCCACACTTTGCCAGGCGGCTCCTCACCGCACTCTTGCCCCCGAAAACAGCCAGGGCGATTACGCTAGATGGCATATTCCGCCTGCCGAGACAGACCAGGGCACCACCCAGCACATCTAGGGACATAGTGCTCCAATTTCAAAACCTGAGGGACAAAACTGCAGTCCTAGCGGCCACCAGGGAGCAATCGGCATACCCCTTTGAAAACATGACCCTGTCATTTTTCCCAGACCTCTCAAGTGGAACATTAGCATGGCGGAGATCTCTACAACAGTTTACTGCAGTGCTACGAGCCAACCAAATCAGGTACCGCTGGGGCCCAGCTCACGTCCTACACATCATGAGGGGAGACGTGCCACACGCTGTAAGCAACATACATGAAGCCACGGAGGTCTTAGGCACTCTGGGCCTCCCCCTGAATTCCATTCAACCAGCGGAACCACCAGCGAGAACCACATATCCCCTTGGGCGGGATGCAACCAGAGCACCGGAGTTCGTGCCAAGGAGACCTCAAGTGGAACAATACACAGCGGTCACGACCTGAACCAGACCAGAAGACCACCAAAAGACTTTTGGGACATTCCCCTATGCATCGCCATTACTATGAGGGACTCTTAAAAACTTCCCCCCCACATCAGACCACAACCACTGATGGACAGGCAGAGGCCCAGAGTAGATCCCGACTGCCTATTATCTGAACGACAACCCCCCCCCCATGCCGAGGGGTAATCTAGGAGCACACAATATACACCACAGTGCACACACCCTCTTAGCAGATCAGGCTGTCATCACACTCACGACCCCGCTCCTAAGCTGAATACTCTACTACGTTTTCTTACTAACTATCTCGCACATGTCATATGCAAATAGTATATGCAAAGGTTTTATGCAATTGTTACAAGAAAATGTTTTCTACAACTGTGATAAGCTGATGTCCTATGCACGTGTAGAGTATCCATATCCATACTTATCCTGGTCCAGACAACAGGTAGCCGCACAACCAATATTTACACCTATACAAGTGTGGATGGGATAAACTAATTGTGCTAACCAATAGCATCTACATAAGTGACTACGATAACGATTCAACTAGCGTGTAACTCAACACATAGATCTAACCACACTAATACAGCTCATCTAGTACTGTCACACATACATAGTTTCTACTTGTTTCATTTACCTTAACTAGGGCACTACAATCGTTTAGTTATATTGGATAAAAAAACACAAAATATGTGCGACTCTTCATGCCACTGTCTAACATGTATAAATCTTGCAATACGCCGTTGTGGCGTTTGTTGGTATCTTGTAACCACCCGCACAACAAAAATAAAGAATTTATAAAAAAAAAACAAAAAAAAAAAAAAAACACATTTATAACCAATGGAAACAAAAAATATATATTCACAGCTACACACAGAAAAAAGACTTACATTTTCAAGTTCTACTCTACTAGCCAAGCCTTAAAAGTTACTTGCCAGTGGCCCTCTGTAGCATACTCATTAATGGTGAATTTCTACTCACCAGGGCTAATATTTTCACTCGCCAATGGTTAGTGGTGGAAATGTTGAGAGTTAAGGCTGGCAAGGAATAACAGGAGATGAAGACCACCATCTGATGACCTACCTTTGCCAATCCCTACACAAATACCCAATCCCACTTTAGAAGGTGGTATCAGTACAGCAATGGTTTCCTTTGGGGTTTTGCTTGACGCTGGAAGTCCTCATACACAGTGCAAGGACGTAAAATGTCAGTAAGTTGACTAAAAGTGGCATAACCACCAGAAAGTGCCTCTAGTGGCGATCAGACAGTAGTCTGAGGCAGTCTTAACCCTGCAAGGTAATTATTTCAGTTTCTTAGAAACTGAAATAATTACAATTGAAGAGATAAGAGCACAGGGACTCGTTTCATTGGAAAAGCTGTATTAAAGCCACACTATAATCACCAGAAGAACTATACCCTGATGTGGTTTTGGGGGGAGAGGGGAATATGTTCCTGCTGCTAGCACTCTGAATACTGACTTATTTCAACTTTCTTTGCCCATTCCCACACTCTAAAGTTCTCTATAGCTCATCCCTGTCCTCCATGCTCATTCACATTGTCTCCAACTGCCCCTCTCAGCAATACACCTCCCACTGGCACAATGGTTTCTTAACAAGATATTAAGGTGCACTCCCTATACAGGATTGTAAACATTGCAATCGGAATAGAATTTCATAATTCCATTTCCAAATTCCTTGATCATTGATGTATCTTGAAGATACATTGAAACCAGTGCATATTGTACATATTGAATTACGATTCAATTTTTTTGTTACAAATAGACAGGTTTTAGGCATTACCCACACACCTGTGTGTGCTGCTCTTTAATAAAGCTTTCTATAAGAAAATGCATTTATCACCACCTCAACATCACATGTAAAGTGAACAAACCAGGTGTGTCAGGTGAAGGTTTTACATATACTTTAGTATCAAGACCTTCATCCATTTTACCTACACCTGAACCAGGAGACACTTCATTCACCACATAAACCCCTAAAATGGAGTTCATAAGATGAAAATCTAGGATTTCCAAAATCATGACTCTCTGGATATATTTTTCAGAATGTGTCCTATATACTAAAACTACATATAAAAAAAAAATATATATATATATATATATATATATATATATATATATATATATATATATATATATATATATATATATATATATATTTTTTTTTTTTAAACTAACTTTACCTGATAAGTTTTTGAGTTAACCACCAAAACTAGACTTGGGGCTTCAGTGAAATATAAAAAGGTATCCGTGCAGGCACACACCTATTTTAGAGATTGTGAAATTAATCCCAAAAAAAGAAAGAAAGAAAATGTAAAAAATTATTCTACAGAAGTCTCAATGATGAAAAACTGAACACATAGTGGCCAAGAATATGGACGCAGTGAAAAAGTGTTGGGGAAAACTTTACACAGGCATATTAAGTGTTTAAGTGGTGGATTAGGTAAATTATACAAAAATAGTAACTGGCATATATGTTCAATTCAAATAATCGTTGCAACACACACACACACACACATATATATATATATATATATATATATATATATATATATTTGTAAAATATCAAATACAGGTTTCCTGCACAAAAACCCTCTCTTCTATATCAGAGTTCTACCATCCCGATCTCCCAGTATAAAGAGCACACAATGGAAAAAGAAAATACCAGTACGGGCTGTATGGGTCCCATAAATATCTTAACTTTATTCAATTAAGAAAAGAAAATGTGGAGCTGAGTATTAATTGCGTTTACTTGCATAAAATGTTTTTTTCCTCTTGTCAATTAAACACTACAGACTAGTATTAACTACAAAATAAAGAAGTTTTATTATGTGAATTAAAGTGTATTGAGCATGAGTGACGGCTGAGGGGGGACAGGCTCTTTTTGTGGAGGACCCCGCAGGATCCTCCATAAATGTAAAAGGAGCTGAAGCGTCTGGAGTTGAAGAGGATCGGACAGAAGATCATGGCAGCAGAAACAAGTAACAGGTTCAAGTAAGTTTAACTCTTCTTACCCAACAACCCTTGCCATTGACCCTGAGCGGCGGTATCAATATCAGTGATCTTTGCAAATTATACAAGGACCCCAGGTGGCGACAGGGTTGCTTTAAGCATAACAAGGGATCCTATAGACTGTAAGCTCGTTTGAGCAGGGTCGTCCTCTTCAACCTATCGTTCCTGTAAGTTTTGTCATTGTCCTATGGAATCTGTTGGCGCTATATAAGTGACGATGATGATGATGATGATGATGATGATGATGATAATAATAATAATAAGATAAGACCACTGTAGTAGTTATGGTGCCAGACACAGGCCAACAAAAACATGAAATCACACTGAATCAAACTAATATTTTTGCACTAACTTTTACAATTTTTTTTTACATTAAAATCACAAAATATATCAATAAATCAATCCAACAATATAATCTGAGGCCTTAGTGTGATAACGCAAAAGTATGAATTCCATTACACAAGGCTAGCACACACCGGAAGCAGAGAGGAGCACCCAAAACAGCCAGTCTTAAGCTGTTTACAACCAGACAGTCCAGGGGACTCAGCACCATTACCACTACAGAGGGTGCTTTGATAAAGCTGATGAAATGCTAAATTAAGGAAAAAGGTAATTGGTTACTTTAAGCAGATGACAATGCAACTGCATTAAAGCAAATGTGTCTTGGAAACTTATAGGCTGCAAAGTATCTATATAAAACCAGATTTACAAGTTAACTATCACAGCCATAAACAGTGAGATATTGAGAAACAAAATAAAAGCTATGTTTAATTGGAATTCTTTACCATGCAATATCAATATTTAGCCAAGCTGTAACTATAACATTTTTTTTTTTTTTTTTTTAAATGGTTTTCCCAAGTGAGGATTTTGCTTAAAAATACACAATTTTTATTTAAAAAGTGGTCTTTGTCTCCATATAAGGAACGAGGAATTTTTCCCATTAGCAGATTATTTAAATGAATCGCAAACTACTTTCATGCTGCCATTAAAATACATTTCATGATGACAAATACTTCAAATGTCTAGCATACATAATGATCATCAATTTTAGTTTCACTATGGCAGCATTTTGGAATGGAACTCAGGAGGTATCATACATTCCAGGGATTTCACTATTCAAACACAATAATCTCTAAAATCTATAAAGGTATAATCTGATGACTAGCATTAACTGTATATTTAGGTTAGTACACAACATCCTTGTCAGTGATTACATTATTTACTTGTCTTGTATAAACAAGCACACATTTAGATGTCCTCCGTGTTAAATTACAATGCAGGCAGTCTATCTAAAGTAGGGGTGGGGAACCTTCAGCCCTCCAGATGTTGTGGACTACATATCCCTTGATGCTTTGCCAGCATTTGCGCTGTAAGAGCATTATGGGAGAATTAGTCCAAAACATCTAGAGGACCAAAGGTTCCCTACGCCTGACCTAAAGAAATGAATACTGGAATGTGTCACCCGCCCACATGCGATAAAAAAATAATAAACAAAAAATAAAAATATACCATATTCTTGTACAGGTTTATTAATTATTAAATAGCTGTATTGATTTCAGACTGAGTGGTAGAATCAATCCACAAAGCTGAGCCAGAAACTCAGTTCATCAACTACAGCTTAATGACAATATTTCAGTGCGATTGATTAGGACTAAACAAATATCGGCATTATTAAATATGTAAAATACATTAATTCTCTTTTTTTAATATTGATTATACATTCCCTTATTAGATATGGTTCCCACGACATGTAAAACCTCATCGTTTTTAAGTTAGAGACATGGTTCTTGAATTTGGATCAAAAATGATGCCCCTATTGGTTGGAAAAGGCTGATACTAAATCAGGCCATAGGCAACTGCCCACAATAGGTTATCACCTGAAGCAGCCCTGCCTTCCCTAGTGCACCACCCTATGACAATGTGAACATTCCAATGAAGATGTTTTTAGAATCATTTTTGCAATATGTTATCATTTTAGAATATCCTGTATCCCATTTATAGATAAGTCACCGAACTAATTTAAACATTGAAAAAATGCCATGTACATCCCTTGGATCCCTAACAGAGACCCCTGATAGATAGAGCAGCACTGTGAATGCAGGGGGTCTCTGGTTGAGATGGATATTGAGACTCTGCCCTCACCTTGGTACCTGTTCTGGTCCCCCTACTCAAGGGGTCTCCTAGCCCAGAGGGTGGGATGCCTTTGTCTGCTGTCCTGGTTCTCTGGAGGTGGTGGTGGATGTCTAGTCTTGCTGGGGGTCTCCTAGGCCAGGTGTGGGATGCCTTTGTCTGGTGTCCTGGGTCTCCTGGTTCTCTGGAGGTGATGGTGGTCTAGTCTTGCTGGGGGTCTCCTAGCCCAGGGGTGGGATGCCTTTGTCTGGTGTCCTGGGTCTCCTGGTTCTCTGGTGGTGGTGGGCTAGTCTTGCTGGGGGTCTCCTAGCCCAGGGGTGGGACGCCTTTGTTTGGTCTCCTGAGGTGGTGGTGGTGGTCTAGTCTTGCTGGGGGTCTCCCTGAGGTTCCTCTCACTCCCAGCAGGTCTCAGTATTGGGGTCCCCTCCACCTGCTGAGCTCCTATTACCCAGCGCTGGGACGGTGACCGCCGGCTGGCAGAGAGCTGAGCACACAGCGAGGATCCCCCCCGCCCGGCTCCGGTATACCGAGTAATGGCGGCTGTTTCCGGGTTGTCGGCCGCCCCCTTTCCCAGTCTGAGCTCCCGGTATCTCCTCACAACACGGAGCTCCCACACCGGAAACGCTAATGACGACTCCGCCCTTTGCTCCCGCACAACAAGGAAAGGGGCGTGGCCAGGAGAAACAAGCGTCATGACGTAGGCTCCGCTGTGGACAATGAAGGGAGAAGCCCCAGCCGGCCATCTTGTTTACGGGCAGCCGGGCTTTAGGCGGACAGGAAAACCTGTCAGCAGAGAGCGAGGCTGCGAACCTAGACACTCGTCGAACAAGTGAACTGCTGTTTTAAGTGGATCGATCAGCCTGAAGAAGACTGCCCAGCGCGTGGTATTCTTTGGCATGAACTGCTTTGCCAGCATCCAAGATGGCGCCGGCAAGGTTCTCTCACCATAGTAACCGCTTGTATGGTTACCATGCGGAAGAGCTCCACACTTCCTGCCTGTAAGACTCAAGCGCCCCCTGGTGGATTCTCTCCAAACCTCAGCTATAACTCAGTCTACAGTTTTGCTTGTGATCCCCCTTTATAGACTCTATAGGATTTCACATGGCCAAGTGGGGACACCATGGTCTAAATACAGGGCTGCCCAATAGGGAGATCCACAGATATTTTAAAAACTGCAGCTTCCATGATGCTCTGTTAGGCTAAATACATGCAATGTATTACAGGTGGATATATGATAATACTGAGGAGTTTATTCACTATACAGGCTAAGAAAATGTGAGGAGTCTGGTTAACTGCCAAAAATATTTAGATAAATACCCGAGTGTATAACAATAGACTTGGTAAAAAGGTGAGTGGTCTTGGTATTTCCAAAAATGATTGGATAAATAAATGGTAATTTGAGGTTTATTCCATATTCACCTTGTATTATAGATGAATAATGGAACACAAATCAAGTTATGTGTGGTGGACAGTTTTTTTTTGGGGAGGACGGGACTGCTGCAGTTGGTTCCAGTGGAATAAATCTGACCAAATAATACTAGAAAACTGAGGGTCCTGGTACTAACATGGAAAGTATGAAAACTATTTTACTTTTTCCTGGCTAACCACGGCAGCATCACTACTAATACCAAATCTTAGAAAAGAGTGGGTTAGATTAACCCAAATTACCTCAGCAAGACAAATTTACAAAATTCATGCTTTATCAGCAGAAGATCCATTTACCTTGATCCTTTCAGATGAGGTGACTATTGGACCAGTACCATAATTTTAACCTGTGATGGTTTTTCCATTTCACCATAATGAAGTATTTCATCCATATATTTTTTTCAAAATCCCAGGTTCTCGGACGAAGAGGATCTGCATAAACTGGATGTACTAAGATATCTATCAACATATCTGATTAGGTCTAAGATGTACGGCAAGTCATAGAGAATTTCTATTTTACCAATCAGAAAAAGAAAATAAATGGAGGCACACTCAGCAGATAGACGTCAGAGGTGATTTAAAAGGCATACAGACTTCATGGCTGTCTGGTCCCCAAAGAGATTAAAGCACATTCAATGAGAGCTGTATGGACAAACTGAGCATTATTGGCAGACATCTCTATAACCAGTTGCAAAACAGCAACGTTGGCATTCAAAAATACATTGATTATAAACTGTAAATAGGACATATCTCGTGATACTGACTGCTTTGGCAAAGGAGTGGTAATAGCAGCAACGTCTCTTAATAATGGTCGTGATAAAGTGTTTCATACTTTGCATAAACTATGTTTTCCAAATAAGAACAATTTCTGAAGAATCCTCAATAGGTTCAAAAGCCTTTAAAGGGACACACCAGACCCCCAAAGCACATTACCTTGCTGAAAAACTTTGTATGAAAAGTGTCCCCTCTTTTTTTTTCATTACGGAAATAGTGCAGATTTCAATAGAAATAGACACTCTTATAAATTATACTGGTTACACCTCCCTGGCTTTTCAAGCAGACAACAGGTCATGTTACTTCCTGGTTTGGTTAGCTTTGTTGCACTGAACTCAGCACCTGCCTTGCAAAGACTTCTCATTGGACTGCATTGTGAAGGCTGTGAATAAACAGTCACGTCATGTTCGGGTTGGGTTAAAGGAGGGTTTGCAAAGGAAGAAGCCTTAATTTCAAAACCTTGAGGTTGGGGATATCAGTCCCAGAGAAAAGTTCTGGATCAAGTGTAATTCTCTTGCACCATTATGCTTCTCACAAGAGGAAATCAAGGTAATGATGGCAATAACTTCTACCTATTCTTTCCAAATTTTCTCCAGAATTCGAAGTATCATAGGAATGGGAGGAAATACATACATGAGGCTGAAGTTCCAATTTTGAGCTAGATTACTGTTGCCTATGCTTTCAGCTTGAATACCCTGAATAATTCTTAATTCCCTTTAGTTTCAGGTTGTCTTCATTCTCCTGGATCTATCTTGGAGTAGTTTATGTAATCTGCAACCCGATTCTCTTCTCTTGATGTGTTTTCTGGGCCAAGTTCAAAAGGTGTTCATTTTAATAGATTTGTGTTGTTCCTCCTTGATTGTTCAGATAAAATACTTAAGCCCTGCTGTCCAATGTAAAGGTGCCCAATGTTTTCTTATCAAATGTCTAAAATGGAAGAGCTCTGGAAACTGCGATTAATTTGAAAACAGTGGTGCCCCAGGTAAGTTATAAAATGCTTTGACTCCTCCAGTTGGGTGGTTGGGGTACTGATTTGTGTTGCTTGGAATGTTCCTTTAAGAGTAATCTCAATATTTCTTGTAGCTCAGATGCAGCAATGACATGTAAACGTTCAAAGGGTAGAAGAGCAGATTTCAAACTTTGATAATTAACCAATACTCTTATACAGGGAAGCATTTTAACCAAAACTTTCACAGCACATCAGATTGTCTTCCATTGTTCATTTATATATTCAATGCTAAAAGTCACACAAAGGATCAGTGATTTGAAGTGGGCGTGGTGTCTGGAGTTTGTAGGTTTAAAGTTTCCCAACAAAAGACTGCACATAAACCCCTTCGCTGCTGAAGACGCCATATGGGCATCTAACCAGAACCTAGAGTTCATTCCCGGCCAATATCAATTCTGTGCGCATTCCTATGCAAATGCTTGAACTCATTAGCTGATGCTCAGCTAGTGAATGACCAGACTTCAGTGACCATGATGCTTAAGAGTAACCCACTAATTTATTTAAAGGGTTACCACAACCATGAGCAGTGATTTTAAGTGGTCACTGTGGTAGGCATCTAATTTCTGCTTGAAATGCTGCACATAGTGATATTTGCACTTGTGTCAGGGGTTAGTTACATATCTAGCACATCTGCCTATCAATCCTATGCAAAAGTTAAGTTTATCAGCAAGCCAGCAGGAGATTTAACAAGCTTCCCCCTATAAGGGGAAGCTTACTCTTCCCTTTTATTGCCATTTTATTTTTGTGTCCTCTTCCTTGGCTCAGATGGACATGCGCTCTAAACTGGTGAAATGGTCCAATCAAATTATTTTCTATGAGAAGCATTTGATTGGACCTATTGAGGTGCTTGGTAAAATTTGCATGAAAGCATGGAAGGCAGCTCTGAGAGCATTGCCTGGCCATGGATTTAGATAACTTTTCTCTGCAAGTTTAAAGAGGGGGTGGAGAGGAAGAGAGAATCTAAAGATTAATGCCAAATGGACTAAACATTAAATAAAGTTATTAGTTGAGTTAAGCAATTTAGTCCCCAAAAAATTAAGTAAAATGACTGGTGCTTTGAATCCTCACATGGAACAAACATTGAAGTTTTACCCAACCTCATGCCAACCATTTCCTGCATTTCTAAAGTTACCATTTACATATTTGTAAGTTTTGATTTTGCAATACAATTATTCCATATATCTTGTTTATACAGTTCTCCAGCTTGCCCTACATTATTCAGAAATACATTTGTTAGTTTTATGAAATTACCGTTTGGTTTATTTATATTTTCTCATATCATGGTTTTGTACCCTTACCATGATCAATTTTTATTTTTGTTGATCTGAACACTCCTTCAGTCTCTAAACTGACCATAGCTCTGCAAGTGACAAAACATTGATTAATCTGTCAACATTGCATGGGACAGCTACTCAAGTGTTCAAATTACACAAGCCAGTAAATCTAATCCAATGCTTCACTGGGCTGTTACGACATGGTCAATTTAACCATTTGTGATGTCTCATTCAGAGTCCAAATGACCCAGTGCAAAACAGTTCTATTTCCCACAAAAGCATTTGGGAATTGTCTCAAGACAGTTTAGGCAACTAGAAATACTAAATTATAGCCCGCAACACCATAAAGTGACCGTTTACAAGCATTCCTACCAAGTGAAATCAGATCACTATCAAACAATTAGTCTAATTTATTTTAAGATGGGGAAAAGGGATGCCTTTAGGGACGTTAAAGCTTAGATATTACAATCACGGTTTGTTTTCCATTTTGCTAGGAAGCAAGATGCTAAGTGTTTTTTCATTACTTCAAAAGCAGTCAAATATGCTTAGAGATGGGTAATTCTGAGACTTTCATCAAGACTTACTACTTACTAATACATACAAACTATATTGCATGTTTTTTTTTTTTTTTTTTTTAAAAAGCTGCGGCACATTAGATATTCAAAACTAATTTAAAGTCTCGATTTCTACAAAAGTAGAAAATTCAAAAGGAATGGCAAGAAAAATGAAGTATCTGTTAAGGTTGCATATAATTCAAGTGTAAAGCAGATTACCTCAGAACTTATTACAGCTTGAATGTTGCTTGTATGCAGAGAATCTACTCATGCATTTATGAATGGCAGGTTGATTTTAAGAAACCATTTATAAAACCCAACTTGACCGCAACCAAGAGAACATCAACAGTTCTGTACAAAAAACCTACAGACTTTATTTACAAATATACAACAGTAAAAAATGACAAACATGTTAACTTGTCCAAAAGTCTTATTCATCATCTGAGGCAGCTTCATCATCTGAGGGAAGTCTGCGAGATCTGCAACAGACAAGAAATATGCATTACATTTGAGTGACTTCCGGTGTACCGGCATACTGACATTGTACAGACACATCATGGCTCTATGCCATTGTAAAGTTAAACCCCCAAACAATTGCATAAATACTTGACATTTTCTGTAATGTCTAAACTTTTATAACTTAAAGCATCTCATCTGTGCAAGGAACATACTTTACACTGTTTGACATGTTGCAAAATCAACAAAAACGAAAAGGTTTAATAAAAAAGATATTAACAAAAAAAAAAAAAAAGCCCCAAACAAACTTACTTTCTTGGAGCTTTAGATGTACCACTGCCTCCAGCCTCCTCTTCATCTTCTGAAGGAATACGATTTTCTTTTTCAGGTTGATTCTCATTCTCTCCTTGACTTGTTGAGGGAGAGCCAAAGAACTCCCCTATACCTTTCTGCCATTTTGGAGTTGGTCTAACGCACACTGGATTACCACCAGCATATTTATCAGCTATAAAAGTGAATTGAATTAACATTAATTAAACCTAGCCTTAACATAGCAACACTGGATACTCCAAGAAAATCAAGAAATTGGATATCCAATGAGTAACCTACTTACCCTTTTTCCCAGTTGGTGAAGTAACATTATTAGAGGGACCAGGGCTTCCAAATGATTTCCTTGGGGCTCTGGCAGCAACAGCTTTAAGAAAAAACAGGTTGTTTAAAAAAAAAAAAAAAAGCCAGTTAACAGTTAAGAAAAATTATGTAAAGCATACATCAGCCATGTGCAGTGTATGAAGTGTTGCAATAAGACTGATATGAAGAATGTATAAAGTTTAGATTTAAGATGGTAGGTGTCAGTTCATGTTTGAAAATGCCAGTTAGTCACAATAGATACTGGTGCAGAACTTTGTAAATCTACTGTATGAGGTTAAAGGTTTAGTTCAAACACCATAACCACTTCAGAGTTTTGAAGTGGCCTTGGAGTCCATACAGGAAACATTTCACTAAGAAATTTTTTTTTTTATATAGCTGCTGAAGATGTAAGTATGCCATTAGCAGCGTTTATGTATCATCTTGTTCCAGGCTGGTTTATGTCAATTCTGTGCATATTCTTGCAAAGGGTAATTTATTGCCTTAAAGCTGAGTCTGAGCTGGTGAACAAATACAGCAGGTGGCAGTGGTTCTAATACATTGAATCCAATGTATTTCTATGAAAAGCTCACTTAGACTTTTAAGAAACATCACATTGCGTGATAATTCCTTCACATGTACTTTATGTCCCCAATGCTCAACTACACTTGACAAATCAGCCAGCTTTCTGACAGACTATAGAGCTGCTGTTCCACCTCAGATCTGGCAAGTAAGGTAAATTCAACGACATTTCTTATTTTGAGGGCAATGACGCAAGTCAAGTTGAAACAAATCTGAATGGAGAAAAAATGTATAGTGTCCATATAATGACAGCCACCATCAATTTAGTTTCAAACAAAATCAGACTGAGAAGTGGGGGGGGCAGCAAAGGAGAAAAGGGATATGATCTACTCAGCAAAAACACTATTGAAATAAAGTTGTGTCAGTGTAACATAATCCTGCATTTTATAACAGTCACCGCTTTTCAGTACGCGTGTGTAGCTGTGTGTGCTGAGAGTGGCTATTACAGGAGGATGGCTGCCCACTAACAGGCAGAGTAGCCAAGAAGCATAGAGCAGGGCTTCATATTGAGAGATAAAGGACCACCAAAAAAAGAGAAACCATGTTAAGTTACACTGTCACAGAAACAGTCATACATACACAGTCTAGGCAAGAGTGACTGTCAGGAAAAGGAAGCCACTTTCATCCTTTAAGAATTAAAAGCAACAAGTAATGATCCAAGATTTAAGGCAAGGCTATCCACTGCAAACACTAATATCAGTCAACACCAGTAAGATAATGAAGTGTGACCCCAATATATTTCTAGCGTTCAACAAAAACAAATTAAAGTTAGTTATAAAGCTATAGCAATAAAGCTATAAATAGTGTGATTTTATGGTGGAGTATGGTGCTGTAACCCAGTAAGCAGGGCTGGGGTTAAACCTCTCCCCAATAGGTTTTAGCGCCTAAAGTGAGAGCAGAGCATGCCGGGAGTTGTAGTTCCACGGTGCAGCTATCCCTATGGGCTGTATGTACAGTCTGGCGGCCGGATGGCGGGAGCTGGCTGAGGGTCACAGAGCAGGATCCGCTCCAGCCGGGAACTTGGCGCCAAATCGCCCATCTCGGTAGCTCGGACACGGTGTCTAGCCGGACAGTGAGAGCGGACACAGCCGGAGTTATTAACCGGGAGCGGAGCTCGGTGCCCTCCCTGACAGGATCCCACCAGCCGCCATTACCGAGCGGACACACGGCCAGGCCGGGCAGTGACGGGGTCAGTCAGGGTGTGCTAGGCCGGTAAGTGCTCTCACCCTTCCTGTAGCTGCCGCTCCCGCTGGGTGCCGCGCTGTCTGCCTTAGTCCGGACCATCGTACCGCTCGCTGCGCTCTCTCCGCCGCCTGGACGCACACTGACCGCCCCGCGCCAGCGCGAGCCCCATTTAAACTTCCCGCCCGCCGCAACCGCACTTCCTCCCCGCCTCCCCGAGTCCTATTGGTCGCGCTCTGCCGTGGCCCCGCCCGTTTTGCCCCTCGGCGACCAATCGCAGTTCAGCTGGAGGTTGTTTCTGACTTTCCCGCCCGAACGTGTTGCTGGGAGCTCGTAGCCGGTGGGAGGAGGGAAGGAGGGAGCTGGGAGTTTCCCGCCTGAGCCTCACAGCGCTGTGGGCGGGAAGCCATGCCCTGAGTAAAGAGGGCGGTTAAATGGCTGGGACCGTGGGTCAATACATGTCATACTGTGTTCATCAATAAATATCTCCTATACCCATCTCATTAATAAAATAATAAATATCCCCTATACCTGTCTCATTAATAAAATAATAAATATCCCCTATACCTGTCTCATTAATAAAATAATAAATATCCCCTATACCTGTCTCATTAATAAAATAATAAATATCCCCTATACCTGTCTCATTAATAAAATAATAAATATCTCCTATACCCATCTCATTAATAAAATAATAAATATCTCCTATACCCGTCTCATTAATAAAATAATAAATATCCCCTATACCCATCTCATTAATAAAATAATAAATATCCCCTATACCCATCTCATTAATAAAATAATAAATATCCCCTATACCCATCTCATTAATAAAAATCTGCTATTACCGTCTCATTAATAAAATAATAAATATCCCCTATACCCGTCTCATTAATAAAATAATAAATATCTCCTATACCTGTCTCATTAATAAAATGTGTATTAGTTACATCTTAACTTTGGACATTTTTTTTTGCCACCATGAACAAGGAATGATTGACAGGTTAATCTAATGTGAATTAACACTTTATTAACCAGAACTATATAAGTTAACGCCAGGAGCTTACCTGGATTTATTAACACCGAGCAGACACAAACGTCTGGCGCCAGAAGTTGAAAAGTGAAGATGGCGCCACCCAGGTTGGACAGCGTCACAAAAGTATCAATGACCTCTTTGGGGACCCCAGGCTATCGCAGCTCAATGCGAATGTCACCAGCAGAAATCTTTCCTCTTCGTTTTTGCTCAAAAAATAGTTACAAATATAAAACTTACCTGGAATCCAGCGTCAGACCAAGTTCTTATTTTTGACCTTTTTTTCGTAACGCCTTGTTATCTTTTTCCATGTTGCCACCCAATAAAATGCTTCTTATATTCCCATTGTACAGTGCTGTGGGATTTGTTGGCGCTTTATGAATAATAATAATAATAATAAAGAAGCAGTGATCTACCTACAGCACGTCTGGTGAGCTCCACAAATATTGCCAATCAGATTCTTGACATAGAAAAGCATTTAATTCAATGCGTTACTATCCGAAGCGTTTGCCTATACATACCTGTCGAACGTGACTAAAACACATCGCGTTCAACAGAGGGTTTCCCATTAGGTTCGCATGTTTGCCGCAAACAGTTGTTCGCGCACAATAGCATTTGCAGAAATTTTCACTGACCCGTTCGTGAGTTTTCCCACTAATCCTATATGCGGTTTTTCTGGCTTTTCAGCGGCCATCTTGGGTCTTGCATAACGAGAGTTCCGGCAGCCATTTGAAACACTGAGTGTGATTTGGAGTGTGACTCAATGTGCTGTACTACATTTATTTTTTTTCCTCAAATATCTTGCTATTGCTGTATTTACTGCCTGTCTCAGGGACCTGCTACAGTTCAGTGGAAACCTTAAGGGTGGGTCAGACGGTCAGGTTCTCGTACCCAGTACTCCAGCTTGGGGTGAGCCACCATTTTGATTGGCGCTGCTGAGTAGAGCTGTGCACGCAGTTTCCTTTATTTCTGGGTGAGCCCCAGAATTTGTCTGTCTATACGTGAAACAGCCATGTATACTATAAAGGCCGTTAAAACCCCCTGGTGGTCCCTTCTGACGATCTGCCGTAAGTGCCTATCCACCTTATAACTAAAATACTGATTTGGAAGACCCAGAGTGAGTACAGAGATGGAAGATTCCCAAATGCCAGCAGACCTACAGGCCCTGATTAATGTGGCTGTTGCTAATTCAATTGAAGAAGCCTTAGCTAAGGCACTACCGGTTACCCAGGAACCGCCAAAACCGCCCACCAAGCGCTCCTAAAGAGAGACAAGAGAGATGTCAGATGATTCAGATTCATCCTCTAAAGGGCGAAACGCCACTGGAAAGGTGAAAGGTCTTAACAGAAGCCTAACAAAGGTAAAGCACCCCTAAAAAAGGGGAAACACGTACAAGCCATGTCCCAGATGGTATACGACGCTTCCTCGGATGAGAAGCGTCATGTTTTCCCCTCATTGTTGGTTCTGGACGAATGGCAGGCCGAACAGTCTCCGTTAGATGACGAGACTTGGGGTCACAACTTCTTCCTGGGTGAGCCCCAGCAACGGGAGGACGCAGACGAAGCGGAGGCCTCTGAACAACCGGATAGTGAGCGCTTAATTTATAAAAAAAAAAATTAACATACACCATGAAGGGAGTACACAATCCTCCCATATAGCATCGAAAAAAATATCTTAATATTACAGTAACATTTACATACATAAATATGTCGACTATATAAATAGTTAATCAATGGTATATAGTTGCTCGACCTAATTCTATCCTGCTATCATTACCAGGAAACCTTTTTACTTGTCGGGGTAGGTTATATCACTAATTTTAGAAAGTATTTATCCTCTCTAAGAATATATCATATAAGTCCAATGTTCTCGACTTAGGAAATAGCGTCATAGAGTATACTCCCTTTTCACTCTCTAATCGATATATCACTTGGTTCTTAAGATGAGCCTTAGTAGGAACCTCGATGCTTCGCCAATGTCTCGCTATAAGGGTCTTAGCTGCCATTAAACAATGAATAAGGGTCATATCAGATATTTGGTTCGTGTCTGGATCCATTATATGTAATAAAGCCAATTCTGACTTTTGTTCAAATCGTTTATCCCCTAATAAATGCATAAGACTGAATGTCAAGTTCCATAAAGATTTAATTCTGGGGCAAGACCACCAAATATGTAGCATTGATCCATCAATATGGAAACAACGCCAACAATTAGGTTGATTTATCTGTGAGATTTTTACTAAACATAATGGAACCATATACCATCTGTATGCCACCTTAATGAAAGTTTCTAAAATATTGAGACAGTGAATATATTTTTTTGTCTTCTGAAAGGATTTATACCATATATCTGGTGAAATATTGATCTCTAAGTCCGATTCCCATTTTATTAATGATTTAGGTAACACCTGAGATTCCGATATACTTAATAATTCTGCAGCAATTGATATCACATTTTTAACTTCACACCCTGTAAAGATTTTAGTAATCAAACTCTCTATTCTACCATCAAGAGATAACAAATTGTCTTTAAGAAAACTCTTCAAACTGAGAACGTTAAAGACTTCTCTAGGTGGTAGATCAAAAGTTGTTTTAAGTTCTTCAAAACTTAACATTTGTTGACTATTATACATATCCGATATTAAGTAAGGGAAATCTTTATACCAATTTTTTAAACTGATATCCGGTAAGATTTGTTCCAAAGTAGCAATATAAATTTTCCCTAAAATTTAGTTATTAAAGTTTAATTTTTTCTTGATAATTTTCCATTCTTTAAGGATTTGGCGAAGAATTAGTGGAGTGTTAGTCGATAACTTATTTATTGCATAATTATTATTTTCATCACCCCACAGAAGAGATTCAAAATTTTTAACGTCACTTCTATGTGCCTCAATTTTATACCATGTTTGAGTTTGGGCTTCCTTAATTTGTAATCTGCTAGCATGAACTAGCATATTAGCCTGATATACTTGGCATTTTAAAGGATATCTCATACCCCCCCTGATGTCCTTTCTTAGAGAGCATAGTAATACTAATTCTGGGCTTTTTGCTTTTCCAGATAAAAAATTGTTAATACTACTTTGGATCATATTTAGCCAATGTATAGAAATTGAAAGTGGGAGCATACGAAATAAATAAGTCCATTTCAGGATTATGTATGATTTGATTCTATTAATCCTACCCCACCCGGATATTTCTTGAGCTCTCCAAACTTTCAATAATAAGTTAGTCTCCTTTAATCATTTTAGAAAATTGGTCTCCATAGTCCGTGAAGGATCTGTTGTAATTGTCAGACCTAAATAGGAAAGTTCCTTATTGGTTCAAAGAAAATCATATTCTTTTTTCAAGGGGATAGGGAACGCTTCTACAACTCCACAGGTCAAAGCATGTTCAACCCGAGGTACATCCGTCATCCTCGTTAGGGGTATTGGACACCACCACCACACCTCACAATGTTTATACACTTTTGGTTGAGGAAGGCACTGGCCAAGGAGGTCCGCAAAAGACTACATGCTGAATGCTCTTAATCTTCATTGCCTGACAAAGTTGCGCTCACACCAGAGTTCGACCAGCTTGTGGGCCTCATATCCTCCTCCGTTCAGGCATTCTTCCCGGGCCCGCTGCATTAATGCACTATGCAACGCTTGAAAACACGTTTCCTCAGATGAAATCCCACCTACGATCAACCTGTCCCCATGACGGAAGAAGTCCTACAGGAACTTCTATGGTGCATGCAAGCCTGGAATGGACACGCCATCTTCAGCACACGTCCGGATTTCGTACTGGAATTAGACGTGAGCCGATGGTGTTGGGGTACCACCGATGGACAATTAGCCACAGGCAGAGTGTGGACGGCGGACGAACTTGCTCTCCATATCAACTCCCTGGAACTTTTGGCAGGTGCCTTCGCAATTTGGAGTCTAACGAAAGGCAAAAAGATTGCTGTAGCCTACTGCGCATGGACATTATCTCTGCAGTTCGATATATCAACCATCTAGAAGGCATCTGCTCCCAAACACTGGCAGACCTCACAAAGGAAATCTTCAAGTACTGTCTTACACAAAACATAACTTTGATGGCAAAATATCTAACAGGAGATACCAACCTAACTGTGGACTGGTTCTCCTGGCACTGATGGGACAGCAGCAACTGGCAATTGGATCCATGCATATATGCAAAGCTGAACGAATAGAGAAGCCCATTCGAGGCAGACCTCTTTGGTCTTGCACCAACTGCCAGCTGCCAACCTTCTACAGCTAGTTCAGCGGTGGACACCTTCCTGCAGAATTAGCCGGCCAGGGGGGCGTACGCCTTCCTGCTTTTTGCAATGACCGCAAGAGTACTCCAACACATCACGATCCAAGTAGTGACGGTTCTCCTGTTGACACCTCTATGGCTGAGTCAATCATGGTTCCCAGACCTTCCCACACTTTCATGCGAGAACCCGCTCCTCCTGCCAGACAAACAGATGATGCTCAGAGACCCCATGGGGAACCCACATCCGATGCTCCAAGACGGACGCCTATCTTTGGTAGGTTGGACTCTTTCAGGGGTTCATGGTGTACCAAGGAGTTATCGGCAGAGGCTAGAGCCATCATTTCAGAGTCGTGGGCTCCTGGAACTAGGAGATGTTACCTCTCAGCCTGGCTATCATGGTCTAATTGGTGTGTGGGACGGAATCTCCATCACTTTATGGCCACTGTCTCCTCCATGTTGAATTTTCTGGCATCTTTCTTTTTGGAAGTAAGTCTTACCGTTCTATTAAAGTGGTTTGCTCAGGGATATCAGCGGCTCATACTCCAGTCCAAGGGAAACCTATAGGGCAGGATCCTCTGATTTGTCCCCTACTTCAGGGCATACGGCTGCAAAGACCACCGGCCCCGAAATACTCCACCCTTTGGGAATGTAGCCCAAGTCCTACGATTCCTAAAATAATGGCCTTCTAATGAGAGCCTGTGTCTGAGACAGCTGTCGGCTAAATTGACTTTCCTCCTCTGTTTAGTCTCCTTCCGTCGGGTGTCGGACGTTCGTGCTTTTGATGCGGACACCTTTTCCCTTGTTCCAAATGCCGTCAGATTCTGGATATCGAGAAGTACGAAATCAGACTCGACGTCGGTTTTCTACCCCTTTTTTCCATCGGAACCCCAGATCTGTGTGGTACACATTTTTCGTGCTTATTTAGAGGCTACGGCCATGATACAGCCTAGATCCTCTCATCAACTATTTATCTCTAATGTTAAGCCACACGGTCCAGTTTCAGTTACCACCTTGTCGAGATGGGTGAGATGGCTTTTATCTTTATAAGGTATTGATACTTTGTTTGGCGCTCATTCAGTTCAGGGTGCGGCGAGTGCCTCCTTGTTAGACATTCTAGCAGCGGTGGATTGGTAGCGGGAATCTACCTTTCAGACCTTTTACTTTTATCCTCCTCCAAATGCCGCGCTCTCTATCTTACAATAGCGTTAAAATGGCAAAATGTGAAGCCTCCTGTCATGCGATAAAATTGAAGACTATGCTAGCTTTAGTGTATTAGTAATCTTAATTATCCTTTCTTTCCCTTCCCTCCCTGGGATTTAGGTTTTAGATATGGCTCATTTGCTTTTTCCTTGCTAAATAGTTTAGTTGACTTTCACTGCTAAATGTATTCACATGTATGCTGTGCATTTCTGGTGTATGTTTATTATTATTATTATTATCATCATCTTGTAGTATGATATCAATGTGTTAGTCAGCTAGACTATATTGGATATTCAGTACATTTAACAAGTAATGTTGCTAGTTAGCCAGACTGTGGTTGCTCATGTTTTTTCAAGGTTTTGGCTATACTACTAAAACGTTCTTGGTCTTGTTTCAGCTTGCAACACATGCACCGCATTCGGACGTATTCATGAGAAGAGATTTCTACATTCCAGCTGTCGTTTGAATTTTAAGAGGACAATCCTTATTTGTTAAAACTTGTTGGACGTTTCCTGGTCCGGAGTTATGATTCGTTTTGACTTGTGATGTCGCTATTTAAAGAGGAAGTGCCTCAGTGGCAGGGGCTCAAGGAAGCAAGGTTAAAGGTCAGTGTAGGACCCACCTAGGGGGGGTCTGCCTTGACGTTGTCAGGTGGGCATTCCCTCCAGTGGCCATTGGAGTAACTAAATGACCTCCTTTTGCTTAAATAAATATACATAGGGATTTGGGAGAGCACAGGTAACTTTTTCTTTGGTTTTTACTGTATGTATTGAGCTGATGTGTACAGTGGTCATTGCTGCCACCCAGGAGTCATGGGAGTGAGCGCAGGACTTGTCTTTTTGTATTATTATATATTATGCTTATCTCTTATTGGTCATTTATTTTTATGTTCTTTGCTGCTATTGGAGTAGTAAAGGAAGTTAAAGGGACACTCCAGTGCCAGGAAAACAATCCATTTTCCTGGCACTGCAGGTCCCCTCTCCCTCCCACCTCCCATCCTTGGTTGCTGATGGGGTGAAAACCCCTTCAGTCACTTACTAAAGGCAGCGACGATGTCCCTTGTCGCTGCTTCTTCCTCCGCCGCTCCTCCCCTTCATTACGTCAGCCGGCAGGGGAGACTGATTCCGCCCGCCAGCTGGGGAGACCTAATGCGCGTGTGTGGCAATGCAGCGCACGCCCATTAGACCTCTCCATAGGAAAGCATTGAAAATGCTTTTTAGTGCTTTCCTATGGGGATTTTAGTGACGCTGGAGGTCCTCACACAGCGTGAGGACGTCCGCGACGCTATAGCACTGTGCTATGGACCAGGAAGTGCCCTCTAGTGGCTGTCTAGTAGACAGCCACTAGGGGAGGACTTAACCCTGCAAAGTAATTATTGCAGTTTACGAAAACTGCAATAATTACAGTTGCAGGGTTAAAGGAAAACTATAGTCACCTAAATTAGCTAAATAAAGCAATTTTAGTGTATAGATCATTCCCCTGCAATTTCACTGCTCAATTCACTGTCATTTAGGAGTTAAATCACTTTGTTTCTGTTTATGCAGCCCTAGCCACACCTCCCCTGGCTATAATTGACAGAGCCTGCATGAAAAAAAACTGGTTTCACTTTCAAACAGATGTAATTTACCTTAAATAATTGTATCTCAATCTCTAAATTGAACTTTAATCACATACAGGAGGCTCTTGCAGGGTCTAGCAAGGTATTAAAGGACTACTCTAGGCACCCAGACCACTTCAGCTAGGGTTAACCCATTTTTTAATAAACAACTGCTATGTTTATTAATGGGTTAAGACTTCCCCCAAAGCCTCTAGTGGCTGTCTCATTGACAGCCACTAGAGGCGCTTGCGTGCTTCTCACTGTGATTTTCACAGTGAGAGCACGCCAGCGTCCATAGGAAAGCATTGTAAATGCTTTCCTATGCGACCGGCTGAATGCGCGCGCAGCTCTTGCCGCGCGTGCGCATTCAGCCGCATGGGTGGAGAGGAGGAGGATCGGAAGAGGAGAGCTCCCCGCCCAGCGCTGGAAAAAGGTAAGTTTTTACCCCTTTCCCCTTTCCAGAGCCTGGCGGGAGGGGGTCCCTGAGGGTGGGGGCACCCTCAGGGCACTATAGTGCCAGGAAAACGAGTATGTTTTCCTGGCACTATAGTGGTCCTTTAACATAGCAGGGGATAAGAAAATCTTAATTAAACAGAACTTGCAATAAAGAAAGCCTAAATAGGGCTCTCTTTACAGGAGGTGTTTATGGAAGGCTGGGCAAGTCACATGCAGGGAGGTGTGACTAGGGTTCATAAACAAAGGGATTTAACTCCTAAATGGCAGAGCATTGAGCAGTGAGGCTGCAGGGGCATGTTCTTTACACCAAAACTGCTTCATTAAGCTAAAGTTGTTCAGGTGACTATAGTGTCCCTTTAAGGGTAGTGGGAGTTGGCACCCAGACCACTCCAATGGGCAGAAGTGGCACTGCAGGTCCCCTCTCCCTCCCACCCCCATCCCAATTTGCTGAAGGGGTTAAAACCCCTTCAGTGACTTACCTGTATCCAGTGACCTCATCCGGCTGTGGAGACCTATTGCGCATGTGCGACCAGCGATGGGGAGACCTAATGTGCATGCACGGCAATGACGCGCACGCGCATTATACCTCCCCATAGGAAAGCATTGAAAATGCTTTCAATGCTTTCCTATGGGGATTTCAGCGACGCTGGAGGTCCTCACATAACATGAGGACGTCCAGCGACACTATAGCACTTTATAGCAAATCTGTGCTATAAACCCGGAAGTGCCCTCTAGTGGCTGTCTAGTAGACATTTATTGATAAAAAAAAAAAAAAGAATGCATATCAAAAAATCATGGTGACATACTGTCACATATCTGCATGTGTGTCACTGTCTATCTGTATTAGTGTCTGTATATCTGCATGTGTGTCAGTGTGTGTGTCGGTGTATCTTTATATGTGTTAGTGTGTGCGTCTTTGTGTGTGTGTGTGTGTGTGTGTGAGTGTATGTACCTGTGTATCCAGATGTGTGTCAGTGTGTGTGTGTGTATGCATATCAGTGTCTGTGGCAGTTTATATGTATATGTGTATACATCTCAGCATTCAAACACCAACACTACACACAAATACAGCCCTGTATTCAACCATCAACACTAAATAAAGCCACACCCCTACATTCAAAGACAAAACACAACACACAAGTAAGCCACTGCTTTCAATTGGCAACAGTACATAAAAAGACACAACGCTACACATAAATACACCTCACACATTCACACACACACATACTTATATTCAAACATACAAAGGGCATATAGTATTGTGGGAGTTGTACAACAGATGGGGAACTACTTTTTCAACCTTGCGATCCGGGGGCGTGTGGGGGAGAGAATTCTTGCCTTATTCTCTATTTTAGTTCTGCCACTGGTGTCTTACCCCCCAATTGCAGCCTGTAACCTCCTTCTACAGCTCCTATCCCCCACACCACCACCCCTACCCCGTACTACAGCCCATAACACCCTACTACAGCTCCCATCCCCCACTGCAGCCCACTACCAGTACCCCTACCGAGATTAGGTTTTGGATCTGTCCCTGGATGGGGACAAATGGGGTGGGGGCGTTGAGACAACCTGTCCTTTATTTGCAAGGCTTCTTCTCAGTCCAAAACAGTGTGAGTGAGAGGCTGCAATGAAGTCCCTGACACAATATTTACATCTGCAATGGTTCACTGCATATTGACAGCCCTGAGAGTAGCGCGGGGAAGGGAACAATCACATGTACTCCTGTCTGGAAGGTTAGGATTGTCATTCAGTGGAGATCACAATGCAAATAATAGCTCTGTGGTCACTTAAATATAGTGCCTTTTGGGTACATTGCAGGTCCTCATGGACAAGTTTTATGTGACTGCCCATATGGCGATAAGAGTTAAGGCCTTTTCAGTAGAGTGAAAAGGTTCAAAACCACTCTGCTGGAGGTCATGAATGTCATTAAAGCCCAGAAGTTAATTATGTGATTATGTAAAATCCTTTTTAGAAAAAACAAAAGGTTCCTTTTCGATTTCTTCATTTGCAGGATTAATCATTAAAAATAATTTTCTTTTACAAGGAAAAGACTGTAAGAGTGTAACAGTGGCTTCTATGGCTCGTGGAGGAACTTGGAGGTCAGCCTCACAGAAAACGCTGAACAGTACCAAAATTACTACTTTCACCATCCTTGAGAGCCCCCCCACTACCCATTCCAAGCACCCAGGATGTCAGCCACCCAGCTGCGATAGCACCGTGGTAGAGACCAGGGAGAGATATAGAATTTCAAAGTGACTGCACAGAACTCTACACCAGATCAGAGATCTGGCACAGTCTGGCAAACCTTTACCTGGAATCAGGGTTCTCTTTGGACAGAGGATAGCTGAGCAAGTGAGCTATTCGGGGATGGTTGGTTGTAGGGGTTCTATGTTGGGGAGCGGGTTTTAGGACTATGTTCTCCTGGCGACTGGGCTAGATTAGACTCAGCAGGTGGGACTACTAATATCAGCCCAAGACCTGGTGGGAACTTAGAGGGATCACTCGTTTGTTCTGCTAATCACCCCCTGGAGGCTGAGTACAAATCGGTAAGTGTGTTAATGCTGTGTTTGTGTGCTAATAAGGTGTACTTGTTTTGCCTTTCATCAAGTCTCCACTGATGTTTGAGTAGACTGCTATTGTTACTCAGGACATCTGAGCTATACAAGGGAGGCTAGCGGTGATACTATGGCTGAGTACAGGAGCTCCGTCTGTTATGCTACTTGGGTTATTTGGGTTGGAACTCAACTGCAGCTTGTAGAACTCCCTAATTACAATAGTAATGAAACAGAGAATCTTTAAAGTATCAATACTGTAGCTTTAAGAAAAGAGAGGATTGTTGGCAACTTGAGATTCAAACGAAGTTTTAATGATTGTTAAACTTAAATTAATTGCATTTAGGCAATAATCCAATAAGAAGAAGTTCAGGTTCAAATAATCCAAAATTCATTAATAAGTATTTCCACAGAGAAGCATTAAGTAAGATTCTTTAAGTTCATGAGAATAATCTTCAATAGAAACATTAAGCAAGTAGCGGAGAGTATTTGCAAAGCAAGAACAGTTCATAGTTAATAAGCATCATGGGAGTTGTCCCCCATATAATTAGTAACTTGAAGCAGAGAAGAATTGAGCAAGCAGGAATAAGTTCATTGAAAAGTAAGATTGCAGTCAATAGTTGAAAACTATACTTAAGGTTAATGTGAGTTGTCCTCGAAGAGTTCAGAGATATAGTCCACTTGCAAAGTAGATTGTTATCTGTTCTCCAGTAATCCTCTATGGCATTAAGCATATTCCTTCCCTTAGCTCAGAAGGCTAGGACAGCTTATTAGAGCTTGTGGAGCCGGCGTGCATACCCGGAGTAGGTCCCACAATCACCAAGTCTTCTCCCTGGGGCGGTCTCTCTAAATACTGTCAGAGCCGCGTCAGAGGGGGCGGGGCCAGCTCCGCGTAGCGGAGTGCCGAACCCGGAAGAGATACCGCATGACACCGTCACAGTGAGCAAGTGATGTAAACGCTAATGTCTTGTGAAAATTGCTTTCTGTAATACTACAACTGGCCAACATTCAAGTCAACAAACCCAAAATTTAAATGTATATTTTACGCTGATTTTGAATTTGATTTCGCTATGTTAACATACTCAGTAAATGTCAGAGCTTCTGATGCTGCCTAAGTATGTACCTTTTGTTATCAATGGGGAACATCTGATTGGCTTTGAGCGGTCACCTGCCTGGCGTAACTCTGTAATTACTGTAACTCAGATTTAGAATCCAGGTGCCGCCTGGGGGACCTGGAGATTAGCGCTAGAGCCAACGTTTGTGGTTAAACAGTTCCCCTTAAGGAAAGATTGCGCCCAGGGGTCTTCTGGCACCATAACAACTTAATTTCAATGAAGCTGTTAGGGTGACCAGTGTACCTTTAAATTTGAAATTCACTTTTAATTCACCTTGAATTCTCACTTTAGTGAATAACCCTGATAGAGTTGACAGTCCTGAAAGGACACAACGGACAATGAACTAGTGGCACCAAACAGACCACTACTAGACATCAACAATCACTCCAGCTGTTCACACAACTCCCACTATGCACATCCATGTCAAAAGTGGATTAATTCTGTGTGAATTCAAGGTGAAGTTCAAATTTAATGCAAAATATAGCCAAAATGGTAAAATATATATATGAGTCAGTTATACTTTTAGTTCAGCTACTTTGGCCTTGAAAATAATTTTTAATTCATTCTGAATTCCCTTATTCAACTTACAGGGTTATTGCCTAAAGTGAGAAATCAAGGTGAAGTCCAAGTAAATTTCAAATTCAAGCAAAAAGTAGCCAAATTGAAAAAATCTAAAAATATAATTTTTTTGTAATTAATGTTTTTTTTTTTGTTTTTGTTTTTTTTCTCCCCACTCACCCAGGCTCCCCCTAAATATATATATAGCATGCTCCTCCAGCTGTTTCAGATTCTCACTCAATTACCTCTTCATTCCCTTTATATTTTACCAATAGCTGCTTCTCTGTTAACTCTTTCAGCAATCACCTCCAAACTCCCCCTGCTACCTCTTGTCTCAAATTCCTCTGGTATCCTTTAGATTGTAAGCTCACGGGCCATCTAGCTAAGCACTTTGTATAAAAGAGCTCCAATGGCTAGATATCAGCTTACGGGCAGGGCTCTCTCTACCTCTTGTATTTGTCTGTATATATTGTACGTTCTCCACTAATTGTACAGCGTTGCGGAATCTGTCGGTACTTTATAAATACCAGTAATAAATAAATAAATTAAAGGGGCACTATAGCATTCAGTGCTTACGTCAGGAGGGGGAGGAGAATTCCCCAGCGCAGAGGGAGCTCTGCGCTGGAGAAAGGTAAATGTTTAACCCCTTCAGCCCCCTTGAGCCCAGCGGGAGTGGGATCATGAGTGTCGGGAGAACATAAAGACGCTTTAGTGCCAGAAAGTGCCTTTTGAGAAAAGGCAGTGTTTATATTGCTCTATATATAGTGGCAGTCATTCCGACAGCAACTAGAGGTGCATGCTAATGCGTTCAGCATCTCCACTCTCTGCATTAAGATGCTGAATATTCCCCATGGATATGCATTGATTCAATGCATCTCTATGAGGAGACGTTAATGCACAATAGCCTCCCAATGCTTTCCGTAGAGATGTGGCAAGCCTCAAGGCATGAAAGGGTGAATAAAATCCCCTTTTTACTGCAAAGATAGGGGGTGGGGGGGCGGAGCCAGCTGCCTAACTGAACGGACGCTTCCTGCGGGAGCTCCGGCTACACAGACAACCAAAAGAGGCAAAAAACCTGATTAAAACCTGAAAATCCTACCCAAAGACGGGCGACAGCTTGCAGCTACGATTTGGTGCAAATTGAAAAAACACCGGGCAGATAAGCCCTTGACGACCGCCGATATCGGTGATCTCCTTTGGAGGCCCCAGAGCTCCATGAGGCCTGACCTGGCACCTCTCACGGATGGGCCGTCATGCTCATCCAGTGAAACTTCCCTCCCCAATCTGAGAGATCTGGAAGCACCAGCACAAAGTAAACGGGCTGACAAACTGTCTGACTGACAACCTGGGGCGCCCGTGACAGGAAACACCCTAAAGGCCCTCCTGGACGAACTACGCCGCAAAATAGCTACTGACATCTCTACATTCAGGGATGAAATCAGAGGAGTCCCGGCCAGCCTCCATAACACAGAGGTGACTACGGCAGGCCACGAGACAAGACTCACAGCACTGGAATGGGAACTTTCTGCGCTGAGGTGCGAGCAAGCAAAGATACAACACCGCATGGCCACAGCAGAAGACCGGAGGCGGTGGAAGAATATAAAGGTCCGAGGCCTACCTGACACAGTTACCACGGCGGAAATACCTCACCTAATCCGGAGGCTCCTGACCCAATTATTCTCAGCCAAACAAGCCAAACTGATGACACTAGATGGCTGCTACAGACTCCCAGCGCCACCTGCAAGTGCTACTGGAGCGCATAGTGATGTCATAATCTGCTTTTGAAATGGCCCCGACAAACAGGCGTTCATGGCAGCCACCCGTACCAAATCGCCCAACTCCTTCAAGGAACTCCAGCTGACTTTCTACCCGGATCTCTCCAGAGCGACCCTAGACTGGAGAAGGTCCCTGAGACCCCTAACTACAGCACTTACACAAGTCAAGGTGCCCTATAGATGGGGAACACCAAGGAGCCTTCTGAGGCCCCAAGAATCCGGGACACTGAAAGTGCTGGAGGCAGAAGACATACCCAACACTCTACAGAAACTTGGGCTACCAGCCACCTCAAAGAGATAACCGACCCCTGCTCCGGTCACACAGCCAAGCACCCGGGAGACCTCGAGGGTCCGCCTGTTTGTTCCTGCCGCTCTGCGGGGTGACTCTGCCACTACTGCTGTGCCCTGAACCGCCACAAACTGCAAACAGTGACTATGCCCTATCTATGTTATTGATTGTTATTTGGTTTATACTACACCACTTCGTTTTGCTTTTTGTTGTTTGTATTTAAACATTAATGCAACTACCATGCTTCTCAGTATCGACACGGTCACACCATAACGTCCACTCCCAGGGACGCGTCCCTCTCCCCTCAGACACACGCTGGCATAGGGAGTACACTCCCTCTATCTCCCTCTCCCACTCACCTGCCTCTCTTGCAGCAGCACTAGTAATGACCGACGTGAGTGCTAACCTCTTGCCAATCTACTGATCCACACGTTTACTCGCATAAACCGCAAGAGGAACAAGACCCGCGACACCCCTTAACTCCAAGTCATACCCTACCCTACACCCCACAGGGATCGCAAGGCCAGTCTCCACTACCAGATGACACCTTACTATTAATTTTTCCTCTACTCATACTTAACTCTCATCAACTAGAGCACACTACCATCCATACATAGGATTTTGCAATGCATTGAACACCACAGCTTGAACACTATTATTCCTAAACACCATAGTGGATCAACATACAGTTAACAATATAACAATATAAAAATTCAAAAATGTGCCGATGTCTGCTACAGTATGCCACACCACTGTCATAATATCCTGTAATGATGCGCTCGCAGCTGTCGTTGTGGCACTGCTTGCAAATATGTACAAACCTGCACTCTCAAAATAAAGAATTTCAAAGATAGGGGGCCGGTTACCTGAACAGCCACTTTTGGGCTATAGTGTATAGTCAAGAATACATGTTTCTTTTCCTGACACTATAGTGTTCCTCTAAATTAAAAATTTACTTTGAATTCACGTTGAATTCTCACTTTAGAAATTACCCTTATTTATATTTTAGAGCTCTCTAGATTTGTCTTTGTACAAATATTTGTGGTGACTATGATTTTTTTTTTTTCTATCAGAATGTTTGCTATTGTTGTTGTCATCCCTGGAGATCTGGTTTAACAAAATAAGAACCTAACATCCCTTTATAATAGCTTTAGAGTACAGTGGATTTATTTTGAGCATTCTGTTTAGAATGCTAACTAAACGCATTGAGTGGGAACCAGCGAGTCTTACCTGCTTTTCCGGGGGGAATGAAATGAGAGACGGACAGATTATATGTCAATGCCAACACTGATAGAAGTCTAGTTACTTCCGGGTTCCCAGGCTGTATGTCCTGGTTGCTGGCAGGAGAGGAGTATGGAGGCTGATCTGTTGTATTGGTGTGTTGAGGAATTACAGACACGTTTCTCATTGAGTGTTAGTGAAGACATTGTAAGGTGAGTATGGACAATAAGGAAAGGAAATACAGACATCTTGGACTAAGTATGATTTGTTTATGTTGTAGTCAGGGCCCCAGAATAATAAAGAGTTATTCACTACAGCTGTTATTTTCTGTTTTATAATGATAAACCCTGCAGCTAACCTTTCATTAGACAAAAGCCACACTGTATAGGAAAGCTCAAGTCACTAAGAAATCAGTAAAAGGCAAATTGTAAATTGTGGATGATGCTGAACCAAATGTATTACTGTCTCCTATCTGAATTATTATATATTTTCCCAAAAATATATTATTATAAAATATTTCAATGAGAACTAAAATAAAACATGTAACAGATAAACTGTTAGTAGAAAAAGATCAAAGGGTCGAGGGTGAAAATATGAAGTACAATAATAATTATATAAAAAATATAAGCTCACAATTTCTAATTTAGTGTCCACTTGATATGTTTAAAATGCTGCTATAAAGCGAGAATAAATCCAAAACGGCTGCTCTATGTTGTGCTGATTTCTCGTCAGGTACATTCTTTCCATTGACACGGAGGAAGAAATTGATGAGTACATTAGCGATCTTGTCCAGGGTTCAGAAGAGAAGAAGTTTGTTTTTGTACACGAGTTGAAGAATCGATGGAGGAAGACAAAGCAACTGCCCACCCCAAGCGCAGCACAAGCTTACAACAGGAAAGAGGGTCGGTTTCTAAATATACTTTTTTTTTTTTTTATCTCTCTCTAATAAGCCAAAACTATTTATCAGATCGTATGCTGAAACTTTGGCAGTTATAAGATTTTAAAGTTGTGTCAAGATTTTGCTCTGTATGAATCTAAATTAAGGTAAAATCTCGTTTGCAGGTGGCCATTTTTTAGAATGTAGTGTGTGAAACATTTTTAACTCTTTATTTTTTCAGTGCACAGTGAATAATACAAACTTATTTAGATATTTTAGTGCCAACATGTAGATTGTAAATGCTTCTATCTATAACATGAAGCAGGCAAGTGTGAGTCGGGACTGTAGCAGTGTGAGTTAGAGAATTTTCCAAGCAGGTTATCTGACATTCCAAGAAAAACAACCACTTTTATTTGGCTTGTAAAGTAGACTAACTGAGAACAAATAGCATGATACAAGACAAATTATCAGCCTGATTAGACATATTGTTATATAGCTAGCCTAACTCTTCTTAAATGCTGTGTGGACTGAGACTGTTAGTGAGGAGATAAGTTAGGAGGGCATCAATAAATTGTGTTCAATGTTTGTGGAGAGCCAACCAGCATAGGGGAAAGAAATTACTTACAGTAACGGGCAGATGTTTCAAAGGAGCGTACAGCACTTCCACAAGACTCGTACATTGCTATCTAGGAGTAGCACCTCTCAAGCCCCAGGCTTGTTGATAAGCCAGCACCTTCCTGCCACAAACTCAGTGTCTGTCTGAGGCCAAGTTCTTCCAAACCAGGCATATACAAAGGTCAACATGTTTGGATATATGTCATTGCTTGCGTGTCGCATTCCTTCCTGCAACCCCCGGATGACGCTCAGCCCAGGAAGGCCATAGGTAGGGGTATTTGCAGCATTTGGTTGCAATTCGCCCGTGAGGGGCTTACCAGACATCTCTCTGCGATGCCCTCGCTTTCTCTTCCCTAGTGATTTTATGGTCTGTCTTAGTTTTCTGCTTTCCATCAGGGTCGCCCAAAAACCACCTCTAAGCTAGCCATAGTTTGGCTTGTCAGGTCGGCTTGAGCCTGCATCCTGCCCTGAGCTATATGAGCAGTTGTGTCCATCATTTTGGGCATCTCTAATCTTCACCAGCCAGTTTACTGTATGGGTGAACCTCTGTGAGGTAGAAGATTGAGGTGGCACAGTCCAATGGGGACAGGAAAATCCCCTACCGGTCCATTAGATCTCTCTTGAATGTTTAGGAATGCTGTGTATGTCACATATAGGGGTGTGTGACTAGGGCTGTATAAAGAATGTGGTTTATCTCCTGATAAATGGCAGAAAATTGAGGCGGGAGAGTGCAGGGGCATGATCTATATTTCAAAACTGCTTCATTAAAGGGGCACTCCAGACCACAAAGCACATTAAATTGCTGAAAAGCTTTAGGTGTGAAGAGTAAAGTCTATTTATTTATTTTCATTTTGCAAAAAGTGCAGATTTCAATAGAAATGTACACTTTTATAAATTAACCTGGTTACACCTCCTTGGTTTCAGGTTGTCAACAGGTCCTGTTACTTCCTAGTTGTTGAGCTAAACTCAAGAGCCAGCAGTTGCCCTGAGAACCTGCCTTGCAAAGACTCCTCCTTGAGCTGTATTGGGAAGTCTGTGATTGGACAGCCAGAGAATGTCTGGGTGGGGTTAGAATGGGAAAGCTTGAAACCGCAGCAGACAAGAGAACCGCAAGTTTTGCAAGCTGTTTTTAGATATAACCAAAATGGGGAAAAAATGCAAGTTTGCATTTGGGGTATATCTACTAAAAAGTTATTTTTATTTATTTTATATTTGGGTGGTGGAGTGTCCCTTTAAGCTAAAGTTGTTTTGGTGCCTTTAGTATCCCTTTAAGAGTTTAATCATTTTAAGAGGGAATCATGGGGGACGGGTCCTGACCGCAGAGCCGAGCAGACGTGTGTGTGTGTCTGCAGCTCCAGCACTGCCTAGCGATCTTACCTGATTTCTGCACGGTACAGGCTGAGAACCGGCTCATCTTGAAGCCCACGTAACAGAGGACCGGGAGACCTACATATGAGTACCGCATATGCGGAGTTACTCACCAGCCTCATCAGATCGGACCTTGTGGCCCATCAGCATTTTCATGGGACGGTTCATGGGAGATGGACGCTCCTACACCGCTGTATCTTGCTGTTCACGCCGGTATGGATCCCTGTCCCCCCCGCATTTGGACTGGCGGGGTTATCCTGGTCCCCACTGACCCAAAGCACATGGCTACTTTGCCTCCTGTTGCCCATCACAGCGCCAGTCCAAAGCGCACCAGGCCCAACAAAATGGCGGGCGTGCCCGAGACGTCAGAGCCCACACCTCAGCAATTAAGCAGTAACTACGTGGACACTGCCCTACAGCGCCTGAACAAGATAATTAACAGTTTTTGGGAGAAATTGCACCAGCGCCTGGCACAACAACCTCCGCTATCACAGACCCATGTGACAAAGGTGAAAGAGATGGGGGGGGGCGAGCTACCATGGGCACACCAAGCACCAAAGCAACAGCGGCTCTGACTGATAGCCCACCCAGGCCAATGGTCACCCGGAGTACTACTCCGCCGCATCGCCCACATCGCAAGAAGACTGTCTGCCGCTGGCGGCGACAAACCACAGCACCCTTCCGTAGCGCCCGAAGAGGGACAGCCAAGGCCTCACTGAGTATCCGAGTCTGTGGAGAGAAGACGCCAACCTGCCACAAGGCCCGGGATTGGGAGGTGTACCACCCGGCATTGTCACCCTAGAGAACCCCGCAATATCTGCCACCACATTGCCTAGCATGGGAATAGGCTGACTGTGGACACTCAACCCTGAGAGCTGCACCACGCTGTACTGTCAGAGAGCACTACGCTACAGGGTCAAGGTGCGCTTTCATACCCCCAGGTCCTACATCCAAGTCTTTTCACGGACCCTGCCTCGCTCACTCATTTTGCCTTGGTGAGCTTCTCCAAGTCTAACACGGACAGAACTACACAATCAAAAGCGAAGGTTGGGTGGGGGGAACCTACATGTTACCTAGCTTTATCTTACTGGGCAATCACAGCGGGAAATGTGGGGGTATCGGTGGTCTAACCGCAATGCTTAAATGATTATCTTGATCTGCCTAGCATACAATCTGATTGTTTACTCTTGTTTTTCATATTCACATAGTTAACCCCTTAAGGGCCAAACTTCTGGAATAAAAGGGAATCATGACATGTCACACATGTCATGTGTCCTTAAGGGGTTAATCAGATGTCAAGCTCGTCATTATATTAGTTAGACTGGCAATAACACACCTGTTTAACCTTGTATCTATAACGCGCATAGTCAGTTAGTATAGCCTGCTTTTTACCGCATGTCGTCTAATCTCACCACTGCCTATCGTTCCTTCTCCTAATTATATCATAAGAAAAAAGTGCAGTTTATTTGAAAGTCATATCAATGTTTCTCTTGTCTGACTATAATATGCTTGTGCTCGCTGTTGTGGCTTGGCAAGCTTGTTGTTGCTACATGCACAAAAAAATTAAAGACTAAAAAAAACAGTGAATCATGGTTAATTGAAACAATCAATTTGTAAAATTTAGCCAAAAAAGATCATAGTGGCAATAGAGATAATTTGTAAAAATCCATTATTACCAAATAATTTTGAATTGTCCCCAATACACTATTTAGTAAATAAGATTTAAAGGACCGCTCTAGGCACCCAGACCACTTCAGCTTAATGAAGTGGTCTGGGTGCCAGGTCCAGCTAGAGTTAACCCTTTTTTTTTATAAACATAGCAGTTTCAGAGAAACTGCTATGTTTATAATATGGTTAATCCAGCCTCTAGTGGCTCTCTCTTGACAGCTGCTAGAGGCGCTTGCGTGCTTCTCACTGTGAAAATCACAGTGAGAAGACGCAAGCGTCCATAGGAAAGCACTATGAATGCTTTCCTATGAGACTGGCTGGCTGAGCGCGCAGCTCCTGCCGCGCATGCGCATTCAGCCGAGGAGGAGGAGAGCTCCACGCCTGGCGCTGGAGAAAGAGGTAAGTTTAACCCCTTCCTCTCCCCAGAGCCGGGCGGGAGGGGGTCCCTGAGGGTGGGGGCACACCCAGGGCACTATAGTCCCAGGAAAACGAGAATGTTTTCCTGGCACTATAGTGGTCCTTTAATTGGAAGGAAGGAAAACAATCGTTATTTGATGTTGTGTCGATTGTATTAATAATCACATTATAAGTCACTAGGCATCTGCCAACAATAAATTGTTTATTGTAATGTGACTGCATCCCCAGTACATAAATATTTTTAGGTGTATACCTATTGAGGAACACTGAGCTAATGTTAAGTGTGTTCTTTAACTGTTACAGTCTAGTGATATCAGCTCTCTTTGCTTATGATCATTATGTAAACTGCAATCTCCATCATTTTATTAATTCTTTAGATAGGTAAATTATTTTAGTAATTTCTATTGACACGATTGCTAGTGAGGTCCAGCACGCAGAACTATGTAACATCTACATAGAACAGAAAATGATAGTACGTAAACCGGTCCTTAGAATGGCCGGACTAATACGTTAAAGACAGAGAATGGTCAAGGGATAGCTGAGGTCAAGGAAGCCAGAAATATACAATGCCGTTTAAAAAGCCAAGTCAAGTCAGGGAAACCAGAAATCAGAATAATCTGGAAAATAGCGGTATTATCAAAAACAGGACAAGAAAACGCACTCTCCGGAACCAGGAACGGAAACCACAACAGGGCAATGAACTAAGAAACTTCAGGGATTTAAATATCCCTCCTTTGACTGTGATTGGTCAGAGGGTGACCTCTGACTCTGATTGGTCAGAGGGTGACCTCTGATTCTAGAACGTGCGTTTGCATCGACCCTGGGAGGGCAGAGCTATCTATGGCCCCGATCCAGGAGAACCCGGCGGAGCGGCTCCTGACTCGCCGCTAAGCAGGTAAGCTCAGTTGTTGGCGTTTCGCACCAGTCAGGTGCGATCGCGGCAAGCCGGTGGGCCGTGACATCTATCCTGTTTAATTTGCCTAACAAGTTTACTTGTTACTTTACAGGTTATGTTATACTTGGGGTTATACATGCCAAGTACATATTTACAGTCCAAGTAATAATTTCTGTTTCATGTTTCCATAATTTTAATGATAATATAAACTTCACGTTAAATTTATTTAGCAGTTTATTGTGCTAGAAAACAAATTCTTGAGTTTCTTTTCTGTGTTTTTTTTTTTTTAGATGTTCTCCAGTTGCAATTATCAGAGCAGGGCAAGAAAGGGAGACGAAAGGGGAGAAACAAGTTGGAACCTGTTCCTGTCCAATCAGTAGTAAATACGGTGGCTGAAGAAGTAAAAACTCCAATGGATTTAGCCAAGGTCATTACATGTATTTTGTATCAGGAACCATGGTCCCCTCCCTGTGTTCCTAACTTTACAAAAGCCCTCTCATGACTGAGTCCATGTTCTATGATGCTTGTGTATGTCACCCTGTAAGTTTTCATTAATATGTTTCTTTCTTGTGCTATGCGGAGAGTTCTACCTTGTAAATTATGTGAAAAAGCTTTGTGCTACAATAGAAAGGTATGCAAGCATTGCGATTGGCTGACTCACTTCCTGGTCAAAGCAGAGCTTACTGTAGAGGAGCTACCTAGTCTGGAGCTTACAGGCTTGGGTTTCTTGATAGGCCTCTCCTATAGATTGCCGCATCCATGTGACTTCTCATCTCTGTGTTTAGGCCCAGGAAACTACAAGTCTATCATCCTCCAAGAAGAAACAGAAGTTTGTGAACCTATACACCTCAGAAGGCCAAGACAGACTGGCTGTACTTATCCCTGGACGTCACCCCTGCGAATGCCTGGCCCAAAAGCACAAGCTCATAAACAACTGCATGACCTGTGGGCGCATTGTTTGTGAGCAGGAGGGATCTGGGCCTTGTCTCTTCTGTGGGGACCTGGTAAGTAGGGTAGGCTTTCCTGTTTTACCAATTTACTGAGCTGCTCCAATACTGCTTGTTTTAATACACTGCATGTCTTTGATGCATTTTTCTTTAAGGTGTGTACCAGAGAAGAGCAAGATATTCTAATGCGAGATTCCAATAAAAGCCAGAAATTAAGGAAAAAACTCTTTGGAGGTAAGAATGTTAAAACATGCTCCGAGTGCTAATGAGATTTAAGCCATCCCCACCTCCTCCAAATTTAATATCCGCTGTCTGCCATCTATTAGTTATAGAGCAGTGAAGGCAGCTCTTCCCAGGCTAGGCCCATCTCATCAGAGTTTATCCGGCTGGAAGGAGGACTGAAGTCTAGGTGTTACACTGCGGTAACATTCACAAATCCTCCACAAATGGAGGCACCAGAGCGAAGGGCATCATGTTAGTATCACTAAAACAGCTCCCAAAGCCAATAAATACATCATTTATCACTATGATCAATTATATATGTACTGGGGCTGTTATCTGTTAAAGTGAGCCTTTCATGTCCAAAAATACATGTTTTTTTTTTTGTTTGTTTTTTTATGCATATAAATAATATATGTCCAAAAATACATTTAGTAAAATTTGCACTATTTCCTAAGCCATAAAAACATAGTTTTATTAGCTTCAGAACTGGCCTCTGGAAATGAAGATCCGCCTGATTTTTGCCACCACTTCCTCCTTTGTGATTTCCTAGTTGGTGCAGGGCATTGCCCAATTTCCAGCCTATCCTTCTGATAGAGGTCATTGGTTTTATTGTAATTTAGGGATTTGTATAAACATTTTCATACTTTAGGGCTGTATCAGTTCAGGTGCTATTTTCAGCATTCATTTTTATGTCTCTAGCAAAATGTTGATTTTCTGTATCAAGCCGTTATGGAGTAAATGTATTATCAGGTTTATCAAACTACGGTAATGGATGAGGTTGACTGGAGTTATATTCCACACAACTGTTTAGCAAGTGGTTGCCTCACTATCCATCACAGGTGTATTTTAGCTCCAACATTCTCAGCCAGAATTTCATTGAGCTTGACTTCCTGCTCTCAATTTGACGAGACATAAATTTTCCAAAAAGTGGTTTGTTGGCGTTTTTTCTTCTCTCGTTTGCTCATAGGATTAGCAGTGGTGAAATAACAGAAGCCTTCTTTTTTTTTTTCCTCCTTCTTCTTCTTGAAGAGTGAAATGACCTGAGATGAAATATGTTCCATAAGATAAAGTGACCCTTTATAGACCCGTTGAGGATAGTCTGTTTTCTTATTCACAGGTTCTGAAACCCCTTTCAAGTTTGATGTTTCTACTAAAGATCTTTTACCCAGAAAAGATATGCAAATGAAGGAAGGCTATGAAAAGGCAATGCAGCATCGGGATAAGCTCTTAGAGTATGACAAAACAAGGTAAGGAGCAGTCCAAGAGTCCTATTTGTTTGCAGATAATGAGACGTTATCTTATATAATCATTATGAGGCACATGGAATGCTAACATAAAATTAGAGTGCAAATTGCCATAATTTTGAGCATATATCGCTGTTTAGGGACACCTAAAATGTAAATTTGGTTAATTTACACATTCATTTTTATTTTCTTTATAAAATAGGAGGTTAAATCACAATAACAACTACATACATCGTAGTGGTTATAGTGCTAGTAGGCTAGTGGCATTGTCCCCCTGTTATGTGACAAACTGTTTAAAACATGTTTGACTAAAACTGAAGGTATCTCAGGCACCTGTTGCTTGGCCCCTTCCTTGCCACATTGCTAATGTGGAAGTTGCAATTCTGATTTGGATATATCAATTTTGCCCACATTTGGATAGCATTGATCGACTTAATGTGTCAGCTGACTCGCTCAGTCCATTGGTACAGTCCAAATATGGTAAACTTGTGCAAACATGTAACTAACTTTCACAATTCTAATACAGTGAGTGAGGGGTCGGACTACGGGTGCCTTGGTTATCCTCAGATTGTTGACAGTGAACAGGGGATTATCCCAGTAGCCTGCTAACTCCATAACCAGTTCAATTAACTATGCTGCTCACAACACCATGTTAAGTTTTACATTAAGTTTGGGAGTAAATATATACATTAGTTTTTATGTGTGTGATAGGCAGTTAACACATTGATAGTGAAAGCATTTTTATTCGTTTTTTTTTATTCTCAATAGCTGGGAGTGGCCATTTTGTACTCCTGTGCCCATGATGTATGTTTGTCCTTCTGTGGGGTTTATTTTTCTGATGGATTGTGGATAAATTTAATTGGCAACTGAAACAAAACCTTAATGAAGCTTTCCCAAAATTGTATAAGTTTATGCATATGTATGTAAACACGTGCATCCTTTTTTTTCTTACATCTGAACATATTTCAACCATCACTTCATCCCTTACTGTAATCCTGCATCACTCTACCTTTAGCTTAAACATTCATCTTTACCTAGCATCCGACGAACACATGTGATTGATGACGAGTCAGATTATTTCTCCACCGATTCCAACCAGTGGTTGTCCCAGGCCGAACGCGAAGCCCTTCGCAAAAAAGAACAAGAGCTTCTAGAACTCCGCCATGCCTCCCGTCTTAGCCGGAAGATCACCATTGACTTTGCAGGACGCAAAGTTCTAGAAGAAGATGATAACCTGTCTGAGTACCATACGAGGTCAGAATTTGCTGTCACTTCTCATTATTATTATTTGATTTAATTTTTTTAAAATATTAAAATATTAATTTTACATATGCTCTATATTTAACAAATATGTGCTTTAGGCCAGGTAAATCTAATTGCATGTCCTTTGCACCTGGCAGGCAACATAGATCGAGCATATAAATAAATTAAAGGGAACAACTACAGTTTAATGGTGAGCATAGTCAGTCCTTGCAGATTTTTTGCAGTAAACACTGTCTTTTCAGAGAAAATGCAGTGTTTACATTACAGCCTCCAGTGGCCACTTTTCAGATGGCTGCTAGAGGTGCTTCCTGGGACAGTGCTGCAGCAAGGCTATTCAGTGTCTCCACACTCTGCACAGAAACACTGAACTTTCCTCATAGAGATGCATTGATTCAATTAATTTCTATGAGGAGATGCTGATTAGCTAGAATGGCATTTGACTCTGCACCCTGCCCCACCTCTATCGCAATCTCTACATTGGAAAAACATTGTGATTTGGCTCAGATCATATCTTCTGATGATGTCAGCCAATAGGCAGATCAGTTACAGAGCCAGCAGCAGCAGACCGGAATAAAGGTAAGATTTTACTTTATTTAGGCGGCAAGGGGAATCCACGGGGGGCTAGATGGTGATTTTACCACTATAGAGTCAGAAATACATGTTTGTGTTCCTGACCTTATAGTTTTCCTTTAAATTAAAACTGTCAAAATGCACTTAAAACCATGAGGAATATTCTACAAATACATATGTACATTTTATTTATTTTTATTTATTTATGTAGCGGTTTTGTATTCTGTGACCACTGTAAAATGGTAAATAAAAGAAGAGAGCAGAAGGAGCAATGGGACAAACCGGATGTTGGGTGTTACAGAACCGTAACACGTAGTGGTTTTGGTCCATGCACCAACAGAACTGCATTAAGATGTAGTGCTTTTGATGCTTAGTGTTTAACTACAGTAGGAGGAACTCATTGCAAAGGGCCTTGGTCCTAAAAGCACATCATTTTGGAAAAGCCTTGGTTATGAAGGGGTTAATATTCAGTACTTATGGTGTTATAGTTTCCATTCTACCCAGGTATTGGTGTTTTGAAACAGATATTTTCTGTGTCTAGTTCACTCTAATCGGATTCTCCGTGCGGTTTACTCATTCCTTAAAGACATGTTGCCCATGATTTGGGCCTTGCCCATTTCTCATTGCAGGTTTGATGAGACAGTTCAAGCAATTAATTCCGGGACAGTCGTTAAATCGCCTCGAACAGGAGAAAGATCAGATGTCTCCTATCTCGTCAATCCCAGCATGCTGCTCCCCCCACCCATGGTAAGTTTCACCAATGTTCACATTAATTCTAAGCTGACCCTGGAGAACTTTTACATAGTGATCTAGAGTGCTTTAATATAGAAGTGATTTCTGTGTAATTTTGCAATAGATCGTTCTGCTTGGGTGACGCCAAACAGTTGAAATTATAAAAAAAATAGGATTATTGGGAACAAAATGTATTCTTATGTATAATTTGTCCTGGGGTTATTTAAAAACTACAAAAAAAGATGTATTCTATAATATTTATACATTTGTTACTGGTATTTGGATGATGAATTCTGTTGTATGGCACAATTTAGGAAACCTATATATCTGCTTATTTTACCATGGACAAGTTTGTTAATTTGCTGAAATATTAATGCAAAGAAAGCAGTGTGTTTATACAGTGTTTTATTACTGTGTGCAAGCTCCTTTTCTCCCCAGCCTCAGAAATGAACAACATAAAGGGAGATTTACTTAATCAGGAGGTAGCTGCATCTGTTGAGGCCAGATGGCCGTGTCTGGGCACAGACCCTGCACACGCAGATATGCCACCGCATTAACCCAGTGTACCAGCATTACTTGCAAATTACATCTCTGTAATCCTGTAACACTGTTATACTTCTCCTCACCAATAGACAGAAAGATATACTTTGTATCAGATTCTCATAGCAGAGATCAACGTTTCCCAGTGAAATGTTTATAGAAAAACAAGAATTGAACATGATTTTCCAACTATATTACAATGCCAATAAAGTCTTCAGGTTTTTATATATATATATATATATATATATATATATATATATATATATATATATATAATCTCACACTTAAAAAAAAGAAATTGTAAATCATTATTTTTGCACAGTTCACAGACAGAATTCAACACCATGTATCAGACATAAATGACAAGTGGTAGTATCAACAATAAAACATAGACAAGTGGTGCTTGCCAGAACATTTAAATGATTTGGTGTGTGTGAACTGAGGTTTCTAAATGTAAGAAGAAGAAAAAAATACAGATTACTTGGCTCAGTATCATGGCAATTAGACTGTTACTAGCAAGCCTGTGTGTTGACTAAACTTAAAATGAGCCCGGTTAGGCTCAAGGCCCGCACATAACAGATTTGTTTCTATATTTCCGAGAAAAGTTAAATGTGCAAAAAAAAAATTACAAAATCTTTCAGATAGGTAACGTTTAGGAATCCGACCTAAAATATACCCGCACATTTCATAAAACTCAAAAAAACAGAGTGAAAAGTAAGAGTATAATGTAGGGAAAATTGTAAAAATGCTCCTTACACTTACTTAAAGGGCCACTATAGGCACCCAGGCCACTTCAGCTCAATAAAGTGGTCTGGGTGCCAGGTCCCTCTAGTGTTAACGCTGCAGCTGAAAACATAGCAGTTTCAGAGAAACTGCTATGTTTACACTGAGGGTTAATCCAGCCTCTAGCGGCTGTCTCACTGACAGCCACTTGAGGCGCTTCCGCTATTTACTCAGAGTAAATAGCACTTATTTGATGCTGGATGTCCTCACGGAGTCCAGTGTCAAAAAAGACCCTCTTTGAAAAGCATTGAGTAATGCTTTCTTATGGGTGGGTTTAAATATGCGCGCGCCTCTGTCTGCGCATTCACTCCACTCGTCGATGGAGGAGAGGTCATCAGTGCTGAGGGACCCCGGCGCTGGATTAAGTTAAGCAAATGGTTAATTAACCATTTATTCGCCGCGGAACAGGGCCCTAGTCACCTAAACGGTGACTAGGGCTCTATAGCGTTTGGAATACATATTTGTATTCCTAACGCTATAGTGTTCATTTAACCCCTTAAGGACGGTGGGCATTCTATGCAGTCCTTGCGAACCCGGCTCTAAACGCCGGCGGGCGGGATAGAACGCCCAAGCCGTCTTATGTACTTATAAATATATATGTGTAAATTCGTTCTAACTGTATTTTAAAATTAATATATATAGATATCAAAATACATGTAGAACGAAATAATATATCACTATATATATATATATATATATATATATATATATATATATATATATATATATATATATATATATATATACACACATACACACGCATACACTAAGTGTATTTTAATATTAATATATGTGTAAATTCGTTCTAACTGTATTTTAAAATTAATATGTATAGATATCAAAATACATGTAGAACAAAATAATATACATAATTCTACGTATATATTTATGTAATAATTTTACATAATTAGGTCATTTTATTAATTACAATTTGCGAGACCTGCCTGACAACCCAGGCCAAAAGTCCAGGGAATTTAATTTGCTTGCACTATTATTAACCCTGTAACTTTCCAAGACACCCTAAAACCTGTACATGGGGGGTACTGTTTTACTTGGAAGACTTCGCTGAACACAAATATTAGTGTTTCAAAAGCGTAAAATGTATTACAACGATTATATCGTCAGTGAAAGTAACACAAATGGCACTTACACGGACAATATAATTGTTGTGATACGTTTTACTGTTTTGGAACACTAATATTTGTGTTCAGTGAAGTCTCCTGAGTATAAAAGGTACCCCTCATGTACAGGTTTTATGGTGTTGTTTTCAAAAGTTACAGAGTCAAATATAAGGCTTGTGTTTCAGTTTTTTCACATTGAAATTCGCCAGATTGATTATGTTGCCTTTGAGACTGTACGGTAGCCCAGGAATGAAAATTACCCCTATGATGGCATATCATTTGCAATAGTAGACAACCCAAGGTATTGCAAATGGAGTATGTCCAGTCTTTTTTAGTAGCCACTTAGTCACAAACACTGGCCAAAACTGGCGTTCAAATTAGGTTTTTGCATTTTTCACACACAATCAAATATTAACACTAACTTTGTCTACTAAAAAAGACTGTACATACCCCATTTGCAATACCTTGGGTTGTCTACTTTTGCAAATGGTATGCCATCATGCGGGTGATTCTCATTCCTGGGCTACCATATGTTCTCAAAGGCAACGTAACCAATCTGGTGAAATCTTGTGGATTAACACAACTGTGGCTTTCTACATCCTATGGAGTGTTATGGGAACTGTTGTCCACAAAGTCTGCAGCCCCAAATATCAGGATATACTGAGTTAGTTTGCTTGATATAGGAATAAGGCTAAGGAGCTTCTTCATCCCGTGTCCTGCTCGCTCGACACTCAAAATCTTCACATCCTTACTTGCGAATGTGCTAATCCGTTATTTAACATTTTACGATGCCACAGCTGGTACTGATGAGCAGGAATTTCAATGTGCATGTACCTCTACTGAGATGTTTTGTATCATTGCAGTGGGTAGATCAGGTCAGCGTTGGCGCACACAGGAAGAAAGGTCCTTTAGAAGGTGCAGAAGAGCAGTCAGACAGGAACCGGCTGCGCATACAGGACAAGGAGCTTCAGGAGATCAGTGACCTGGGCATGTGTCTGAGTATGCACCAGCCCTGGGCATCCCTCCTGGTCGCAGGTATCAAAAGGTGAGAAGTTTCATCATTGGGAACTGAATCTTGAAGTAAATAGCTTTTTTTTATCGAAGACATTTTAATTATACATGCTCCAAATATTAATAAAATAACTTATATTAAAAATTTTTTAAAAAAGAACAAACAATATGTATTCACTTCAGTGTATAACAAAGTAATGCAAGTTTTATGTGTGTGTGTGTGTGTATTTGTTTACTTTTTGATGTATTGTGCTACTCCTTTTTATTTATTGTGTGTTGCCTTCCCTTCATTATAATTTTTCACTCTTCTTTAACTATTTCTATTGCATGCTTACTGCCCATTATTTAAACTTCAGTTTTCTATAACTTCCGTGTTGAATTTTATCTAAATATTACAGCAAAAGCAAAATACCCCAAACTTACACCACCAAATGAACACACTATTGCTCCTGAATAGCTTTTGGGAAGAGGGACATTTACATTGCAGTTTCCAAACTTTGCTGGGTCTATATCTCATGAAAAATGTGAGCCAATAGAAATTACCTTTCACAAAACTCTATAAAAGTAAATAATACAGCACTTGGGTCATTTCAGTATAGTAAACAAACCTGCACCATTGTGTGATTGTTGCCATCACTGGACATTTTTCTCACATGTTGTATTTTGACTGTGTCGGTCATGCACAACATGTGCACAATTTGCTAGATTTACAGTACAAACCAGTTGTCTTCAATTACATTCCCCAAGAGAAGGAATATCCTCCAGATGTAGGGTTTCTATTATTATTATTATTATTATTATTATTATTATTATAATGTTTACAGGCCAGATATGTCACTGACATAGGTTAAAGTGAATCGTTCATGGACGACTTAACATTAGCTAAATGTAAAAATATGCTCCTTCCCCTTGCGCCAAGCAATCCTCAGAATAGACCCCAATGCCCTCGACATAGAGATGTATACTCTTCTACAGGTGATTCTTCTCCTGTCTGTACACAGATATTCCCCCTAGTAAACTTGTCCATTTGTTCGGACACCAATGTGCTGGCAATGAATCCAGTGTGTTGGTGTCATAGGGGGATTACACGCCAAGCACGGCCAGTTAAACCAAGGAGGTGGGACCACTAGTTATGGCAAATTTTAGAATTTTGCAGAGGACATAAGTAAGATCATAATGGCTCTTAAAGGTACAAAAAATATAATTTATCTTTATGATGTGATATAGTCATTGCTTTAGACGCTGTTAGAACCTGTCATGGCTGGCTTACCTTTAATCAAGGAACATTAAAAAAACCACAAACAGTTACTGGCATGCATTATTCAGATAGAAGCTGTTTACTTACCCCCTCTGTGCTGATTGGTCAACTTATCCAGGCGGCTACCGGGTCCGATGTTGCCCCAAGAAGAGACCTGCTTGCCATTAGTTCCTGAGCCTTACTAGCCACTGTTTATTTTGGGGTTGTTAAAAGCCCACTGAATTACATTACTCCACAAAAGTATATCTATAGCGAAGCCAAGCATGTATTACTATTGGACATGCCCGTTACTTTCAAAGCACAAAAAGCAATGAAAACCAATACTGTATTTGGTTCTTACTTGACATATGTTGTAGGTTCTTGAAAGCCAAAATGTCTTTATTTATTGGTGTTAATAATGTGCCTGGGTCCCCTGTTTTAATGACACACTGCTGGAGTATTTTGCCATTACCTTGTTGAGAGTTACAATGTGTAGTATTGTTACTCAACAGATGGAATGCTTCTTTCTCTGAAATTTTATTGAAGAGAACATGTCTTGCCAACAGTCCCATGTGCGTTTTTGTTACTATATATATATATATATATATATATATATATATATATATATATGTATGTATGTACGTACTATCAAGAATAACTCTCTAATTGCTATAAATGTATTTTATTTATTTATTTTCCAAACATAGTAATCATATAACTTTTTTTTTTTTAAAGTGACTTTTTTTTCACATTAAGTACCCAACAGGCCACAAGCAAAATAAAATAACACACACACACAAAAAATTAAGAATCCCGGTTTGTGTACAGAGTTTAATCCTCGTCCCCAGAAACAGACAGTCGTAGTGAGTGAGACACGGCACAGTGAGAACAGATGCAGTCAGTGTTTACAAACACTGTCTGTGTCAATGATCAGATTCAATCATGGGATTTACTTACAGAGGTTTCATGCCAGGAAAACTCTGCCATTAGGCACCTCACTGGTCCTCAGGGGACTTTCTGACATGCCTAGCAAGCCTTATTTGGCTTCTGTAATTAGATTTGTTTTGTTCTTCAATGCTGCGGTACATACCCTTTTTTAGCTCACACATCTTTGTCACACACAGGGTGGAGGGCAGGACATGGTACAGTGCTCACAGAGGACGCCTGTGGATTGCAGCAGCTGCAAAGAGACCTTCCCCGCAGGAAATCTCAGAACTGGAAACATCATATCGAGTGCTAATTGACAAAGGTTAATGTCTTTACATCTTACCCATTCTTACCAAATAGAACTGTCCCATTTAGTCTGTTCTTTCTCCTATATTGGACTCTTCATCTTTTTTTTATGCTGGAGATATCAGTCTTGTTCTAACTTCTTTAAGTGCATCTCTTCATTTTTTTTTATCTCGTTTTTTTTTTTATCACTCCCCTATAATTACTGCATACTATTTTGCTGGAATCTGACACCTTAATTCAGTATATTTTTATACAGTGTATGGGATTGACATTGTTTAGTGTATGTTGTATATTTTTTATTTTTAAACCTTTAAGTTCCCAGGGGGAATAATATTGTGCTTAACTAGGTGACAAAATGACTGTCAACTGAAAACATAGTATGATTTTTCATGCTTTTTCTCCTGCAAGAGCTGTAATGATTCTTTCTCCTTTGTTACTCCTAATGCAGACGTGGATTTTCCCAAGGATTATCCCACTGGATGCCTGTTGGGTTGTGTGGAGGTGGTGGACTGTTTGCCGTTGGAGCAATTTACAGAGCAGGTGGGATCATACAGTTTCATGTTAGCCAGTGATTAGTCCTCTAGAATGGGGCAGACGATGACGTTTATTTATTTTTCATTTGCAGTAATGAATCTACCAGCTGATCTCTGAAAATGAACTTAGAGCAATCAGAGACCTGTTCAATATTACATTTTTATGTAGTACTTTCTAAAATAAATCTGTGTGCCATCTATCCAAATAGTGTTAATGTTTTTCTAACATGAAGCACAGAGGGTTTGTGACATGTACAATGAATTCATTCCTTGCAGTATTCGTCTCTCAGCCAAGAATCCAATTCTCCGTTTGTATTTATCTGCACCAATCCTCAAGAACTGCTACTGAAATTCCCCATGAAAGGCCAACACAAGATCTGTAAGTATGAACGTTTCTAGTAAAGTCGGCCTCCAGAGAGGAAAAATTACAATTTGACACCCTCCATGTTTGCTGCGTATAAACTTTGTTAATGCTTATAGTGTATGTACACTATATATAAAATACTGTGCAAAGGTTTTAGGCAGTTGTGATGAAAAGTTAGAATGCTTTCAAATATAGAAATGCAAATAGTTTATTTTTCTCAATTAACAAAATGCAAACTGAGCGAACACTAAATCTAATCAACGTTTGGCGTGACCACCCTTAGTCTTTAAAACCGCATCACCTTTTCTAGGTACTTCTCTGTAATTGTGTATATTTCATGACATATTTAAGGTTAGGGTTAGTGTGTTAAGGTTTAGTTCGATGTAGGATTAGGAGCAATGTAAGCATTAAGGCAGTGTTTAGCCTGGTTAAACACTGCCAAGAGAAGGATTCCCAAAATCCACAGCGGTACAGTAAAATATTATATTTTTGTTTTGACAATCTTTATGTAGTCAGAATAATTTTTGTTTAGGTATCAGCAAGGTACGTATCAGAAAATGAAGATACTATAGTGCAATAATACAAAATGTACTTTGAGAGATGCAGTGAAATTATAAACATTTCATAGTTTGACTCTCTGAGCCTCCTTGGACCTGATCTAAATCAATTTATTGATTTCTAACCAAGTTCTAAAGTAACATCATACTTATTTACATAAGAGGACATTAGCAACCAATCTGAAAGGTCTCTTGTTTATAGGCGAATACTGTTTTCAGAAGAGAAAGTGATATGCAGCGTGCAAAATGTACACAAATTGTTCTTTCCAGTGCTTGGTATATGTGATATTATGAAGGATGACAAGTTGACTGTACTTGCCTGGGAGTTTCTCTTATTCATCACTGTGTTTGTTAGCTTTTTCTTTAAAAAATAAATCATGTATGCCGGTCACTATAGTCTTGAAGTAGCTGTTCCGATCTCCTCCGATCTTAGTTAAAAGGCGATTTTACTCACCTTTTCTTCCGTGCCGTGATGGTCTTGCCACGGCTGGCTCTGCCTCCATGGCTGAGATCATCATAATTAGCAATCACCTCTAGTAACTGTCTGAGTGACTGCTACTAGAGGTGTTACTAGGCAGCTATGTATACACACTGCCTATTTTCTGAAAAGGCCAATGCTTACATTAAAGGGCCTGCAGGGACAGGCTAAAGACACCACAACCACTACATTAAGCTGTAGTGGTTCTGGTCACCATAGTGTCCCTATGATCCTCTCTTATGGAGAATAAATAATAAGCTCTCGATAATGTTGTGTTAGCATAACTATGGTTAGTATTTTTGATGAGACTGGGCTCTCAAGAACTGTGTGATGGTTTGTATCCCCAGTGCTAGTCTGGCAGATTGCAGAGCTGTATGTGGGCCTTCATGAACCAATAGTATTTGGCTGTCTGCTTATTAAGAATGTAAATCAATGTCCCCTAGCTCAGTACAGTTTATATTCTTTTTGCTCATTGTTAATGTAAGAATATATATCGGAGTATGGGTGCATATTTGTTCTAAATATTATTCTTATTATTTAGCTAGAACTCTCCTTTAGAGCAGTATCTGTGTAGGCAAATAAAATATTCTAGTCTGCAAATGTGAGCTTACATCTGAAGAACCACACGGCAGTGTAAACTACTTCTCATCTTGTCTCATTTCTTACAGGGAGATTGGATTCCAAAATTCACCAGGCAGCCAAAAAGGGTTTAATGACCAGAAAGGACCAAAATGAATTGTCCACCAAAAGTGCCAAAAAGAGTCGACCAGGAAAAGTCAGATGAAAAAGTTTCTCTTGGAAGATTTCATCTGGAATTATAAGCTGCTTTAGAGTAAAACAGAATTCCAGGCACTACTGGATCAGATAATGAGGACTTCCAATAAAAATTAAACCTTAAATTACAGAACAGAAATGGCATGTTTGTGATAAGTAGTAAGCACCACCATTAATGGCAGCAATGGTTAAAAGCAACACCACCATTACATGGATACTATATTCACCAAAATAACTTTTCTTTAATTGTTTGTTTATTTCTTCACCCCTCCCCTCTTTCACACATCAAACATTATAGTAACCGTATAGTTCTAGGAATGCAAAGCTGTATTCCTAACACTATGGTGTCCTTAATGGTGACTTAAATGGTTAAAAAAAAACCTTTTAAACACTCACTTTATTGAAGTGCTGAGCTCCCTCCTATGACGTCATCACGAGGGGGAACCCACAGTGCAAGCAAGCACCGCACCCACATTAGGCCTTCCCCATAGGAAAGCATTGAATCGTTTTAAACAGTCAAACTCCATGAAACCGCAGGAAGCACCTCTAGTAGACAGCCACTAGAGGCAGTCTAAACCCTGCAATATAAACAAATGTTTTAGATTGCAGGGTTAAAGGGACAGGGACATTGCACCCAGACCTCCTCGATGTGATGACGTGGTCTGGGTGCCTGTAGTGTCCCTTTAACTCCTTAATTGCAGAGAATTGAATAGTGAGACTGCCAAGACATGATCTATTCACAAAAACTGCTTCATTAAGCTTACGTTACTTTGGTTATGTAGGAGTATCCTCACTAGGGGCAATTTATGGTTATTGAGTAAAGAAATCTCAGCATCTCTAATTTATCTTAAGAGTACACTAATGCATCTTCTTTATTAGCTTAGATTGCTTTACTCCGATAAGCTCAAATAACTTAATTACCAAATTCCTTGGGCCATACACATTGAACTGGTTTTATGTGCTTTCATAGTATGGCATACTGGGTGAATGTTGAACATTAATGATGCCAGGGAATCAAGCAAATCAAGAAGCCCTCCAGTAATAAAACATCTGGAAAAGAGACCAATTTACATTAAAGGGAAGCACACCATGTTCTGTTTTTATATGTAATTTACCAATGCCTCTTGTCTCATTTTAAAGGGACAGTCCATTGAATTTTTTTTTCCCCTTACAATTAAGGAAATATACCGCTAAAAACATGCATGCATATTTTTGTGCATGTTTTCATTGACGGTATTTGAAAAAAGTTTGTGTCAGTGGAGTAGACTGGCGACTAAAATCTCCCTGGGCATTGTATATTGAGAAAGGGCTGTTGATGGGAAATGTTAATTACACTTTGCTCTTCAATAAACTGGAAACCGTACTAGTGGGTTTTCAAAGCACCGTCTGTGCCTGTCTTGAAATAACATGTGAGCTGTTAAAATAAGTTTTTGAGTTCTGCTGTGTTGACTTAAAAGAAGTAAGGAAATTGATTAGGTTTGCAATGTTATATTGCTAATAGTTTAAGTGAAATGACTCTTTTAATTATTTGGAGCAATATGCCACATGCCACGGGAGTAATCAGAGTTGTTTTTATTTACTTTTTATTGACTTTTGCCATTCATTTAAAAGCCTCAATTAAATTCTTTTAGACAAGCTTTTCAAATGATCAACAACTGTTAGAAAAAAACATTTCTAATGATTTATCTACAAAAATTCACATAAACTTAAAGTTTATGGGAAATTTTTGTACTTGATGACTTATGTAGCTAAACCATTTGAAAGTTTTTCTAAAAGAGTGTGATCATTTGAAAAACTTTTACAAAATAATTAATTTGAGGCCCTAATTTCATAAACTTTGGAGATAAGTGAATAATCTGAATCAGTTTGGGTATTCAATATAGTGCCTTCAGCTCTGACTCATAGGCAGGAAAGCCTGTTCAAATAGCTTCTATCAGTATGTTCATTTTTGTATCCCGATACACATTAGACAGAAACAGGCAATACTGCCTTTTAGTAAATACATTATTCAATTTCCTAAAACTCCTACTTTCTATGACCCTCGACTTAAATTCTCATATATTTTTTTTAAACCTCCAATCTATGCTCTGTGTGTTCTCAAATTCCCATTTTTTTTCTGTGTAGATTTGAAACCAAACCAGATGTTTTTTGAAATGAGCACCCCACCCGTCCACTATAGGTGCTCATTTGGAGGTGATCACCGCATAAATCGATGAGTCTCTAGTAGCAATTAAAGCAGTATTGCAGTTAGCATGTAAATTTCCCATGTTAAAATTAGTGTAGAACCCACCGATGTTTGGGTACTGTGATGTAGTGGTGGGCTTAACTGAATCCCCATATTTGTTTGCTAAGGTAGGTGATTTTTTTTGAGTCTTGTAAAAAAAAAAATATTTTTTTATGTGCGTTAGCCCTAATCTGTATTTTGTATATATTTTAGTCCTTACGGCAGAACCACTACTTAGAAATGCATGCTCCGAGTGTGCTTCCCAATACCCCTTTTTTTCCGTTCGTTAAATAGTTGATCAGTCATTCTACTGTATCAATGCACTTGGGTTCATCATAAACAAATACATGTAATGCAGACGATATTCTAAATCACATCCTTGGGGTTATGAATCACAAAAAGTGGGAGGTGGAAGATGACCTCAAATGGATGAAGTATGGGAAACGAGGAAAGGTGGAGGGCACTAGAGGAAGAAAAAGAGGCTGTTGTGTTCAGAGAGCCAGTAGAGCCCTGCACCCAAAGAATCCCAAGGGAAAGGGCCACCCTGTATGCAACATAAACCATCACCTCCCTCACCCATTTCCAGCTCGAATAAAGACTTGTGTCCAATGTGCAATGCATGATCAAAGAAGTCTTGTACTGATGTGTAAGAAACTTGTAATATTCCCCTGTAACTTTAAATACCATGTTGCATAAAGAGCAAGTATAAACACATAGGACCATTACTAGTCCATAAAGACGTGGATCGTGGGCCTGGTAGTTTTTAGTTAAGGTGGTTGAAGTGCAGTTGTGTTCCTTTACCTATCCATACAAATGGGAGCAAGGCTGTTAGTAAAGAAGCGTAAAAATCTCTTATGGTTATGTTTAGGAGCAAAAATCAAGAAAGGGACTCTGGCGTAAAAATGTGCAAAGGTATAAACCGTGTTAACAACATCTAAAAAGTGCAGTTAAAATGGTGTATATTTACCTTATGGTTTATTATAACCACTTACAATTTAATATGAGAACATATAAATAAAAAGAGAGAGAAAAAAAAACATATAGTGTAGTATTTAATGCAAATTACAAATATTAGACAGGCATGCACAGCAAAAATATGCTGGAATAGTTTTGCTCTCCAGGGTAACTGATCTCCAAACAGTCCTTATGGTTCAGTAAATCTCCAGTATCCTTTGGTGAGATCTGACCCTGGCTTCAGGGATAATTGGCGCAAACAATTCTTCTATTTGAACTTGAAGGTTCGCCTGTACACACCAAAAGCTGGACTCGTTTTGCCTATAGTAGTAGACTTTCTCCAGAGCTGCTGGTCTCCTTTAGTCTCTTTTCTCTTTTATATAGCTTTCCATTAGTGGTGGTCTTTCCTGAGTTCGAACAGAAGAATTTTCTGCTGCATTCATTCCTGAAGCCAGAATCAGATCTCACCAAAGTATATTGGAGATTTACTGGAGATAAGTGGCCTTGAAGAGCAAACATATTCCAGGACAACTTGGATTGTGCTGTATTTTTGTGAGTGCCTGTCTTTTGTTTTATGCATTAAATAGGTTTTAATCTCTCTTTATTTTTTTATATGTTATATTATATTGAAAGTGGTTGTAACACACCATAAGGTAAATAAACACCATTTTAATTGCACTTGCACTTTTTAAGGTGGTGTTAATACTGTTTATGCATTTGCACATTTTTGAATTGGAAGAGGCAATTCATTCTGCTAGGCAGCATTTTATCATTGTATTTCACACTATGTACACTGTTGCTCTTTATCACGTTATGTTTATTTATCCAAAGATATAGGAGCCTCTGGAAAGATTCACTTTGACGGCATTAATTTTGCGGTCTAGCTCCCTTAGCACGCAACCCCCCCAGATACATCTTCAATGCACCAAGAGAAATGAAAGAAAGGTCTTGGTGTCATGGTCCTTAGCCATGGAATGGTTACATTCCTGATTTCTGATTTTGGTTTAGATCCAAAAAACTGCATTTCTAAAGGACGTGGGGGAGGTCCATATTACTTGCCACCTTAATTAACCCTGTTATGGTCTTTGAATCCTTATATCCTCCTGTTCTGCCTAATAGTCTAATAGATAAGGCTCTAGTAAAAAAGCACAATGAGGAGAGGTGCCTAGCTGGGTTATGTCCTAGCCTCCCACTGACCCATATGCAGGTACTAGGATTTGTATAGAGAGAATTGATAATTTTACATAAATGATCTCCAAACCCCATGTGGCAACTTGTTGCAAAAATATACATGGTGGTCAACATTCGGAGTAGGATTTGACAGGTACATAAGAACATATTTGTTAGTAGTTAATTTTTTATTGTTGGTCAAGATACATATTATAACTGAGTCTTTGGAGATGCATCATTTCACAAAATAATAATAAATTAGCCAGAGAAAAAGATTTATTCTTCACCTCATGATGTGTGACAAAGCTTATTTTCATTTAAATAGCTTTGTCAATAAGCAAAACTGTAGTTTCTGGGGTACAACAAATCCACGGATAATTGTTCAGAGACAATTGCATCCTACCAAATACACCATCTAGTACGAGGTGGCTCTGCAGGAAGTTGTCAGGCAAAAATTCGAGCACTAGAGCCTCATACATTAACTAATGTCATGAACAATGCAATTAAGAGTCCCACTATGTGAGGCGGCAAATGGAGCTCATTTAAAAGATGTCAAACAAATCTCCATATGTTAAGCATTTATTATATGTAATAATATGGAAATTGGTTCATTAGTTATTGACACCTCAAACCCTACTCTGAATTTTTGCCCACCCCATATTTCCAGTCAAATGCCTTTTCAGTAATATTAAATAGAAAAAGGAGCTGAAGGCCAAATAATGAGGCTCAGTCCGTAATATAAATACAAAAAAAAGAAGTCCTGCGCTCACTCCTATCACCACTGGGCCGGCAGCAATGACTACAGTACACATCAGCCAAAATATACAGTAAAAACCAAAGAAAAGAAAGTTACCTGCGCTCTCTCCTTAATCCCTATGTATATTTAGACAAATGGAGGTCATTTAGTTGCTCCCCAGGTAACTTTTTATTTTCTTTGGTTTTTACTGTATATTGGGGCTGATGTGTACTGTAGTCATTGCTGCCGGCCCAGTGGTGATGGGAGTGAGCGCAGGACTTCTTCTTTTCTTGTATTTGTATTTACTTTGTATCACACAGCTAGGTTACAATGCTGCTGCTGCCCATCCCATGTGTTCCCTATTAACCCCTTAAGGACACATGACATGTGTGACATGTCATGATTCCCTTTTATTCCAGAAGTTTGGTCCTTAAGGGGTTAAGGGTTAATAAGTATATAGGGGTGTATATAAAAAATACACCTCTGTCTCATTAGAGATATCTTTGCCAGAAGCTCAAGGAAGACCTGCAATTAGTAAGGAAATGGTCCTGCAGCTGGAAGGGTTATAGCCAAGAGTAAAGACTTGGATCTTGATGTAGAGCTTCACCGTCATGGATAGAATTGAGGCCAGTGGAGAGCGTCAGGTGTAAAATGACTTTTAAGTATTGTAGTGGGAGGCTATTTGTTTTTGGAAGATTTTCCTGAATCTCCTCTACTCCAGGATTCCGCCACTTCAACATTCTTTGGTACTTACTTAGAAAGGCATTGATCTATGACTTACTAACCACTGACAATCCCAATAGTGACCCCAATTGACCTCCTCTTAATAATCCTTTTCAGGCTATGTCATCTGCCTTCATTACGTCCTTTCTTCCTCCCTCCCTCCACAATAGTGGGTCCATCCTTCTCACATCTGTCTCACATCTTGTTTTTTCCTACTTTATATTAATAGAGTTGATTTCACTGTTTATTGGGCTCTTTGGTGACTGTATAATCCCTAATCTATGCCATACTGCAATTGACTGCCTGATGAATCCTGTTAAGACTTTATGTATACTCAAATATTTTTATTGGATTACTTCCAGGCACACCATGCTCACCATATGATACGCATCGGACAAATATGGTTGACAGAATGAATGATTGAAATGTGTGTACATACGCACACGTGCTACATGCTCTTATTCTGCAATATTTGCGAGTTCGGTGCAGCAGAAGATTAGTTTTGACCTCCCTATGTAAATTGATTGATGTCCCTATTGATTTTTAGCATTTCTGTAAAGGTTGGTAAAGCACTCTTCTCTTTGTTCAATGGGATATCTGCCCTGGGAGCTCACAAAACATCTGAGCAATGAGCCTTAGGTTTAAATAGGAGAATGGGAGGATTTACACTCTCATGGGGAGGAATTTGGAAGCCTATATAATTAGGGAGGTAACCTCCGCCTATTTGTAAGCGTTTACACTCCCTTCACTGGCAGGTTGCCATGCCAGACTTAAAGTCCATATTGCCACTCTTCCCAATATTTCCCAAGGTCTGGGCAAAGCCTGCATGGGCTCCAGCGCGTTGAAGAGGATCCAGCATGGCAGCACAGGGAATGGGATGTAGGACGCTGCATGGGTCCCTATGTGGAGCGTTGGCCAGCGATGAAGCTGGCAGACTGGTAAATAGACAGCACATGAGCACGCCACTTACTCTCGATGCGCTTTAACAATATCATGGCACGTTCTATAGTTAAACATTGTAAGCAACCCAGGTTACAACCATAGCACACTAAGCTAACCCTATATCTCCAATACCCTCAAAAAACACTCTTCCTAGAACCCAAACGCCTCTGTCACACTTTTAACTCTGTACTTTGCCCTGTTGCTGCTGCTCCTCCTACAACTTGAACATTACAAACTTCGCAACTCACTTCACTGAGAAGATTTCTGTGATCAGAGAAGAGATCTCTCATCTATCTATTTTCCCTATCAATGCTTCCACTAACTCCACTCCCTCTGCTGTTCTATGCTCATTCGCTCAAATATGCTCATTTGCTCATTTGCACAAGAGGTTTCTGCTCTTCTCTGGTCCTCCCACACCACCACCTGTCTCTTGACCCTATTCACTTAAATCTCACTTGTACTCTCTCCCTCTCCTTTTCTAACTCTGGTCTTTACTGAAATATTCTAAATATTCTCTCCTTTGGCATATTTCCTTCATCCTTCAAACATGCAACCGTAATCCAATTCTAAAAAAAGCCCAACCTTGACCCTAACTCCAACTACCACCCTATCTCACTACTACCATTTTCCTACAATATCCATTAGAGAGTTGTGTATGCTAGACTGACCGTCTTCTTTGAATCCAACTCTCGGCATGACCCACTTCAGCCTGCATTCTGCTCTCATCACTCTGTCAAAGTGGTCCTAATGAAAGTATCAAATGATTTAAGTGCTGCTAAATCCACTGGTCGCTACTCTTTTCTGAAACACCTTGATCTTTCTGCTGCTTTAGATCCTGTTGATCACCAACAACTTCTTCTCATTCTTGTAATCTCGATCTATCGGACTCTGCTTTTTCCTGGTCCTCCTCCTACCTCTCTCAGCACTCTTTTAGTGTTTCTTTATCTGGCACTTCCTCTGCAACCCCTCTCTGTTGGTGTTCCCCAAAGTTCAGTCCTTGGTCCCCTAGTGTTCTTGATTTATACTGCCCCCCTTGGTAAACTCATCTGCTCTTTTTGCTTCCAATATCATTTCCATGTGAATGACAGGAAAATCTATTTGTCCTCTCCTGGGCTATCGCCGTTCCTCTTGACTTGTGTCTCTGACTGCTTCTTAGCTATTCCTAACTGGATAGCTTCTCACTTCCTTAAACTCAACCTGTCCAAAATTGAACTTCTGGTCTTTCCTCCCTCAAGTGTTGCTACTCTTGTGTCTGTCTCCCTCCAAGTCAACGGCACTACCGTCAGTTCTACCTCGCAAACTCACTGCCTAGGTGTTTTCTTTGACTCCAGTCTCTCCTTTACCCCTCATGTCCAGTCACCCATCAAATCCTGCCGATTCTATCTCAAAAAATAGCTTGCATCTACCCCTATCGAACACAAGCTGCTGCTGCTGGTGGTGGTCAATGCCGCTATCCCCTCTTGCCTTGACTACTGCAATCTGCTTCTCAGGGGTCTTACAATACTGTCTATATTTAATGCGGCAACAGGGCTTATCTCCCTGTCTGTTAGCACCTCCCATGCCTCCCCCCTCTCTGTCATTGCTTACACTGGCTTCCCGTAAGATATAGGGCCCATTTAAAGGAACACTATAGTCTCTAGAACAACTACATTTTATTGTATTTGTTCTGGTGAGTAGAATCATTCCCTTCAGGCTTTTTGCAGTAAACACTGTCTTTTCAGAGAAAATACAGTGTTTACATTACAGCCTAGGTATAACTCTACTGACCACTGCTCGGATGGCTACTAGAGGTGTTTACTGTGGCAATGCTGCACACTGTGCAGTACTGCCATTCAGTTTCTCCACCCTCTGCATGCAGACACTGAACTTCCCTAATAGAGATGCATTGATTCAATGGATCTTTATGAGGAGATGCTGACTGGCCAAGGATATGTTTAACTTGTGCAGGATCTGCCCTTGATCAGTCTCCTTGACAGTCTCAGCCAACCCTGGGACTGCATTGGGAAAGCATTGTGATTGGCTCACAGAATCACTTCTGTTGATGTCAGGTATGCAGGCAGGTCAGGGGCAGAGGCAGCAGCTGCATACTTGAATACAAATAAGATTTCGCTATATTTAGGAAGGCAAGGGGTGGCCAGGGGGGCCTAGATGGTGATTTTAACAATACAGGGTCAGGAATACATGTTATGTTCCTGACCCTATAGTGTACCTAAAATTCTGGTACTTGCTTACAAATCTCTACATAATGCTGCTCTTACCTAACTATCTTTACAATTACACTCTGCTGAAGACCTGTGTCTATCCTCTGTTTGTACTCACACCTCTGATGCCCACCTTCAAAACTTCTCTAGGACTGCAAAAAAGATGATATATATCCACATATACATGAGAAATATATATTTTTTTAAATATCTAGGAGAAAAGAACACACAACATAGTGTAATACAGCTAGAAACAATAAATGGAGGGTGGGGGAGGCAGAGCACTCACAAAATAATAGTAAATAGTAGGCACATCTCCCCATAGGGTTATCTCCAAAGGTGGTGTCGTGTTCCAATAGATGTCTTGTAAAATAAAGACTCTAAGAAGAGAGATTATTAGTCTTTATTTTATAAGACACAGAATTTAATCTTCTTTTACTATTATTATTATTTTATTATTTATACAATAAACAATACTTGTTGCACAACGGAGGTTTGTGGCAGAAGCACTCTATCCCCAGAGAGCAGTTACACTCATCACAAAGGCTGAATGAAGCTTATCTGTTAAATGTTAGAAGCTATACAGTGAGTGCTATCAGTTAACACCCAGCATAGCGCTATGTTAAGAGATCAGAAGAGCTGCAGTCTGATTGTACATGTGAAGAGAGAGACCTCAGCCTAATTAACGCATGCTCATGCATCAGTATATAATGCTGAAACACTGCACAGACAGAGTCATCACATCACAACCACTTCAGCAAGCTGATGTGGTTACAGTGCTTAGGGTACACTTTTCATTCAATCACCACTGGAGACACAGAGCTATTCTGGGGCAAAATTCTAAAAGTGGAGCAGTCCCCATGGAAACCAAATGGAATATCCCTGCTGATTTTAAAACTTTGCCACAACATTACTTTTTATACATAACCTCTATTGATTCAAATGAACCCTTTAACATGGCAAGATATTGAGTTCCAGACCCTCCATGTTTTCCTGGACTTTATCACTTCTTAAAGCTGATAGGCAGTGCACGAACACCTTTGCCCTGTAAAATGTAGAATTCAGATGCCAAAGGGAGGGGGAATAATCCGTTCTTCAAGCAATCCCTTTAGGATCTCTTCTTTAATTATGATGTGGTTTTGTTTCTGCAGCAAAATTATTTTACATATAGCAGTATGGTACATTTTATGTACCATATAATACAATGGCCTTGATTTAATTTGTTTTAATCAGAAATTATTCCATTAGAAAATACTTTTCAAAAGTGTTTTCTAAAAAAATTCTCATAGACTTTAAATGGACAATCTGGACCTCTAAAGCACTTTAGCTTGCTGAAAAGCTGTGTGGAGAGTGTATCCTCTTTTTGGAAATCGTGCAGATTTTACTAGAAAATGACACTTGTTTAAATTATAGCAGTTACACCCCCTGGCTTTTCAAGCAGACAACAGGTCCTGTTACTTCCTGGATTGGTTGGCTTGTTTGCACTGAACTTCAAGAGGCAGCAATTGCCCACAGCACCTGCCTTGTTAAGACTTTTTTATTGAGCTGCATTGGGAAGTCTTTGATTGGATAGCCACAGAGAGTCTGTGTGGGTTTAGAAGGGGAGGGTTTGCAAAGGCAGCAGACAAGAGATCTGCAGTTTCTGCAAGCTGTTTTTAGATATACCTCTAATGAAAAAATGCATTATTAAATGCATGAAAGTTTTCATTTTGGGTATATCTACTAACAGTGCTTTTTATTTATTTTGTAGTTGGGCAGCGGAGTGTCCCTTTAATGATGACTTTTGTAGATAAATCATTTAAAGAAAATGTTTTCTAACAGATTGGAATCATTTTTGATGCGGATTCAAACAAATTAAATAGTGGCCAATATTATCAAAGCAGCCTTGTTATCATACATACTTATTCACTAAAGTACAAATTAAAGATGTGCATGGGGGGAAAATGTGTTTAGTTCATTTCTCATTTGTGAATTTCATTTGGTCAAAAATTCAGAAATATTGATTCCGACACAATAACATTCTCCTCAGAATTTTGAAATTTGAATGCCCATTATTTGTGGGGAAAGAATGAAAGTAGCAGTTGTGATAGAATTTATCTTGATTCCAAGGCTCAAGCTTATAGGTGTCATATAATGATATCCTATATTAAAATTGGCTAACTTGGACTCAGGAAATGCTTGATGCTTAAACAACACTTAAGACCATATATGTCTAAGTTCCGGGAGCAGAGAGCCCCCACCTAAGATGTCTCTGCTCTAATCATTTTGTTCTCTCTTACCTTGAAAACTTATTTATGTGTACATGACGCTCATCCCTATGTCTTATCTGTATTCTCTTCCTATTACTGTTCTAAGAGTATTTGCACGTAAGCACTTACTTTTTAATGTATAAAACCCAGCTGATGAATAAAACGTCAGAGGCTTATTTTGAATACCAACAGGTGTCTGGTGTCTAATTCTTGCTTCTCCAAGTGCACTTGTAACAACAATTTGGGCTTCCTCTGAATATAACAAAGATCAACATTTCTGATCCACAACACAGTCAAATACCTTCTTGTTCAGTTGTTTAGTAGATAACTCCCTAATTTTTTATCATTATCAAAATGAATGTATATGAAGCAAATCGATTTTGTTAAGAATTCTCCATTTTTATTTATTTTTATTAGATTTTTGTTTTCAGTTATACTTGTTATAAATTTCATTTTAGATTCACAAATTGTTATTAGTAAGTCACTTAATATTTCCCAGAGCAGCCCTGCCCCTGGCCACATCCCAACTCACACCACTAAAATTAAAGTGTGCTTCTTTGTCCAATGGAAATGCTGGGAGGTATGCAACATGGTTATAATTATTGAGCCCCAGGTCACTCTGTTATTTTCTTAGTTGTGTTATGGTATCCTCACTTTTAAAGAGGCACTCCCCACAGCTAAAGCAAGAGTGTATCCTCTTTTTTTTTATTATTTTACAAAAAGTACAGATTTCAATAAAAATTGGCACATTTATGAATTATACTGGTAACACCCCCTGGCTGGCAAGCAGAAAACAGGGCCTGTTCCTGGTTTGTTAAGCTCAGTGGAGGCAGGTAACTGCCCAGAGCAATATAGCAGCGCCCCGCTAAAACGATCTTTAAACAATGGGGGAGCACAGGGTACAGTGTTTCATTGATTGACTTATTATTTGCTGTAGAAACAAAAGCATGCATAAAAGCCATGTGTTTCACAATTAAAGCGGTACCGTTCTCAATTTTATGAGAATTGATATTGGTGGAGAAACTATACCCCTCTGTTTATGCTCTCTCTTCTTGGCACTACTAGTTGAGTAGTGCTGGTAGGAAAAGTTCTCTGCGGAATAGGTCTAGATCCCAGGCCTTGGGCCAGTCCTCATAGGTTCTCTATACCACTAAGCCCTGGTGCACCCTCGTCCCGCATGCAAGTAGTCAAACTGTTTTAGAAAGGTTTGACTACCTTCCAGGGATCTGCTCCCTGCCTTCACTACAGCCCTCGAAGAGCTGGAAGATCCATCTTTCTCTAGACCAGGCTTCCTCAAACTCCGGCCCTCCAGATGTTTCTGAACTACAACTACCATGATTCTATGAATTAAATAGATAGGCTGAGAATCATGGGAGTTGTAGTTCAGAAACATCTGGAGGGCCGGAGTTTGGGGAAGCCTGCTTTAGACAACGAGCTTCCACGTTTCTTGCAGACTCTAGTGGAGTTCACAGCGGGCAACGGGCGACGGGGTAACACGGCACTCCTGAAACTGTAACCGGTACAGAATGCATTAGTGGTTATGGTGGTTGGAGTATTGCTTTAAATAAAGCAGATTACGCGTGCGTGAATCTTCCTGGTTATTCAATGTTTGTACCCAAGCCGCTCACTTTAATTATAAATGTAAAATAATAATATAAAAATATATACAGTATATGCAAACACTAGTTTTTTCTTGTTAACAACGTTTCCATTTTTTTTTTTTTACTATTGATCTTCCTCACACACAGAAACCAAGGAAGTGAGGCAGGGCAGAGAGAGGTGAACAATGTGCTTTATTAATAGCAATCTCACAGCCCCCTAGAGTTTACTAGGCCTAAGGTCGCGTGGCCCGGTTGACGTCACCGCCGACCTATTTACAACTCTTTGTAGCACAACAGCCATTGTCCGGAGTTCTAAGCACTCGAGCCCTGAAACGCGTGTTGTCGCCCGCCCCCGTGGAGGCCATTTTTTTGGTTGACGGACAGCCAGCAGCTCCCTTCAAGCTGGGTTTTGCTGCGCTTTTTACGTGCCGCCGTCTCTAGTGCAGTGTGCTCGGCGATCTGTTTGGACGTGACCTAATCTCATCCTCGGACTCCAGGAGGGCGTGGCCTGGTGACGTCTCGCGGGGAGGAGGGGGAGGAGGAGGAGGAGGGAGGGAAGGGGCGTGCCCCCGGTGGGATCCAGTGGGCGTGTCTCCGGCCGCGCCGGAAGCGCAGTCCTCCTCACGGTCCGAGTCTGCCTTGCGGCCTGCGCGGACGGTTAAAGCCTGCAGCTGGAGTAGTGGCGGCTAGCCGGCCGATAATCCGGGATGGGGGGCAGTCCGGGCCCCGTGTGAAGCGATTCCCAGCGATGTGTGCGGGACAGGACAAGATGGAGGACACCTGAGGCCAGACAGAGGGTGAGCAGCGCCGAGAGCTGGCTGCTACGGCCATTATAGGGGGAGGGCCGGGCCGGGCAGGGGGAGATCGGGGGGACAGCTCGGTAACAGCACAGATCGCAGCCTGGGATCCCTGCACAGCCCCCCCCTGCACAGCACAGCCCAGGGCATGATGGGAGTTGTAGTCCCAGCACATGGGGAGCTCTGTCTCCTGCCCGGCCCTCAATCACCACATCCTCCACCGGGGGCTGGAAATATAAAGGGAGCCCCCATGGGGAGTGTCACAATTACACCTTTTATTACATAGATTAAAAAATAATATATATAATATTAAACTTCATAATTTACTAATTATATTCTGATATAACTCTGTGCCGTATCTGCATAATACAACAACAACAATAATATTAATAATAAAAATCATAATATATATATATATACAAATCTGTCCATACAGCAGCAGCTCTGAGTGATTGTGTATGTCCATAACAATCCCAGAATGCTGTGCAAAGCTTGCCAGTGTGCACAAATAGCATTGTCACTCTCTGATCTAACCTCACACTTCAGGTTCCCTTGTGTCTGTCTACATGTGTAGTGTTTGGTTTGTGTGTGTGTGTGTGTGTGTGTGTGTGTATATATATATATATATATATATATATATATATATATACACACACACACACACTATTGTAAGTGTTTTTTCCTCCTAATCTGAAGGATAATGCAATTTTCTTAATTGCAAATCCTAACCAGATAAGATATTGGGTAGCCTTAATCTTCTTAAAGACATTTAACCCCTTAAGGACACATGACATGTGTGACATGTCATGATTCCCTTTTATTCCAGAAGTTTGGTCCTTAAGGGGTTAAATTAGATTTTGTCATGTTGCATCTTAAACTGTGTCGGATAAGAATAGCATTGGACGAAGAGACTACTAAATACTAAATCATTTTGTATAACATGCATATTAACCTGTGTAGGTCAAGTATAGTGTGCTACCCTTTCTGGGGCCATTACTAAATGAACAAAATATAGTATATCATTTTACTGCCCCTGCAATGGAAAATGTCTCTCTTGGGATTTGAGATTTTTTTTTTTAAACATCTATTGTTGGATCTTGGTCCACAAGGATTAACATTAAAAGGTTCATTTGGAGTGAAAGCGGTTCAATCTGCCTTTTTAATGACAAGAGCTGCATTCATGGGAAACATTTGTTAACTATACTAGTTGTCTTGTACAAGTTCCATTTCTGAAACTTCATCATGAATGTTGGAAAAATATGTTTTTATTCTGTGATGCTGTGGGAAAAGTAAACATACAGTTGGGTATAAAACAATATAATGAAGCTTGCCTATAAAATAGTTCATTGTTGACTCATAACTGCTGGTTCACTGGCACACACTGACCTATCTGTTTAAATGATTGAAAAGTGAATGCTCTTGTGACATGTCATCTGTGGTGCATGGCATGAAGTCAGTTTGGTTTCAATATTTTATTGGTTTTGCTATTGAATTGGCATCCATAGAATCCTGCACATTTGCATTAGATTTAAAATGTTGTACATTTTGCAGATGCTTTGGGAGAACGTTGTGTTTTGAAACCGATTTTAAATAGATCTCATGCTACTATTGCAATAAATATGTATTTTTGTTTTACACCGTGCTTTTAAATTGCTGCACATGTACAACTACATTTACTGTGTTTGGAACTAAGGGTAGCATTCTATGTTTCCAGCTGGGGCTTTATAAATCTTTGTACCTGTTATTTATGTTTACTCCAAAAATGTCAAATTTCTGTAGCTCATTGTGCAGTTTCAGCATCTACATATAATAATAGCCATTGGCAAGTGAAACATTGGCCCTTGCGCATTAAAAATTCACCCATGGTGAGCTTGTAATGGCTTACAGTGGCAAGTAACTGTTAAAGTCTTCCCAGTAGTATAGGCCTTTTATTATGACTTTTTTATTACTCATGATAAATGTGGGTCTGGCATGGCTGGCACAATGTGAGCTTAATGAATTGACAGGTAACTAGGTGGTGGTGGTCTTGGTGGTTAGACCCTGTTGATAGCTGTTCCAGATTACTGGAAGGAAGATGTCTACATTTTTTATATTATCACATGCCATTCACGTTACTGTACTTCTGAAGTTGTGAGATAAAAGTTCATGTTCAGTTGGACTGGTGTGGCACATATCAGTTGCCAATATTTTTTATACCTTGACAGCTAGTAAACTGTCAGGAAGCCTGCCGTTTAAAGGACCACTATAGGCACCCAGACCACTTCAGCTTAAAGGACCACTATAGTGCCAGGAAAACATAATCGTCATAGCCGCCCGGCTCTGGAAGGGGGAAAGGGGTAAAAACTTACCTTTTCCCAGCGCTGGGCGGGGAGCTCTCCTCCTCCGTTCCTCCCCGTCGGCTGAATGCGCATGCACGGCAAGAGCTGCGCGCGCATTCAGGGTCGCATAGGAAAGCATTATCAATGCTTTCCTATGGACGCTGCGTTTCTCACTGTGATTTTCACAGTGAGAAGCACGCAAGCGCCTCTAGTGGCTGTCAATGAGACAGCCACTAGAGGATTAGGGGGAAGGCTTAACCCATTCATAATTATAGCAGTTTCTCTGAAACTGCTATAATTATGAAAAAATGGGTTAAGCCTAGAAGGACCTGGCACCCAGACCACTTCATTAAGCTGAAGTGGTCTGGGTGCCTAGAGTGGTCCCCTAATGAAGTGGTCTGGGTGCCAAGTCCATCTAGGTTTAACCCTTTCTTCCATAAACATAGCAATTTCAGAGAAACTTTTATGTTTATATTAGGGTTAATCCAGCCTCTAGTGGCTGTCTCATTGACAAGCACTTCTGCGCTTCTCACTGTGATTTTCATTGAGGATGCTTTCCTATGAGACTGGCTGAATGCGTGCTGCTCTTGCCGCGCATGCGCATTCAGCCGGAGAGGAGGAGGAGGAGAGTCCCCCACCCGGCGCTGGAGAAAGAGGTAAGTTTAACCCCTTCCTCCCCCTAGAGCCTGGTGGGAGGGGCACCCTCAAGGCACTATAGTGCCAAAAAAACGAGTGTTTTCCTGGCACTATAGTGATCCTTTAAACCTGTTAGATTTGTTACTTATCTGCCCAAAAGAGATGCATGTATTTTACATTTTTTATTGTAATTCATTGTACAGTTCCAGTAAATAAGCATAGAGAGGATATGTTCCCCTATAATAGTGGTTTTTTTTTTTTTTTGTATTCCTCCCCTCTCTGAGACATACCCACTATAATGGTATGCAAGAGTAATTAAAAGTGCATCAGGAAGACCTAACGCTTTTCTGCATTTAGACATCCTAATGCATATACGAAAATGAACAATTTGTGGGTTAATACTGCATTTTTCCTTAAACAAAACATTAGATTACTTTATTTCAGTGTTTCTTGCAAAAATGTTTTTCCGGAGTGTCTGGTCTGTGTATTTCTGCCGAATAATAAAACATTTTAATGGCTTGAAAAAGAAAATCTAATTTCTAACTTTTTTTTTTTTTTTTTTTAAATCACATTGTTTTCAAAAGTCTGAAAACAAAATATATATATTTGATCAGGCACTAAAATATTTGAATGCTTTGCAAGCACAAGGTGAACTTAACAGGTATGTTGTATAATCACAGACTGACAACAAACTAGAATAACCTGGCTCATGAATAGTGCCACTTGAGAGAACTCTTGTCTACATGATGCATACATCAAGGCTAATCTGGTGTCACATGCACCAGCTGTTGTTTGTATCGCATCCTGATAAGTACAAATATATTACAAATAATTTAAAGTTCTTTTTCAAGTTTATGTCCGAAATATGCAGGGAAAGCTATGGAAATATTTTCGTTAATGGGTTTTGGTATCTTGTAAATCCCAATTTATTGGAGGCGCATGAACATTTTTCTTGCTTTTCTCAAAGGAGCCCTTGATGTAACCCTTAGATGATACAGAATTGAATAATTTCTAAATTATGGGACTGTTTCTTGAAAACTTGTTTGAGAAATCACGTTCTGTATGATTTTTTTAACTTTAATTTTCATAGAGTAAACATGGCCAGATTGGTTTACCATTTCTTTTATTTGTAACCCGTGCATACATTCCACACTCAAAAAGGCAATCTTCTCTGTGGTTACAGTATGGCTGCATTATGACATCTCTTCCTGTGACCAGAATCTAACATTGCTTTTACTTCTTCAGAAACAGACTACCCTGTCCAATGCCTTGTAAATGTTATAGTTGTAAAGTGATGTGGAATATGATAGCACTATATAAATGCCAATGATAATATACGTGGATATTTCTAAATGATCACTAGTAGTGCTTTATGTATTTTCCTTTATAAGATTGTTTTAATGATGTGGAGATCTGTCGTTAAGATGTCTTGTAGATGATCTTGTGTGTACAACGTATTGCTTTCTTTAGATTCTCAGAGTAAACGTATAATCCCAATTTGTTTACGGAATGTCTGTAACCCTGACTGGCTTGTGGTCCCTTTTTGATATGATTTGTAGTTTCACGTGGCTTGTAGTGTACAGTATCTTTGCATTTTGCCCTTGCTTCCTCCATTACTTATAATCTGATTGAACTCTTCACCACTCTAAACTCGGTGGCAGTCTGGATTGCCATACAGGCCAACTGTTCCATGTTCTCAACCCACTGATGAGGGTGTACAACCCTTTGCATCCGTTTCGTCAGAGCTGCTCCTCCCTGCCATGGAGGATTAAACGTGGGAAACTGTTCTTTCCCCTCCCTCCATCCCCCATTCTGATTGTCTAGGCTCCCTTCTCTTTCATCCTAAGCATCTGCAGTAGTAGATTGGGTTACTACAATACTAGTTCTATCAAAGAAGCTGCAGCTGCCCCAACCCCCTCCCACCCCCATCCACACTGGGTTTCCCTCCACGTCTTATTTAATTTTTTTCCCATCTCTCTTTTTCCTGCCTTTCTCTTCCCCAGTCCTGTCATTATTCTCCCTTCACAGTCCTTCTCTGTGCCTTTTTTTTTTCTTTTTTCTGTAGCATGTTACCCTCCATCACACTCCCTTGTCTCACCTCATCCCTTTTAATAGAGAGCCCTCTAATACAGCACACGACAGCTTATATTTATATAAGAGAGCTGTAATATGTGCAGAGGGGGTGACTCAAGGACATGGGAGAGGTGCTGAGCATCTTGAGAAATGCACAGTCTTTGTGTGCAGGAAGCTGAGATAGAAAGCAACAAAATGGCCTTTTGTCCCATTTCTCATATTTCCATTGTATACTCTGCTAGTCTTCCATTTTCTGAATTCACATTTGAGCTTTGGAGCTTTTTCTTTGGGGTTGGGGGGAGCATATGTCTTGTTCCTTTGTCACTTTACATCAAGGCATGTTAATACGTCTTTGTGTTCTAATATATCTCTGCAGCCATTTGTGCCTTTTTAAACATTTTATTCCATCTACATTCTTTGTTTTAATTGTTCTCAAATAAAGATTTTCCAACTTTTTTCCCAATGTTTTGTTTTCCTTAGACTACGGAGGCAACTTTTTATATTCCTACATATTAATATAATGCGATACTCTGAAATGTCCAAATTACTGACGATTCCAATTTTGATTGTTCTAAATTTGAGTTAAAATGACTTCTTATGAGTAAAGCAGTGATGCTGAAGTGCAGTTTAAAGGAAATTTGTCAAATAATTTTTCATTTGAAAATAAAAATGTGTAATTTATTTCTTTTGTAAATCTCTTTTTTTTTAATGAATTTTTCATAGTGAAATTACAGAGAAATCACAGATAAAAGGTAACCAGGTAGTCTGACATATGGTGTAGTGGATAAAACTGCTCATATACATGTTTATGAAAAATACGGAAACATACATTTGCCTGAGAATATGTCTTCAACCCTTTTTTTTATTTATTAAAAAAAAAAAAAAAAAAAACAGCTTGAGCTCAGTGCAGCTTGGAGCCTGATTCCAGTTCTATTATTAACCTTTTTGACCTCTAGGGTCTTATCTCAGATTGGTCTAGTATCTGGGGGGGGCTAGTCGACCCATGGCCAAGGTTCCGTGTATCTTCTAAGTAAACCGCAGATTATATATGTGCCGAGTTTGGCTTCTGGCTTGTCCCCCCCCCTCTCCCAGGTATTGTGCTATCTCCGTAGTGGCCAGATATGGGATGTGTATCCTGCTCTGTCAATTGTAGTGTTAGTGGGACCGTGTGTAGTCTTGCGGTATGTAGCCTAATGAAGACTGTTTTTCACTCTATCAGTTTCTGTGTATTTGGATACTTCTATTTGTCAAGACGCACTATCCGTGGGAGAGCCTGTCCCTCCCCTTTGTCCAATATTGTGATCTATAATGTGACCTGGGTATCCAGCTGCGTGCTATCCCAGGAGGATAGCGGTCTCTGGTTCTGCCAATCTGTTCTATGTGCGTGTAGAGTGAAACTCTTCTAAATCTTAAGACATGTTGGAGAGGACAGAAGTAAGTTAGTGGTGATGAGCTGTGAGAAAGGTAGAAGAGCAGAATAAAAATAGGTGGGGGGAGTTTTTAGTTGCGTGGTATTGGGTCTGTACCAGGTTCCGCCGGGATGTGTAATATAATCTTGGCGTATTCTTTATTCGAATGAATACTCCATTTCAGTGTACAGCACATGGTTTTTGAGATGCCCAGTGCATTACATCATGTTTTGTGAACGCACACTTGTTCTTGGTGAACTGCGTGAAAGTGGAGCTTCTGACTAGACACGACTTTAAAGGAACACTCCAAGCATGATATCCACTACAGGGTTCTGTAGTGGCTATGGTGCCATGACTACCCTCCACCCCCAGGTTGTAATTGGTCAAACCGGTTTGAATTCTTACCTGTGGTCTTCTGGGCTTTTGTGCTTTTATTACAGGTTAGTGAGATCCGGAAGTTCTCTGTCTGAGTTAAAGAAACACTTTGGTCACCATAACCACTTCTATTAAATGAAGAGGACCCTGGGCGCTCTTACCTTAAAGGGGCTAAACCACTCTCGAACGGTTTAAGCCCAAAGGCTGCCATCAGCGCCCATCCTCCAGTGGCATCTAACTTCTGATTCTGTTATACGAAATGTGGAGTGCAACTGGCACAGCGGCCGTAGATTAGCTAGATAGGTCAGCTGATGCACTAATCCAATTTTTTGATAATGTAAAGGTAAAAGAGATCCCAAGGCCTCCTGGCACCATAATAACTTCATTTAGATGAAATTGTTATGGTGCCTAAAACTTGTGCCCAGTGATAAGCTTCTCTCGGGAGATCCTAACAGGAGGTTCCGGCACTCACTTCTGCCTGCAGGGAGATGCACGCCCAGGTGAGATGTCAAACTGTTCTAAAATGGTTTGACTAATTAAATGGGGTGAACCAGGGCACTAATGGCACTTTAACTACTGCTTCAATTATGACTGCTTTCATGGAGTAAAGGTAAGCCAGGAGATACTCTGAAAAGGGATATTGACTTAAAGGTATGTATTTTGAAAGGAAAAAATATACACACAAAGGATACAATACTTGAACTCAAATCTGTAATCTGTTTTGAGTTAACTGCATCCTTTTCTGTCTGTTAGCCTTTTCACTGGCATTCTATCCAAGGAGAGTTTTATTTTTTTTGTGGTCATGTGAATGCCTGTAGCAGCTTGCTTGTCTTCCACCAGTTACCTATACTAACCACTAAGGGTAAATTAGGTACCATCATGCAACCTGCGTTTTGTACAGGTATTGCAAGAGTATAGTGATCATTTCAACAACTCAAAGGAGGAAAATACAACCATGGTACGAAAAATCAGACCTTTTTATAGTTCTGAAATTTGAATGTATATCTGCATGGGTAAAATGAAGTCAGTTGGCTTCTTTTATATATTTTAGGCTTTTTCCTCCCATTTGTTGGATCGGCTGCTTTCTGTAAATCTGGTAAACACGTTGGTCTTTCACACGCATCTTTCCTGCCACCCCATTGGATATCTTGATGGATGAGAATATTTCGATTTTATTTTCTAATATTCTATTTACCATTTATTGCGCACTCATTGATTTACAGAGGCTCCTCTTTTCATATATTTGATTGCTGTTCTCGCTCATCTTATGAAATATTTATGGCTCGGGAGGAGTCCCCCTAATATCCATTAAAAGCTGAGTCATAATGACTTGGCAAGGCATGAGTTTCAAGATGGATCCACTCAGTCACATTATCACTGAATTTGATAAGGCAAAGGCACCATAAGATAAGGAAGGCACACCTGTCCCACCGCCCTTTGTTCCAAAGATTTGGTTGGCCTTTGGTGCTTATAGCTAGTGTGTCTCTGCCTATCTCTGACAGGGAATCTGGATTCCCACCATCTGAGTTAGAAGCATGATCCTTGCATATTGACTATACTTGGGCAGCTATCACACTTGCTAATAATCGTATCTATATAATTCTTGTCTTAACAGTGTATCATCTACCCCATTATAAAATTGCAAAGTGCTGCGGGCTATGTTTGCACAATATACTTATTTACATGTAAATCTTGAAATAAAACAGACTGGGCATGCCATGTTTTTACTAGCCTGTATTTTGTCTTGTAACGAATGTTTGCACACAGTACTCGTGTCTTTAAGCGCGTTACAAATGCATTGATAAAGAGATTGGTCTAAAAAATGGACATTGTGCACCATTCCATATGTGTGCCACCCTCATTCCATGACATGGAATTCAGAGCACTGCTAGGCATTCTTTAACACTACCACCACAATAAGACACCATGTCCACCCAGACTAACTGGCAGCCACACATTATGTCCTACCCAGTAGGGGAAAGTTGAATGACTAAGTGCATAGATTAAAAAGCATCCGATAATGTTATTTTAGTATAGAACATATTGCTAACAGGCTGTACCACTTGTCACATTGCTTATGGTATATTTCAGTGTTTGCATGATGCACTGATTTGTCTATTTGAATGTTTTATGACCCAGATACAGGGATAGACCAGTTGTCCCTTGATTAATAGCGCTACAGTGCTGCTGGTGCTTGTATCTTGTGTACACTTGTATGCATGCTCTCCTGTACTACAGCACCTCCCCCATAAAGTGCCTGTTTGCCCTTCATTATTTATTTTATTGATTTATTACTGGTATTTATAAGCACCTACAAATTCTGCAGCGCTGGACAATATACGGAGACAAATACAAAAGGTAGAGAGGGCACTACCTGTAAGCTGATATCTAGCCATTGAAGCTCTTTTATACAAAGTGCTTAGCTAGATGGCCTGTGAGCTTACAATCTAAAGGATACACTGTGGCTTTGAAAAATGTTGGGAATCACACTTGGAAATTTAATAGTTCAATAGTTTTATTTTTTACTTTTTTATATTTCAGATCATTATATATTGGTGTATATTATTTTACAGATTTGAGATAAGTAAAACAAACGCTTAGCCTTCCTCTTTAAGGAAAGGCTGATTAAATTAAAAAAAAAAAGTGAACCTTTTCATTGCTGAGGGCACAGTATTTTGGTAGATCTCATGCCATGTCACCAATCACTTGTGTAAGGTTACAGTTGGTATGTGGCCCCTATTTGTCTGCAGCTTCCAGTTGACCTTGTCAAGTCAGCAATGCATCAAGTCAGCAGCACAAGGGGGGTGTGTAAGGCTGTCATTCCGGCTCTTACTAATAACTTAACAGTTTTGCAAGCGTCTCCGACATTTCATTCTCCTACAGATTAGCATTCTGGTATATCTACAGCTTGATATACTTCTATCTAATGCTCTTGAAGACACTGCAGCAGCAATTATTTGGACCAGTGTTACCTGTAATTTGAATCCAGTTTGCGACAAAACTGGGTATATTTATCATATAATTCGTTAAAGTCCATCATAATTTTGATCCTATTTATTGAAGACTGCTAAGTGTAGAAAAGTGGTGCAAAGATTAACCAATTGTACAGCGCTACAGAATTTGCAGGCGCTATATAAATAATATAATAATAATGTGTTGGGACGCAAAAGAAGCAAATAAGGGAAAGAAATAATCTACACACAATATCTGCTACACATGTTGTGTTTAGGATGCTTTGACGCTAGGGGTGCTGTTTTGTTTTTGTGTAAAGCAGTTTTGAGTCCATCAGGTGTCCATGGACTGGCCTCTTACCAGATTGTTAATGTGGACGTTCCATTTCCACGTTTGAGATGCATATTTTGGACGTCAGTGATTGGCTGAACTTGCTGCGTATGTTGCATGGAATGAATGGTGTGATAGAAACTCTCTACCCACTGTAAGGGGCCACCCCCATCTTAGCCATATTGACCATTTGGAATTGTCAGTTTTTTCCTAGTCTGAGAAAGATTGGTTGAGAGCACTTAGTGATTCCAAACACATCAGTTACAGTCACCACTGTTCAGGCTGGGTGAAATTGTTAATGCTGCATTATAAATGCGACTTAGTTGCGGGCAGTCTCGAGAAGCGTCCTTGTTTATATCAGAGCAAGGGCACTCTAAGGCAACATAAAACTACTATAGTGAGTTCCTTATTGCCCCATATGTTATAAATTAAAGGGACACTATAGGAACCCAGACCACTTCAGTGCAAACTCCATCACCCTTAACCCTCAGCATGTAATTATTGCAGTTTTTACAAACTGCAATAATTACCTGCTAAGGTTGACTCCTCCTCTCGTGGCTGTTTACTAGACAGCCACTAGATTGACTTCCGGGTGGATAGGTGACTTTTGGTCGCCTATTGGTTGTCTGTCGCAAGCATGCCCAATATGCAAAGAATTAACATTAGCCAGCCCAGAAGTCTCATACAGGGCTAGCTAATTATGCTGTAACTCCACCTCCTGTTGCAATGTTCCATATGTCTGAAAAATAGAAATACTGCATATACAGACTCCAAGCACCAAACACTGTCATTGCTATGGTGCTGGCAATAACCCTTTAATTTATTGTATACACATTTTCCAAAATGTACAACTTTTTTTTATTTATTATTATTATATATTTTTATTTTTTTTAGCAAATACCGTATATACTCGAGTATAAGCAGAGTTTTTCGGCACATTTTTTGTGCTGAAAAACCCCAACTCAGCTTATACTCGAGTCACTGTCTGTATTATGGCAATTTACATTGCCATAATACAGACTGGGGGCTGGCAGAGCTGTTACTTACCTCTCCTGCAGCTCCTGTCATCTCTCTCCTCCTCCGCGCCGGTCCGGTCAGCTCCCAGTGTAAGTCTCGCGAGAGCCGCGGGGTCATAGTGCGGCTCTCGCGAGACTTACAGTGTGAGCTGAGAGAAGAGCTGCACGGACCGGCGCGGAGGAGGAGAGAGCTGACAGGAGCTGCAGGAGAGGTAAGTTACAGCTCTGCCAGCACCCTCCTCCCCCCACTGAACTGCCAATGCCACTGGACCACCAGGGAAGGAGAGCCCCCCTCCCTGCCATGTATCAAGCAGGGAGGGGGGACAACAAAATAAATACATTAATAATTTATAAATAATAATAAAAATAATAATAAAATAAATAAAATAAAAAATAATATAACAAAAAAATTAAAATAATAATTTTTTTTTATATAAAAATGCCCACCCCCCACCAAGGCTCTGCAACACAAACACACACTGCAACACAAACACACACTGCAACACAAACACACACTGCACCACACACACACTGCACCACACACACACTGCACCACACACACACTGCACCACACACACACTGCACCACACACACACTGCACCACACACACTGCACCACACACACACTGCACCACACACACACTGCACCACACACACTGCATTCATACATACATACACACACACACACTGCACTCATACACACACACACACTGCACTCATACACACACACTGCATTCATCATATACACACACTGCATTCATCATATACACACACTGTAAATAAATATTCAAATAATATAATTTTTTTAAGATCTAATTTTATTTAGAAATTTACCAGTAGCTGCTGCATTTCCCACCCTAGTCTTATACTCGAGTCAATACGCTTTCCCAGTTTTTTTGGGTAAAATTAGGGGCCTCGGCTTATATTCGGGTCGGCTTATACTCGAGTATATACGGTACCCATATTTCTCTCCCAGTGCCTCCATAGTGGTGGTTTACGCAAGCTGGTCTCTTTTTTTTTTTTAATTAATTAATTTTTTTTTTTTCCTCTTACGACCTTTGAATCTCAAGCTGATACCTTGTTTCCATAAATTACCTGTGCCATCTATTCCTGTCCAACATTTGTTCTGCTTTAATCTTAGCAATATGCATGCACCCTTGATGTCACACAGCTTTATATCGAGGTTCTCCAGAGACCATTTTTATTGCTCTGTAGTTATCTACCGTAATATTGTTTATTGTGCCATTAACACCAGAATGAAATTGCTGTATATGAAATGTGCAAATTGCAGTAGACAGAAAAAAAACCTGCTGTTAAAGTATTCTTGTTACTGAGTGCTGTCTTAGTTTTTGTTTTCGTTTTTTTTTTGTAATTTGTTTACAACTTTAAAGGGACACTATGTCACCAGCATCTCTACCGTTTAACTATTTGTTCTGGTGTCTATAGCTTATCCCTGCAGGCTTTTTAATGTAAACACTGCCTTTTCAGAGAAAGGGCAGTGTTTACATCACTGCCTATTAATACCTCTAGTGGCAGCCACTCAGATGGCCAGTACAGGTGCTCTATTACAGGGCTGCTATGTGTTTATAACGCCTACATTCAGCGCCCCCCGTGTTCTGCATGGAGATGCTGAACACTTCCCATAGAGATTAATTGATTTAATGCATGTCTGAGGAGATGCTAATTGGTGCTGCGTTTTGCCTATGGGAAAGCATCAAATTGACTGTGATCATCAAGGTTTATCTCCGCCATGGAGGTGGGGGTATAGGCCTAATCTGCTATTCCAGCACTATAGTGTTCCTTTAAAGTAAATACTGGATAGCTGTTTTCATGTTCTCCTCTCATGGCTTGCACAACTTTGGATAAAATAAAAGTACGTAAAATTTAATGTATACGTTGCGCTAGTAGAATTGTTAACAAATGAATATACTTGTTTCTTTAATCTTTACGGATAAGGTCCCTCTGTCCATCTGTCAGTTACTTATATGCCGTGGGTTAAATGACAGAGGAGAGTTGGAGGCCCCTCTTACAGGCAGTTATCCTGCTTTTTGTATGAGCTGCAGTTGGTGTGAGATTACTCCGGTCTTGCTTGAGGATAATGTAAATGGAGTGACTGGTGTATTTCTGTTTTAACACTGCACTGAATGAAGCCAGCATATAGGCGTCCTGGAGAAGGATAGTTTTGCTTAGTGAAGTACTTCAACCAACAGTGCTATAGGCTATAACTCCTGCTCCATGTGCAGAACATGGGGTTACTGTCATCATTGGATTGGAGGAAAGTAGTGATGTTATTACAAGTTTATTGATCAATAGAACTAAAATGGAAACCATTATTAAGAATACAGGGCATATGTGTTGTGTATGTTACACTTTAACCATGCTGTGAGTGTGCGTATTTAATGACAAATCAGTCATTTTCTGCTAATGCATTGCTTTTTCATGTTTCTTTATTATTATTTTTTTAGACTAGAATTTGGCTGTTAAGTTCTTGAAGAATCAATACTTTAAATGAGATTATCACCTTGTAAGACTTCAGTTACAAGTGCTCGACGAGGGGGCATTGATTCTGATTAATGTAGGGGTTGAGGAACTAATTGAATGTGCTGATTTAGCACATTAACCTCTCTCCTGACATCACCACTGGGTTGATTCTGTAGTAGTCATGCATTATTCAGTTATTACTGCCAGTAACTTTATGCCTTGAGTGCAGAATAAACGTATATCAGGCCTTCTCCTTCCTTGAGATCTAATCTTAAATGAGCAGCAAACCTATGATAGTGTGTGTGCTGCATGAAACTATAGCACTGTTTTCCAACAAAAACACTTTAATGTTCTCACCCTGTGTTTTTAAGTATATTTTTCATACAGATTTTTAAAAGAACAACAAAAAAAACTATTCATTGCACACCTGCAGTAGTCTAATATTTCTACAAATGTGTCCTTTTTCATAAAGATGCACATCCGTGCTTGCCATACTCACTCCCCCTTCTACTGGGCTTTGTGCTAAATAGTCACCAGAACAACTACAGCTTATTGTATTTTTTTTCTAGTGAGTAGAATCATTCCCTTCAGGCTTTTTGCAGTAAACACTGTCTTTTCAGAGAAAATGCAGTGTTTACATTACAGCCTAGGGATACCTCCACTGGCCACTCCTCAGATGGCTGCTATAGGTGCTTCCTGGAGCAGTGCTGCACAGTGTAACTGACTTTCAGTGTCGCCACCCTCTGCATGCAGACACTGAACTTTCCTCATAGTGATGCAGTGATTCAATGGATCTCTATGAGGAGATGCTGATTGGCCAGGGCTGTGTTTGACTTGTGCTGCAACTGCCCCTGATCGGCCTCCTTGACAGTCTCTGCCAATCCTATGGGGAGACATTGTGATTGGCTCAGATTATGACTTCTAATGTCAGCCAAGCAGGCAGATCAGAGGCAGAGCTAGCAGCAGCAGACTGTAATAAAAATAAGATTTTACTATATTTAGGGAGTCAGGGGGATAGATGGTGGTTTTAACACTATAGGGTCAGGAATACATGTCTGTTTTCCTGACCGTAGTGTTCCTTTGTCTCCTCACAGTGTTTGTAGATTTGTAAGGACTGTAATTTTCCATTGAATTACACAAAAGCCTTTATGGGGGCACTAGCCATGCCAGCACCGTGGTGTTTCACCATTCAGTTTCCATTTGGAAATAGTTGCTAAATAAGTTGGATCATTTAATTATTTTGCAGATCCCGGGCCAACGCTGTCATGCATTTGAAAGTAAACTTGTTAGGTTTTTTTTTTCCTTTTTTTTTTTCCTGTGAATCTGCTTCAATTATATTGAAAACGTAACGTCTCATTGAGAATCGTGTTTTCCGAAATATTTAGATATACCCACCGTACCTCCGATTGAGCGTCACCATTTACTCTGTTTTGTAGGTGTTGCTCTTCTTTAATATCCAGAAAGCTGAGGAAATGACAGTGATGGATTGGAGGTCCTCTTCATTGAGTGTTCTGTTTGTGGACTCTTCCCCAACGTCCTGTGTGATGCCGACAAAGCTGGCTTCGCTCCTAGCACAATGTATGCATGAAACTTTTATACAGTTTAAAAAGAGTATAGTTGTAGATTCCATGACAGGCACCCTTTAAGCAAAGCAAGTCATTTTATTAATATTAGCATTAAAATGATTGAAAGGTTCACTTTAAATGTTTTTACTATAGAATTACTCAAATGCTCCACCTGCTCAATTTAGCACTCTAGGTAGTAACATTTTTATCTCATTACAGTTCCTGAATTCCCCTGACACTGTTCCGTTGAAAGTATAATCTGCTAGCTGTCTGTCTGTCACAGCCACTTATTGCTGGTATGGTCCAGGCAAAATGTAATCTCCACCCTAGCCATATTTGCATTGGGGGCTGGGCTTGAAGTGGCTGGAGACCTTATTCAATATTAAACATTTCAAAATTGCTTTACGTTGAATGGATGGAAGACATCACTAGTTTAATGAGAGAGTGATTATAGTGCCTAGGGTGTCCCTAAAGGACTATAATGCTACAGCGCTCCTCTCCCTAGGTACACATTTTCCAAATACTTTTTATTGATTTGGCCCGCACTGTTCCAGTTTTAGCCCATCCAATGCTTTCTCTATGGAAAAGCATTGGACTGGCTAAAAATCATCCAATTTGATGTCACAAAGAGGCGGAGCCAACGCTAGCGGACCTGCACACCGCTGGAAATAACGTGTGTTTTAAACTTTTATTGGGGGGTTAAGGGGGAGGGCAAGCCAACTAAAATGGTGGGTTTAGCACTATAGAGTCATGAATACATGTTGTGTTCCTGACCCTATAGGGATACTTTAACCTTGTCAGCAGGGGTCCATTCCCCTAACGCTAAGCGGTTTGTGTTTATCTATGGTAATTGAAATGACTTTAAAAGCTTTTGACAGCATGTCGTCTGTCCTCTATTTTGCAGTGCTGTTTGCAAATTTTTCAATTTTGTACTTTGCTGTTTTGGTCTAACCTTTGCAATTTGTGTTTACAGAAACTCACTGTTAAGTAAATAAGTGTGAGTCAGTGCTGCAATCTCAAATCCCCCTATGATTCTATTTTCTAGTCTGGTGGAGATTTAGTTTTTAAATCCCTCTTCATCCATAGAGGAATTCACAGGGGTATCGTGAACACCGCAGACATTATGAGAGATAAAGGGATTGGGTTTTTCCTTGTAGACGTTAAAAGTGGTTCTATGGTAGGCTGCAATCTGTGTCCTTTTAATGTAGGTGTTTTTCCTTAGTCATTTATCTTTACTGCCCCAATATCACTCTACTTTACTTCTCCAGGTAGAATAAATGAAAAGGAAATTATTGTATTTTACGATTTAATGAAGGCTTTGTGTAAGATTGCAAATAGTTTCAGTTCCATCCCTAGTATATATGTGTATGTGATGAGTTTGATCTCACAATTATGGCTGTTTAATATACTCTCTAAGCTGTTTCTTGCAAATCTCCTTTAATGTATTCTTTTTGTTTTGGTTTTCGTCTTGTGATGCAATCTGCTTCCCCAATCATTTGTCACAATCTCTTATGCCTCTCCATCTAGACAGGCTTAAAGAACCCAGTGGCTTGTGAACATGTTATGCCTCTCATCTGACAATAAAAGACTCTGGGTGCAGTGAGATCCCCAATTCACCTTGCAGAAAGTGTATACAATGAAACATTAAAAGGTTGAGGATCAGCACTGTGAAATTGCAATGTATGTGCTAATCCATTCTCTTGTGTGCATCAGTATCTGCAGCATCTAGATATGACTACAGCACTGCCTGGGGGAAATCCAGTTTAAAAGCTTATGGGAATCTCCCTGTGTTATATGGCTATTTACTTTGAAGGCTGTGTGTAATGAAATCTGTTCTCTCACTTTGTATCTCTGCTTGGTTTTAAATGCCCATTATTTGCATTATGAAGCTGAAAGATCCTTATCTACAGGGTTTATATACAAATGCAAGAAAAAGTATGTGAACCCTTTGGAATGAAAGGGATTTCTGCACAAATTGGTCATAAAATGTGATCTGATCATCATCTAAGTCACAACAATAGACAATCACAGTCTGCTTAAACTAATAACACACAAAGAATGAAATGTTGCCATGTTTTTTTTTATGTGAACCCCTGGATTTAAAGGACCACTCTAGGCACCCAGACCACTTCAGCTTAATGAAGTGGTCTGGGTGCCAGGTCCAGCTAGAGTTAACCCATTTTTTTTAAAATTTTTTTTATAAACATGGCAGTTTCAGAGAAACTGCTGTGTTTATAAATGGGTTAATCCAGCCCTCAAATCCTCTAGTGGCTGTCTCATTGACAACCGCTAGAGGCGCTTGCGTGATTCTCACTGTGAAAATCACAGTGAGAACACGCAAGCGTCCATAGGAAAGCATTGTAAATGCTTTCCTATGAGACCGGCTGAATGAGCGCGCGACTCTTGCCGCGCATGCGCATTCAGCCGAAATTGAGGAGAGGAGGAGGATCGGAGGCGGAGAGCTCTCCGCCCGGCGCTGGAGAAAGGTAAGTTTTTTTTTTTTTGTTTGTTTGTTTTTTTTTAACCCCTTTCCTCTCTCCAGAGCTGGGTGGGAGGGGGTCCCTGAGGGTGGGGGCACTATAGTGCAAGGAAAACTATTGTTTTCCTGGCACTATAATGGTCCTTTAATAACTGGTTGAACCTCCTTTGGCAGCAATAACTTCAACCAAACGTTTCCTGTAGTTGCAGATCAGATGTGCACAACGGTCAGGAGTAATTCTTGACCATTCCTCTTTACAGAACTGTTTCAGTTCAGCAATATTCTTGGGATGTCTGGTGTGAATTGCTTTCTTGAGGTCATGTCACAGCATCTCAATCGGGTTGAGGTCAGGACTCTGACTGGGCCACTTCAGAAGGCGTATTTTCTTCTGTTTAAGCTATTCTGTTGTTGATTTACTTCTATGCTTTGGGTCCTTGTCCTGTTGCAACACCCATCTTCTGTTGAGCTTCAGCTGGTAGACAGATGGCCTTAAGTTCTCCTGCAAAATGTCTTGATAAACTTGGGAATTCATTTTTCCTTCGATGATAGCAATCCGTCCAGGCCCTGACGCAGCAAAGCAGCCCCAAACCATGATGCCCCTACCACCATACTTCACAGTTGGCATGAGGTTTTGATGTTGGTGTGCTGTGCCTTTGTTTCGCCACACATAGTGTTGTGTGTTTCTTCCAAACAACTCAACTTTGGTTTCATCTGTCCACAGAATATTTTGCCAGTACTGCTGTGAAACACCCAGGTGCTCTTGTGTAAACGTGCAGCAATGTTTTGTTTGGACAGCAGTGGCTTCTTCTGTGGTATCCTCCCATGAAATTCATTCTCTTTTTTTTTTTTTGTGTGTGTTTTACGTATTGTAAATTCGCTATCAGGGATGTTAGCATTTGCCATTGACTTTTGTAAGTATTTAGCTGACACTCTAGGATTCTTCTTCACCTCATTGAGCTGTCTGCGCTGTGCTCTTGCAGTCATCTTTACAGGACGGCCACTCCTAAGGAGAGTAGCAGCAGTGCTGAACGTTCTCCATTTATAGACCATTTGTCTTACCGTGGACTGATGAACAGCAAGGCTTTTGGAGATACTTTTATAACCCTTTCCAGCTTTATGCAAGTCAACAATTCTTAATCGTAGGTCTTCTGAGAGCTCTTTTGTGCGAGGCATCATTCACATCAGGCAATGCTTCTTGTGAAAAGCAAACCCAGAACTGGTGTGTGTTTTTTATAGGGCAGGGCAGCTGTAACCAACACCTCCAATCTCATCTCATTGATTGGACTCCAGTTGGCTGACATCTCACTCCAATTAGCTCTTGGAGATGTCATTAGTCTAGGGGTTCACATACTTTTTCCACCTGCACTGTGAATATATACATGGTGTGTTCAATAAAAAAACATGGCAACATTTCATTATTTGTGTGTTATTAGTTTAAGCAGACTGTGATTGTCTATTGTTGTGACTTAGATGATGATCAGATCACATTTTATGACCAATTTGTGCAGAAATCCATATCATTCCAAAGGGTTCACATACTTTTTCTTGCAACAGTGTATATATGTGTGTGTGTGTGTGTGTGTGTTTTGCAGGCCAATGCAATAGAAAGTAAATAGTATGTGTTAAGTGACACAATATTAAGATTGAAAGGAGACAAGTTACAGTAGTATAGTATGTCTGTGCTTTAAATAAAAACAAAATTGTATAAGGAATAGGAAGCAATGAAACAAAAAATAGTGACTGGTAATTTGTGCTCACTGAGGAGTCACAAATGTCAAGAGTGCAAGTTATATAGACATGCACCCACAGTGTGTGTCATGGCACCCCGAGTCGTTCAAAGGAAGATAAGTATGGTGGCCTGTAGTGGACATATTATCCGTATGCATTCATATAGCTATCACAGTGCCGACGTCCACCTTGAACCAGTAATTTGGATAGCAATCTAGTTTCTTGTTTTGTGAGAAGCTCACAAGAGCGAGACAACATGACTATTAACAACATGACTATTGGACAGCTGCAGTGAGAGTTTTATTTATATCTGTCCTTTTAATACAGGGATGTGGAATTTTGTATTGTCTGATGTTTAGCATCTGTTATTCCAGATGGCAGGCAATGGGTTTTTGGGTTTTATTTTTGTGTATAGCCAGAAAAATATCTCCCTTGAATCAGTGGATTCCCAGCACTCACTTTGACTCACTGAACGCCAGACTGTTAGGGAGCAGGTTTGAGAGGGTCTTCTATGTGAGCTGATACGTTGCTTGTTCAAATTTAATAAAAGCGTGTGGTTTGGAATAGTCTGTGCCTTGATATTTTTCTGTGGTCTACAATTCATGAGGTAGGGTGTGGTAGTCGCCTTGGTCTGTGTGACACCATAGTGTTGACCCACTATCTATATTGGTGGGTGCCATTCCTTACTAAAGCATGGTAAATTCAGCTTACTGACCATGTCACAGAGCTTCAGCTCCTCTGTGTCTATTCAGCACTGTCTGAGCTGTGCAATAAGACTGTTACTGCGAGGTACTTCCAGGAACTCTTAGACTCTGATTATCTCCACGACTGCCACCACACCTGGTGATGTCATAGATGAGTGCCCATATCCAGACGTTTGGCCACTATATTTGCAGTAGGTGTGAAAGCACTCACTTTAATCACTTGTCAGCATGGGGCTGCTAAATATTAGCCCCTGCTTACTGAGGGTAAATCCAGGTATGGATTTAATACCTAAAATCTTAAAAGTATTTAAAATTTCCAGCACTTAAAATGGAGTAGTTTCCATGCGGTTTTAAGGGATTCTAAAGTCGACTATTTGTAGGAAAGCATATAGTGTCCTAAGGACTTGCCGTGTTTAATATTTGTGGGCTGATTGACTAAACTATGACACGTTGGGAGTTCATAAGATTATTGCAAATTTAAGATCAAAACAGCGAGCTGTAAACATGGCTAGCTGCACTTTTTTTGTAATTTTATTTTACTTTTTCTTTTCCATTTTGACTATTTTAACATAGAAACATAAAACATAGATGTTAGCTTTCAATTTGCAGTTCCCTGGGGAATTTCTAACAACAATATGAATAATATTGAATGACAACAGGAACTGTATATTGCGTATTGCTTGCAATAATTGTTCAAGGAATTGGTTGTAATAATATGGACATTTTGCAGTTGCTTATTTATTTATTTATTTTTTTACCTGTTTAAATGCCTTTTCTGCCAGTTCCAGCCTGAATGCATGTGATAGAACTTGTATATATTCCAAGTAAATAGGGGAATAGACAGGGTAAAAGTGGTTTGAGCCTTTCCTTCTCATCGTAGGGCCACTCTCTCCTAATATGTAACTCCATTATTATTTTAGTTCAACTTTGAACTTTTTCTTCACCTCAAGTGGCTCACTTTGAGGTCCAGCACAGAGCTGCAGGACAGCCTTACAGGGACATTTTACACACAAAGCACTTTAGATTGCTGCCTGTGTCCTTATTTTTATTATTTATTTTTACAAAAAGTGGCGATTTCGATAGAAATTGACACTTTTTTTGAATTAACCTGGTTATAACCCCCCTGACTCTAAATCAGACCACTCTGATCCTGTAACTTCCTGGTTGCTTAACTCTATGAAGCTAAACTCAAGAGACTACAATTGCTCAGAGCACCTGCCTTGCAAAGATTTCTCATTGAGCTGCATTTGGAAGTCTGTGATTGGACAGGCAGAGAAAGTTTGGGCAGGATTAGAAGGGGAGAGCTTACAAAAAGTGCAGAAAAGACAATTTTGCAATTTATTTTTTTAAATGAATTTATAAAAAATACTCGCAAAGAAAACAATACATAATTAAATGCATGCATTCTTTCATTGGGGATATATCAACATATGTCTATATAATTATATACAATATATAAATATATTTATATCTATATCATTTTTATTTTCTTGGGCAGTGGAGTGTCCCCTTAAGTACTTTTACCCCTTGAATACATGTTGTTCGTTCTGTATTACTTGCAAAGTTGTGTCAACCAATTTATCCCTGTGGGTCCCTGTGTGCCTCCCATCTGCTTCCTAATGGACGGTACTCTGGAGGTATCTAATCTGTTGGTATACACAGCTCCTTGCGTACCTATGGCAGTTGTACAAATACTGTTCACCGTATATTACTTCTGTTATCTTTATATGTGAAGATATATTTTGTGCAAATGTATGTTCAGTTGCACAAATCTAAATACATTTTTATTTTCAACACAAAAATAAGTGACAAATATATAGTGCATGCATCTGTGTTGCACATATGTTTAGAATTGCTTAAAGGACCACTATAGTGCCAGGAAAACATATTCGTTTTCCTGGCACTATAGTGCCCTGAGGGAGCCCCCACCCTCAGGGACCCCCCTCCCGCTGGGCTCTGGAGAGAGGAAATGGTTAAAACTTACCTTTTTTCCAGCACCGGGCGGGGAGCTCTCCTCTCCGATCCTCCTCTTCAGCTGAATGCGCATGCGCCGCAGGAGCTGCGCTCGCATTCAGTCGGTCTCATAGGAAAGTATTCATAATGCTTTCCTATGGACGCTGGCGTCTTCTCACTGTGATTTTCACCGTGAGAAGCACGCAAACGCCTCTAGTGGCTGTCAATGAGACAGCCACTAGAGGCTTTAGAGGCTGGATTAACACTATTATAAACATAGCAGTTTCTAGGAAACTGCTATGTGTGTGTGTGTGTGTGTATGTGTGTGTGTGTGTGTATGTGTATATATATATATATATATATATATATATATATATGTATGTATGTATGTATGTATGTATGTATGTATGTATGTATGTGTATATATATATATATATATATGTGTATATATATATATATGTATATATATATATATATATATATATATATATATATATATATATATATATATATATATATATATATATATATATATATATTTAACCCTAGAGGGACCAGGCACCCAGACCACCTCATTAAGCTGGAGTGGTCCTTTAACTTTTCCAGAAAAAGTAATTTTCTTTTGATTTAGCCCTGGCTTAGCTTGTGAACTTTAGCCTGTGCACATGAAATTACTGTTAATGTAGGCTTCAAAGAAAATACCATAATCCATTATGTAGTAGTGTAGCTGACTGAACAATATTTTTTTTTTTTTTTAGATTTACAATTAAGAATATACATTTTATTTTAAATATTGGCATGCGTTTTGCCTTTGTTAGGGGTATCCTACACCCATGAGTCTTAAATACATATTTTTGTGCCTCCTAAATAGTTTGCTTTATTCTTAATTGGCATATGGGTGATGCATATAATTAGCACTAATGTTAATTATATACTCATGTATATAATTTGTTTTATCTGGTATGTCTCTAAACCCCTTGCCAGCTGCAATTTAATTCTTTGTGGTACATTTTTGAAAAATGTTTCACAGACACATTTAGCATATGTACGCAATGTAATACTATGAGCAATAATATGACATTCGTGTTATTGCTTCCCACACTTTACCATAGGTTCTTTGTATGTTTTTGAATGTGTATATGAGAGACTGTGTAAAATGAAGTAACAATGGCTTGAACCTCCACTCATTTGCTTTGGGTGTTAATTAATTCCTTACTGCCTTGTGCACATGCATGTATGAGCAAGGACTCCATCAGTTGAATACTAATCTATGGTTTTGGTTGCAATAATAGAATCAGAGAGATGGTATATAGATTATCAACACAATTACATTTATGACTTTTAAACAATACAACACATTTAAAAGTCTCCCCACTTAAATACCTTTAAGATGCATATAGCCTGTAGTTGCTGTACCCACTGATTTTGTCAAATGATTTAGAACTTTGTGTCAAAAAATGGTTGGCTCCCTGCTTGCCTGATGGGCTGACTCGCTTATTGTTGCTGCCAAAACGTCAGTGGATTAATGTGGACGTTCAATAATCTGATGTTTTTAACCTCCTGTGCAAATGTAATCCCACAATTCCTAGCTGTCCAGACAACCAGGATGTGGGGATATAATAATCGACCCATGACCTACTTGCAAGATATCCACTTATCCACTCGCCACCAGAGATTATTACGCCATTAATCAAATGTCCTCACTGCTGGGCCGTTTAGATCAGTAATGTGAGGGGACAGGTGATTAAACATGGTCCATAGTCCGTTTAGCAATAGGTGTACAAATAGAGATGGTAAGGAAATTTAGGAACTTTTTTTTTTTTTTTTTTTTCTGGTCTCTCTCTGGGTAAGAACTTGTCATGTCAAACTGGCAAAGTGCCCAAATGTATGTATGTGTATACATATATACTGGTTGGCCCAAAAGTAGGTACCGGTATATAGTTGAATCAATTATATTCATCACAACATATTATATAGGTACATGAACACACACAAATGTGACTGTTAAATTTCAGGAATTTAAATATCAGTGTAGCAGTTGGCAAGCGTAGAGGAGGGATATTTTTTTTCTCTCTCTTTACTGGTATTGTGAATGACAGCGAACTTTAGTCCGGAACAAAGACCGTGGATTCTAAAGCCATACTGGAAGACTAAAAATGCTGAGTGGGTGCAGAGAGTGTGGCAAGAAGCATCTGACACTACTTCACCAACATGTCTGACAATTTATTTAACCTATTAGAGATAAATTTGAAACAACAAGAGCAATGGTTAATGCACCGAGATCTGGACATCCTAGGACTTCTGTAATAGAGGAAAATTAGATGATAGCTACGTTTGACATTTGTGAACTGTCCAAAAAAGTCCACACAATGTGCAGCTATCCATACCAAAACATCCTTGCAGCGCTTAATGCCTAAATTGAAATAGAAGCTGTACCATCCAAGACCGTTTCATGGTCTTCTGAAGGACGACCCACACCGTCCATTGCAATTCTGTGAGATACATAACAAAACTTCAAACAAACCTGAGCTTCTTGATAAGATCATCTGGTCAGCTCGTCTCAGAATCCTTTATGGACATTAATGCCAAACGAAACATGTGTTGCACAGTGTACTGGACAGGTTCGAGGAATGTTGCAACCTTGATGGAAGACATTTTAAGCACTTACGAGATTAGTATTTAACAAATATATAAATGTAATAAACATATAAGAAAATGCAAATTATACTGTATATCATGATCTACTTTTGGGCCAACCTGTATATGAAATATCACTATTGTGCATCACCTGCATATCTTCAGTTGAACATTGAGAAGTCCTGCTTGGAAAGAGAGAATTGAGAAATCATGTTTCCACATGGAGACATGATTCCTAGAGTTTCTGTTAAAAAAGCAGGACTTCTCAAAGTACAACTTGAGGTTATATTTCTAGGAATTGGCTGTTGCCACAAAGGGCTTTGGGGGCAAAAACATCAGCAGAGGTATTTGTAACCAGTGCTGTTGGTATTGGCTCCATCTAGAGGAACCTCTGCACACTACAAACCAAATGTGACTAAATGCCAGTACAGGAAATAAGATTACACAAGCTGTTCGGAAAAACCCTTGAGCATGGCAACACAGTAAGCAATGTGGGCTTGAAGGGATTGCTTTTAAGCATCATTGCAACTTTAAACAATTGCATAGATTTACTTAAGCCTAAACGTAGTTCTGAGAGTAGCTTAGAATTACAGTAACTTGTAAAAATAAAAATTGCTGCAGTTCTCAGCTACCTCCTCATAACTCAGGCCTGGGGAGCCCTCCGTTCCAGGCTGCCAAGTTTGTGTATGCATGTATGTGCAACTTACATACTGAAAAGGCAGAGTCTAAATATTGAGCTGGGCATGGTTTAACTGCTATAAGTTTGTAGAACAGTTTCACTCATTCTGTGTGATGAATGGAACCGCACTTGAGAATAAAGCTTTAGAGGGGGTAGTGTGAATGTGTGTGTTGAGAGAGAGATTTTTTTTTTTTTTTAATTTTTTTTTTAAAATGCATTGTGTTCATAATAATATAAAAAGGACGGCAGGAGGGAGGATATTTCCACCTCCCCCAAACTTCTACCTTTAACGATCAAGTGCAGACACTGTAATTTGTCGTTCGTTTAACCCTCCATGCCATTTTCACGCCACTACTGTAGTGTGTAAACCAGAAGCAAAGGCATTTTCGATAAAACCCAGGACTGCACGTATTCATGCATGATTAGTATCCAGTCGTGCACAGGCATGTTTCCATAACATCTATATTTAGATAAACTTTTAGTTTCATGCTTTATCAAAGTTTAATATCCTGAACTATATTTTAACTCTGGACAACAGAACCTTTTAATTTATTTTTATTTTTTGCATTCCTCACATGCCCTGTAAAAAGACCTTTTAAAGCAGTTAAAGAATCACTATACAAATATGTATTCCTGACCCAATAGTGAACCACCCCCACCCTCCATAACCCCCTCAGAATGGGTTAAAACTCGCCTTATTTCCAGCTCTCCATGGGTCTGCCGGTGCTGTCCCAGCCCCCTTGGTGACATCATCAAAATTGCCCATGGGGAAAGTATTGGATACAATTGGCAAGGGGGCGGGCCAAACCCTGTTTTTGCCAATCAGCACCTCCTCATAGAGATGCATTGAATCAGTGCATCTCTATGAGGAAAATTCAGCGTCTCCATGCAGAGCATGGTATGCTGCACGGCAGGGCTGCTTACCGTGTAACTTAGCCAGGAAGCCCCTCCAGTGGCCATCTGAGGAGTGGCCACTTGGAGGTGTCCCTAGGGGCAATGTAAAGGCAGTGTTTACATGAAAATACATGAAGGGAGCTTTTATACTCACCAAAAACTACATTAAGCTGTAGTTCTGGTGACTACAGTGTCCCTTTAATGTTGTGCGTTTCCATTATTGGTGGCTTGATGTACCTTCACATTTGTGAAATGAACCATTTAAAGGTCATATTGTTTTGATGGCGTATAGACACTTGTAATCCTTTCAAGGGTTACTTTCTTAAACTATTAGACATTGTCTCTTTTAACCCCTTAAGGACATATGACATGTCATGATTCTCTTTTATTCCAGAAGTTTGGTCCTTAAGGGGTTAAAGGTACTCTTGACTTCCCACATTAAGAACCAGGATTTTGTGTGTGTATATGTGTGTGTATATGTGTGTGTATATGTGTGTGTATGTGTGTGTGTGTGTGTGTGTGTGTGTGTGTGTGTGTGTGTGTGTATGTATATGTATATGTATATATGTATATATATATATATGTATATATAGTGTGTGTGTGTGTTTTCTTCTCATCATTAATGTTCTATCTAAAAGCTTCTCTTGTCTGCTGCCTTTACAAGCCCTCGCCTTCCTCCCCAGCCTATACTTTCTTTACCAACTTCTCAATGCAGCTCCACCAAGCTAACCTAACCAGGAAGTAGCAGGACCATTTGTCTGACAGTCAGGGGTTGTAAGTAACCAGCTTCATTTATAAAATTGCCACTTTATAGTGAAATCTTAAAACATAAACATTTGAATAAGCTAAGTGCTTTAGGGGTCTGGTGTGCCCCTTTATTTTTTCCTGGCTATCAAATAGCTTTCTTCCTGGCATTCCTTCTTGAGCTCATGTGCTTCGGATTTGAACACTGATAAAAGAAAGCCAACAACAGTAGATTAGTGAATCCTCTTGTGTCCCTGGGGCTTGTAAATATTAAATCCTGGATGCACAATCCTTATAATCTGGTTTTAGACGTGTATTTTACGTGGAAATATGATCCTATTTTCCCTTTCCTATTCCATGTACTCATTCATTTTCTATTGTAAATTTTTTTTTTTTTGTCCCCCCCCGCCCCCCTCCCTGCTTCTTACATGGCCAGTGAGGGGGGATAAAGTATTCCCTGGTTGCATGAACTGTGCAGTGGGGGCCCGCAGCAAGCTTTTAACTTTATAGCAGCTCCCTTCAGCTCCCCTGTCTAAATCTCACAGCTTGTGTGCCGCGCAGAGCGTTGCTTTGGTAACGTGCCACCTCTCTGACGGCCGCGGGATTTACACAGGGGAGCTGCTGGGAAGGTAAGCGCTTGCTGCCGGCACCCAGGACCACCGGGCTTGTAATGGTCCCGGCGGTCCTGGTCTGCATTATCGGCCATATCTGTATCTCTATAGGCCGATATGACACTGCCGAGAATACCGGCCGATAATATCAGCCAGACTGATAATCGGTCGACCTCTAGTGGTGATGCCATGAGTGTTTTGCAAACCTCAAGTCAATCATGGTGATGTCATGAGATTTCTTGGCAAACCAGAGGTCAATATAATTTTTTTTTTTTTTTTTTTTGTCATCAGTCAGTACTTTGCAAACCACAGGCCAATGATGTCATCAGACACTGCTTGGCAAACCAGAGGTCAATAATAGTGATGTCATCTTTCAGTGCGTGAACAGTAAGTCACGTGTCATGGAAATTGCGTATTACAGAATGCTGACATTGGAGCGTTACTGAAGGGTGTGTGCCTGTATTTCGTGCTTTATACATTTGCTGTTGAATTTTCCAGCACACGTTCTAGAGTAGTTTTTAATCTCCCATTGAAACAGACGTTGCCATTTCCACACTGGTATCTTGCTGTATAAAACGCTTTGTAAATTGTCTGTGCTCTATACATAGATGATGAACATCGTATGGTGAGCACATTCGTTACATCTTATGGGAAAGAAAAGAGAATTGACCCCTCCCACACATAGCTATCGAATTGTCATTAAATAAGAACTTCCTACGGATGCATTTTGACAGATTCCCATCTGCTACCCACTGTGCTCACTGCATGGAGACCCCAATGATAGCTCTGTTCTAATTAGACGGAGCTGTCATGAAAAATGAGTTTTTATGTTATTTCTTACATTTTTAGATGTTTCATTTCATGTTTTCCAGGGTTGTAGCCAGACTAATAGCTACTCTACTGTAAATAACAAAGCTCGGTATGAATATTCATATATATTGTAATCTGTAACAGTCACTGAGCATTTGACAATTGCGATTGTTTCAACATGGCTGCCTCAACACTAAAACATTGACAGACCTTCACTTGACTCACTACAACCGGAATAGATGAAGTCTTATACAAACAGTGTTTGTTTCTTTTCATCAAATACAATATGCGTCCCTGGTTGTGTCAGGATTTAATAATATATCGGCTGCTAAATTTTAAATATAAATTTAAACAAAAACAGAGCATCACATTCAAAAACAATTTAGTAAGCGTTATAATTTTTAATGTTTTATTAGTGTAGTTTCCAGAGAAATGATGGTTAGCCTTTTAATATTGTTGGTCTCTGATACTCATATGGCTGGATCGTTCTAGTGTTAAAAGTTCTATTTACATTATATTTGCAATCATGGATCTTTACTTGCCAGTATCCGAAGGAATGCTGGGGGGGAAAAAACAAGTTTGCAGTTTCTGATTTGCTCGTGGCTTGGGAATTAAGAGGGGCAAGGGCAGGTCACCTGTAAGAATTAGTGTTTGGTGACTATCTAATCCCCTCCCTCTGTCCGCCTTGATTGATCTTATACAGCAGCCTGCAGGTCCCCATGTCTGAGCCATGGACTATTTACTCCTCTCAGGGGACTAACTGCAAGACATAATGGCAATAGAGAGAGAATAAATCACTCCAGAAAAGTGAGTCTTTATATAACACAAATCCTACATTACTGGGCTTTCTCTGCTGCGTGTCTATATAATAAAGCAATATCTTCTTTAGCATGGGTGTTGTATAGATAAATGGTCACATTTCTGTAGTAAATAGATTTTCATAAATTTTAAGGTTAACACACGGCATATGGTAATAATAGTAGATGAATAAGCATTCGTTACATGATTACCCCACAGATGCCGGGCTAGTTGGGTAAAAGTATGTGAGGTGGTGGGAAGGGAACGTTCTCGCCAGAAGTTCGTTCTAGGACCCGTTCTCCACTAATGAGAGAATAGCGAGTTTTATTGCTGCAATCTTCTACACATCAGGATTCGCACCGAGGTGTTTTTCCCAGCAGTTATACATATTTTACATTTATGCGGATATTGTCACATTCGACGGGGGAAGAATTTCATTATATCATCCAATGTGTGGCTTGTGATATACAGAAGTTATCAATAATCGTTTCTAACCAAGTTAAGAAAGCAGTTCTATGACTGGGGGCTGAGAAAGGGAAGATGGTTAGCAGTACCTCTTATCGCTGTGTATTGAACTTTGATGAATGGGTTTTCCCCATGGGTCTGTCAGAGAGCATTATGTGTTTGTAGTCTTGTCATCAAGTGATCTTGGTGACTGGCTCCTGATTTGTATTTTCATATGATCGCTCTCTATCCTCCTCTGACTTGTAAAACAGCCTTGTTCTGATAGCCAGTATCAAAGCGGAACTGTCACAAATATTTTGCATAACAGGCTAGCTAATTAAAAGTTTAAAAGTTCAAGGATCACTATTGGGTCAGGAACACAAACATGTAGCCCCTCATGCCTCCATAAATATAGCAAAATCACCATCTAGCCCCTCATGCCTCCATAAATATAGCAAAATCTTTCTGTATTCAAGCCTGAAGCTGTAGATCTGCATGTAGTTTGCCTGAAAAACAAAAAACAAAAAAAAGCAGTGTGCTGACATCATTAGAAGTGGTAGCCTGATTCAATCACAGTGCTTCCCCGTAGGATTGGCTGAGACTGACAAAGAGGCTGATCGGGGCAGAGCCAGCACAATTCAAACACAGCCCTGGCCAATCAGCATCTCCTCCATTGAGATGAATTGAATCAATGAATCTCTATGAGGAAAGTTCAGTGTCTGCATGCAGAGGGAGGAGATACTGAATGTTTGGATGCATTTTAGGCAGCCACGACCCAGGAAGGATCTCTAACAGCCATCTGAGGAGTGGCCAGTGTAGTTATCACTAGGCTGTTATGTAAACGAAAAGATTGTGTTTACAGGAAAAAGCCTCAAGGTAATGATTCTCACCAGAACAAATTCAATAAGCTCTAATTGTTCTGGTGATTTATTGTGTTGTACCTTTTTTTTAATTTTTTTTTAATTGTATTTATTTTTTAAAACAAAATGTCAGACGTTTCATTTGCTGCCCATCGTTGTGTGTGTCCAGAATAACATGATGTGGATAGTTTCAGTAGAATAAATTTGAACATTTGCTTTGTCTATTGTTTTCTATTGTGTTGTCCCTAAACAAAGTTTTTAATCACCCTTCCATTGAATTAAAATGTAATTTGACTGGTTCTCTCACTTGCCTTTATTCATAACATTTTAATATAGGCAGATGCATATTAGGTGCAATGCACTATACATTTGGTTCTCCAAGAAACAGGAGCAGACTGTTTTGGTATAGTGTGTTTGTATATGTGTGTATATGTATATATATATGTGTGTGTGTGTGTGTGTATGTGTATATGTGTATATATATATATATATATATATATAATATATTTTTTTTTTATTTATTTGTGTTAGGTGCTTAAGATAGTACAGTGTGAAATACCATGAATAAGCGTAGGATGATAAAAGGAGCAAGTCGGTTGTGGTGTGCCGAAACCGACGATGAGGTAGGCCTGAGAAAGAAGAGGGCCCACCCAGGAAAAGAAATAGAAAGGAAAATAAATGTTAAAAGTGGTGTGGTGGGAGGGTCATTCAACGCTGACCTCGAACGGTAAGGAGCCAGGCAAGGGGAGTGCCTTAAGTAGGCTAGGGGTGGAAAACCAGCACCTCCCACAAATGCAGGCAAATTGCCTTAATACATATATATACACACACACATATATATATATATATATATATATACACACACACATTATATATATATATATATATATATATATATATATATATATATATATATATATATATATATATATATATATATATATCTCTCTCAAAAATACATAAAAGGTGCACTCACAGGTCTTAACAAGTGGTTAATTTATTCTTAGATGCAAATTACATGTGCAAAAAAATATATTACAGTGATATATTACAGCGATCGACGTTTCGACCCCTATAGGGCCTTTTTCAAGATGATATATCCCCCGTTGTTTTTTTACCTAGGTGAGCTGTTTTAAACCCATTAGTGACCTAGGACATACAGGGTACGTCAGCCAAAAAACTGTTGACGTACCCTGTACGTCCGTGGCCAAAATGAGTGCTGGAAGCGATGGTGATCACCTCCAGCCGCTCTAAGGCATCGTGGAATACCCTCTTCACTGCCGGGCAGCCGAGTGATCGCTCCCCCCAGAGATTATTTCCTTTTAATTCTCACTTTCATGAATAACAATGTCTGTGTCTGGGGAGTGGTTAGTGCTAGAATATAGATAAAAATGCTTTCATGACGGGCTCAATAGATTTAATATTACTTATCCTTTTTGTAAAAAAAATAAATAGCCATTGCATCCTCATTGCATGTAAGCTTTGCATTTTGCCTCCGTGTCCATCCATGCCATTCTTCAGGGATTTGTTATGACTCTATTACCTCAGCAGAACAGCGTTCAAGGACACGTAGTGCAGAATAAATGACTTCTCTGTCCTGATCTCGCCTCCCATCGTACAGCATGGAAACCATTTAACAAGCGGGTTATGTGCTGCTCCTGGCATTTGGATCAGGTGGTTTTCTATTACATAGATATTTTATCTGTAAATTCAATCACTGAGTTTTCTGGAATTTGTACAAGTCGTTGGAGAATTTGGAAAGAGTCAGCTGTTTCCTACATTTTACTTTTCTACAAGGCCAACAGGCAATGCTGTGCTGAATACATAGAGTAAAGAAATAACTAAAGTTGTTTTGAAAGTGGGGAATAGTACAGTGAAGATATTATGATTATTTTTTTACAATTTTGATTTGTAAGCGGTTTACTACTAGAAAGACAATACATTTTCAAAGGATAAATAGATAATAAATGAACACTGGAAAGACCAGTCTAAATAAAAAAACCATATTCAGGTCAGCGACCTGCTTCGAGCTTATTTCTGACAATAAAACACATTGGAGGGCTTTCCTCTCTAACGCATCAAATTGAAAGTAGACATAGAACACCCCATCATTGGAAAATACACTGACTCTACAACTGTGAAGAGGTGTCTTATTTGTCTCATCATTAAAACTTGCGACCATTCTTCGCTCAGGGAGCCAGCTATGAATTTATGGCCTGAGGAAAAACTCGTTCAGAGAAGTAAACCTATGACATTTTAAATGGTGACCAAAAAGGGGAGGAGAAGAGGGGGAAAAATGGGGTGGTATTGAAGTGGAGGATGGAGGAACTACCCTGAAGTTAAGCATTGTGAATCCAAATGCGTCAATGTTGTCATTTTGGACCATTCTTTGACAGTTCCATCTGAAGTGATTCCTCCCATTGAGACTTATAAACGGTATGTGGTCTGTCTGGAATAAGCTCACTAAGTGCAACTAGGAGTCAGTGTCTGCAAGTGAAAGTGATGTATAGGTGATCCTCGTTTTGCGACCTATCTGCTTTACAACGGCTTGCACTTACGACAAGCTCTCTCGCTGGGTTGTAAGTGTGAGCCGTCGTGGAAATTAGAGGGATTCCCTGCTCTGCTGCGTTCGTATATGTTCAGGGACTTTTCCCCCGAACATAGAAGAATGCAGCAGAGCAGGGAATCACTTAACTCCTCACTTACCGACCAATTTGTTCTACAACCAGGTCGTAGGAACTGAACCCGGTCGGTAAGTTAGGAGTGTCTGTATAAATATTAGCCCTTACCTAGGAATCCCAGGGCACCACATTCCAATCCAGCTGCGAATGCGGGGTTGCCAGTCCTGTGTGACTCACTCAAAACACACAAAGTGAAAATATAGTTAAAAAGTGAGAGCACTCAGTACATCTATAAATTACCACAATGTTGTAGTGGTATCTAGAAATACAAAAAATAAATAAATCATAGGGTAATACAGTTAAACACAGTATATAAATGTACACTCTCTACTGGTCCAACTCACATGATTTTGAGCTACTTAAAAAAAGCTGGCTCAGACTAGTAACTTCAAATGGATGATGCAGTGGATGTCTTTTTTGGGTCTTGATATTTATATTGCCAATCTTTGCTTTCCCGGTACTTCACCACATTAAATGCAGGATGTTGGTGATCAAAACACGGTTTATTTAACAAACAAATAAAATAAGACCTTGTACGAAACATAGTCCACTTAACACGTTTCAGCTAATTGCCTTCATCAAAAATTTGATTCTGCTATCCTCCCCTTTTTAAATGTTAGATTTGGCACGTTTTCCCTAATCGGCACTTGCGGTTACGGTACGTGGTTCCGCTTTTGTCATCTTTCATCGTCCAGGAGATTGTTTTTATTCATCCTTATACGATATATATGTCAGTGTATTAGTGCTGGCATCAGAGTTCATCTTATCTTCCATATTGTTAGGCGGCTTCAAAACCGCCATTTTATTGAAGTCCATTTGTAACATCATATTACCAAAAAGATAGCAGTGGAAAAACATATTAATTCAAAACATTTATAAAATCTGTATTCTCACAGGTAGGTATTCCTCAAATGTCTACATTTACAAATATCCTTATGATTACTAAAAGAAATTAAAGGTAGAGTATATAAATAATTCCTTTATATATAATCTAAAACCTGCAAGATTTATTTAACTTAACCCCTTAAGGAACAAACTTCAGGAATAAAAGGGAATCATGACATGTCACACATGTCATGTGTCCTTAACGGGTTAATATCAATTGCCCCCCCCAAAAAAGAAATATCACAAAGGAAACTAAATATTAAAAAAATCTGTATAAAAGAGGAAAAAGTTTAAAATTTAAAATACATAATTCATATAAAAGAGTTAGTTTGGCAGTCATGTCCTTTAACCAAACTGTCAAAGATATTTGATTTTGTTTCATCTCCCGCTCTAGTGTGGGCCATGTCCCGTGTGGGCCATGTCCCGTGGGAGTCATTGTTGTGACATTAAACCGGGCCAAGTGAGCAACCATTTAATAGTTTGCAAAGAAGGTAGACAGAGTCCACCATCCTGCTTGGAACGTACAAGTTGTTCCATTCTTGAATACACATCCAGAGATGCCAAATATGCCTTGGGTAAACATTATAGGTTTTTATTTTTTATTTTTTACCCCACTCCCTCTAGCTTGTATAGTCATAGACTGTAAGCTCGTTTGAGCAGGGTCCTCTTCAACCTATTGTTTCTGTAGGTTTTCTTGTAATTGTCCTATTTATAGTTAAATCCCTCCTCTCATAATATTGTAAAGCGCTACGGAATCTGTTGGCGCTTTATAAATGGCGATAATTGAGCAGGGCCCTCAACCCCCTCTGTTACTGAGCGTCCAACTTGTTACAATTACATGTTTGTTAGTCCACCCATTGTACAGCGCTGAGAAGGATTATATGGCCGATTAGTGAGAATTAAGGGGTGGTCAAGTTTTTCATGTCTGTTGAAAAGCTGTTGAGCTGTTAAATTGATGCAGGTTTAAGTCCCTTGGGATTCAAATGATTAGGTATTTCAGTTTGTTCTGACACCATTTAAATGGGGTTTCCAAATCCCCTAGTAGCCTTTAGATGTTTGTCTTGGACTTATCCAAATTCAGTTTGTAAAGTCTTCACATCTGAAGGTGTCCAGCTCCTTCAGTAGGGTAGGAGTGAAGATCTGGGTTTGCTCTATGTAAATATAAGATCATTGCCATAAGCTGAAAGAAATATGACAATTTGTGCTCGAAGTGCAATAATCCCAGTGCACAGTAATGGTCATTGTGCTGGGGTCCTCTGGTGCTGTCACATGAGCCATCCAACCATTTAAAACGTACATGTCTTTGTCACCTGCCCACAGTCTTTGTAATCTGCAGTGATATTCTAAAGTGCAAATTTGTATTTCTTCATTAGCAGTATCCATTTTGTGCAACTTTGCCCTTTATTCATTAGTTAAGAGTGTCTGCTGGCATGCCATAGTGGATTTATAATGATACCATAGGTAAAGCAAACTCTTTGTGCAGGGGTTATACAGTCATGGAAAAAAAGTACAATCTTTACTTGTACTTGCCAGTTGCTATGAGGTGTTGGCGCTGTGCATTATGGCCAAACATCTCCACTTTAGTCTCATCTGTCCATAGGACTTTGCTCCAGAAGTCTTGGGGTTTTTTCAGATGCAGCTTTGCAAACCTAAGCCATGCTGCCATGTACCTTTTAGAGAGAAGAGGCTTTCTCCCGGACACCCTTCCAAACAAAACATACTGGTTCAGTCTTTTTCGAATTGTACTGTCGTGAACCTTAAATTTTAACATGCTAACTGAGGCTTGTAGAGTCTGAGATGTAACTCTTGGGTTTTTGCAGTCTCTCTGATCATTGCACAGCCTGATCTTTGGGTGACCTTGATGGGACGTCCAATCCTGGGAAGATTGACATCTGTCTTGAATATTTACCACTTTTGAATAATCTTTCTCACTGTAGACTGATGGACTTTAAATATTTGGCTTTATATATTTTAAAAAGCCTATTTTTGCATTATAAACACCCACGGCAGTAGGTAATTGTTCATTGTGAAGATTACAGCTATAACCCTGTTTAATGCATTCCTCATTCTCTGGATTCTTGGAAGCTGTTTAAGTAGATTGACTTAATGGCTTTTGAACTATTGTTGCTTTTCCTCTAATCTTTATTGTTGCTGAAGATAACTTGTTTAGTAGAAATCTATTTTTATCTCTCACACAGTCTTTGCACAGGATTATTCAAGTGCAACATCCTGAATGCAGATTGCCACCCTCTGAGACTTTATCATTCATTCACTAAACAGGGAATTGAGGGTTTTAACTATAGGACAGTTACAAGAAAACTTACAGGAACGACAGGTTAAAGGGGGCCCTGCTCAAACGAGCTTACAGTCTATAGGAGGTGGGGTGTAAAACACATTAGGACAGGAAATAGCCATCAAATAAGGTGGGAGTGAAGCAGAGCTGGGAAGGGGGGGGGAGAGAGAGCGCAAGAGACAGGTGTGTAAGGTAGCGGTTACTCTGGAAGGCCATAATCTTTCCTAAAGAAATTAGTTTTAAGGCACTTCTTAAATGATTATATACTAGTCTGGTGGTAGGCAGACTATTCCATAGGAAGTGTGCCACCTATGAGAAGTCCTGCAAGCGTGAGTTGGCTGTACGGGTGAGAGCAGCAGACAGGAGAAGGTTACGGGCAGAGCGGAGAGACTGAGAAGGGGCATACCTATAGTTCTGTGATGAGATATGAGGGGCTAGAATTGTTCAATGCTTTGTAAGTGTGGATTAGTACTTTGAATTGACTCCTATAGGATACAGGAAGCCAATGTAAGGACTGACAGAGGGGCAAGGTGTGAGAGGACCGACTAGAGCGTAAAATCAGTCTGGCGAGGGCCAATACAGCTTTTGGAAGATCAATCAGGAGAGGGTTACAATTGTCCCATGCGGGAACTTACTAGAGCATGGACAAGCTCCTTGGTAGCATCTTGTTTAAGAAAGGGCCGGATGCGGGCTATGTTCTTAATATGGAATCTACAGGATTTGGCAACATACTGGATGTGAGGCTCAAAGGGGAGGTGGTGAGTCAAGTATGACGCCAAGACAGCGCGCTTGCAAGGATGGACTTTAATGGATGCCACTAACTTGAAGCGAGAGCGAAAGAGGTGGATCAGTATTTGGAGGAGGAAAGACAAGGAGTTCATTTTGGAGAGATTGAGTTTCAGAAAGCGGGAGGACATCCAGTCAGGGATAGATCGCAGAAGCCAGATTGAAGAGGGTGAAGGAGAGAGTTGGAATTGAGGAAGCGAGACACACCGACAAAGACAAGTCTTTCCAGAAGTTTTGAGGGAAAAAGGGAGCAGGGAGATGGGACAATAGTTAGAGGGGGAGGACGGGTCAAGAGATTTATTTATTTTTTTGCAGGAGAAGTACTACAGTGGCATGTTGAAGGTCAGCAGGGACAACGCCAGAAGAGAGAAAGCTGTTGAGGAAGGCACAAGACAAGGGGAGAGAGAGTACAGGATCAAGCAGGCAAGTGGTGGGGCGAGAGGAAAGAAGCACAGCCACCTCTTGTTCAGTAGCCGGGGAAAAAGCCTGAAGGGTAGGAAAGGCACGTGTGGTTGAGAAAGAGAACGGCAAGGTGGGGAGAATTCTTTCCTTAGCTGTTCAATCATGTTGGTAAAGTAGCATGCAAAGCTACAAGGTTAGTTTGAGGGGTGGCCAAAGCAGGGCGAAGAAGAGAGTTAAAGGTGTCAAAGAGACGCGTGGGATTGCGGGATCATGAACTAATGAGAGAGGAAAAGTATGACTGTTTGGCAAGGGCTGTGCTGTATGAACATAATATGAATCTATAATGGAGAAAGTCTGACTAGGTGTGAGACTTCCTCCAGGAGCATCTTTGCAGGTAGCGTGTTGATTTAGTATGCCACGGTTGGGGGATTGTCCTCTTCGAGGTGCATGTTTGGAGCGGGGCTGCAGCATTCAAGGCTGAGGTGAGGGTAGTGTTATATGTGGAGATGGCCAGTGAAGGAGAGGGAAGGGATGGATAGCAGTTGTGAATAAATATTAGCTGACAGCTGCTAGAGGTCACATAGAATTAAGGTTCCTCCTGAGTTGAGGGGGGTTAGCCTGAGGATGTTGGGTGAGGGGGTACTTGAGAGCAAACTATAAGATTCAAAGGGTACTTGTCATGACTAATACAACTTAGTTACTTAAACCCTTTAACCATTTCTAATATATATTTAATGTTAATACTAATGTCCTACTGGGCATTAGAAAGTAGGCCTAGCCTTTTTTAAACATGTGAGGGGGAACAAAACAGAAATTTAATGCTGGGTGAAGCTCTCTCCACCATTATCCACTTCCATTGGTGTTTAGAAATACTTTTTTTATACTTCGATTCCGTAGAGGTCAATGTTTCATTTCAGTTCTGTTTCTGTACTGCCACCAGGACAATAATAGCATAGAAATCACAAAACCAGTAACTGTGTGTAATTGAAGTTTGTTGTTTTTTTGTTTGTTTTTTCTTCTTCTCTAAAAAATCCTTAGACACAACTGGGGGTTCTTGAGGACTGGGTTGGGAACCATTGCCTTAGATCATTACATCTGTCGCCAGCGAGCTGACCGACATAATGTTAGCACATAATTGACTATAGGCTGTGAACTAGTATCTGGCACTAAAGTGATTATATCAAGCTAAAATTCTGCACGTACAGATTAATATCACCATGACCGCTTCAAATCACTGAAGTGGTCATGGTGTTTGGAGTAACTTTTTAATCTTAAATGATGGAGAATCAATTCTCATCCATACATCGTACTAGAAAAATTTCCAGATTTCTCTAAAATTAGCTTGGCTTTACTATGATTAGGGAATTCCTCCTCTGGACGTCTCTCCTGCTTTCCTTCAGCCTAAGAGAAAGGGGTATCTGCAAGGTGAAGTTGGGAGGAGAGGCAGGCTCTGTGTATTAGCAGTCTGAAGAGAGGTAAGAAACGGCCAGAATGATCTGATGCTGCATCTTTGCACAGGCAATCTGAGTTTGGAGAGAGAGAATGGATATGTTTTATTTACACAAAGTCAACATAAAGTGCTGGGGACTGGGACTTTCAACCTGTTATGGCAAGTCCATGCTTCCCAAACAGGAGTATATAGGAGAGGTGTGTCCTACAGTACCTGCAACACCTTCTTCTGAAAACTTGATTAAAAGACCACTATAGTGCCAGGAAAACATACTCGTTTTCCTGGCACTATAGTGCACTGAGAGTCCCCCTCCCGCCGGGCTGGATGGAAAAGAAGGAGTTAAACTTAAATCTTTCTCCAGCGCCGGGTGGGGAGCTCTCCTCCTCCTCTCCGGCTGAATGTGCATGCACGGCAAGAGCCACGTGCGCATTCAGCCAGTCCATAGGAAAGCATTGTCAATGCTTTCCTATGGACGCAAGCGTCTTCTCACTGTGAAAATCACCGTGAGACGCGCCAAAGCCATCTAGCGGCTGTCAAGGAGTCAGCCACTAGAGGCTGGATTAACCCATAGGTAAACATAGCAGTTTCTCTGAAACTGCTATGTTTACAGAAAAAAGGTCCTATCTGGACCTGGCACCCAGACCGGTCTGGGTGCCTATAGTGGTCCTTTAATGCTCTCCGCAGGAGACAATGTTAATACTATAGATGAAACACCTGTACACCTGGATAGTATTATGGGGACCTATGTCTCCAGTATAATATAAGGTAACCTCATGACAAATGCCGCAATACTACAGAACGGCCCAATTAGACTGGACAAATGCACCATACCCACTGTGACCATAGGGTGCTGACCTTTGCGAGTTCTACCTAAAGCACTATGTATGGTTTATTAGCAATGCTAATACTGTTATCTGTATTTCCGTAAGACCTGTGTGTCTCTCACATTATCTATATATTAGAATGTTGTAACCGTTATGATGACACTAATAAAGCTCATTTGAATAAATGTTAATAAAAATTAAACTAAAGTATGTGTTTATAAACATGTTGGAAAAATCACTTAATCGAATAATAAAAACTGCAAATATAAATAAAAAAGTTTCTTCTTTTTACCCATTCTTACTTTAATTTGATTATATTTTTAATTTGTTCAATGAAGTAATTGACTCTTGTGTAACAATATATATCAATTCTTGTCCTTCCAGCTATTGTAGTACATTAAGTTTGTACAGCTAATGAAGATGTAGACATGCTTATTTGCATTAGTGCTTAAATTAAAGTGGAACGAAAACCAGTTAAGTCCAAATGAATGCCATCTGTACATAGTCTGTTTGCTTATACCTGTTTTCTCTCTTCACAGTTGAAATGCAGTTTCTTCAGCCACCCAGTGCCCCACTTTTGTAGATCATCTCGTCTCCCTCGTGCCCTTTTTTTTGTAAAAGTGTACCTGCACCTCAAGAAACCTGGAGAGGGGCTGGCGAGGCATCACAACCTGGAACAATTTAAGGCCACAGGAGGGTGGGCTCTCTTAAGATGTCCTTGAGTAGTGGCGCACCAGGAGGGAAAGGTCTGGACTCAAATTCTGTGGAGACCTACGATAGTGGCGATGAATGGGACATCGGAGTTGGCAATCTGATCATTGATTTGGATGCCGATCTAGAGAAGGACCAACAGAAGCTTGAGATGTCCGGCTCTAAGGAGGTGGGCCTGCCAGCCCCCAATGCAGTGGCAACTCTACCTGACAATATTAAGTTTGTGACGCCAGTGCCAAGTGGCCAAAGCAAGGAGTCAAAATCTAAATCTAAGCGGAGTAAAAGCAGCAAAGATGGAGGCAGGAGCAGCCAGGCCCCTGGACTATTCCCAGTAGGAGAAGCCAGTAAAAAGGAAGTAGCAGGACGTTCTGTAGAGGTTGGGGGTAATTCTGGAGCACCCTCATCCACAGTGACTTCTAAAAGTAGTGAAAAGTCTGGAAAGTCCTCCCGCAGCTCATCTAGCTCCAAAAAAGAGAGTGGAAAAACTAAAAAGGACAAATGTGAGGTTGCAGTGAGTGGTGGAGAAAAGGAGTCTACTGGAGTTCTCCAACAGGCCTCCGGAGTGGGGAGTAGAGGAGTCTCAATGCAGGAAGCAGTGGTGGCATCAGTGGAACAGTTGGGAGGGGGTATGGCGGTTGACAGTGGTAGTTCCCTGAATGTGGCAGGGATTAAAACAGAACCCGAGGACCCTGAAACGGACAGTCGTGGATTGAAGAAGGTGAAAGCAGAGATGGTAAGTTGTTAAACTTGATTAATTTTCTACATAAGAAATAAAGGTTCAAGTTATATGTAGAATATGCAGTTAATAAATTTCCCAGTTAATGGTGGTAAGGATATGCAAGTGTTAAAGACGTTGTTTCATTGAAGCTGTAAGTAGAAGTAATCTAAACGAAAATACAGTTACTCACTTTCTATCCACCTCAGTCTTCATCAGCGCTGTTTCCTTGTATAATGTCATCCTGGACCCATGCCTTCACAGGTTTATTCCAATGTTCCTCATGGAGAATGGGGGGCCATAAGAACATGCAATGCCCTTGCCACGATGCACCTAGAATTCTGCCATAGAGAATTTGCCATAGAGAATCAAGGCTTGGAGGTGTGTCTTGAAGTCGCTCTTCCAAGCCTTCTAATTAGTGAGCCATTTAAATTTGAGGCCAGTAGGGTGGGAGGAACAGCCGTAGGCAGAATAAAACAATATATAGCAGACCCATAAAATAAGTAAGCTGCTGAATCCTGGCCCTACTTCTGTTTTAAGCATCACAATATAGGGAACCATAACCTGTGCAAAGATAATATTTTGTTATATGTCCGCATCCCTTGAAAGTACAATGTATCCTAGCTCCTGACTCTGTCCTCTCTTGGTTTTCCTCCTATCTCTCCCAACGCTCATTCAGTGTCTCCTTTTCCAAGGACACCCCCTCCCCTCGTCCTGTCTCGGTTGGAGTTCCCCAAGGGTCTGTCCTTGGTCCCCTTCTATTTTCTCTTTATACTGCCTCTCTTGGTAAACTTATTGCCTCCTTTTGGATTCCACTACCACCTGTACGCTGATGACACTCAGATATACCTCTCCTCCCCGGACCTCTCCCCTGCCGTCCTGCAACGTGTCACTGCTTGCCTTTCTTCCATCTCTGACTGGATGTCCTCACGCTTTCTGAAACTTAACCTCTCTAAAACTGAACTCCTTGTCTTTCCTCCTCCTAATACTGATCCTCCTCTCTCGCTCTCCCTTCAAGTCAGTGATATCCACATAAGTCCATCCCTGCAAGCGCGCTGTCTTGGCGTCATACTTGACTCTGGTCTCACCTTTGAGTCTCACATCCAGTTTGTTGCCAAGTCCTGTAGGTTCCAACTCAAAAACATAGCCCGCATTCGCCCCTTTCTTACGCAAGATGCTACCAAGGAGCTTGTCCATGCTCTAGTAATTTCCCGCATGGATTACTGTAACCCTCTCCTGATTGGTCTCCCCAAAAGCCGTATTGCCCCGCTACAGTCTGTAATGAATGCTGCAGCTAGACTGATTTTCCTCTCTAGTCGGTCCTCTCACACCTCACCCCTCTGCCAGTCCTTACATTGGCTCCCTGTATGCTATAGGAGTCAATTCAAAGTGCTAACCCATACATTTAAAGCACTGAACAATTCTAGCCCCACTTATATCTCTTCACTAATCCATAGATATGCCCCTCCTCGTACCCTCCGCTCTGCCCGTGACCACCTCCTGACCGCTGCTCGCACCCGTACGGCCAACTCGCGCTTGCAGGACCTCTCGCGGGCGGCTCCTCTCCTATGGAATAGCTTGCCTACTGCCATCAGACTCTCCCCTAGTCTTCAATCATTTAAGAAGGGCCTTAAAACCCATCTCTTCAGGAAAGCTTATGGCTTCCCAGAGTAATCTCTACCTTACATACCTGTCTCCTGCTCTCTCCTATGGGACAGTGCTTTGCTCTCTCCTCCAGCTCTGCTTCACTCCTACTTGATATTCCATGTCCTAATGTTTCGAATACCCTACCTCCTATAGTCTGTAAGCTCGTTTGAGCAGGGTCCTCTTCAACCTATTGTTCCTGTAAGTTTTCTTGTAATTGTCCTATTTATTGTTACATCCCCCCTCTCAAAATATTGTAAAGCGCTACGGAATCTGTTGGCGCTATATAAATGGCAATAATAATAATAATAATAATAAATAAACTCTCTGTGTAGTAATGAGTGACTGGCAGCTCACATGCAGGGGGCAAAATGGCATCTATTCTTTTTCCCTTATTCTTTTTACCTAGTCTTGATTACTTTTGCTCTGATGTCTTATTCACTGTTGAAATGTGCAAACATGCTGTTGCCAAGTCTTGTTCTGATCACGTCTCCACTCCTGTTACTAGGGCCTATTTACATGCTTGTAATCGGGAGAGAAGGGAACTGCTCATGTAAAATTAATTCTAGTATGTTATTATCAAAACTCAATAATCTGTATTCAGTGAATGCATATATATATATAATCTATTGGGAAATAGTACTTAATGTTTACATTGATACGCAGCAGTTGTTAACGGTTGCCACTGCAGTTATGGCCATGATTTGTAGACCTTTCTCGTAGACCTTTCTCAGGTTGTTTAAGCGTCATTGGAAACGAGGATACATTGTGATTGGTTAGCGCTCGCTGCTTTATTTGTATCTCCATGTATGGTCTTCTAGATATATATCGTTTTTTTTTTTTTTTCTTTTTCTTTTTGGTATGTTTATCATTTAAAACAAACACAGAAAGGTTGTTGGCTAATCAGTGAGAATTTAAGAAGGTATTTCAAAACAAACACAACTCTTCAGATAATATTACTGAGCTGGTACTTATTAAAGTTGTCTAATTTCCTGTAAGCATTGTCCATGCCGAGTAGTACGAAGTACCCAGTAACATGTATGCACTTACTACTTTGCCACGAGCTCCATCACGCCATCAAGTCGCAGGATCTTTGAACAGCAATTCATGTTTCTATCCTAGTAGCTTCCATTTACAGGGAGCACAGAGGTCTGCAACAGATGTGGGGAATGTATGGGTTCCTCCCCATTCTCCCCCCCTCCCCTCCCCATCTCTCTTTACATGCAGACATCAGTTTTCAAATATCAAGATCGGGAGTCCAGTAGGTAAATTGGCTTTGCTTTATTCAGAGCTAGCAACTGGTTCACGTATCCACACATTGTGTTTCTATTGTCAGTGTTCTACTAGCCCGTGGATCAGTAGCATGACATTGGCACAAAGGATGCCAGACCCAGACATGCTAGGGAGGTCTGAGGGTCTCCTCCGGAGCTGGCTTAAACAAGATACCTGACCTTTACCTCTACCTGGTCTTCTCGGTCCCTGTTGGACTCCAGGGAAGCCACACTACCGCTGCTAAATGGTGAGCAAAATAAGTGGATAACAATAACTGCATTGTTAATGTATGGGTATAGTATTCTGTGTGTGTCTAGCCATATATGTGCCCTGACAGTGTACATTGGAGGAGTACCACAATATGCTGAAGCACCCATAGATCAACATACAGTTTAAGGTAAATAGGGCTGGCTCTCCAAGGACTTCAAAGTCTTGCTTTGGCACTGCTGCTGCTGAAATTTTGGCTAGTCCTTCACTAGTGGATGTGGTGAGAAGTGGAAGAACATGGCATCGGAAAGATTAACACTTATTGTTTTGACCTTTCCCAGATATAGAGCGGTGTGGTTTCTGGTTTGTTTGAGATGTGACTGCTTTTATTTAAGCATATTCATGTTTAATCTACACGGTATACATTAGAAGCTCAAAGTGGAATCGCTTTCCAAACCTGCTGCTAATGGGCACAAGCATGCATCCTTCCCTGCCATGTTGTTCTAGCAGTTAATGAGGCAGAGGCATTAGAGTCTTTTTTTTCCCACGAGGTCTGAGCACTGTGTTAGAGGGATACAGCATCAAAGGATCCTCTCCAGCTTCACACAAACGCCTGACATTCCCACTTTGTAGCTGCTGACAGACCCCTGGCCGCCTGCCACGTTTACCTCCTCTCTCCCGCCTCTTTAATACACCCAAGGCAGACGAGGGCGGGTGCGATGTAGCATAGTGAGCGTGAAGCCAGTAAAAGGGTAATTTCCACAGACCCAACGTACAGCACTTGTCAGCAGCTAAGGAGAACGACAGGGAGGGGGTAGATGCCAAAGAGACAGATGAGAGCTGGCAGCAAAGCCAGATGTCATCCACGGTCATGTAGCCGCACTAATAAAAGTGTGAGACAGTTTTTCAGTCCCCCCCCCCCCCTGTATTAAAGATCCCTTGGGGAGCGGAAGAGTGTTCCTGTATAAAACTGTCTGTCAGGAGCTTCAAGAAGAATTAAAAGCTGATGCCTGAAAAAAGACTGGCAAATGCCTTGTGTGCCCCCTAATTATCTTATAGTGAGTGGGATTTTTGTAACGGGCATTTTCCTTTAATGTTCTGCGTACATTTACATACACATTACTGTAAATCCCTGGAGAGGGCTATTTAGAGATAAAGTCCTATACTGCACCGTTTTACAAGCTCACTCTGTCCATATTGATTATTGTTACATTTGGTTTTAAATAAATTTTTGGATATCCATATGTTTTTAATGCTGTAGATTTAGACGTGCAACTCCAGCCCCCACGTATTGATATATGACTCTAGCGGAGATGGTGACTGTCCACAACAGCAAAATTTTAGGTTAACACGGCCAAACTAAATACAGAGGTGGCATGGAATAGATTTGGTTTTCTTTCCCAGTTTAACTACTGTGGCCTAAAATTTTAGATTCACTTAAAATTCCAAAGAGTTCACCCCATTGAGATTAAGTTTCGTAGTGACATCTTTTAAAATATCTATATATGCATGTCTAAAAGTGTATATTTCATCCTTCATTGATTACCTACATTTTGTATATCTTCGATAGGAGTTACACACAATAAAAAATAGCATTTTTAATAAAATCTTCTTTCTATATATTGATTGTGCTTGTTCTGAGTGACACTCTATGGCCTCATTTATTTCACAATAGCTCTGCCTTTGCTTTCATGGCCGGTTGATGATGATTGGTCACTCCATTTCCAAGAGAGGTCATTTTATCTAACATTCATTTAAAACTCCTTTCTTGGTAGTTCCTTTTCAGGCAGCAATGCTTGAATTTTTCTATTCAATATCCACTGACCACGCGTGCATCACCCTGAATGCATCTATCTGGGATCTCTGATCCAAGGTCCTTGTTAACCACAACATATGTGACAATATTTGCCCTAATTTGACAATGATGATGAGGACTATAGCAAACACCATGCAGAAGCTTGAATTTTAACATATTCTGCTTGCTTCAGGATTCACTTATCTCTGATTCCTGGTTTCTAAGGAATGCTGCATATCCATGCAACACAAAATCAGCAGGGAAAAGATCCGTTTAAAGTGTCTGAGATCCTGCCGTCAGAATGGTGGATAAGTGCCAGGGAATTATTTGAGGTAGCAACCGTTTCGAAACACGGGGCCAGGCAACTGACAGCAGCCATATGTAGTGAGGTGTAGAAGAGCTCCTGCGAGAGAGAGACGTCTTCAGGAACAGAGGCACAAATTATGAAATAAATATCACCCACAGGTAAGACTGTATCGTACTTCCAAAAGTACCATTGGGGGTCTCCAAGACCAGACCTCCAAGTGCCACCTTTGGTCGCAATAATCTTGCGTTTCATACACCTGATGTGGACACAACCAGGAATGTCAAACTGAATAGTTTTGGTCTCCCCATCTCTAATTGGGAATTATTCTCTAATGATATTGACTTTTTTCCCTTGTGAAATGCTGATTAGGTGGGGCACTATGACGTGGGATCTTGGGAGGAACACAAAGCATGCAATCAAATGATGTAGGTCAATTATAAGGTTCCGTACACTATAGTGTACGTTTGGACGCTCTACTAAAAGAATTGTGGCCTTTACATTGTCTAAAACCTTTTCTGTGTATCAACACTACCATATTGTAATATTTCTGCAGTTTGTACGCAGCTATTGAATATATGATTAATGCTGTAGTGGTAGGATTTGCACTTGCTCGTGCTGGGTATGTGAAGCACATCTGCAATTCTCATTAGTCTGTAGAGTAAGTGCCTCGCAGGGCTCGATGCGTTCAGAATGTAATTTACAGCTCCAGCTCAGCAGACACATTGTAAAACCGCGGAATCCAGCAACAGGAGTGGATATAAAAAAAGCTTCTCTAAATCCTGGGCTATGTATAGGCTCTTGCTGTATTTCTGGGTGTGCATAGCTACGCTCCTTTACATTTCACTATTAATAGCAAATGGCCCTTAATTGTGAACTGGCTTTCTATTTTCAGCTCCATTAAAATATTTTAAAAATAAGTTTATAGTTGCAGTTGTGCAAAATGAATGTCTTTTTTTTTAAAAAAGAAATGTTTTTCTCTGCGTGATTGAGCTGTTCTTTGTTTGCTCAATGATAATATAATGCCGATCGATGCCAAGCACTTTGTGGCATTCTTATAAAAGCAAACAGAGCCATGTTTTGCACATTGATATAAATGTATCTTTCAAAGGTATTGCTTAATGACATGCCTGCACCAGCTGACGTCTTACATTTCTGGGGGTGCGTTGAACAAATTGTTTAATTATTTCAGTCTCCTCAATGATGTTGGTTACATTGTACGTGGTAACATTCCACCCTCGGTGCTAAATATATTTAGACATAAGTTAGAGATTAAATGAGATCCCTTCTTTGAAGTTGCAAGACCAAATATCTGCTAGTGGTCTTTTTTTACCCCTAACAGAAAGCTACAAAAACTGAAAGGTTCTCTGCAGAAAAAATAAAACCGTTTGACAGCACACACTTCCTAGTTGTAACTTTAATAAATCTACTGACAATTAGGGAGGTTTATAAAGCAGTATATAGTGAAATGTGGTGCAGGAGTCACTGGTTTCCATGGTGATTTCCCTACTTTTAGTTCTTTTAAATATTCTGTTGATAAATCTTCCCCAATATCTCAGAATGTCATATTCTTTAATGGGTGTTTCTATTGTATTTTAGATTAAACGACTGTAGAGCAATATCTTTTTTTGAGTTCTTAAAATCTTATTGGGGGCGGGGCCTAACCGCTGAAGCGACATGACACTAACCTGTGCAGCTCCTGCTTAATCGGTTTTCAGCCATAAAAAAGCGACACAATCGTCTCAGAAAGGCCACCAGGCGGAAGGTGACACGGAGAGGCACAGGATTGTGCCACACAAGCGACCTGTGCAGCCCAACTCACCCGCTCCTCCTGCATGGCCTAATCGCATGATCGGCGCAAGGGAGACGGCCGCTCCCCTGCTGACATCCACGGCAGACAGACCGAAACAAGGCCCACGTAAAGAGCAACTAGCTCTGTTCTATGCATGTCTAGCCTAGCAAGTTATACTACAAATCCCTGGACGACCTTTTCAGGAAGGTGGAACTTGCACAGTTTTTTTTTAATTTATTTTTTAAAAGACCTTACAAGAACCAAAATGCCTAGACAGTCAATATGCTAGACTAAACCAAGTGTGATAACCCCCTTGCAGAATGAAATTAATACAGTCACATGGTGAGCACATAATTGGAAAGTAGAATCAGGTTATCAGATCAGGTTGTCTAATTGAATGATATTTTCATGTAATATAAAAAATGTGCCGTCTAACCTGCCACGCTTTGTAATGTTATGGAAATGCTTGTAGAAGCTGTCGTGGCTCTACACGCTTGTTGTTAAACTATGCACAAGAAAAATAAAGAATTTAAAAAAAAAAAAAAATTAAAAAAATCTTGATGTAGAATTCTAGAATTCCTAAACCTCATTCTGAAGTTTGGCCCTAGTCTCCATTAATTGTCAAACTGTGGTCCATAGGAGCTTATATGGTGACTTTTATTAAAACCATTGTGCCATTAGAGAAACTGTGCATGGAGTAGAATATCTGTGCATTAGAGAACAGTGTGTGTAAACTATAACAAAGCACAGACAAAACATATTTATATTTATTTATATATATATATCTATATCTCTATAACACACACACACACAGTAATTGCTGCACCATTAGTGTTCATCGTTCTTTCCTCTCTTTAGCACAATGGGATGCTGGGAGGTAATCTGATAACCTGATTCTACTTTCCAATTATGTGCTCACCATGTGACTGTATTAATTTCATTCTGCAAGGGGGTTATCACACTTGGTTTAGTCTAGCATATTGACTGTCTAGGCATTTTGGTTCTTGTAAGGTCTTTTAAAAAATAAATTAAAAAAAAACTGTGCAAGTTCCACCTTCCTGAAAAGGTCGTCCAGGGATTGAATAGTAACTGGCAGTGCTCTTTCTTTATGCCAGCTGTCACTGCACAAATGTATACAGTGTCTGGATGTGACTCCAGTAGGTGTTTGTTGGAGAGATTTAGTGCTGTGTGATGGTGTTTAGGGGTAACAGTTCTCTGTGGGGTTTATGGATAGCGGTGCTGTGTGATGGTGTTGATGGTAGCGGTGCTGTGTGATGGTGTCTGGGGTAGCGGTGCTGTGTGATGGTGTCTGGGGTAGCGGCGCTGTGTGATGGTGTCTGGGGTAGCGGCGCTGTGTGATGGTGTTTGGGGTAGCGGTGCTGTGTGATGGTGTTTGGGGTAGCGGTGCTGTGTGATGGTGTTTGGGAGCGGTGCTGTGTGATGGTGTTTGGGATAGCGGTGCTGTGTGATGGTGTTTGGGGTAGCGGTGCTGTGTGATGGTGTTTGGGGTAGCGGTGCTGTGTGATGGTGTTTATGATAGCGGTGCTGTGTGATGGTGTTTGCGTTAGCTGTGCTGTGTGGTGGTGTTTATGATAGCGGTGCTGTGTGATGGTGTTTATGGATAGCGGTGCTGTGTGATGGTGTTTATGGATAGCGGTGCTGTGTTATGGTGTTTATGATAGCGGTGCTGTGATGGTGTTTATGGATAGCGGTGCTGTGTGATGGTGTTTATGGATAGCGGTGCTGTGTGATGGTGTTTATGATAGCAGTGCTGTGTGATGGTGGTTGCGTTAGCGGTGCTGTGTGATGGTGTTTGCGATAGCGGTGCTGTGTGATGGTGGTTGCGGTAGCGGTGCTGTGTGATGATGGTTGCGATAGCGGTGCTGTGTGATGGTTGCGTTAGCGGTGGTGTGTGATGGTGTTTGGGGTAGCGGTGCTGTGTGATGGTGTTTGGGGTAGCGGTGGTGTTTGGGGATACAACATTAGGGTTACTTTTCCCCGTGGAGAATAGCCCCCATGTAGCAGTGTGCCGGGATGGATACACTGTTATTTTATTGGTCATTGTACCACCAGGTGTTGGAGTGGTTCCCAGCAGCCAGAGGCCCCCGAGTGATGGGCAGATAATGATAAATAACAGATTCTGATTGGCTACTGACATCACGTGTTCTTGAGGCAGTTTTATTTTTGTTTAGTTTTAAACTGTCACTGAGGATTTGAAAATTGTTAGAATTCCGACAGTTTCCCTGTGCAGATACTGTGTGAGATCAGCCGGCGGTGGTTACATCAATACAGTAACTGTGTGAGATCAGCCGGCGGTGGTTACAGCGATACAGTAACTGTGTGAGATCAGCGGCATTGGTTACAGCGATACAGTAACTGTGTGAGATCAGCCGGTGGTTACAGCGATACAGTAACTGTGTGAGATCAGCCGGCGGTGGTTACAGCGATACAGTAACTGTGTGAGATCAGCCGGCGGTGGTTACAGCGATACAGTAACTGTGTGAGATCAGCCGGCGGTCTTACAGCGATACAGTAACTGTGTGAGATCAGCCGGCGGTGGTTACAGCGATACAGTAACTGTGTGAGATCAGCCGGCGGTGGTTACAGCGATACAGTAACTGTGTGAGATCAGCCAGCGGTGGTTACAGCGATACAGTAACTGTGTGAGATCAGCCGGCGGTGGTTACAGCGATACAGTAACTGTGTAAGATCAGCCGGCGGTTGTTACATCAATACAGTAACTGTGTGAGATCAGCCGGCGGTTATTACAGCGATACAGTAACTGTGTGAGGTCATCCGGCGGTGGTTACAGCGATACAGTAACTGTGTGAGGTCAGCCGGCGGTGGTTACAGCGATACAGTAACTGTGTGAGGTCAGCCGGCGGTTATTACAGCGATACAGTAACTGTGTGAGGTCAGCCGGCGGTGGTTACAGCGATACAGTAACTGTGTGAGGTCATCCGGCGGTTATTACAGCGATACAGTAACTGTGAGATCAGCCGGCGGTGGTTACAGCGATACAGTAACTGTGTGAGATCAGCCGGCGGTGGTTACAGCGACAGTAACTGTGTGAGATCACCGGCGGTGGTTACATCAATACCGTAACTGTTTGAGATCAGCCGGTGGTGGTTACAGCGATACAGTAACTGTGTGAGATCAGCCGGCGGTGGTTACAGCGATACAGTAACTGTGTGAGATCAGCCGGCGGTGGTTACAGAGATACAGTAACTGTGTGAGATCAGCCAGCGGTGGTTACAGAGATACAGTAACTGTGTGAGATACAGTTACTTCGAGAGATGAGCTGGCGGTTTTTACTTCGAAAGAGTAACCTGGTAATGTTGTTTCTGTTTTAAATTGATCTATGTAATGACAGCTGTACCTTATTGCCCTGTATAATGACTGCCAGACATTGCGTTCAGTGTTATTCACTAAACTATGAATTTTGCAAAAATAAATCCGAATAGAAAAGCCGATGAGGAAAAATTCCCTTTCTGGACTATTTTCGTCGACATTGTGCCATTCTGATTTAAAGGGACACTGTGAAGTGGTCTGGGTGCCGTGTCCCTGTAGTTTTAACCCAACAAATGAAAACTGTGGAGGAACAGCAATGTTAACATTTCTAGGTTTCAGTGTCTCTAGAGCTTGGGTGGGCAACCTTCGGCACACCAGATGTTGTGGACTGCACCTCCCCTGATGCTTTGCCAGCATTATGGTTGTAAGAGAATTATGGGAGATGTAGTGCACATCTGCAGAGGTTGTATATCCCGCTCTAGTAGCTGTTACTCTGACCGACACTAGAGGCGCTACTGCTAAACTACGGTAGATTTTAATCAGTCTCACGAGACCATCTGATTTGCACAGTGCATGCGCACTAGCATTCAATGTTTGCATATAGGAAATCATTGGACTGGTAGAGATAGTAAAGATTCATCTCCGCTAAGGAACTGGTTTGATGGCGAAAAGAGCAGCGTGGTGTGGGAGAACTGGTTAGTAAACTCACTTTTTTTATTTTTATTTTTTTAACCCTTGGTCCTGGCGGTCACTTAAACAGTGACTCTGACACTACAGTATTTCGAAGACACATATTGTATTCGAACGCTATAGTTTAATTTCACAAGAATTGTGTGAAATTCAGTGAATAACCCTGATAGAAGCAAAGAGGTCCTTGGCACCGCATATCTTTCGTGTGTGAATTATCGTGCTGGTTCAGCTAGTATCCTTGTTTCCATGACTCGCAGAGTTCTCTTTTCCCATATTAGATTGTTAATGTGCCTCATCTTTCATTTTTTTTTTTTCCTTTCTTGATCTGTTTCAGCCTCATCCTGCTGGGACAGTTTATACTCTGCTTCTGTCCATGCAGCACTATCCTTCCTAATCAGTGCGCCTTCTGTCATTCTACTGCGTCCCCCTCACTGCTTGTTTTGCTGTTTTCTCCATTCACTGTCTCTGTTTTGATCGTCCATACTTCAGTTTTTTTGTTCAGCTTGTTCGCTCCTGGCTCGCTGTCTGGATGTTGTATATTGCATGCATTTGACTTTTGTCCTGATTTTTCTGCACTGTCTGTGCTGCCATTCCTGCTCAGCCTCCTTACTTTACTCCCTTCTCTAATTGTTTTCCTTGATCTACAGCTTTCTTTCACAGTTTGGTCAATTCTCCACTCTCGCATGTGAGGTTATTCCAAATTTAGGTAACTAACTTTAACATTAAGGTGTTTGTCTGTGAAACACGGTCTATGCTGAAGTAGCGTTGTGATGAGAATTTAATGGCTCTATTCACCACTAAATATACATGCTATTAATGGTAGATGATGGTAAAAGAGTAAATCTGGTTAAATGTCTGGCTTGGGTCAAAATATAATGGTGGTTGGCTTAAAACCGATTTGCATTCAGCAGGTAGAGATGTGCAGGGATTCTATGGTCATATGTATGAGAAGTTACAAGCTACGATACTAAATAGCTTTGTATTTTATATTTTTTACTTCTTTCTTCCTACCTTCATCCGCACCACTTTTCAGGTCTACTTCTAAATATTGGCTTGTTAGTTTTATTCATTTTTTTTTTTTTCCTAAGCATGCTCTCCTCAAAAATTATTCTTTCCCTCAGACCCCACAATGGTGTGAAATCACAATTGAATAAATAACCGCGTGTGTGTGTGTGTGTGTGTGTGTGTATGTATATATATAATATACTGTATCGTGGTTACAGCGATACAATAACTGTGTGAGATTAGCCGGCGGTGGTTACAGCGATACAGTAACTGTGTGAGATCAGCCTGCGGTGGTTACAGCGATACAGTAACTGTGTGAGATCAGCCGGCGGTGGTTACAGCGATACAGTAACTGTGTGAGATCAGCCGGCGGTGGTTACAGCGATACAGTAACTGTGTGAGATCAGCCGGCGGTGGTTACAGCGATACAGTAACTGTGTGAGATCAGCCTGCGGTGGTTACAGCGATACAGTAACTGTGTGAGATCAGCCGGCGGTGGTTACAGCGATACAGTAACTGTGTGAGATCAGCCGGCGGTGGTTACAGCGATACAGTAACTGTGTGAGATCAGCCGGCGGTGGTTACAGCGATACAGTAACTGTGTGAGATCAGCATATATATATAAATAATTTTTTTGGGTTTGTTTAAAATACAAACACAGTGACAGATTTGTGGTTGTAAAGAAATTATGCAAGCGAGAAACTCAGTCTTCAGGAAGGGAGAAATCTGGTCATATTACAACAAAATATAAAGAAAGATCCATAACGAGTCATAATACCACCTTTTTTGTTAATGGGGTCACACTGGTCTTAGTGATTCTCTCCCCTCCCTTTGGCTGCTACAATTGTAGAACAGAAAGACTGTGGTCTCAGTGTGATTGAATCACTTCTTTATAATCAGCTGCTATTTGCCTGTAAGTGTGTCTTTGCTGCGCCCATATAGAGCACAATGTAAACACCAACATTAGCTTTTTGTGCTGCTCACCACTGCTCTATATTTCCTTCATAATATTAAGTTCAACTTGTAATCTTCCACCTTTGTGCCCATTTTATTTTTTGTGGTATTATGTTAATTTTTTTTATTTTTTTTCTTGTGAACCAGAACTTGTTGTTGGCAGGTACCAGTATTGGTGCATAATCTGTAATTCTGTGCATGCAGGCACTGTCCATTTTATGCCCCCCGCACTATTCTTTGTTATCCAAGTGTGGGGATGAGGCCGGTCGGTGCCCCCATCCTGGGTGTCCTACGCCCTCAGACCCGGCGGGGGAGGTCAGAAGGAAAGCGTCCTTTGTTGGTACCTGTCTGGGGCCCTTGTGTGTCTTTTAGCTATGTCATCTGTACAGTAATCTCTAAATCTTTCATTTTTTGACCTGTATTTGAGACCGCATGCTGGGGAACTGAACTTTTCGGTACAATTTTTATAAATAAATGGAATTGCATGCCACACATGTATAGATTCTTTTAATATGTCAATGCTTGCCACTTTGGCTGGGCTAGGTTTTCTTACATTTACGGTTTACATCAGTTTCATATGTTTCTGCCTTGGGTGTCCACTGTAGCATTTTATCTTGTGTTGACATTTGAGTTGTGCTTTGTTTAGATCGTATGTTCTATCCCTTAATGGATATGAAGTAGTATTCTGTGCTCTTCCCCCTCCCTGCCATGCCTGACACCTTCAGAGCTCCTTAATGTCAGTGTTGTGTGTGAAATGTTAGCTGCTCTCTTGCCTCTAGGAAATGTTTCCCCTTCCCTAATAGGTTCTGCACTAGGCTGCTGGGCACACCTCCAGGATCTGTGCTTATCCTCTCTGGAATGCAGCCCTAATGCTTTTTTAATCCAGCGATTTATTGTTGTTGGCTAGGAGAGCAGGGAGTCGGCAGGCAACCATGCCTCACGTCCTGTCCTGAGACAGAGTAACAAGGGAGAGACGGGTTCGGCACAGGCAAGGAACCAGGCGGTGCACGGAGTTAAAAACTCTGGACGAAACATGACTATCATTGCAGTGCCAAATATAACCTCAGCCCCTTAATGTAAGCATGCAGTGTGCGATTCTATGGCAGCCGGCCATTTATATTTTTATTTATTTCTCTCTCCTATAAGATTTACCACAAAACATGCTTATTGCTTTTTTTTTTTGTGGAGGATCGTTGGCAAACATTTTGTTTTCTTGTATTGCATGCACTTTTTTCTGAGTAGGCCTGAAGCCTGCCCTTGATTGCATTTTCAGCTTACCTCAACACAGCCCTAACCTGTCATGTGTGCAGGCCACTCCAATGATACAGCATGGATATGGATACTTTTATGAAGTGGTCTGGGTTGACTTTTGTCCTTTTAAGAATTTCGGTTTTAAAATTCTTTGTCCTTTTAAAGGGAGAAGTCGTTTTCACCATAAGTACTATATGTAATTTTCAATCAGTTTTACAAAAAGCGTGGATATTTGTCTCCGCTTCTGCTCTCTATATTGCCAATACAGAAGTTACCCTCCCATGTTAGCTGTATCAGTTTTGTATATGTGTGGTCAGCAGCTGATTTTCTCTGACTGTTAATGCCATCCAAGTATGGGCAAAATCGATATTGTAACTTTTGCATTTACAATGTAGGGATTCAGGGAATGGCTGTGGGTGCCTTTATGAATCCCTCGTTTTGATCAAACTGCTTAATAACTTTTGACCCTTCAGATGCTGGAACTTTGTTTTTGCATGGCTTTAACCCCTTAAGGACCAAAATTCTGGAATAAAAGGGAATAATGACATGTCACACATGTCATGTGTCCTTAAGGGGTTAAATACATTATTCCTTTAATGCACTGTATAGAATACTCCTACGTTAAAAATAAAAACATGTATTTGTTGTGCAGGAGTATTTAAAAGTCTGTTTAGATTCAGACAACCTCACCCTCCTTTTTTTTCCCAAAAACAAGATGGTCCCTTGCCACATCTTGGTACTGATGCAATTCCACAGAGACATATTCGAATACAGGGAACAGCGTTGTTATAAGCAATACCTGCCAATGTTGCAGAAAGCATTCAGAAACCATACGCTCCCGGCTGTCTGACAGACAGGGTGCCACAAATGCAATTAAGAAAGGTGCAGATTTTTCTTTAACGCTGAACTTTTATCAAGTCAGAAAAATTAGTTATTATGTTAAGCCCTAAAGCACTTCTCCAAACTGAATTGTTTAGGGGTTTAAGCTTAATTTATCAGAACCAGCCTGGTGTGCCCGTTTTAAGGCGGTATACTTGTGGCATTGTGTGTTATTGCTGTACAAACAGCCCACGTGTAGCTCACTGGAAGAATATCCGGTCAATGCACATGGCCAGCTTGATATCATACCGTGTATCGCTGTGCTTGAAAAGGACGCTTTGAGTCCCCCAGTTGAAGCAAAGTTTGTCTGCTGTTCAGTCTGTCAAATAATGTGGGAGGTTTGGTTGGTTGTCGTTAAAGATTACCAGATCACCTTCCACTAGAGCTGTTAAGGCTTTCAATGAGTTATACGAGTTGTAGTTCCACTTTAGCTTTTGATCTGTTGTTTCCCCACCACCCTTGTTTTAACTACCGTAGTGATCTTCTTATGATCTATTTCTACTTAATGTGGTAAATATCGCGAGGAATCCTGCAGTGAGTTTGATTTATACTCTGACTCAGTCTCTCATAAGAGGTGCATAATGCAATGACTGCTTTTATTAACTGCGCTCTAGGCCATTTCTATTTTATTTTTGTAATGACACGTTTCATTTTATCATGGTGATTGCCAGGTGGTTCCATGTGCCTGGGTCCATTAGCGGAGTTAAAGACCTGCCTGTTGAAGTGCTTACTGTATAACAAGTGCTGTAGCGGAATTAGGAGGATTGTATCGGTGGGGATGAACTTTAGAAGCTGTATTAAAGGCAGGTACTTTCTGACTTTATTTAGCATGTTATGCACATGTCAGATTGCGTTTTAAAACCACACATTCTCAAGACAAGACGTGTGGTTTATTCTCTGTGTGAAGAGAGGTCATTGATCAATCTGTGGGCATGAATTACTAACTTCACTAAGCTGAAATCACACAATCACTAAATCTGTAAAGCCAAGGTCCCTGAATCTGGCGTTCCCCAGGGAGACGCAGTGTATTATGTTTATTTTGTTGCTACCGTTAAAAGAAAGCAAAAACCTGCTGAACCAGCTTTAATAATGTTATCTCGGCTCTTCCTTGTACATATTCTGCAGCTTTCCTTCCCATGGGGCATTTCAGTGAGCTTCGAACTGCACTGGTCTGACCCTTCGCTAAACAGATTGCCTGAGTTTTCCTGCTCATAAAGCTGCATGGAGTCACACGTGTTCGTAGTGTATGATCAGTCTTCGCTCCCACAACCAATAGCAGATCTCGTTCAGTGGCAGCAATGCACAGAGTTCCACAAACCCTAATTAAGAAGACATGTCGTAGCCGCATTCACCTTAAATCACATTTTGGAAGATCTATTTTCCCATAAGTAATGGCTTCTGCGTAATGTCAAGAGTTTATTAAAGCCTAACCATCTGTTCTAATCATTACTCTATAACATGCTGTCCCCCATTTAGAATCTTTTCACAAATGCAATTAGCAATCAATAGCCTGGGAGACCAGCAGCCTCCATCTTTTACTCAATCTCACTTCAGAGAGTCTGAATGATGAATGATTTACAGAAGGAATTTCGTTTCTTTGCAGTTGTAATGGATGGGAGGAACTGGCATGTTACAGCAGCCAATCAGATTGCAAGAAACATGATTTCTTGTTGCAGTTTTCAAGGAAATTGCTGGTCGCCAACAAAGAAACAAACAAGCTTTCTTTGCCTAGACTTTGTAATGCAATGGTAAGTCAAAGGATAAATGGTACTAATTGCAGACTAATGCTTAATATCATTATCAAGCATAATTCTGGTGAATGGCAGATTTGTGTATAATAATAATAATAATCTGGGTATTTTTGGATAGAAAGGTCTGTATCTAACTCTTACTATCCATGCTAAAATTGTTAAAGGGTGACTTCAGACACCGAAACAAATTTGTGTGTTTTATTTTTTGTTTTTCAATAGAGATTTACACTTTTATAAATTGACCTGGTTACACCCCTTTTGGCTTTCAAGCAGACAACAAGCAGTGTTATTTCCTGGTTTAGTTGGCTCGTTGCAGCTGACTTTAAGATGCAGTAATTGCTCAGAGCACCTGACTTACAAAGACTTCTCATTGAGCGGTATCGGGAAGTCTGTAATTGGACAGCCACAGAAAGTCTGGGCAGGGTTAGTAGGGGGAGAGCTTGCAAAGCCGCAGACAAGAGATTGTCAAGTTTTGCAAGCAGTGTTTTAGATATATCCCCAATGAAAAAAATACAGAATTAACCCCTTCCCGACCGTGGACGGAAATTTTCCGTCAACCTTGTCCTTCAGTTAAGGACCGTTGACGGAAAATTTCCGTCATTTTCTTAAGTTAACCCCAGATCGCCGCGATCGCGGCAATCGCGGCAATCGCGGGGTTAACGGTGCTCCGGTCTGCCTCTGCATTAGAGGCAGACCGGGAGCACCCGATCGGGCTGCCCCAGCACCGGTGCTCGCTCTGACAGCATGTCAGAGCGAGCACATGTGCTCCACATACTCACCTTCCGCCTCCCTGCACTTCCGGGTTCTGTGTGAAGTGCAGGGAGACGGATCAGTGCTGATCTGCTTCCCTGTGTAAAAAAAAAAAAAATTAAAGTTAAATCCCACCCCCCCTGCCCCTGTTTTAATAAAATTAACCCCTTCCCTGCCAATTGATCACTGACTACAGTGATCAATTGGCAGGGTATACATTTTAATGTCATCTGATTTTTTTTTTTTAACCCCTGAGGGTTAATTATTTTTTTTTTAACCCTCAGGGGTTAAATTTATTTTATTAATTAATTTAAATATTAAAAAATTATATATTTAGCTAGCTGGGATGGGTGGAAGTTAGTGGGGAATTGGGGAATTTGGTGTTAGGCTAACTAGGGGTTAACGTTAAAAAAAGTTTTAAAATAAGCTTTAAAAAGGTAAAAAAAAATTTTTTTAAAATGTTTTAGTAACGTTTAAGTAAAAAAAAAAAAAATACCACCCCCTTTACCCAGTCTAAATAAAAATTAACCCCTTCCCTGCCAGCTGATCACTGCCTACAGTGATCAAAATACAGATCACAGTATTATACTGTGATCTAATTTTTTTAACCCCTGAGGATTAACTTTTATTTATTTTTTTTAACCCTCAGGGGTTCCATTTAATTAATTAATTTAAATATTTTATAATTAAATATTTTGCTAGCTGGGGTGGGTGGGGGTTATGGGAAAATGGGGAATTTACGGTTAGTGCTGCTTACTGCTAGTTAGGGGTTAACGGTAAAAGAAAAGTTTAGAAAAAAAATTAAAAGTGTAAAAAAAGTTAAGATAGTGTAAAACATTTAATAAGTAAAAAAAAAAAGTTTAAAAATGGGTTTTACAAAGTAAAAAAAGTTTTACAAAGTAAAAAAATACATTTAAAAATGCTCATTACCACTACACTTGGTACAAGCTAGCGGAAATATTATCCCACGCTAAGGTTCAAAATATGCCTTTTGAATTACCCTGGGATGTCTTCTTTAAGAAATGATATGCCTTTATGGTGTAATTGGATGATATAGCCTTGTAAAATACTCTAAAATGGGACATGGACACAGCGTAAAAATTCAAAGTTTGGAAAAAACTGGAATGGCTGTGTCTCAAATGTGCCCCTTCAATGTCCACATATACCTGGCAAAGGTACATACGGGGGTATTGCTGTACTCAGCCGACATAGCTGAGCAACATATGAAGTATTATACAGTCGTAGCACACATAAGGTTTGCAAAATATACTGTGCAAACTCACTTTGTATGTCAAAAAGGCAGAAAAATGCTTATTACCACTACACTTGGTACAAGCTAGCGGAAAAATTATCCCACGCTAAGGTTCAAAATAGGCCTTTTGAATTACCCCGGGATGTCTTCTTAAGAAATGGTATGCCTTTATGGTGTAATTGGATTATATAGCCTTTTAAAATACTCTAAAATGGGACATGGACACAGCGTAAAAATTCAAAGTTTGAAAAAAAATGGAATGGCTGTGTCTCAAATGTGCCCCTTCAATGTCCACATAAACCTGGCAAAGGTACATACGGGGGTATTGATGTACTCAGCCGACATAGCTGAGCAACATATGAAGTAGTATACAGTCGTAGTACACATAAGGTTTGCAAAATATACTGCGCAAACTCACTTTGTGTGTCAAAAGGGCAGAAAAAATGCTTATTACCACTACACTTGGTACAAGCTAGCGGAAAAATTATCCCACGCTAAGGTTCAAAATATGCCTTTTGAATTACCCCGGGATGTCTTCTTTAAGAAATGGTATGGCTTTATGGGGTATTTGGATTATATAGCCTGGTAAAATACTCTAAAATGGGACATGGGAACAGTGTAAAAATTTAAAGTTTGAAATGAACTGGAATGGCTGTGTCCCAAATGTGCCCCTCCGATGTCCACATATACCTGGCAAAGGTACATACGGGGGTATTGATGTACTCAGCCGACATAGCTGAGCAACATATGAAGTATTATACAGTCGTAGCACACATAAGATTTGCAAAATGTACTGCGCAAATTTACTTTGTGTGTCAAAAAGGCAAAAAAACGCTTATTACCATTACACTTGGTACAAGCTAGCGGAAAAATTATCCCACGCTAAGGTTCAAAATATGCCTTTTGAAATACCCTGGGATGTGTTCTTTAAGAAATGGTATGCCTTTATGTTGTAGTTGTAATATGTAGCCTGCTCAAGTGCTCCAAAGTGGGCACGGACGCATCAAAACCCTCCATGAAAATTCACACTTAAAAACCTTAACTTGTTACGTCTCTTTTATAGCAGTGTAACTTCACAAAATAGTGTCTAGGTCATACATTGGGCATATTGTTTTACTCAGAAGACTTAGCTGAGCATAATTTGGGGGGTTTGAACTTAGTGGCACATATGAAATGTACAAAATACCCAGCAAAAATGTAATCCGTATGTAAAAAATGCCCAAAATTATTTTTTACCACATACTTTGGCATATATTGGTGAAAAAATGGGGGCATGTTAAGGCACAATATGCACCATATGAGATACCCTGGAGTGTCTACTTTTATAAATGGTAGGCCTTTGTGGGTTTTTTTTGAACAGTCAAACTGCTATAATACCCCAAATTGAAGCATAGGCCCATTAAATCCGCCTCTCAAAATTCTACTGTAAATGTTGAAACGGACAGGTCTCCTATATGGCACTGTAGCTTCACGAAATAGTGCCAAAGACATACAATGGGGGTATCGTTGTACTCAGCAGAAGTAACTGAACACAAAATAAAACTTTGTACAGGAATAGCACACACCAACTTTACAAAATATACATGGGAAGTTCTTTGTTATAAGTTTGTGTGCCAAAAACTCCAAAAAACTAAATTTTACTCCAATATTTAGCAGAGATTGGCGGTGAAATGGCTACTTAGAAAGTGTCAAAAAAACCTTAGGACAATAGCCTGTGATGTCTACTTTATATAAATATATACTTTTGTGTGGCAATTTTGTTTTCTTTTATGGCTATTAAGCTTACAAGACAAACATACAAAATTCTAAAATCGCTCTACATTAAAAGTTTATTTTACTCCTTGTGCTTTATGACCTGTAACTACCAAAAAAAACTTTAAATCCCAGACACATTATATATTTTGTAAATCAGAACAACTAAATAAATTTATTTTTAATTACTTTCTTTAACCTGCACTAATTAGGCACACATTATTATTGTAAAAACTGTACAAAAAACACACATTTTTTCTTTTTTTTGCATTTTTCTGTATTTTTTAAATAATAAATAAGCATTTATATATATATATGTTACATCAAATTAAAGCCCTTTATGTCCTTTAAAAAAACAGTATATAATATGTGTCGGTGCAATAAACGAGAGAGATGCAAATTGCAGTTGAACGCATACAGCAAGAAAATGCAAAAATTGCTTGTGTCATTAAGCGTAAGACAAGCTTCTGAAGCTGTGTCCTTAAGGGGTTAAATGCATCATTGTTTACATTTGGGGTGTATCTACTAAACAGTGACTTAATTTATTTGTATTTGCGCAGTGGAGTGTCCCTTTAAGCAAAGCTTGCATTTGTAAGTTTGTTCATTTCCAAAAAAAAAAAAAAAAAGGGAGGGAGAAGTGGGGACACTAAAACCCTACCCACAGACAAGTTGAATCAGTTTGTGGCAGGGCTTCTTTATATTCTCTTAAAGGTCACCACAGACTCTGTTCTTAAAGGGTTACTTCAACCACCATGTTTTTAGAAGTGGTCATTGTGGTTGGAGGTTGTGTGTTCAGTGTTTCTGCTTTAAATGCTGCATGTACCGAGTAATCTGTACTTCTGTCCCAGGGGCTAGTTACCAACCCAGCACACTTGACTTAGACAGCCTGGAATTCTGTTTTTATCCCCCCTCTCTCCTTCGTTTAAATTCTCCCGGTCTACCAATACCCTATGTTGATCACCCCTGGCTTACCTCTTAGAATTCAGTTTTGAATATGGGAGGAGTGTAGAATTAAGAGCTGGGCACTTGGGTGCTTTGTTTTATCATGCCCTGGCTACAGCACGATGTCTAAGGTGGAGCTATTAGTGAAATCATTTCACAGGCAGGCTAGTTAAAGGGAAGCCAATAAGATAAAATGTTTATTTGTCACTGGGTATGCTCTCTGCTGTCTGCCAGCGACAGAAATCTTCCCTTTGCCTCACTCCTCTGCTCATCGTCTTTTTTTTTTTTTCTCTCCTTTGTTTCTTCCTGTGTAATAGGAGAGTTCCTTTCTCCTCGTTTCTCTCTGCGGCATTGCTCCCAAGCCCTGTCTAATTGGAGGTGTTGATAAGGCTCTGCTGGCCTATCCTCTGCCTCCACTCCAGGCAAAAACATATCCTCCCAGCCTCCAGGTAACTGTGATAATGACATTTGTCATCTCCCGCCCCATCATGTTCTTGTGGAAGTACTAAAGAGCCAGCTTCTCTTCCAGCTTGGTAATTCTGGGGTGTGATGATGCAAGCAATGGGGGGTCTGTAAGATGTCTGTATGTGTTTCAGTCGCTGCATCTACCATGCACATCAATTTATGAATGCTAATGCATAAGCAGCGGACGTGTACTTTTCTAGAAGTAGATTCATGCTTTTGCATAAAGATGTGCTATAGTAGATCTGGTTAATTCTATGTTCACATACAGTGTCATAACCCACGTTTCCTGGTTATTTAACCCCCTGAGAGCTAGATATTGTTTAACATATGTTAACCCCGAGACTGGATGATAATTCGTAAAATGGATTAAAAGGTGCTTTTTAGCAGACTCAAATATCATATGGATAATAACCGTTGTATAAGAATATGCATTTTAGTGTTCTTCCTATAAAACAGAGCAACTAAACTACTTATGCAAAGTTTTAATTATCACAAGTAATTAAATGTAAGATTATTCTGTAATACAGTAGGAGCTTATAGTTGCCAACTTGAGCCACAGGTCTGTGTGACGTATATGCCTGTGCAGAAACAAAATGTCGCTGAGCCTTATTCTAATTATTGTAGAGTAAAATGGGTGTCCCTGTGCAATATGATTGGAAGCCACAGAAAGGGCCTATGGAGTGTTGGCATGTCCCAATCTTGAAATAGCCCATAATTCATAGCCAGTCATTGCATGGCATGAACACGTGATGCAGCCTTGTACGTTGATAAGTCACATTTATCATAGTGATATCAGATTCAGAGGGTGTAGCAGGGCCCCTGGGTTTTAGGAGAGGTTTGACAAAAACTGAATAGGTGTTGTCCAATAACATCCTTGCTCCACAATCCCTACGCATGACAATGCGTAAAGTGTCTCTTTTAACCTTTGCTAGTTTTCTGCATCCGGAATCCTCTTACTATTCCTCAAATGATCGTGCTGGAAATCAATCCTACTGCTGAGATACTGTTACTTAGGTTTAACCATACTTAATAAATTATACTATATTTAATGGCAAACAAACATGTAGAGAAACATTTGCAATATATTCTGCCACTTATTTAATGCTGGGGTTTATCAGCGTTTCTGCAAAAGTAAAATGTGTTTTTTTGTTTTGTTTTTTTGTGGTTTTTTTTTGTCTTTAATTCCAGTTAAAACTCTTGTAAAATGCCTTTTTTCTGCCTCCTGAATGGGTCCATGCACTCCAAAATGCTCTATATTTGGCTTTGTTGTAGCACTCATTATTGCTTGCAGTGTCGCATTCCTATAGCCTGTCATGGAATCCAGCACATGCACTGGACTAAGTCCTGAATCAGGTTTTTCAAGTATTGGTTGTGTCCGCTCCTACATGTGGATGGGTGATACTAGAGGCCCAGAATAGCTAAGCAGAAGGCAGTATCATATATATTAGCGTGGTAAAAAGGTACTTTAAACAACATAACCAGGAGTGCATGGGTGCCATTGCTTCATGTTTGCTTGTTTGTTTTTTCGAGATGTTTGGCTTAAAATGGAGAGACCTTCAAAGGTCACTCAGAGAGCCTCTCATCGAAGCCACATTAGTGATACAAAATTAGCTGGAGAGCACCTATGGAACAAGCATGGAAATATCATGAAAATGTTATTAGCAATCACATAAGTGTGTGAAATATATATTTTAAATTTTCATTTTTCTTGAAGGTTCCAGTTTATTAGGAGAAATGTGTATTCCTAACACCCAACACCAAGTGTTCCTTTAAATGTAACTTTTATTGAATTCAACTGGGATCACTAACTATTAAAATACCCACTAGTATTTTCTAGGGGGGGGGGAGGGGGCTGTAGGGAACTCTAGTGCCAGGAAACAACTAATGTGGCCCCATCACTGCTTTGGAATCTTGTCTTTTGATTTTGTTCCCTTCCTTGCTGCTGTCCTGGGGCATACTTCGAGTATATCCTAGTGTGTTTGCAACACCAATTCTTTCTGCAGTGAATAGAACATTATTTATACCTCTCAGTCCACACATGGCTGTTACTAACACTAGTTTTATGTGTAATATATGTCTGCCATGCAAATTAATTTTACTTCTCCTTACTATTTAGTGGAGCTTCTTCAGTTTATTCCCATTGTGTTCATGCTAAATACATTTCTTCTTTTTCTCTTGTTTAAGGAAAACTGTCATCTATTTTAAAGGAATACTATAGAGTCAGAAATACAAATCTGTTTTCCTGACCTCATAGTGTTAAAACTTAATATCTTACTTCCCTAAATATAGTAAAATCTTACTTGTATTCAAACCTGCAGCTGCTGCCTCTGCTCATGATCTGACTGCTGTCATCATCAGAAGTGGTGTACTGAGCCAATCACAATGCTTTTTCATAGGATTGGCTGAGAATGTGAAGGAGGCAGATCAGGGGCAGAGCCAGCACAAGTCAAAAACAGCCCTGGCCAATCAGCATCTCCTCATAGAGATGAATTGAATCCATCATCTCTGTGAGGGAAGTTCAGTGTCTGCATGCAGGAGAAGGAGACACTGAATGGCAGTGCTGCTTACTCTGCAGCACTGCACCAGAAAGCACCTGTAGTAGCCATCTGAGGAGTGGCTGTTATCACTAGGCTGTAATGTAAACACTGCATTTTCTCTGAAAAGACAGTGTTTACTGCAAAAAGCCTGAAAGTAATGATTCTACTCACCAGAACAAATACAATAAGCTGTAGTTGTTCTGGTGACTATAGTGTCCCTTTAAATTTTGATATGTTTAAAGGGTTACTCCAACCTCCATGGCCACTTCTGCTTTTAGAAATGGTCATGGTTGTAGGATTATGTATATGCAGAGCATTTTCTGCTTGAAAAGCTTCACATACAGAAATATTTTCACTTTTGTGTTGGGGGTTAGTTATATTACAGACCGGCACATGTGACTCACAATGTTCCGTGATGCCTAATGTCAATTCTGTTTTAAAATGAAGTCCTTCTCCCTCTACTTCCTGGCTCAGAGCATGTGCATACATAAAGTGTACAGTACAGAGTTGCTTTAAGGTTCTAAACAATTTATATATGGTATAGCGCCAAACCTGCAAAGACATACTGCCCACCTCCTTCTGCTGATGGTGGAAGAATTACTGACATACATACTATACTTTTCACCCAGTTTTATGATCGAAGCCTCAGACCATTGGCTCAAGGAGCTGGCTCTGTAAGCCTGATAGTGTGAGAGACCTGGGGTGAGAAGGAAGAAAATGGTGGGATGTTATCGTCTGAATCATGTAGTCTAGCTCTCATTTTTTCAATCCCCACATCTCTCACGCTCTAACCCTACTTGCTCTAATCTCTGGCTCTCTTAAACTTTGTTTTCTTCTTTCAATGCCGGAGTCTCCTAGTCTTGCCTTCTTCCACCTGTTAGTGTATCTATCACACACTCATTTTCCTCTTCCATCTATTAGTGAGTCTCTTACAATTTCACATTTCTCTTCCATTTATTACCAGATTTCTTACACTCCTCACCCATCCATCCATTCCTGAGTGTCTCACCTGCTCACTTTCTTTTTTTTTTTTCTCCAGCAATGAACCAACTAATAATTTTAATGTGGTTTTGCAGAGTATACTATGTTAGAATTGGGCATATTTGAATAAAGCCAACAAACAGGTTTATATATTTGCATTGATTAGTTCCTTTCTGTAAAGGTATTTGATGCCAGTCTTTGCTGATTTTCTATCTTTCCCATGATACCATATCATATGAGAGAAGCGTCTATATTTACCAACTGCCAATCACCCAGGCAGCTTACCCATCATGAGATGAAGTTGATGTACTTACCAACCGCCATGCTAACAGCCGCAGCACACTTATCATCTAACCTGATTCTACCTAAATCTCCTATTCATTATTTTCATTATTATTTACTAGTTTTTCCCCTACAGCATTTAGGGACCAATGATGTGTGTGTGCCATCATAGCAATCTGATATTTTAAGGATTCCTTTACTAAATGGAAGAATGAGAGCAAAATTTATTCTTCAATCTTTAAAGGGTTAAAGTGATGCTCTAAGGCAAGCACCATAACGTTCCCATGCTTGGGAAAGTTTTTGGTGACAGAAGTTTTAAATGATATTTGCTGACATGGCTATAGAACATTGTATATTGGGTGCATTTTGTGGTTTGCTTTTTGGTTTGAAACTCATTTCTTGCTGCTTACTAGTCATTATTTCCATCTTCTAGTATGCATTCTCTCGACCAGCTAGCGTTAATTACCCGTGATGTCACTTACTCTGCATTTTACATTTGATTTTTTTCATTTCAAAAATTGATAGATTTAAATGTACACATGTATAAACATTACAATTCTGAAAATGTTTGTAGTCTGCATAATATGCTTCTTTTCCCTGTCCCCTGTAATCATAATTTTGATGCATAAAATGAATCTGAGCAGTTATAAATAATTTTAGGTGACATGTATTTTTTTTTTTTTTTTCTTGTTACTTATTTATTGTAAATTTGAAGCACATAAATCAACACCCCCAAACGCCATAACCACTGCAGAACACTGTAGTGGTGGTTGTTCTAGGACATTTCCCACTGGGTAATTACGGTTTAAATCCTTGCCGTTTTTACAATTTTTTCACTTCTCTTCTGAAGGTGGAGCCCAGGCTCCTGAAAAGAAGCTTAAAATGTTACAAATTGCAAAGAATTTAATATTTTCCTAAAGATGTTTTGTGTTGTAATATTAACTATTCCTCTTTTCTCCCACCCATTCTCTTTTCTTTTCCTTTACTTAACCTTCGATCACTCTTTCCCCTCACCCTTCTTTCTGTACTTCCGACTTGGCCCTATCTTTTCCTCCCTTTCCTCACCATCCATTTTAGATGGAGTCCCCGGTGTGTGCTTCGTCTGGCTTGCCTCTCCATTTATTGGTCCCAATGGTGAACAATGACATCTCCTCCCCGTGTGAACAGATCATGGTGCGCACACGTTCTGTTGGTGTTAATACCAGTGACGTGGCCCTTGCAACTGAACCTGAATGCCTGGGGCCCTGCGAGCCAGGAACAAGCGTTAATCTTGAGGGCATTGTGTGGCAAGAGACAGAGGATGGTAAGATGGAAATGCATGCAAGCAGTGAACACTGGCAGGAAATGTGCTGTGTGTGAATATTCTATGCTTAATAATGCCTGTGCGTAGATATGTTTGTTACAATATAATTCTGATTAAATGTAATATATTTTGGTAGGTGATATCAGTTATGGTGCATTGGTACTCGTCTGATGCTTTACTTGCCAAAGTTCAGTTGTTTCCCTAATGGACAATGGGGAGGGATCTGTACTAGAATAAAATGCTTACATCCGTACTAGAATAAAATGCTTGGATCCTATAATTTCTTCCCTCTATTGTTGCACTGTGGGGGTTAAATACTGGCTCCACATTATATGTAGGGTGCATCCACCTCTTGGCTTTTCTTCAGAGTTCCAGTGCCTCTAGGTCAGGTCTTTGTTTGTCATACTCATCAACTGAAGCCACAAGAGACTGTGACAGGAAAATACTGAGGTATGATCTAGCACTTCAGATGCCTGCACTGCGGCAAGTCGATCCTTTCTCACCTAAAAGAGTGTAGCACCTCTGGGAGGAGAGAGTGCACGTGCTCAACTTTAAGACACATCCTCCTATTGTGGACAATGAACAACACTAGGGTACTCTGAGAAGAAACCTACTCTAAAAAGTGATTTATGTACAGTTAAGTTAAGCAGGAAGTGGGCAGGAACATCCTTGACAAAAGCTGGCCAAACTAAGTGCTCATAGCAGGACTCAGCCCACACAGTTTTGTTACAGGATGCTAGCCAGATCAGCTATTGCAGCCTTAACATAAGCCTAGAAAGTAACAGGGTTTCCCCAGGAACAGGACAAGCCCCAAACCCACCAGAGGAGCTAGCTATAACCCCCTCATGGAAGAAAGTGAGTTGGTAGCGGGGATTTCTGGGCAATTCTATTGTGACATGGACCTGGTTTGGGAAGTTTTATGACCTGGGAGGTCACTGCTCATGCCAACATTGAAGGTGGGTAACTTGCGGTCCTTTCAACATGACTCTTCTATTGACCAAAACTGTAAGGCAAGCACTTTTCTTGTGTCCTTCATAAAATCATGAATGAAGCTATTAACACTAGTTGATAGAAGCAGGATGACCATAATTGCATAGTTTATGAATGAAGCTCTATGCTACCTACACAGCTTTCAGTACGTATTCGCAGTAGTCTCTTCTCTCCATCCTCCATGGATATATGTGGTGACATAATGTAATATTGGTGTGTAGAAGGAAGAGTAGGTGAGGTTGCTACTTTATTAACGTAATTAAACATTATTTGAATATAGAAAATTCAACAGTTATCTCTCAATAATGAAAACCAGTATTAACTGCATATGACATAACATTCTTTTCTTTTAAGCAGAAGTGCAACTCTGAGATGTTAAAAAAGAAAAACCGTATTGGCTGTAAAATACCATTGTACAGATTATCTGAATATAAAAAAACAAAACGCTGTTCTCTGTTAAAAGGGACATGCATCCCTTGTTAGACAATTGTCACATTCAAAGGCAAAGTAACTCCACTCGTTTCTACATCGCTCCCACAGGCAATGTAGCAGTGTTCATTTGGTAGCAGATTTTTTGTTTATTCCTAGTTCCTTGACTAAAATGTCATTATAGCTTTTGTCATAATCACTTTATTTCTATTTAGTTTTTAGTGATGGCTTTTCTCAATGAAAACAGGGTTTTTAGGAAATTAGACAAAACTAACACTGTTTGTAATAAGGACTTAATTCGCCTTCAGTTCCAGTAAATGAGTAGGGAGTGCTGCCATCTACAGTCTTTCTGAGGATGATGATACAATATATATATTGAGGATGATTTTTTATATATATATATATATATATATATATATATATATATGTGTGTGTGTGTGTAACTCCATCATAAGTGTATTTTGATATTAATATATATATATAGCTGTCAATATAAAAACTTATTATGGGATAGATATATTTTTTTACCCCGGATTTCTTTAATAACTTTTTTTTTTTTTTTTTGTAAGCAGTCAGTTTAGGCAATATTGACAAAGTAAACGCTCTTTCAGAGCGATCACATGGCCCGTGGGGACCTAAATTGACGAGGGGGGACTGCCTGGGCTGTCAGGCAGTCCACCAGAAGAGGATCGTGGCGGAGGTGAGTATTTGCAGGGCTCTGGGGCTTAAAGCTGTTAGGGCGTTCTATGCCGCCATAACTGCTTTAAAGCCCATTATAATGGGAACGGCATAGAACGCCCTGACGACATTAAGGGGTTAAACACTGGCAGAGAAAGATATTTTGCACATTTGCAGTCTACGAAATGGGTGCATATGTCATGCAGAATTTAAAGAATAGTGAACATTATTGCCTTATCCGTTCCAGCAGCAATGCAGATTGTTTAGATACACAATTAGTTTATTGGTAGGTTGAACCCTTGTGAATGTGTTCCTTGTTTTAGAATCCGAGGTTTTGGAATTCCATGCTGGAATATAAATGTAAGGAAATTCCAGAGAATAAAAATACAAAAATTAAATAATCTTTCTTTTATTAAAGGGACACTCTAAAGACCAAGTCAGCCTTAACTTAAGTGATTTTGGTGTGTTGCTCGTGTCCCTGCAGTCTCACTGCTCAATTCTCTGCCATTCAGGAGTTAAATAAATGTGTTTATGCAGCCCTAGCCACACCTTCCAACATTTTACTTGCATAGTCTCCCTACACACTTCCTGTAAAGTGAGATCTAATTTTTAAACATCCTTATTGCAGTCTTTCATATATCCTGCTCTGTTAAAAGCCTTCTAGAGCCATAGAAGCCTCCTGTGTGTGATTAACGTTCAAATTACAGAGCAGTAGATTTAAAAAAAAATTTTTTAAATGTAAATGCGCTGCAAGATCTGATTGAAAACAAAACCTTTTCGGTCATGTGAACTATGAGTCCCATTCAGGGGATGTGTGACCTAGACTTCATAAACAAAAAAATATTTAACTCCTAAATGGCAGATAATCGAGTAGTGAGACTGTAGGGGCATAATCTATACACCACAATTGCATTAATAAGCTAAAGTTGTTTGGGAGCTTAGAGTATCCTCTTTATCCTTGCTATGTTAAGCCTTTTTACTAGCGTATTTGCTATCCATGTATGGTAATGGTTGACGCTGTCTCTTCTTGTAGGAATGCTGGTTGTCAACGTGACTTGGAGGAACAAGACCTATGTTGGCACGCTGCTAGACTGCACAAGGCATGACTGGGCTCCCCCAAGGTTAGTATACTGATTTCTTGCAGACACATGGATTTAGCTTATATCAAAATTACTCTTCTCAAGTATAAATATTGAGAAAATGTTCTTTTTTTTTTTTTGTTTTTTGTTTTTTTTGTTTGTTATGAGTGCTCACTATGTCTTCTTGATCCCTTCCCCTCCAGATTCTGCGACTCTCCCACCAGTGACTTGGAGATGCGGAATGGACGGGGGAGGGGCAAACGTATGCGACCAAGCAGCAATGCCCCCATCGCTGAAGCTGCACCAGCCCCTGAGAACAAAGGAGCTAGCAGCAGCAGTAGCAGCAGTAGCAAGACACGTGCTGGAGCCAACAACAAAGGAAGACGGGGTAGTCAGAACTCAGGCGAGCACCGCCCCCCGCCATGTGGCAGCACAGAGGACATTAAAGCAAGCCCATCTTCTGCTAGCAAACGCAAGAGCAAACCTCCTTCTGATCTTGAACTGACTTCTAGCTCAGAAGATTCTAAAGGGAGCAAACGTGCTCGTACCAATTCATTGGGCTCCTCCTCTGCACCAGTGTCTGTGTCACTGCCTTTAACAGTTCCACTGAGCACTATCAAAGTGGAGGCCACTACAATGGATAGAAACTGCTCTTCTCCCATTCTAATAGACTGTCCCCACCCTAATTGCAACAAAAAGTACAAGCACATAAATGGCCTGAAGTACCATCAGGCTCATGCACACACAGATGATGACAGTAAGCCAGAGGCAGATGGAGATAGTGAGTGTGGGGAGGAGCCCCATCTTCACCTAGATATGGGAAGTTGCAATGGTGCCTTTGCTTCCCAAAAAGGTTCCCTCTCGCCTGCCCGTTCTGCCACACCTAAAGCTCGTTTACTTGAGCCACAAAGCCCACCTCATTCTGCTAAATTTGGTGGAAAGATGGTGTGCAAAAAGAAAATTGGTACCGAAGGTGATATGGACCCAGGGGCACTTTCTAATGATGGCTCTGAGGATGGAACTCTAGCAGCAGATGACACCAGCAATGATGGCTTTGAGTCTCAGGAAAAGAGGCTAACAGATAAAGATTCCATCAAGAAGGGAAACAGTAGTAGTAAGCAGGAGAAGTTGACTTCTTCGAAGAGTGTAAAGTCTGCCCGTGCTATTGCACCGGCTATATTACCACAACAGATGTATACTATACAGGCCACCACATTCACTGCTTCTAGTCCTGGTTCATCAACTGGACTCACCACAACAGTTGTGCAAGCAATGCCTACCAGTCCCCAACTCAAACCTATTCAGCCAAAACCCACTGTAATGGGAGAACCGTCCAGCATCAATCCAGCACTAACTCCATCTAGAGACAAGAAAAAGAAGGATAAGAAGAAAAAGGAGAACAGAGATGAGGATACATCTGGAAGCTCTATTAAGCCTGGTCGTCCAGAAGAAGGGAAAAGCCCTTATGGGGAAGCAGGGGGGGATTCTTCTGTGAAAGTTGATGGATTGATTAACGGTTCTGAATCACATCAAAGCCGTTTGGCTAGCATAAAAGCAGAGGCTGACAAAATTTATAGTTTCACTGACAATGCTCCTAGCCCATCCATTGGAGGAGGGGGTACATCAAGCCGAATAGAGAACCCCAGTCCTGGGCAGCCCATGACTCCTCTACATGTTGTAACTCAAAATGGAGCTGAAGGGACCTCTGCTAAAACAAACAGTCCAGCCTACTCTGACATTTCTGATGCAGGGGAGGATGGAGAAGGTAAATTGGATAGCACTAAAGTAAAGGATCCGGAACAGCTGGTAAAGGAAAGTGCCAAAAAGTCCCTTTTCCCACCTCAACCACAGAGTAAAGAGTCACCATATTACCAGAGCTTTGAAACTTACTACTCTCCCAACTATGCGCATTCCAGTCCTGGGACCATTAATCCCACTGTTCAGGCTACACCTGAAAACCAGACTCTTAAAGTCAAGAAGGAAGAGGATTTGGAGGTTACAGAAGTAAAAATGAAAGCTGAACCCCCTGAAGAGAAAAAGCCAGAATTGTGCAGCACAAGCCAGCAGCCTTCTGTGATTCAACAACGCCCCAACATGTACATGCAGTCTCTCTATTACAATCAGTATGCCTATGTTCCTCCCTATGGCTACAGTGAACAAGGTTACCATGCTCACTTACTAAGCACCAATCCGGCATACAGACAGCAGTATGAGGAGCATCAAAAGCAAAGGCAGAATCTTGAGCAACAGCAGCAGCAACAGCAGCAACAGCAGCAACAGCGTAATATGGAGAAGAAAGCAGAAATGGCCATGAGAGATAGGGAGGCATCTCTCAAGGAAGAGTGGAAGCACAAGTCTTCAGTGCCCCCAACACTAACCAAGGCTCCAAGCCTAACAGACTTGGGAAAATCAGGTTCCAAACCTAAGGATTTAGGACCTGGGCCTGATTCAAGCAAATCCGTGATTATCCCCAAACTGGAGGACTCCACAAAGATGTCTGTTCAACAAACTGAGGGACTGAAAACAAAAGTTTCTGAGACAGGTGGACATTCAGGAAAAGAATCCACTGAGCCCAAACCTAGTGGGGAGTGTAACCGTCAGACTGGTTTGGATCCTGGCTTGTGGTACAGACCTGTAAGTATCAAATCACTTGTAAAGCTATTTAGTTGCTCTAAGCTTTAGAATGGTCAGAAGGCTCTGCTATGTGGACAATAAGATGTTAAATATTAAAACAGTAGTTATGGAATATGTTGCTGTTTTTTTAATTATTATTTGTATTGTTAAATGAATCCATATACTTTTTTTTATTTTTTATTATTCTCCCCAGATTAAAATAGGGTGCTCTGGGTATGTATTCCCATATTTAACTAGTCTAAAAGAATGCATAGATTTCAGAGTTGAAGCTGCCTTTCAAAAAGAATACAATATCAGTGAAATCAAAATGATATAGCAGGAAGCTGGGAGGTAATTGCCATGCTTGTCTTTCTATGAGAAAAATTTAGCACAGTTCTTCCCTTGAAACTACTGTGCAAAACAAGAACAGGCGAAGGCTGGCAACTAGGCTAAACATATAGAAATAATGTGAGGAGAGTAAAGAAACTGTTGTATGGGTTAATCCGTAACCCGCATATGAGTTTGGTTTAGTACTGGTATGAATTGTGATGGTATATATCTGTGTATTGTGGCTGCATTTTTTATGGAAATGTGAATTCCTATTCGCATCTCCTAAGATGTTTCATACTGAAAACTTGACGATGACATTGTTGCATTGAGGTTAATTCTGTTTCTTTGTCATAAATGCCCAGCAGGAGGCAGATTCTCGCATGTGGACATATGTTTATCCCAAGTACCCAGATACCATGAAAGTTGCGGAAGAAGAGCGGTGGAAGGAAGAGCGGAAAGTGAAGGAGGAGCGCAGCAGAAGTAAAGAAGCTTCATCCAAGGAAGAAGGCAAAGAAGGGGCAAGTGGGGATGTGAAGGGACCACCAGCAGCGGAGGATCCTAGAGTACTCCCCAAGGATCCACGCACTAGTACTCATGTACCAGTGTCATCACCTCTTACTCAACATCAGTCATACATCCCTTATCTCCACGGTTATGCCTACAGTCAGGCCTATGACCCCAGCCATCCAAGCTACCGCGGGATGCCTGCAGTCATGATGCAGAACTACTCAGGTAACTGAATTTTAGTATTGCAATATAGTACAGACCCACGGAATATATAATCAGTGAAGAATGTTGATGCACTAAGGTTGCTCTAGGCTAATTCCAAACACATCTGCAGACCTTTCCAAGTTCAACCAAAGTTCTGGTCAAAAGAGGTGACTTGGTTAGATCACAGTTCAGACTTTTTTTTTTTAATTCATGGCTGTATGTAATAAATGACTACGAATATTCTGTTCTAGTCTCTGTGTGTGCGTGTGTATATGTGTGTATAATACATAATAATAGGGTACTTTGTCTTTAACCCGTTAAGGACTGAGGCAGTTGTACAAGCTGTGATCAAAACTTAAAAAAAAACTTGAATTTGCGCTATATGTCTGTTCAGGCGTAATTCACATCTTTCATATTATGTGCACCCACACTTATCATATATCATTTTGTTCAGTAGAAACGGAGCTTTCATGTAACATCAAATATTTGTATATGCAGAGCATGAGGACGTCCAGCGTCAGATAATGGACCAAAGGTCTGTTTCAATTCAGGAAGCCCTCTAGTGGCCGTCTGGTAGACAGCACCGATCTCCTTCGAAGCTCCGCACCCTCCTCAGTCTTGCGGCGAGCAGGATCTAATGCACAAGCATTTGAATCAATGCTTTCCTATGTGGAAAAATCTAACGCTAGAGGTCCTCATGCAGAGCGTGAGGACGTCCAGTGTCCGATAACGGACCAAAATTCTGTTTGGTTTCCGGAAGCCCTCTAGTGGCTATCTGATGGACAGCCACAGAGGGCAGACTTAGATCTGTAATGTAAACATTGCAGTTCTCTGGAACGGCAGTGTTTTCCATTGCAGCACTCCGTGCAAAAGGGACACAGCACCCAGACCACTTCAATGAGCTGAAGCAGTCTGGGTGCCTAAATTGTCCCTTTGACGTGTTCCACTCTAGATTTATGTTTTTTATTACATTTATATTGATGTCTTAGTTTCACATCTTTTCTAGTTTGTATTGCCTTTGCACTATATTATTAATCTCGACTAAAAAAATATAAATAAATAAGTTTCATAAACAATCTTGAAATAAGTGTTTTCTGAATGCTCTCTTATCTTCCAATCTAGGTTCCTATCTCCCCTCCAGTTACTCTTTTTCCCCTTATGGTAACAAAGTCACAGGCAGCGACGAGTCTGAGAAGTCTCGAGCTAGTCCAAGCGTCAGCTGTAAACCCACATCTGAATCTAAAGCTCTGGACATTCTGCAGCAGCACGCAAGCCATTACAAGAGCAAGTCTCCTACGGTAAGCTTAAACAGTTCATTCCAGATGGACTTCCCAGTGAACCAGTTAAAGAAGTTAGTGGTTGGGATTTATAGAATACGTATGTTGGAACAGGTCCCAGGGGGGCACTTCAGGCAGATGGGTAATGTCCTATGATTACAGGTATTTCAGTTTGTGAGCAGTACTGATTATAAACAGAACAGCCAGCTTCAATTTAGACTTCTTCCCTGCACAGGTCTTCTAATGGCACTTCCATAGCTCAGGACACAGACCACACCGGCTGTGGAAACACTGTAGTAGACTTCTGCATGAAAGCTTAAATAGGGACAAGAGAGGCAGACCTGTAGATATGTTCTTGGATGTCTTCCTTTGGTGTCTGCTCCTTCTCCTGGAACTAGCTTGTCCTACTCTCTCCATGCTCTTAGTGGTTTATCTATGTACATACAGCAGGTAATGAAATATGTATGTTGGTAGTTGGAATGCGTGACTAAGGGGACAGGCTTATGCTGTAATAGTGCAAAACAATATTTGAGCATGGAAATATAAATGATGTTATGGAGTAAAGGCAGGTGGGTTTCTAGCGTTAGTAGAGTGGTGTGGACGGCAGATGAAACAACCCAAACCAGAGTCTTACTTATTTTGTCAGAAGTAGGGGGAGTGCGTAGATTGTAGGGTGTAGTGCCTCGAGAAATCCTCAGATGTGGCCTAATATTTAAGGTAACTAGGTGAAAAAAGGATGACTAAGTCTTAATATTATTTGGAGAAATAGATACACATACAGTGTATAGAGCTATCAGTAAGCTCTGCTTTTGTACACATTGGCGGTATACTTCCTATACCCTATGCACACTGCATGTTGTGGAGTCCTAAATCTGTTATGCAGTTGTATTGGTGCCACTAAGCGTCCCTTTAACCCACAATTCTGTTGGCACTAGAACAACACCTGTGTAAGAGATGTAACCAGCAAATTACTTCTAGGTACATTGCTATAAATCCATTATACTTGATTTATGTATACAGATTTCTGATAAATCTCCCCACGACCGGGATCGAGGAGGATGCAGTGTACCTGGTGGTTCAGGAGGGGGCCCTGGCTGTAGCAGTATGGGAGCCCCAGACAGGGGTGGGGACAGGAATTCAGAAAGACCCCGCACTTCACCCTCCCAACGTTTAATGTCCTCTCATCACCACCATCACCACCTTGGCTACTCCCTGCTTCCTGCACAATACCAGCTGCCATATGGCCCAGGTAAGATGGACATTCCCTGTCCCTTGCTGCTTCTTATCGCAATAAATGAAACCGGATTTTTCTGTTAAACTGGATGCAATATAAAGCTACGCTAAGTGCCTCTTTATGCGATAGTGGCCTATAAAACTAACCGAGGAGCTGCTAATGTTTCCATAAATTGCTACACAGTAATCTGGAATGTGCCATTTATCTCATTATGCTGGAGTGAGTTTTCCTTGCACTCTTGGCCACTTGCTGTGTCTTACAGCAGCTGCACAGCAGGCCCTCTAGTTTTAAGATTTCAATCTGCAGCGAGCGGCTCTCATTGTTCTCGCTGTGTCTTCCAGCGTAATGCAAATTAAACATATGTTGTCTCCAAAATCTGTCTCGGAATAGTACTTTAGCACAGATTGCTGCAGGCCCCCCACTGTGTATAAAACTACCATAACCTCCATTACAACGAAGGCTTGCCGAATATGATGGGAATTACAATCCAACAGCTGGCCTTTGTTCTGCCTGTGCTAGTGTGCTTTCAGAAATGACTAGTTTTAAACTGTTTTGGTAAATTGTAGAGTATTTTCCAGATCCATAATTGAATAGTATCCGTCAAATTTTTCTTGCTTCTGTCATAATATAATCCCCCTTTTAGCCCGTAGATTGTATTAAATAGCCTATTCAATTCTTGTATTTAGAAAGTGCTTAAATTATGTTTAATGCATTCTATCATTCTTGGGTTTTATAAATTTTTACTTATTTTTATCTCCTGTGTTTTATCTCTGTCAGTTGTTTCTTTTTGCTTTAACATGCCCACTCTGCCAAAGGTAGATCCCCATCTACCTGCACAATAGTCCCTGCAGAATTTTCATCAGGTGTCCATTTGCCATAGTATATATTTAACCAATTACTCTGATATGTTGGGGTCACAATTTTATGGAAACTGCCTATGGTGTCACTGTACGCAAGCAGATGTCTATCTGTACGGTCGTTTCATGCTCATTTGATTGCACCTTTCATTTCATTTAAGAGGTGTATTATCATTGGGTGTATGGGTGCATTTACTATGACCCAGTGAGTGTAGAGTCTTGAGGGTATTTTACCTTTAGGGACCCATAGTAATTGCAGTGCCTCTTCATTTAGCTCTGTTTTCAAGTTGTTTTTTTTCCACACCTTGCTTTTAGTTGTAAATCAAACCCAAAGAGGATTTACTAAAAATTTAAACTGGGTGACTGGGTGACTGAAAAGCATGGCCCGATAGTAGCCTACGGAGAAGGTAGACAGAATTCCTCGCTCCAGAGATGAACTAGAATAAAAAGCCATTGATTAATTTCCTCGGTGTCTACAAGAAAAAGTTTAGTTGGGGACTCCTTGTCCTGACAATGGCATGTGTTGGGCAGAACAGTGGACTGCGAACATTAATGATATTGATGTACACTTTGTAGGGGCTGAAAAATAGATCTTGGTTGCCTTTATAAATGTTATGTTTTTCCAATACAAATTCTAGAGGTTTTCACACGTTTCTGGGAGGCCTGTCCTCTTTAGTGTGTATCTTTTAACAAAATCTTATAGTATTAAAATGTGTCCACCTCCGAATTTCTGATCAGGTTAAAGTTTCTCTGTAACGCAAGTTTTATGGACAAGATAATAAAACATTCACAGGGTAATAACAAAAGACTGTGTGTGAAAGCCTGTGGTGCTGTATGCATTAACATGAAAAATAAGAAAAAGCAACATATCACCCACTGTATGGTTACACCCATAGGGAACCCCAAAACTCCATTAGGGGTTGCGTTTTGTCCGCCCGGCACGGCCTGCTGGAGTTACTTCTGAAGAAGTCCATGCCAGATACACAAAACGCAACCCCTGATGGAGTTTACGATTTCCCTGTGGCTGTAACCGTGGAGTGAATGATATGCCACTTTTTATTTCTTTTGTGAGGGCAAACGTCGTCATAGACCTTCACATAGTGCCTTGTGTTATTACCCTATGTATGGTTTTTATTATCTTGTCTGTAGTACGTGTGACATACTAGTGTCGATTTGGGAGGAATCTTCCTGCTACAGAAAATGTGAAAAATGAGGGGGAAATAATATTGTGTATTTCACCCCAACACATTGGTGTTTCTGTATCATTTGAGGTAGGCTGTAATTTTAGAGTAAAGCTTCTCTGTGCCTTTAATTTGTGTAATTGTCTCATGATTAACAATAGTATACCTTGTGGTTGTTCCTTTACAGGTTTGTCATCTACAGCGATTGTGGCAAGTCAGCAAGGCTCAGCTCCATCACTGTACCCACCCCCCAGGAGGTGAGAGTGGTAAGTCAGCCTCTCCATTCCCTCTTCTCTATCATCATCATCATTTTTATCCCTCTTTTCATGTCCATGTGTTTTATTAGCTCTCCCTATTTATTTTTTTCTGATTTATAAATGATTGAACCTGACTCTTTTTCATCCATTTATCCTGGTTCATTGGAGTTCAGTTCTGCAACCTGCAACCTAGATAAAGATTAAGCATGCAATCCACAATGAAGCATTAATTAATGTGTCTTGGTCCGTGTGCTATTGCTCAAGCATGGAAACCATACAGCATTTTTAGGCAAGGGCAAGTGGAGCAGTGTTTTCTAGTTGTGCAAGGACTGATAGAGTAAGTCCATAGCATTCCTCACCCATTACTGTACCCTTAAACAGTGTACATGTCTGTGCATTTACCTTGCTGCAGTAGAATACTTTATCTTTAATGCATCTACGTGTTCTCTGGCAGGAAATAATTTCATCGGAGGTCCCTACCTACACAGTCCTGTGACCGGATCACAAGACACACCGAGAATGAGAGTCGAATGGCAATGTGTGTTTTCTACAACCATCGGTTTCTGCCAAGCCCTTGTGGCATCCCCACTCTCAACCTGGATAGAAGAAACCAACCGTTGGCCTTTGTGACATTCGGTTGTCCCCTCTCTGACTCTATGGAAACCTGGGCTGTATTTATTCAACATTGCCTCCTGAAGACATGGGGGCCATTAGGAATAGCCTTGGAATTTTTATTTTCACAAAGAGTTGGAGATTAAACCACAAACCTCATTTAAAAGAGAAAAAAAAATAAAAAATAACTTTGGGCAAAGGGACATGGCGCTCTTTGGCAAATGACTTCTTCTAGTTCTAATGTTGTTTTGCAAGTTACAGAATGATTAATTTGTTTTTGTCGATTTGTTAGTGCACTCCATCTACAATATCCACTTGGTCTGTGGACTGTCTTCTTGACACATGCTCAGGCTTTATGACTCTTCCAGATATTAGGAGTCAAACTTGGGATAGTTTATCCTATAAACTGTCACTTCTCCACAGGGTTTTGTATGTGGGATTGGGGAGTTTTGTGTTTGTCAGTTATTTGAGAGTGACTGTTTGGAACTGTTAGTTTCATGCATTTCATCATTTTCCTTTCCTACCGTGGCACCTGGACTTTTCCGGAGGTAGGTAGACCATAATTTTAACCTAGGGACGGTAAGGGCCAAAAATGCACCCCCGGGTAAATATCGGTGACCAGAGCTTCTCGTGACACAAAGTTGACCTAGAATATTTTTTTAATTTTTTTTTTTTTCAACTGCTTTTATGCACCAGCTCCCATGATCCTTGACCAGCCTTTTGCTGACCAGTGATCCTGAGGATTGAAGTACACTGATTGGTGGAAGATGGGTTCTCTCAACGAAGATGTTCAGTTCAACTTGTGTGCTGTCTATTGTGTTTTATAAAGTTCTGCTGCTCATTTTGCCAGTACAGATATTACTTGTGAATCTCTGTACTTTCCCATGTTAAGCATCCATTTTATTCTTTTAACCAGACCGGTCTGACATAGTTTTAAACTGCTTTTACCGTCCCTCCCATTTTCACACGGAGTACTGCAGTAAATTGGGTTGATTATGAAGTCGTGCCGCCATGGCTGAAATCCCCCTGCCCATGCCAGCCCATATCTGTGTATAATGTATATAATAAGCCCTGATACATTCTTTTATAAGACACTAATCTTAAAAAAAAAATTAAAAAAAAAATAAAATAGAAGAATGGTAAAAATACTTCACATCTGCATCTTAGATCTGTTTAACCACTAATTGTTCACCCCACGCTGGTCCTGAAATTACAGATATCAGGTGTATTTACCTCAATGTGTAAGTATATTGATGTATGCGTGTATAGAGAAGTATATACACAGACATACATTCATACACTAGTAATATTATAACAGTGCCAGCACTGCTACCAGTTTATTTGTTGACAACTAGATCCATTTTCTTAAAAAGAAATATGCTTAGCACATTGGGTATTTGCATGTCAATATAAAAAAGAAAAGTTTGTTTGTTTTTTAAAGGGAAAGAAATCACTCCTTTCCATTGTTAAGCAGCAAAAAACCTTGAAAGCGCAGCAATCAAAAATTGCTCCTAATAATATCGTCTTATTCTGTTAGGATGAAGGCTTGTCGTGCACTGTAATACAGGCATCTACAGGCCACGTAAATAATGTAAAGAATGCGTTACAAATAATGCGTGCCCACGTCCCTTAATAATGCAGTATCGCGCCTGCAGCAGGTTAAAGCGATCATTCAAGTGGCAATACCTCGTTTTATCCAGGGCTAAATCTTTCTAATGTGTTCAGATTGCAGATCAAAATAGAGGATTACACAGAGCGCAAAATCCTCAATTCCCAGCAGCAAGCTGGGCTCATAACAAGACACTGGTCCTCTGACTGAATAGTTTAAACCTTTATGCTGCTTTCAATTACAATGTCTAGTTTCCCTTTCACGCAAAGGGACTATGTGACAGTCATTTTATCGTTTCAGTTCGGTTCCATATTTTCCCTATAAGATAGTGCTGCAGATCTTCAAATCACTTTAAAGATATGCAAGACAGTCTAACACCTCTCATACAGAGATTATGAGAATTATATGTGTAAAAAAAAATTTTTTTTTTTTTTTTTTTTTTTTTTTTTTTTATAAATAACATCAGTTTTCAATGACTTGCATCTCTCAGTAGGTGCATCAAAATTTCTTATGTTGAATTTACAAAACGGGAAAGAAAATGTATTTAACCCTTTTTTGGAAGTTTTCCAATATTTTTTTTTTTTTTGTATTTCTTTGTTGTAAACAAAACCGATTGTATATGGATTTAACTCAAACGCACTCTTGAACCTGGGGTGGATGGGAGATGTTGTGAAAGTCTCCCTTCTGCCTCACCTCTCATAAGTATCTGTATAAAGATGTAAAGTATATTTCTGTTATGTAGCTATTTCTTTTTTTGCAAAAGATTTGAAGTCTGTGGCAAAGTTGGATTTTTTTTTTTTTCCTGCAGTTTTAAGAAATACACGTTTGTTTTATCAGAGCGTTACTGTTTCTTACCTGTGTAATGTACATTTCCTGTATTTCTCATTTAAGTAATGAATGTAGCAATGTTTGGTGTATATTTTGAGTGTCTGTAATGGGGCATTAACCTCTTTAGCAACCAATAATAATCCTTGCTGTTAACATAATCTGGCCCGTGAGGACCTATAGTTAACCGGGAGATGTCCTACATAGTTAGAATAACCAACTGCATATTGCCATGCAATGGTGAGGTTCAGAGCGCTTTTTAGATACGGGTATGACAGCTGGTACTTCCCAATCCAGAGTTTATTCTCTCCGGCTATAACTAGGTATAGGTTAGGAAAGGGTACAGGGAAACGGCACCTTCTGGTATCAATTTTCTGGAGCTTATGTTCAGCTCCAGATATGTGCGCCTAGGCGGTATTATCACCCCCCTGTGGATATCTCACTCAGCTTGGTTTCTTCTAGATGGTAGGTCACGGTCAAGGGTGTCGAACATTCACAGGTATTTCCCTCTGAATTGCAGTGTTACAGATATTTACCAATTACATACAATGAAAATAAAAACAGAACATGGTGATCTGTTTTGCTGGTGTAAAAGCAAAATTAAAAGGAAAGCAGGAAATTTAGACTTTTGCTCAATCCTGTGTAGTGTAGGTGGTTTCCTCACCACCAAAGAGTTAAAAAGTGTGGCTCCTCTAGATACAATCTTTAGTGATAAAATCAGGAAAGTCCAGGTAAGGAAAACTGGTTTAATTATCTTTGTTTAAACTAAATCTAAAGACCTAAAAACACTAATGTGTTTAACTCGGGCCTTTTTTTTTTTTTTTTGCGTGCTGCAAACCCACAATAGGTTTACCATATGCATAATCGCAGGTATTAACAGATTTCAACAATGATTATACAATACATGTGTCAGAGCTTAGCACAAATTTTTCTTTTAGTTATAACAAGCAGATAATCCTAGGTGGTGAGTAAGGTCTAGAATATGTGCAGCTAACGTATGAGATTGTGGTTTTGTTACCTGGGTCGTGTTGCAGCGTTCTGGCCCGGTGTGAGTGTTATCATCGGGCTGGTCGTGGTTCTGGTTCCTTGCTTAGGTCAGTATGGGTTTGGTAGAGGTTGCAATGCTGGTTGTGGAGTCCTGTGAGTAAGTCTTCAGTATGCTCTACCTCTCGGTAGAGGTGTAGTTGGCTTGAGCTCAATAGAGACTACTCATGAGGGGTGGTAGCCCTAACCTAGGGGTGTCGGGGGTGTGTGTTCCGTCTTGCGCCGTGATACGTGTTCTGTGGACGCGGTATTGTGTGTCAGCGCCTTCTCTAGCAGGCTCTTATAGTAAGCATTAAACTAGCGTCGTAACTTGTGTAACATTAACAAGTATGTGTTTGCGGTAAAAGGTATATAGGCATTTTATAACATGAACATTTTGTATCGCCTTTGAACAGGCAGGGGTAGGAGACTCCCCCATCTGTCAGGTGGCCTGTGTGTCCAGTCTCTGCCTTCGTGGAATTAATATTTCCGTGGTTGCTGGGTTCCAGGCTTGGGCGGTGTTTTGGTCGGGTTTGTTCGGTAGGCCCAGCTTCGTTAGAAGTGCGGGTGCTTCAGTCCCCAAGGAGAGTTTGTGTGTGGTCTCTTTGTGGGTGACTAGTAAGGAGCGTGGGTTACCCCAGCGGTATGGTATCCCTGCTGTACGCCGCTGACTGGTGAGTTCACTGAGTGATTTTTCTCCATTGGAGAGTGGTTTTGGTTAAGTCCTGATAGGTTAGTTGGGAGTCTTCGAAATCCAGTGGAGTCTTGCCTTTGATCGCATTCATGACGTGCCTCTTGTCTTGGGGTAGGACACAGCGGACGATGACATCTCCAAGCGTGGTGGCGGCTCTGGGAGGCGTTGGTAAGCGGTATATTCCTGCAAATGGGAGCTTCCTTGCCATTGCGGGTGGCAGTAGTGACTGCTTGAGTCTCCTAATATAGTGCGGTAGGTCCTCTTTGTTTACTGAGAAGGGTATGCCTCTGATTTTAATGTGATTGCGTCGGTTTTTATCCTCTTGTGCTGCCACTTGTACTGTCAGGAGTTGGTGGCTGTGTTGCAGCTGGAGGAAGTACTCCTTCAGCGTGGAGATTTCTCCCTTGATCATTCTAACTTCACCCTCTGTATTGACAACTTTGTCCGTGATCTGTTGCATGCTTGTTTTGAGCGCAGGTAAGTCTGCTGCCAGCAGGCGTTGTATGTCCTGCAGCATGGTTTGCAGTTGCTGCAGGTCCTGCTTGGTAGCCGGATCTGTGGTTCCCTGCTGGGGTGTGGGTTTGGGCAGCATGGTTTGTTTAGGTTGCATGGTCCCTTTTGTGACTCCCTGGGAGGTTTGATCTCTGGGGTAGCCGTGTGTGGGAGGTCTGGGCCTTGTTCGGCTGCCATTTTGGCAGGTGCCTGCCGTTGGAATAGGGTGCCTATGTCAGGCTGTGCTGTGGCAGTACCTTGTTGGGATCTTTGTGATCTGCGTCCCATCTCGCTGCTTTCGTACTCCCAGTACTCCGCCCAGCAGGTACTCCAGGCCGCGGCTGCTCGGCGTGTAGTAGGCCCGAACTTTACTTCCCGGCTTGGCCTGCCTTGGGGTATACCGGAAGGGCATCGGGTGATGTGGAAAGGTCTCCCTGGTTTTGTGCCTGGATGGCATTTAGTTTTTGCGATATCGAGCTGATTGTGTTTGTATTTTCAGGAGCTGCCAGATATGGCATCTGGCCTGTTTCACTGCTTGGCTCCGCCCTCCTCAAAGAGGCTTTTTTAAAAAGAGCTCACTGTGAAGCAATGTTTAACCACAAGTTTTTAAGTCAAAGCAAAAGCCATGATCCACATGAACCAATGAGCAGAAACCAACCAAAGTAAAGTCCAAATAGTTAAAGGAACACTGTAGGGTTAGGAACACAAATGTATTCCTGACACTATATAGTTTAAAACCACCATCTAGCCCACATGACTTTCCTTTGCCTCCCTAAATATAGTAAAATCTTACTTGTATTCAAGTCTGCAGCTTCTGGCTCTGCCCCGGATCTGCCGCCTTGGCTGACATCAGATGTGATGTTCTGATCCAATCACAATGCTTCCCCATAGGATTGGCAGAGCCTGCACAAGCCAAACACAGCCCTGGTCAATCACCATCATAGAGGTGTATTGAATCAATGCATCGCTATGAGTAAAGTTCAGTCTCTCCATGTAGAGGGAGGAGACACTCAATGGCATTGCCCCAGGAAGCACTTCTAGCAATCATCTGATGAGTGTCCGGTAAAGTTATCACGAGGCTGTAATGGAAACACTGCATTTTCTCTGAAAAAATAAAATACTTAAAATTTAAATTGCCATCTGAAAGCACACGATGAAGTAATCTCAGCTTTGCTCTCATTTTAACCAAGGCAGGCCCTCTGCGATTGGCAGGCTTTGCTATTTGCAATCATTGGACATTATCCTAGCAGAAATATGAACAAATCCCACAGATATGCAATCTTAAGACTCACATCCATCAAGTACCACTTTTCCCTTCATCTGCTTCTGCTGTTGACGAGAGACTGTTTAAAAAAAAAAACACAAAACATTATTGTGCCAAAACTAATGAATTTACCCCAAAGTACCCTGTGGTGTTTTTTTTTTTTTTTTAAATATCTATTAAAGCAATATATTTAGGCAGAGAATTCCATATGAATTCCATATTGTTTTTACTATAACAAACCCTTTCCTCAAATTTCAGTTGATGGGATACATGTCATTTGTACAGTTTTGTTAATGAACATGCCATAATTTGTACAATCCCTGTACATATTTGTATAATCCTGCCATGACTGAGAACCTGTGCTTAGACTGAGTACCTTGTTCGACCTTCCTTTTCCACAGGATACCATCAGAGTTTATAGCCATTCACCCAAACATTAACCGAAACCTCTTGGAGGATGAAACAAGTACATTTTTACTGTACACGAATTATCTATCTTGAATCTGTATTCACCCTGCCGGGGGTGATCAGCATAACAAAATATAGTTCCCTCCCCTGTGCCACACGGTCGGGACTGAAGAGAGTTAATAAGATCAGATTGGGAGCGATGAAATCTCCCACCCACTGTATCTTCTCTAGACATGGAGTGCCAGGGCATTAGAGCCCCAAACCTTTCCTCCATTCTGATGCTCCACAACACATACATTCCCCGCATAGCTCACCGCTTACGCTACATGTCACAAACGCACCCTACTTCAAGAGTGTGCGTGACGTAGTTGTTGTGGTGGTAAAAGGGTTAAAGCTCACTATTTGTCTGCACTAGACTGGAAATCATGATAAAAACCCTCTTAACACCACTCACACTTAATAATTTAATTTTAGAGCTGCTACCACCACGACAATTTATAAATGGGGTGCCTTGGTCCCCCAGGTACCTTACTAAAAAAAAAAAAAAAAACACCAAATGTAACTTAGCACAATGTAATTGCAAAATACTAATTAGTCTCTTCAGGTAATGTGATCAGACAAAGACAGAACTTAATAAAGAAATATTTATTATGCGCAAAAAATAGTCAAAGTGCATACAAAAATATAGATGACAATCAAAATTAGTTACATTAACAACAGATTAAAAACAAAAGGAATAAAATAACAAAGTCCTAATCATTTACTCAACTCTTCAAAGTAAAACTTCTGCCCCAGGGGTCTCTGGTAGGAAAGATGGTGACTCACTTAGAATTAGGTTCAGGCCCCTCAAGAAAGTACCATGCACATTTCAGTATCATTAGAGATATACCCTGTGGATTTCAACGCCTCACCCAGAGGTGGAGTTAAGGTGTAGCTATAGAGACACTAAGTGACCACCCCCTTGTGTCCAGACCTACATCAATCCAAATGGAAACATTTGGTTCTATCTTCTCTTATATACCATCCACATAAATAATTATTTGCTTTTACGAATTATTTTTCTATTCCATAGATGTGTTATATGCCTTACTTGCGACCCAATATAGCAGACATTAAAATCCCTTCCACTATGGTTAAATTATGCCAAACATGTTTGGGCTTGTTTAGAAGATGGCGCTTGTCACATTCCAAATATAACAAAAATGAGGCTTAATTATTATTCTGTGGGTAAACAGTAATGTTTTTTCTTTTGCATATGATACTGGAACAATGCTAATGGTCATTAACATTTTAAAGAGATTGACTCATCCATTGCCAAGTACAGGTCATATGGCTGAAGCCATTCAGGCTCTTCAAGTGTAGAATCTCACACCTTGCAGAACCTTTGATTAATCACAGGTTCTATCTTTCCCTTTTCACACTCCTATGCAATTTACAATACCCCTTTTGTCATCTGACCTCTGTGGGGGCCCCAGCTTTGAAGAGGAATTAAGGTTATAAACCTTCTGACCTTCCATACAATCAAATTAACACCTTTTGACATTGACAATACCACCTCTACCAGGCAGGCAGGTCATCTATGCACTACACAAATTACATTAAAAAACAATATTCCAAAGTGCGATAAATTATGCACCCTTGCTGTGACACCTCCCGCAAATAAGAGACGCAGTGGGAAGAGGCTCCTATTCCTCAACCTTGTGTATCAACAATTGTTCTTTTTTTTTTTTTGCCTCCACATCATACTCATCTTTTTCATACACTGTTTATGCATAGATGGGTTAGACCTCGTTTTAGCCTACCTCCCCCCAAAAGGCTTGCCTTTAGTCTCTAAGCTATGTCACAGCCATATCCACAACAAACATGCCTGATTTGCCGGTTCCCATTTCCCACTGCTCTCTAGTCACATCTCTCAGGCCACACCCACTGCGCCCAGGTAGTAGCTCTAAGGAGGAAAAAAAACAACAGATTTCTGCAGTACTCCTCTGTAAGCACACAAAAAATGAGACACAGAACACTCCCAGGGTACTTGCGCTGTGTCAACACCCATCATCTCTTATATTTTGGGGCCTGTCTGCTGGGCTCGTCGCACTATCTTACTCTGAACCTTTGGCTCAGAATCAGAGAGTGGCATAGCTACAGACTCCTGCTCCTGAGCTGGCTGGGGTGTATGCGGGATGTGAGATGGTGATAAGCTGACAAGGTTCCAGGTTTCCCCTACATTATTCTCCCCTGCAGACATCCTCCCTGGACCCACAAGTTGAGTCTGTCCCCGCCCTTCACTTTGGGCAGACTGTGGATGGGCCTCCCTTTCTACAGATGGAACCTCTGTCTCTCCCTCACTTTCACTCCATATCCTCACACATTCAGAACCTTGGGAAATGGTTGAGTCTGGCGCAGAGTAAAGCCCAAACACACTCCGCTCTCTCTTCCAGCAATGCTGTCTCTCTACATTTTCACACAGCACATCAGATACATTTGCTTCAGGCATATTTTGGAACATATATATTCATTCAGCCCCCTCTCGCACAAAGGGTTTTCCTGTACATTTTCACAGGACACCTTTGAAACCCCTTGGGTAGGCACAGAATGTTGCACATACTCACATACTTTTCTCTCCCAGCCAGGCCATCCTCTCACATTCCCACAAAGACCCTCAAACTCTCCTGAATCTGGCCCCCGACCCACTCCTGTCTGAGACACAGGTGAACCTACCAACTTATCCTGCCATGACTCTCAATGAGTTAATCCACTTGTGCTTTTACATGGCATCTTAAACAACCCTGGCTCTGACACAGATAGTCATACACGCTCATCCTGCACTACTTCCCCGTGAAGTTTTTTTTTCCCATTCCCACATGGCATTTATAGTTCTGACACAGACTGGCATGCATGATCATTCTGCCCTTCCCCCCACACCCTTCCAGCACAATTGCCTGCATACATTTTCACATGTTTCCACGGACACCCCTTGGTTAGGCACAGATTGAAACACATTCTGCTCTTCCTCCCAGCAAAGTTGCCCTGGCAAACTTTCACCTTGTACCACAGACAACTCTGGTTTTGGCAAAACCTGGCACACATGCTCATTCTGCCCTCCCAGCAACTTTGTCTTGGCACACTCTCACATGATATTGCAGACACCCCCCCCGCCACCCCCTCACTCTCTCACAGCAAGGTAGTCTATGTACACTTTTACATACTGCCCTCCGCACAGGCTTGGGTTTATAACACACATTGCTTTCCGGCACATACTGGTATAACAATGTACAAAAGTCAATACCAAGTAATACATTTGCAGGGATATTCTCATCTACCCTCACATCTCTGAAGCCCTTTCCCGCTCCCCAGTCCCAATAAACACGTGCCATTGGCACTTCAAGGCCTGCTCCCCTCCCCGCCAATTCCTTTAACTGCTAAAATGAGGCTTAATTAGTATTCTGTGGGTAAATATTAATGTTTTTGATGATTAACTCATCAATTAAGAAGTACAGGCCATATGGTTGAAGCCAGACATTCAGGCTGTTCGAGTGTAGAATCTCACACCTTGCAGAGCCTTTGATTAATCACAGGATCCATCTTTCCATTTTCACATTCCTATGCAATTTACATTACCCCTTCTGTGGGTGTCCCAGCTTCGAAGAGGAAATAAGGCTATAAACCTTGTGAACCTTCTTACAATCAAATTAACACCTTTTGACATTGACAGTACCACCTCTACCAGGCAGGCAGGTCATCTATGCACTACACAAATTACATTAAAGGACAATATTCCAAAGTGCAATAAAGAATTATGCACCCTTGCCGTGACACTACCCACTGTCCAAAGAGCATCCTGATTCTTTGTATGGTGTCCGTCATCGTTTAGTTAAAGGTTTGAGCAGCCTCGGCAAAGTTCCGAGCCGGTGTACTTTGACGAGTTTTGCGTCGATACTGCATCCAGTTGGTCCAAATCCTTGGTGCTTGGGTAGACTGCGTCTGTTAGAGTAGTGGCAGGACCTCAGGCATGTGAGCAGAGTCCTTTTGAGTACTTTCCAGGTGTTTAGGTTCCATAGTTTGTTGGAAGGAGGCTGTCCTCCATGCATCCCAGGAACAAAGGCGTCCGTTTTTTGTTTGTGTGAAGACTTGAATAGAACTTTTTAAAAACATTATTTTTGTACTATTTTTTTTTTTTTTACAACTAATATTTCGCTTAATTTTGTAACCTGTTTGAGCTCTCTTCATGTTCCATAATATCCTTAAAAATCAGTGCCCAGATCAGCACCACGTGTTCAAGAAAGCGTGTTCATCACTGACCGTGACATGATCTGCAGCAGATTATTTATTCTTTTTGTCCTTACGCCATTACAGATAGCTCTGACTTCACCCACTAAATGAATTACAACTAAAATGTGGGGATATGAATGATGTCTATTTGGCCATTGTCTTCATTGATTTATGTTGGATAAAATATATATATATATATATTTTAAAACATCTGTTACAAGTGCTTTTGCGGCAGTGTAGAATTAATTCTGCAAAAGTCTGTGAAATAATCATAACTTGATGGCGATGGCTTATAGTCCATTTCCATTGATACTTATAAAGCGCAGGTAGTTGTATCTTAAACGGACACTGTAGTCACCATAATCACTACAGCTTAATGTAGTGGTTCTGGTGGCTATAGCATACCCTGCAGTCTTAGCACTGTAAGCTGGCCTTTTCAGAGAATCAGAGATCCCCCTCCTCACTACTACTCCCACTCCCAGTAAGGTATCTCCCTCTGCTTACTCCGTAATGACTTTACAAAAGCATGTTTTTTTTTTTGTTGGCGCTGTGCCAACAGGTCCTCAGCGTTCCAGGGACCAATGTGGCTAGGACTTAGACTGCTTTAAAAAAATAGAATTTGATATTGACCACGGTTGTAACGTTTTTTGTTTATTGCTAGTATTTATAGAGCGCAGTACAATAAAGAGGAAAATTTATTCATACTTACCGTAATTTTCTTTTCCTGGCTATTATTCATGGCAGCATTTAACATATGGGTAGCTCCTCCCTCCAGCCAATAGGACAGGAATACTAATTAAAGACTTAAATTATCCCTGAGGTATAAGAGATCCCAGAATGCTAGGTTCCTCAGTCTAGTAGCAAGCTGATCCGACATAATAAATGGGTGGGAAACCCAAATGCTGCCATGAATAATAGCCAGGAAAAGAAAATTACGGTAAGTATGAATAAATTTTCCTCTTTCCTGGCTAATCATGGCAGCATTTAACATATGGGGAATACCCAAGCAGTAAATACCACAGGGAGGGAATAGATGCTCAGAAATATTTATTTGCTTTGAGAAGAACAAGAATTCAGAACCGAAAGACCAAATTGCAGGTGAGGATCTGAAGAAATGTCAAGTTTGTAATGACTAATAAACGTCCTTATAGAAGACCAATTAGCTGCTTCGCAAATGCTCTCTGGTGATACTCCAGACTGCAGCCCATGAAGTGGCAATCGATCTGGTAGAGTGTGCCCTTATACCTTTTGGAACTGGAACACCTCGGACCTTATACGCTCTTGAAATAGCTGAAACTGTCCAGGAACGGAGGGTAGAAACAGAGGCTGCTTCACCCTTACGGGAGCCCCAAGGGACAATAAATAGTTGGGGAGACTTCCTCCAAGGTTTAGTTCGTTGGATGTATACCAAAAGGCACCTCTTAAGGTCCAGCATGTGAAACTTTTCTTCCATCTCGTTTGACGGATTTTGAAAGTAGACTGGAAGAATAATTTCTTGATTTATGTGAAGAGGAGAGACCACTTTAGGTTGAAATTCTGGTCTGGGACGGAGAATTACCTTGTCATGGTAGAAAGTGGTATACGGTTCTTCTACTGAGAGACCTCTAATGTCCTCCATCCTTCTAGCTGAAACTAAGGCTAATAGAAGAAGAGTCTTTTGCATCAGGGATAACATAGGGATATCGTTCAATGGTTCGAAAGGTTGCTCCATCAAGGCCTATAAGACTAAAGGTAGATCCCAGGGACACTTGTAGACTCTGATCGGTGGTCGAATCCTAAGAACTGCCTTCATAAAGCGGATTACCATGGGTTCTTCCGCCCATCTGATACCTGACATGGCAGAGATAGCGGAACAATGGACCTTGAGTGTGTTCAGACTCAGGCCTCTATCTAATCCAGCCTGTAAGAATCCTAAAACCTGGAAAACAGAAGGTGACTTTAAATTCATCACATCAATATGAAGCCATTCTGCGAAGGCCCCCCATATCTTATAGTATGTAGTAGAGGTAGAAGTCTTCCTGGAACGTAGCAAGGTGGAAACAACTTCATCAGGAAACCTCTGCTCGCTTAAGGATTGCCTTTCAAGAGCCATGCATGAAGACGCAGTTTGTGTGGTTCTGGGTGTACTAGAGGGCCCTGAGAGAGAAGGTCCCAGAAGACTGGAAGTTCCCATGGATCCTCTATCAACAGACCTTTCAGGAGGGGAAACCATGGACGATGTGGCCAGAACGGGATGATGGCTATTATCCTGCATCGTTCCTTGGAGATTTTCTTCAGAAGGGCGGGAATTAGCTTGATCGGCGGGAACACATATGCCAGCTGAAATGGCCATCTTGATGAAAGGGCGTCCTGGGCATATGCCAGTGGGTGAAATCTCCTTGACATGAAGCATGGAAGATGAGTATTCTGAGCAGTGGCCATTAAATCCACCTGTGGGAGACCCCACATCCTTAGTAGTTGTTGGAAGATCAAGCTGGATAGTTTCCACTCCGTCTCTTTCACTTGATGTCTGCTCAGGAAATCCGCAATCATATTCTCCTTCCCAGGAAGGTATAAGGCCGAGAGACCGGCTACATTCCTTTGAGTACAAATCATGATTGGCTTGATTTCCTTCATTAGTGCGCCGCTCCTGATACCACCCTGATGGTTGATGTATGCTACTGCCGCCCTGTTGTCTATTCTCAGTTTCACCCATTGATACTGAATGAGATATTTGAACTGTAGAAAAGCCAAAAAGGCTGCTCTTAACTCCCTTATATTGGAAGGAAGTTGTCTTGTGTGCAGTGGCCATAGTTCCTGGACAAAGTGGTCCTTCAGATGTGCACCCCAACCATCTTGACTGGCATCCGTGGTGATGATCATCTAGTCCACCTCCTTCAGAGGGAAACCTTTGGATAGGTTTTCCCAGGAAAGCCACCAGTTGAGGGATCTTTTTATATGATCCGGAATGGACATCTTCATCTCCCATTTCTGGGAGGTTGAGTCGAACGTCTGCAGGAAGTATTCGTGCAAAGGGCGGAAGGTTCCACTGAGCCCATCTCATTAGGCCGATTGTGGAGGAAAGGGAACCTAAGATTTTCATAGTCCTTCTTGCTGTAGTTACTTCTTGGATCTGAAATTCTCGAATGCGTGAATATATGTTTAGTTTTCTGTCGTGGGACAGAGACACTACTGCCGAAGCTGTGTCGAATTGTGCTCCCAGGAATACCAGCCTTCTGGCAGGCCGAAGTTGAGTCTTCTGGTAGTTGATTAGCCAGCCAAAGCGCTCTAGTGTCCTGAGTACCATTAGTCGATGATTCAGTAAATCCTTGTATGTTTGAGCAACTACCAGGATATCGTCTAGGTAATGGAATATTTTTATTCCCTTCTTTCTGAGCAATGCAATCTGTCACCAGTATCTTTGAGAAGGTCCTTGGTGCTGTACTGATTCCGAACGGTAAGGCCTGGAAATGGAAATGTTGATCGTCTATACAAAATCTGAGGAACCTCTGGTGATGAAGGGCTATCGGGACATGGAAGTAAGCGTCTTTCGGATCTACTGAGATTAGCCAATTTCCTTGGTGAACTGCCGGTATGATAGAGCGAAGAGATTCCATCCTGAATTTTTTTATTCTCAAATGGATATTGAGTAGATGCAAATCCAGAATGGGTCTCCATTTTCCTCTGGGTTTCTTGACCAGAAATAGAGGGGAGTAGAAACCCTGAAACCTTTGACTTACTGGAACAGGAACAATCACCTGTTGTCGTATGAGATCTCCAGTGTACTGGATCAGAGCGTCTCTTTTTATCGAATCCAAGGGAACGCTGGTCCTTATGAATCTTGCTCGGGGAATGTCCATAAATTCTAGAGAGTAGCCCTCCGTAATTATAGATCTCACCCAATTGTCTGGGATCTCTGCCCAAACCCTTTGGAAATGTAAAAGTCTTCCTCCTACCAAAGGTGTTTGGGCGTAGTAACCTTCAGAACCGCTTGGAAGGAAGAAAGGAAGAGGTATTAGTTTTACCTCTGGTGGACTTGCTGGTTTGACCACTTCTCCAAGAGGTAGGTCTGTAGTATTCACGGCCTGGTCTATAAGCCTTACTGTCTCTATATGAAGGGTGTTCTCTATAAGAGCGACGTTCCAGTGGAGGTCTTCTTGGACGTCTATCCTGTGGAAGCAGGACCTGCTTGACATCCAGGGCTCTTTTAATGGCATCTTCAAGAGGTTTTCCAAATAATAATTATCCCAAAAAAGGAAGGGAACATAAGTTATGCTTTGAGGCCATATCAGCCCCCCACGATCTGAGCCATAAGGCACGTCTGGCTGCAACTGAGAAAGCCATAACCTTTGACATAATCTTAATTATATCCGTAGAGGCTTCTAAGAGCCATTCACTGCCCAGACTAACTTCCCTTAGGGAATCAGCAATATGTTGCCTTTTGACACCTTTGTCTAAATTTTCCTCTATGTCCAGGATCCATACTCTCATAGCTCTGCACATAGCTGAAATAGAGACCGCTGGGTGACATCCTGTACCAGCTGCCAAGAAACATTTAGAAATGTCTGCATCTATTCGTTTCTCCATAGGATCTCTCAGGGAAGCATTGCAGTCTATCGGGAGGATAGAACGTTTGGCTACCTTGATAACTGAGGCATCAACCGTCGGATTGAAAGTCCAAAGCCTGGAGTCCTCTTCACGGATGGGGTAGAACTTAGGCAGACGGTTCTGCAGTGAAAGTCTCTTTTCTGGAGTCTTCCATTCATTACTTATGAGATCCTTGATGGACCTGTGTACCGGAAAAGAAGGTTTTCTTTTACTGAGGTCCCCAAAGTGTTTGTCCGCTGCTGAGGTTTCCAACACCTCTTCAGGTAGTTCTAGTGTTCTTCTCACCAAAGAGATCAAACGCTCTATTGCTAAGTTAAGGGGGCAGGAGTATTCTTCATCACTAGAAGACATCGGTTCAAGGTCTACTGAACCTGAATCCTGTCCGAAATCTTCATCTGAAGAATCAATATTCACCTGGGGATATTCACATCTGGGACGTTTGCCTTTTTGTGATTCAGCAATACCTTCTGCCACAGCCTGCTTAATCCACAAGGCTATATCCTGGGCTGAGGTGGATGCTTGTGGTTGTTGCTGGAAATCAGCTTCACCTGCCGCTCTAGCAAGACATTTTTTGCACAGTCTGCAA